TTGTCACGCGCATCTACCAAGTCTTCTAGCGCTAGTGGATTTGCTTTTGTAGTCAATTGTAATAGTTCCAGTTCGGAGATTTTGAGCTCTTCTTGAATGCAGGGTACATTTTTATTTGAGACCATTTCAAACCATGCCAAAAACCATGATTTTTCAGGATCCGGAATTTGGTTTAAAATCCTAGTTTTGATATCTTCGAATGAAATATCTTGAAACGGAGTCAGTTGTTGTAGGAAATGGTACCAAGGATATACTCTGAGTCTTTCATTCTGTAGTACGGTAGGAAATATGTGTAAGCACACTTGTTGTAATCGAAATCTCAAGTAGTTGGTTGTAGTATTCTTTTCATCCGTAAAAAGTTTGTAAATTTCTTTCGCTTTGCGACCTTGTAATTGAATGTCTAGATCTATCAATCCAAACCCCCCTAGTCGGAGAGGTTTGTGAAGCTTTTGGAGCAGAATTTTAAATGGAAGCTTATTTTGGATTGCTAAATTCAATTTTTTGATATTTGTCTTGTCTAAAGGTTGATGTAGGTCCAAGTAATAAATTTTTGAAAGAATAAACACATTCATCATTCTGATAGTCAATGCGAATTTTAAATCTAATGTTGGAATTTTGTAGATAACAGCAATGAGTTGCGAAATTTTGTGATTCCATGAATATTGATTTTGCATTGGGACTCCCAAGTAATTGAATTTTATAAGGTCTAATGGATGTGGTTCAATTGAGAATAGTGATTGAGAAGGTGGGTTTGAGTAGTATAATAATTCTGTTTTCTTCTGATTGATAAGTAGTCCCGATTGCTGTTCAAATAATTTTAGAATTTCATTTGCTATTTTGAGATCTGATGTACCATTCAAACAAATGATTACATCATCCGCAAATGCTTGATAACGAATACGGAACCACGATGTTAGTGTAGCTCCAATCAATCTTTTATTTAGTTGATTTAGCATTGTTTCTAGTATCAAATTGAAAAGAATTGGGCTTAATGGATTGCCTTGTCGCACTCCAGACCCAAGATTAAATACTTTGCCTCTAGTGTTATTGATGACTATTTGTGCTAGATGCTTTGCTGAAATTGCAGTAAGAAAATTGAAAGCATATTTTCCTATTTTCAACTTGTGTAATAATTTTTGTAAAAATATGTGATTCACCAGATCAAATGCTTTGTAAAGATCTAGCATCAATAGTGACTGGTCCATTGATCTTTCCGGATGTAAAGTCATTTCTTGTAATATTTTCTTTACCACAAAGGTATTCGTATTTATGTTTCTATTTCTCAAAAACCCCGACTGATCTTGATGGATGATTTTAGAAAAGACTTTTTCACATCTAACTTGAAATGTGGAGCTTAGTAAACGTAAAGATGTACTTATGATAGCAATAGGACGTAGATTTTTAACTTCCAAAGTTGAATCAGTCTTTTTTGGTATTAGCTTAATTAAAATTAATTTCATTGATTCTGGTAATTCTCCAGATTCCCTAATTTCATTGCCGACTTTGCATATTAACTTACCTAATCTAGGCCATAATTTATGTATTGCTTTATAAGTGAGACCATAAATACCTGCACTCGTTGGTTTCATTATACATTTTAGATGTTTTAGTAGTTCCTCTTCCGTGAAAGGTCTTTCTAAATCAGTAATATCTTGAATAGCCAAATTTCTGTCGAAGTCATGTACTAGTGAAAAATCATTTCCTCTATCTTTTGTTTTATAAATATTTTCCCAAAAGGACGTTGCTACTGAAAGCATATCATTTGTTGTTTTAGCCAAACTTCCGTCTTCTTTTTTCAAATTTGTAATGATTGAAAGTTCCTTTCTCTTTACTCTATATTTAATGATATGTTGATCTTCTATGTAAAGTTCGCGTTGAACGGGTGTATTATTTCTCCTTTGTATAATTCGATTGATTTGATTTTCAAGATGGCTAATTGAGGTAGTTTGAGCATGGAGGAAGTTGATTTCGTTATCCCAGTTTTTGAATACACCTGAGTTATTGATGTTGTCAGATTTGTAATTACTCTCATTTAGATATTTGATTGTGTTTGAGCTATTTAGTATCACTTGAGGAATCGTGTAATGAGGTCGACCAATTAGTGGTGACGTTTCGATTTTTGTCCAGATGTCAATGGTGATAAGATGATGAGTTGAAAATTTTCTAACTTCCTCAACGGTTTTATAATCGAGGATTCTATTTTTCAAGTCATTTCCAATATAAAATCGATCTAACCTTCTTTTAGCTTGTGTTTTGCTCCCTGAATTAGTGGTATTGATCGCAGTCGGGAATACCATTCTCATAGCGTCTGATAATTGAAATTTGGCATAAAATCTTTTCATTTCTTGTATCAATTGTTTTTCCTTATGTTTAAATTTATAAGACTTGGTTGTAGGTGGTAGAATGACATCTAATTCTGTATCCATGATGTTATTGAAATCACCTCCAATGATAATCTTTGTTGAAGGAAATTGATTCTTGAATCTTGTGATTGATTCTTCTACTATTTTGATAAATTCAAGTTGTGCAGTAAATTGGTCTTGTTTGGTTTCTTTATTTATTCCAGATTGAAAGTAAACATTGAATATGGTCCATTTTTCTTTTCGGTGGGGTAGGTTGAAAGTTGCCAACGAAAGTCTATGTTGCAAACTCGATGTATTAGAAAGGTTGAATTGATCGACATGTTTAAGCTTGTTGTTTTCATTGAGTTCATTTATCATAAAACACGTGAAATCTTTATAGTGTTTCATAATTAATTTTATTTTCTTTGCTGATAGTGCTTGCTTTAATTGTAGTAATTGATTTTGGTCTCGAAGCCTTATCTCTTGAATGAGAAATAGTGAAATAGTTGGATTGTTAAATATTAAAATGGATAGTTTCTCTTCTATGAGCTTGATAGATAATGAACGTTGTGCACCTAAATTTTTAGATGCAATTCTTATTGTAGTTGATTCAATAACAGTTACTTTTTAGGTATAAATATATTTTTTTTCTTTTTTTTGTTTTTAAATTTTTTTTAGTAATTTTTTAGTTTTATGATTGTGAATGTGTCAAAATTCAAAAGTTGAATTTTGATCTCTTGATAATTGTTTGGAGCAGATAGGTTGATGAAGAAGAATCTAGTAATCATGATGATCTTCATGATCCGCAAGTGGACCATAAGGATTTTCATCAGTGACTACTGGATTCTGTGGAGTGGTTGGTGTAGGAGGAGGTCTGTTAATTGGTCTAAAGTTCGACCTCTTTGAAGGAGAAGCCGACGGATTATGTCTTGAATTATCACTTAAGTGATGTTTCGAGCTAGTTCTAATTGGTTGTTGAGACCAGCCTTCGTTATGGTTATAGTTGGTTGTTCTTGAAGAACTTGAAATTTGACTTTTGGAGGAAAGATTTGGAGTTGTAAGGTTATTAGTTTCGGAGTTATTGTGTGATGAGGATTCATCATCTTCAGTATCGGAGTCATTGAAATTTGAAATAATAGTACCTATTTGGTTATCTTTGAAGCGTTTGTATGAATTTTGAGGGCATCTGCGGGCATTGTGATATTTGCTACCGCAAAGTTTACATTCTGGAACATGGGAGCAGCTTGATCTTAAGTGATCTTTTGATTTACAATATTTGCAGTATTTGATGGTAGTCAATAATTTTAACGAAACTTGTTTCAACCCATCTCTAATATTTGTGGTGTCGATTCTAGCTGGAGGAGCTTTGTCACCTCCTAAACTTAATATGAAAAAGAAGATTGGAAAGTCCTCTTCATAAAGATATTCTTGTGTTTGATCATCAATCGTTTTAGGGTCAGCTGCTCTCATGTCAATAATCTTGTCATTTTCAGATAAAAAAAATTGTTTCATGAGTTTTGCGGCCTTATGCCTTTTGGTTGCTGGTACTCTTAAGGAGGCAATGACGAATTGTGGTATTTGACGTAATACTTGTAATTGGAAGTTTGACTCCTGATATTGAAAAACAAGTTCCTCGAGGAATTCAATACATTCTGATTTAATTGATTGAAAATTGGGACCCGCATAGTCTTCTTCCTCAAACGGACAAAAGATGAGGTGAAGACCTTGTTTGTTATAAACAACTGATTGAGCATTTTCTGCGAATCCTATAGTTCTTCTAATTTTGCTATATTTGTTAAACTCTTCTTTCAAAGCATTTGGAATAGTATATTTTGGATTTTCAAATTTATTTTCAAAATTTTCGGCATTAGGATTTTGCAGTAACTCTTGCTCTGTTTCCACGACATAGTTATATAATTTATCTGTAAAAATTTGTTTTAAGGTGTATCTGTCAATATTAAATTTGTTTAAAATCTCACCAACATAAATTGATAAATGATCACCTTCTAAAATAAAAGCATTATTTTGATTGACTTTATCTTGAAAGTCAAGTGGAGCATTTGCGTTATTATAACGCTGAAGCTCCATTTTACGTTCATAGTTGAAACGTACCACTTGTGAAGCCAAAATGGAATAATCCAATGGAGAGTCTGTTGATTTAGCAGAAAGTTGGTTATCTTCAGATTCATCTTTTCTGGTTCCGTCATCTGAATCGCTTGATGAGTTGTTAGTCCCAAAAAGTTCTTCATCTACCTCCATGCTGTCATTTCTAGTTTCGTTAGCTAAATTTTGATTTCCTACGTCAGTTTCACCATCTGTATTTTGGTTGATAGTAGTATATTCATCTGATTCTGAGTCCTCAATAGGATCTTCAAGTATTGAGTCGTTTGATTGAGCTTCTTGCACGACAGCTTTTTTTTTCTCGAGAAAATTGATGATATCTTGGTTGTCCATGGTATCAGCCCAACTTGAGCTATTTGAAACAGCACCGTTAGCAAACGCCAGATTCTGAGAGTCGGAGAGTGTGCTCTCTTGACCCACTGCATTCACCTGTGAGCTTCCAGGAGGATCATTCGGCTCTGAACGAGCACTATGTACCCCTTCTGAGACCATTACTTAATCAAATAGAATTGATAGAAATGCATTTAGAACAGCTGCGGCGTCATTAGGTTTAAATAATCTTGGTGAGAACTCGGAGACTCATATTCAAAACATTGATAATGGGGAATATGAATCTGGAGATTTGAATTCCACTCAAGCTATGTTGACAAGACCAGAAATGGGTGAAGATGCTAGTCAACTAAACGAAGATTCTAATGGGGATGATGGAGATTATGGCGATTTTGGAGATGATGGAGATTATGGAGATGTTCCAAATGATGGTAATGATGATGGTGGAACTTTTGAATTGGAAGGAACTGAAGATTTTCGTGAAGATGATCATGACGATGTTGATTTATTCTCGGAATCCGCGAAGAACATAATTAGTGAGACAAATTTAACAGTATTAAATTCAGATGGACAGTTAGGAGCTACTGCATTGGATTATGATTATGAGATAAAGAAGATGTGTGAGCTTTTTGGAAATTTTATTGAAGTTTTACGTGGTTATCAGAGAGATGGAAGAGATGAAGATTTTAGACAATGTGCTCGATCATTTGAAAAATATATGCAACATGGAATTACTGTCTCAAGTAAAAATGGGTTAAGGATGAGAAATACTTAAAATAAGTTTAAATGTTCTGTAATAGTTGAATCAAATGTGTAATTGAGAAATATTATTAAATGGATTTTCACTATTACTGTACTTTTTTCTTCATATTCCATTCGGCATTCCTTAGTCGAGCACATTACATTCAATTTGTGCTTTCTAGATATCTATTATTTAATTTTATTTGGGTTATGTGTAAATTTAAGCTTTGTCTAAATAAAGCGTCGTATACAAAGGGAAGATCATAATGGTGTTTAATATATTAGAAATCATCAACATAATAATAAAATTATTCAAGAAATTATTGATTTGATTCAAATTAAAATTAGATGGTATTTCTTTCATGCTATCCTCGAGTTGATGGGAAACCACTGTGACTGGGTTATCATTTGAGTGAGCATTGTCGTAATCAGCATAATCTATCAGTTAATATAACTTTTGTGTTCTACGTGCTAGGTATCTGTCGCCTACAATTACAATTTATAACTAAATTGCAACCCTTATGATAGATAACTAACACGCAGAACACAAAAGTTATGTTGACTGATAGAAAGAAAATCATGCTAGATGTTTACTAAATATTTAATAAAAGATTTTGAAAGTAAAGGGAATAAAGCATAGATTTATTCATTACCCAAAAAGTAATGGATAATTATCTGGAAAGAACAAATTTACTTATTGATGTACTAACTAGCTTGAATTATGACTTTAATATGAACTTTGGAGATCCATTCACTATAGAAAGTTGGAATAAAAAAGCCTTCCCTCATTGTGAAGAACATGTTAGTTTTACATTGTTTACTAGTTTTACTTATTTCTTTTCAAAGTTTAAAAAACAATCGAATACTCAAAGGTAGAAGATAATTCCGATTGTATATTTAAGACTCAAATGGATTTTTTGAATAACCTTGATATTCTTTTCTTTGGTGCTTTAATGAATTTGATTTAATGATCTCTCGCACATTTCTCAAATGTTGTAGGAGGTTAAAAAGATCGAAGAAAAGAATATCAAGAGTATTCACAATATCTTTTGAATCGTATGGACCATTTGATTAAGCTATTTTTCAACATTACAATACTAGATTTTATTTGCAACAACAGGTTTCAATAGATGAAGATTTTAATAAAGAAATTTTCGCAAATTGATGTTGATGATGTTTACCAATTTACCATTTTAATATAAAGATATGTGTGTTCTATAAGTAAAATTTTCGGAGTTTTTAAATCGAAGATCTCCTCCATTATTTATCCCCCTCTTTTTGAGAAAAAATAAAAAAGTAAAAAAATATTTCAAAATTTCAATAAACAAAATAAACATATCCTTCTAACTTTCTCTCTTTTCTATCATCAAACAAATCTAAATTTATCTTATTCGTAATCAAAAATGGATCAACAAATTAAAAGAGATGAAGAAATAGTACAAGAAAGTGAAGAAATTGCATTTTTAGACATATATATAAGATTTAATGAAGATTCAGAAAAAGATTATTGTTTTCAAATAAATACAAAAACTACTTTCAAAGATTTATATAAAATTTTTAATACAATACCAATATCATTAAGACCAAGTGTATTTTATAATTCAAAACCAATTGGTTTCAAAAAATCTACTTCACCCGGGTTTTTAACTGAAGATGGGAATTTTTTATTTGATGAAAATTCAGATAAATTTACTTCATCAATTATACCTCTTGAAGAGTTTATAAATAATCATGTTTGGCCTGGTCAATTAATTTTACCAATTTGGGAATTTAATTATTTTAGTTTTTATTCTGTTTTACTGTTATTAGCTATTTGGTTATATACTGATTTACCTGATTTTATAAGTCCAACACCTGGTTTATGTTTAACTAATCAATTTACTAAAATTTTAGCATATATTGTAAATGAAGTTGGTTATCCAAGTATTTCAGAAATGTTAATTAAAGATTTAGAAGATGAAGTTAGTATTGTTACTCAATGTATATTTTTTGCATTTCATATTTTAAAATTAGGTTTTATATTTGGATTTTTATATACTGGAGTTTTTAATCCAATAAAAGTTTTTAGATTTGGTAGTGGTGTAAAATTAGATGTTTCCAAGGAAGAATTAATTAAATTAGGTTGGACAGGTACTAAAAAGGCAACTATAGATGAATATAAAGATTATTATAGAGAATATAAAATTCAACAACATGGAGGAATGATTCAAGCTCATCAAGCTGGATTATTTAAAACTATAAGACATTTAGGTATACAATTACAAAAGGGAGAAGGTTATAATACAGAATTAACTAAAACAACAATGATGACAACAATGAATGATTTATTAAAAGAAAGTGAAGATAATAAATCAACATTTAAATTAAAATTAAATTATGAATGGTTTGCAGAATTAGGTTATGTATTTGCATCATTATCTGAAAATAAAGAAGGTAAAGAATTAGCAAATTTAATAAAACAATTTAGAAGATATGGTTTGTTAAATACAACTCCCAAGATTGAAACAATAATTGCAAATAGAAAAGAAAGAGATATTGATACTTCTTTAGATCCACCTGAAAAAATTAATCAATTAGAAGAATTATTAAAAGAACAACCAATTGATGATGAGAAAAATGATGAACCAGTTATTGTTGATAGTAGTGAGAAAATTGAAGAAATTAAAGAATAAAGATTATGAATTGGTAGAGGTATGATTTTAATGTTTGTTTTATAATAAGTTTGTAATTTAATTAGTTAATTGATAGGTTATAGATTAATTCTAAATTTGTTAAAGAGGTAAAGCAACATGATCCATCTCTACCCTGATTTTAGAGATCAATTTATAATAGTACACTGCTTTTTCAAAATAAACTAATAATAATATGTATAATAACATTCTGTATAATATAGACTACTTTTACAAAGATGTATTCATTAGCAATTTTGTTAATAGGTTTTATTTTATATAGACTGATCTCATATATTTATTGTTCATCAATTTGTTGTAGTGAAAAACTTACCCAATACGATATTGGGTAAACTTTTCGCCACAACAATGAATCTTTTTGATAAGTCATTCTATATTTTCTTGCTACATGCTATGTATCAAAAAACTAGTTTTATCATGTATTAAGTGTATTGAAAGCAACGAGTTTAGTTCTCTATGTCTTCTATTTCCATAGCTTCCGACATATAGCAAAAACCGAAATTTAAAAGGATACCTACCTCCTTAAGTCACTTTTAAAGCTACTCAGGGATCTTGCCGTGGTTGCTGCTTTTGCTCTGATTTGATTACCAGAAATTGCTCGTTGTTGAAAGCTGACTACGTAGAACATCAAATACATAAAACATCAAATTTTATCATTAAAAAAATGGCAAAAAATGGCAAACTGAAATTATAATTTTATTCTTTTTTTCTAAACGTGTTTTTCCATTATCAGTATCAATCTCGTAAAACAACAGAATTAAACCCAAATGAATCCTCATCATAGTATACAGATGTAATTGCTTTGAATGCATCAAACACAAGAAGAATGACAAAAATCAAATATATTATCACAAACGATACAACTCAACAAATTAAAGAAATTATAGACTCCAGCTTACCAGAGTTAAAATTGACTGAATTTATAACAATCATTAGTAATAATTCACCAGATCAATTAATTGAAATTTTAAATAAAGATCAACAGCAAATTAAATTATCATCAATTCAATATAAATATATAGAATATATTTATGAAATTTTAAAAATTAAATCAATGGAATATCAAGATACAAAAATTTTAATAATTGAAAATTTTTCAAAATTTTTAAATAATTTAAGTTCAAATATCTTGATTAATGAAAATCAATTAAATGTTTTGGTGTTTGAAATTTTCAAAAAGTTTAGAAATTTAGATTATGATTTAAAAGTTAATGATGAATCTGAAGAAGAAGGAGAAGGAAGAAATCAAGAAGAAGTCGATGATTTAGAAATAGAAAAAAATCATATTGAAGTTTACATCATTGATACTAAAAGAAGAAAGTTTTTAGAAATTTTAAGTGATGAAGTTAGGTAGTTGAAAATGAGGAATGCGATGGAATGGAATAAATAATCGACGATTCTTTGAGGGAGGGAAAAAAATGTGATCAATGGTCAATTAATTGGGCAAAACTCGAAGATTAATTTCACAATTAAATTAACAAATAAGCAGAAGTTTATCATATTGTCTTTTTATTTATTTGGGTCCGATATATTGGAATTGATGAATACTTCATTTTTACATTTTTTATCTAATTAGTGCTCACCACAATCCGCTAAATCAAAATAATTATGCAAAAAATCAGTTTGTATCATCACTAGAGTTGAATGAAAGGTTTAATATAAAATTTGTGATTTTTCAAATGATATTTACAGACATATAGGTTTTTGATAGTATATATCTATTTCCTGATGGTAAAAAGATCATTTTAGTCACAAAAGCATCAACTGTTGGTTTGAATAATCAAAATCTTATCGAAGAATTTCACTTTCTGAAAAGAGTTGACATGAGCTGACAATATTTAGTGTATTTATTTAGTACTCGAGTCAACACTTGTCTGATAGTGGTAATTGTTCGGCAAGATGACTTTGATTGTTCAAACCAACAGTTATTGATGCTTTTGTACCTAAAATGATCATTTGTGAACTATTTAGTTACAAGGAATAAAGATGGTGATGAACAATTAGCTTAAAAAATAAATTCTTAAACTTGTGACCTAATTCTACATCCATGTTTCAAAATACGTATAATTTTAGATTTTTCACTCGTCTTTTTAAAACTTCTGATTTCCAAAATGTATTAAAATCTCGTAACATCACACTGTGTAAAAGTTTAGTCTAGCATTTACGATCATAAACTTTTTCTTAAATGTAAATTTTAAAATTTTAAAATTTTTTATCTCTTTATGCTTTATCTTATTATTAATGAGAAAGATCTACGATTAAATTTCGGTGTAAAAGTAGTACACTGAAATTTTAAAAAATTCCTGATTGATCGACAACTATAACTCCTATATTTTCACTACTTGTAGGGTGAAAGAGAATGAATTAAATGAAATTTCTAAGACGATCGATCTAAAAGTTTCGAAGATCTTAATTAATGATAAGGTTATATAGTAAAGAATGAACGATAAGGCTTCTGAAACGAAAGTAAAACAAATTATCAAAGTTTTTGACCAACATTTTCAAGACAAGTTTTGAATACAACTACTTTATCCTGTTCAATTATATTCTTGTCTGAAAAAGGATCTCTTGCTTTTAAAATTGAAGAGCTGTGTTGACCATAAAATTCTACATATTTCTCACCATAATCATTAAAAATTTCGATTAGATACCATTTTGTTCTTTGTTGAATCTCAGTTCTCATCAATTTCATTTGAAAATGTAATATTAGTACGTTTGAATGAAGATTATCTCTTATAACTCGTGTATACCGTAAATTAATTCGAATCTACATACATAGGGCGGGCTGATTAAAAAATCTAGGTAGTGTAATTTGGTACAAATAATTTTCAATATACGATCTAAGTAAAACAATAAACCCCACCTTATATTAATTGTTTTTGTGTTGAGTAATGTATCCTGTATATAACTTACTATGTATAAAGTATTAAAATATATATCGAGATTTATCTTCAGATTTCATATAACAATCAACAAATCCTATTTACAACAACTTACAACCAATTGAAACTTTCATAAAACCAACTTTATATCACCTTATTAGAGAAATTGTAAAACTTATAAATATCATCATCATTTCCTTTTTCAAATTGTCTTAAAAGTTTACATTTCTTGTCATTTTTCATTGCATGATATCATCAGATTAATTTATATCACATCATTTACATTTCTCAAATTCCCATTAAATTAAATTGATTTCACTACATTCATTTTTTCAACTATAGTGTCAAAGCGACTTATAAGATCTACAACCATATCATGTCATCTATATATGAAGAATCAACATCTACAATTTTGTCACCTTGTGAGTCATGTATAACTTTACAAAGCTATAAACCTCAACAACAATTTAATGAACCATTTGTTAACAATTACATCCTAGCTAGAACAAATTCAGATTTATCAATTAGGCAGAGTAATAAAGAAGGTATAAAAAATGAAGATTATGAAATTATAATAGTTTATAATCATCATGATATAAATATAAAATTAAGTTCAATATTATCATTAATTAATACTCATTTGACCACCACTGCACAAACCAATAACAAATTAACCTATGAAGATTTAAATATAAATCATTTATTTCTTTATTTATTTTATAATCAAAAAATTATTTTTAATTCTTTATCAATATTAATAAATCAATTTAATTTAATTCATTTAGGTAAATCATTTGAATTTAAATTTAATAACTCATCTACTCAAAAAAATTCAAATTCAAATACTACGAAAGATAAACTTATGTCCAATTTAAATATAAAAACATTTCCAAAATTTTTATTAAATATAAAAGGAACGAATTATCAAACTTTAGAAAACAATAACTGTTTTCATTTTAAAACAAAACTAGGTAATTCAATAAATTATGAATTAAATGAAGAAGAAATTTTAAATTTTTTAAAAAGATCAATAAATTTTAAAGATAAATCAAATGGTTCAATTACTTATATTGATTCATTAAGAACAAGAATAAAAAGAAGTAGTACTTTAAATTCAATTAAAAGTATTAAATCAAATAAATCAAGTAATTCAACAAATTCAACTAATTTAAATACATCAACTAATTCAAATAATTCAAATAACTCAAATAATTCAACTAACTCAACAAATTCAAATAATTCTCAATTTTCAAATTTAATAACAACAAATTCAAATAATTCAAATATAACAATTGAAAATTTAAATTGTAATATGAATGATAAATTTATAAAAAGGAAAAAAATTAAAAATAAAATTTTAAAATGTTTTAAAATATTGATAAGAATAAATTGACAAATAAATAAGCTAATGAACTTTTAAAAATATAGGAGTATTTGTTTATAGAAATTTTTGCTTCAAATATATAATTCGTTCTCCGAGGTTTGACCTTTTGTTGTGTACCTCTAAATGGTTGAAAAAAAAAATTTTAAGTCTAGTTTGAACGTATGATTATGTCATTTTATCAAACCTTTTTCTTAGCTAAATTTGTTACAGTGCTCGAAACGAATTCAATTCTCTCCAAAAATACACGAATAATCTGGGGTAATATACAAGAATTGAAATTTGAGTGATGAGTGATGAAAATCTAAAAGAAAAGTTGAAATAGGTCTAACTACGTATTATAATGATGTTTAACTGCTGTATAATATTTCAAATTTTTGAAGTATTATTTTTAATCTGTTTCGTATCCTGGTTATATAACCTGGGGAATTGTTGTAATCGATTCAGTTTGATACACTCCAATGTTTGTAATGTCCTTTTAATTCTCAGTATAGTTACAACTAAGGTATAAATACCTTATTTAAAGAATTTAATTACAGACTCTAAGATCGTCTTCTTTCCAATTTTTTTTTTCAAATTAACATTTCGGTTGTATAAATTACCCCTTAAATTTCAAATATTGCAACTTGAGCGTAAAATCAATTAAATTAAATACTTTTAAATGCAATCAAATTAAATCAGTTGATGAATATATTCTGATCATTAAATGAAGTACATCTTCATGGATTGCAAAAAGTTGTTTCAGACGACCTATTTACTTTTACTCTTTGAAAGATGATGGAAAATTATTCATCATCATCCACCTTAAATCATTGAAATCTTTTCAGTAATAACACAAAGTCCCAAAATCGTAAATTGAAAGAACATTTTTACTAATATATTAGTACTTGGTTGTACAAAATCAAGATATTCATCTTTATCAATATTTTCTAAGAAATAAACGGTGAATTAAATGATTCAAAATTGGAATAGTATGTTAAAAAAAAATTCTTAAACTGATGATCGGACGGAGGGCCAATGAAAAGTTGGCAAAAATTGATGGAGTTTTTCTAATATAAAGAAGAATTGAATACTAATTATTACTTTATTAAAAAGATAAACATTTATGGGTATCATCAACCGATGAAATTTATAAGTGGTAGATGATATCCATAAATGTGTATCTTTTTCAGTATATTGTGACCACTTTTGATAAATTTTCAAAGAATTTTCAGGAATCACAATACACTAAATAATTTTGAAATTGTATCTATGCCCCCAATTGTTTGCGAAAGTGCCGTTCAAGGTTTAAAATCCAAAAACCATACAATGCTATAATGAAATCATTCTAATAAAAGGTGGTCGTGTAGAAAAGGAAGCAGAAGCAACTGCACGAAACTCCAAATTCCACTTTTGGAAAACTCCAAATTCCACTTTTAGTGCTTCGACCAGTCACTTCTGCGTCCTATCGATGCGACTACATTTTATGAATCTCTCTAGTTCTTCTTTATGATGCCCTAAATTGAGACTCTGCTTTTGAAAGAATCTGAATTATTGTTCATCTTTCAAGATTTTATAAATGATAAAACAACAAGATCAAACCAGTATCAGGATACACTAAGCTGTCAATTAAACCATAAAGTTTTGGGATAAACATTTCCATATGTGATTCAAAAATTGTTGAAATTAGTGCATTATTAGAAAAGACTTGTGAAATTTCTTTTTCTGTTGAGATGATTTGCCTTCCGGTATCAATTGACCCAGATTATCACCACATTTATATCAAAGATAACTTTATTTAATGGAGTATGGAAGATTTAAAGAAAAGAAAAGGAAGTAGAAGAAAGAAAGATTTTTATTTCCTCGAAAAATTAATTTTTTAATTTCCAAATTAAGCTCACGCGTCTATTTTAATATTATTTTGTAGATCAATTCTAAATAGACTATATGGATTCATCGGCTTTAAAAAAACCTAATACTTTAATTAACTCTCCATATGAAGTTTATTTTAATGTGCATCAATTTGGCTGAGAATAAAAAGGATTGATGCTAGGGGGTAGATTGGGGACCGAGTGAATTAAAGGAATTTAATAGTTTGAACTAAAAAAAGAAACAAATCCGAATATTTTTCAAATAATGGTCCAATATTTAAATATTGACATGAAATTGCATCAATTTTTTGCATTGAAGTATTATTTAATGATTGATTTGACATATAATAATTCATTTTTTGATTGAATCTAGCTATTTCGATGAGGTCAGTTTATCTTCTAGTCCACTTTATTGAGATATAAACATAAAAACATTTGGTGGAATCCAAAATATTTGTTGAATAAAATGAAGTTTTTTTTGGTTGGGTCCAAACTTAATAAATATTAGACCAAAACTTTTCTTAAAGAAAAATACGTTATTTAATGTAAGGAAAGAGTATTAAACTTTGATCTGGGGAAAACATTTATAACTTCTTAGTAAGTAATTCAAGGAGTTTTATCAAACTTTTATTATATGAAAAATTTGAAAAATCTTAATTTAATTGATCTGTATCTAAATTATGAAGTCTAATTGAATTTGAACTTACATTTAGTTTACAAATTTTTCGGAGTTTATTGTAATAATCTAACCGCGATCCCTCTTAGATCATACCACTAGTAATACTACTACCTCGTACTGTTACTAGATATAATTATCACATCTGCTACTACAACGCATTGTCACTATAATAGTCACTTAAGTTGAAATCATGAAAGTGTTATCAATATAAGTTAATGGTATAAGTAATCTTTTTTTTGTCCCCCCCCCCCCCCCCCTTTATATATTGTGTATTAGATTTTAGATTATAAATATTTTGTGTACGTTTGCTACTAACTAAAAATTTATTATACATTTCATACATAATTTTTTACAACCAACTATTCCGATAAAATTTTACTTTCTTATCTTTATCTTTCATATTCAGCAAATTTATATACCATTTGGAAAAGAACATTACTTGAGTGGATCAATAGGCATACCAATATATAAGACAAAAGAATAACTGTTGATCAATTTTTAAAAAAATCCACATTTGTAACCATATCAGTTAATTTCAAAAATAGCCGTAAAATTTATCACTATCTATCATAAAAACCAAATTTCATCAAAGATAAATAACAACACTACAAAACCTATCATTTAAAGAACATAGCATCTACATTAAACATCATCATTTCATATCATAGCATATTTTGAGAACTTTTTAAATATTTTTCAACCAATTTTTCATAATAAGATCCCCTTATCTTGATATCAAAAATCTAATTTTCAAATTTCAACATTTACAAACTTCAATATATCATTTCCCTTTTGACTACTTAGTCAAAATAAATCAATTTAACATAATATTCTTCATATATATCATGCATTTATTCAGTTTTTAATGACTTCAACTACTTCATCAGATTTTACTACAACATCTAAAAATTCATCATCTTCATCATCAACTGATAAAAGTTTTAATACCCTGTTAGCATCTGATATTCCAAGACAACATCAACATTTACAACATATAAGAAGACCTTCATTTACTTATGAATTAACTTTACCTACCTCATTTCAATCAGATACAAATTCAAATTCAAATACACAAATGACAAACAAATCCCTGAATAAACCACGTCGTTTATCAAATGAAGAAATTGAAAGTTTACCATTATCAATGAGATTTATGCATAAACCTTCAAGATCAAAAGATTATTTTGTACAATCGAGTGATCGTACAAGAGAAAATAGTTTATATAATAAATCTATAACGTTATCTGATACAAATTTGAATAATAATGAAAAAGATATTTCACCTGAAATTTCACCAACTTCAACACCTTCTTTATCACCAGATCAATCATTTGATAAAAAAGAAATTGATTATTTTAATCATAAAAATAAACAGGATACCGAAAATGAAATAAATCAAGCAAATAATGTTCAAAAAAATATAGATGATAACGCGTCTATTGAAATTCCAATTTCAACTTCATCATCTTCTCCTACATTTTCCCCAACAACAGATTTAAGTCCAAATTTAAATTCTTCTAAATTAGAACAATCAATAACATTAGAAGATAGTGAATTACATGGTTATAAATTAGTTCGTAAAAAATCAGGAGAATTAGTTAAATCATCATTAAAAAATCAAGATTCTTCTTATTTTGATAGAAAAAGACCAAAATCTTTACCAACTACTCCAACTTATAAACAAGTTCATTTTGGTGGATCAAATGATATTAAATATTTTAAAAAAAAAGATACTCCATCTGCTATATCAGCATCAAATTCACCTCATTTAAATCCCACAACTGATGAATATGAATATGATAATTCTTATGATGATGATGACGATGATGAAGATGAAGATGATAATGAATTTGATTCAGAATATTCAATGGATAAAGAATTTACAAAAACATTTGAAGATTTACATAATTTTTCATTAGCAAATACTCCATTCCCTAAACAAATTTCAGAATGGGAATTGAAATTATTAAATTTCCCACCATTATCATATTTAAAAAAAATTGAATCACTTCAACCAGTATTTTTAGAAAAATTATTTATATCATTAGATAAAAAATATGTTATTGGTCATATAGCAGTATTAAATTTAGCATTTGAAAAATATTTAACAGTTAGATATTCAGTTGATAATTGGATGACTATAATAGAAATTCCAACAAATTATTCAAAAGATACATTAGATATTTTAAAATTAAATAATTATGATAGATTTAATTTTAAAATTCCAATAAATAATTTATTTAATAGTTTTAAATTTTCAAAATTTAATTCAAGTAATTCTTCATTAGATGATGAATCTTTGAATTTTAATAATAATCAAGCTAATAACTCAAAGAGTGAAAGAATTTATCAATTATGTATAAAATATTATGTATCAGGTAAAGAATATTGGGATAATAATAATTATCAAAATTATCATATAAAATTAATAAAACATAATAATAAATTAAAATCAAAAAAATTAAATAATAATTTTAATGATATCACTAATGAATCTTCATCTTCATCATTTCATAATTATTTTAAAGATTCTAAAATTCAAGATCATTCAAAAAGACCAAAATATTCATCATCTTATTTAAAGAGGAATAATTCAGATTCAAATATTCATGAAACAAAACAACAACAACAACAGCACCAAATTCAAAATCAACCACAACAAGATGATGATAATCAAAATGACTTTGATTATATTAAAAATAATTTTTATATTTCTTCACCTTTATTATCTTCAATTAATAATAAATCAAGTTCAGAAAAATATAGAGATGAAATTGAAGATGCTCAAACTAATTTAAATAATAATAATTTAAAAAATTCATTAACGGCCCCAAATAAAAATCAATTAGATAATTCATTATCATCAAATTCAAAAAATATTTTAAATTTAAATTTAAATACATATCAAAATCAAAATTCAAATCAAAATTCAAATCAAAATCAAAGCAACAATAATAAATCAAAAATTTCAAATTCAAATGATTTAATTTATAAACAAAGTTATCAAGATATTTTAACTAAATATTGTTTTAATAATGGAAATTTTTTACCTGGTCAATTACATCAAAATCAAAATTTATCTTTACTGCAACAACCACTGCAACATCCACAACAACAATCACTGCAACAACAACAACAACAACAACAGAATTCAAAGTCATCTTCTCAAATTCAAAATGAAAATCAAACTAATATTATAACGTCCAAGACTACTAAAGAAAATCATTCTAAAGAAGATGAAAAAAAGATTAAATCAAATTCAGATAAACTTGATACAGAGAGTAATGAGAATAAGAGTAAAAAAACTTTCACAATTTCATCATTTTTAAAATAATTTAATGATAAGTTTCTAATTCATTTCATTTTACATCATTCATTTATTCATTTACTGAATAGTCCGAACTCATTCCAATCATTTCATAAAATTTAATTCTTCATTCATTTTCATTATACCTTCAATATTTTAATACTTTTCAGCTCAATTTTTAAAATATTTTTCAGATCAATTTGAAAAGTAATCAAAAGAATTTAAAAGTTTTACATAATTAGTATATAAGTAATAATAATAATAACAGATAAAACAAGTTAAAAACAACACTTCAATTTGTAAAAAAAATTAACATTTTTTTGTTATTCTTTGAATTCCTACTGAAATAAAATTTTCTTCTACTTCTTGAGTTTTTCCACTGCATCGAAATTTCTTCAAATCAATTTATCAAATTCAAAAAAAATAAGGGGTGAATATTTCGACACAACAAATTGTTTGGCCTATCAAAAATTTTTGATGTGAATAACAACAATATTCGATATCCCTATTGTAAACTACTTATTTTTGAGTTTTTCTGTGTTTGAAGACCGAAATGTGTCTAACTTTCTTATAGAAATGCAACGAATACAAAGTCTAACCAATTTACCTAAGGATATTCAATTAATTGACTTAATTTTGCAGCAATTAATTTTTGCTAACTACACTACTCCACATTTAAATTACTTTGAACAAATACTTAGTTCGACGATCCAAATTTTACAAATTTATTTATCCTTCAATTTCTCCTACTAATTGATAAAGCCCAATTCAATTTTCTCCTAACGAATAATTCACTGGAACGTTCAAAGTAAGTCAAATAAGGCATATAACGAGAGATTCTGTAATAGCAATATTTTGGAGAAATTAGGGGAAACCAGGTAGAAAACCATTATCGGAAATTTTAAGTTCCTCCAGATTCTTTTTAAAAGAGATAATGAAGATTCAATACAAAATTTGATAAATGCAATAATTCCAGATTCTACTCAAAATAGATAAGAATACTTTGTCTGTCTTAGAAAATGAGTCTAGCACTATTTCACCAATAGTATCAGAACAATTTAATGCTAATGAGGCAATAAACGGAAATTTAGTCACAATTCCAACAATTGAAGGCAGATTACCATTACTAGCTCCCACTATATGTGCAACAAACACAATAGAGGTCAAATTTTAGATGCAAAGGAAGTTGCGAAGGACTGCAATGAAGACTGCAAAGAAAGATGCAAAGAAAGCTGCAAAGAAAGCTGCAGAGGATGTTGCAGAGGCTTTGATGACTTTCAGTCGACATCAACAAAGTAACTCCTTCGGCGTTCTTGAAAGGTCAAAGACTCACAAAGTTAGGGGCATGATGCATGCTGTTCAGACATGATAAAAAATATATATAAGGATGCGGTCGTCGCCATGACAAACTTGCTTGGATTTTTCAAACAATTAATATTTCTTAATTTCAATTATGGACATCCATTCAAGCCAGAACGGTTTGTAAGCACTTTTGTAAATTATCTACAAGTAGATGGAATGTGAAAACTTTAAAAAAGTATATTCTTTTTCATGACGGACAAAATTAATTCCTTGAATCGGTGTGTTTGAGAAGAATCAATTGTTTTGATAAGTCTAATGCAAGTTAGTCATGGCCACGACTAGAGAAAACCTAACGGAGTATGAGCAACAACTTATCATGATTTGTTAAAGATAAAATTCAGCTTTCTGGAACATAAATCTCTTGAGTCCGTGAAGGTTACTGGAGTTAAATGATTGTTGCTTTTTTATTGGCAATTAGACCAGAGAAATGTTAATTTTGAAGCTGAACTCCAATTGATCAAGATTCACAAAACTTAGGGGAAGAATTTTAATATGAAATCTATAAAAATACAGAAACTGGTGATGATGCTGAGGAATATAATTCAGATTATACATCTGAAGTAGAAGGTGAAACTCCAAAACGTCAAGCACAAGATACAACAGTAGTTATAGACTAAGTTGATGAAGAAAATGAGCAAGATAGCAATTATGAAAAGGAAGAAAGTGACACTCACTTCGATTGAAGAAAGTAATTATTATAAAAATGAAGCAACTATTGAACAAAATTAGACTCAAAATTATAAAAATGAGGAAATTAGAGAAAGAGAACACACTGAAGATGAAACTTAAGAAGAACCTGAAGATGAAGAAAATGCCGAATATGTTAAACAAGAATCTGAAAATGAAGAAAATGTTGAAGACGTTGAAGAAAAAGCAGAAGGTGATTAAGAAAAAGGATCAGAAGTATTAGAAAATGAAATAGATCATGTTGATAAAGATGATAATGAAATTGAAGTTCTCAATTATTTACATGCAGACATATTTTTTATTAATAACAAAATTTTAATGAAAAATGTCTTTAATAAAAAATATGTCTGTATGTAAGTAATTGAGAACTTCATTGCAAATAACAAGTTTCATTAGTTTCGGGATTCGATTGGAATTTTTATTCATAATAACGGCTTATTAATTGTAGCTGCGTTTCCTTCATTTTGAAATAACAAAAAGCATATATTAGGATACCAAGTTAGAAAATTCAACAAAACTTAATTGAATATCAGCATATCAGAAACTCAATTTTGCATGCCAAATAGTAATTGTTATGTCAAAAATAAATGGAAAATATAAATGGAAAGTTAATCACAATTTTTATTTGATCCAAATAGCTCATCTAAGATTAATGAAGTCAATAATCATACAAAATCATGTCAACATCATACAAAATCATGTATGATTATTGACTTCATTAATCTTAATTTTCGTTGAGCTAATTGAATTATTGGTGTTGCTAGGAATTGTGATTGATTTAATTACAATTATAACTCAAGTGGTGTTCTCTCTCTTTTAAATCCGCCTCTCTTCGCCCTATTTGAAAGCAGATTCAAAGACAAGTTTTTGCTACATAGCATTTGTAGGCTGAATCAGGGGTTAAATCGAACTATTGGCAAAAAAAGGATTCTTGCAAAACAACAGATTTTAACCAATTTGGCAACACTCTCGATTTAACAAGAGATGCATTATTTTCTAAAAGCTGAAACAAGCACAAAGAGTAATGTTAACATTTCTTTTCCATTTACACAAAATTTGAGCTAATAATACATAATAATATTTATTAAAACATATAAACAATGATAATATAAAGAAGTGAAAAACCATATCACCAAAATAAAAAAAAAAGAATACATAAAAAAAAAGGGTATTACAATAAATAAATATGACCATCAGAAGAAATACCTCTCAAAGATTTATTCTAATCAAAACAAAACATTTTAACTTCTCCATTTTCTAAACCAGAAACAAATCTTGAATCACTTAAACCAACACAAGAAACACTTGAAGAATTACCAAAACTATGTAAACATTTACCATTTTGTAAATCCCAAACTTTAATTAATCTATCATGAGCACCACTTATTATTCTAAAAGTATCTGATGCAATTGACCAAACACCTTCAATATGACCAAATTGTGTACGAATACATTTTCCTGTTGATACATCCCATAATTTTATTGTATTATCTAATGATGATGTTAGGAGATGAGTTGGTAAAGAATTTGAAGTTGTTGCTGGTATTAAATTTGGTGTTAAATTGGAATTGTTTGCTGTTGTGGTTGAATTAGGATTTGAGTTTGTATTTATATTTGTATTTAATGAAGATTGTTGATTATTTTGTGAAGAAGTACTATGATCAGTTTCATTTTCATTTTCACTTAATTGATCTTCAATTAATTCTTCTTTATAAGTTAATGGTATAACACATTGAACTTGACCAATATGACCATTATTTTCTAAACCTCCAAATATTTTAAGACATTGATTTGTATTTAAATCCCACATTCTTATAGTTGTATCATCACTTGCACTAAATATAGTATTTGAACCAGGATGAATTTTAACACAATTTACCCAATCTGTATGACCTCTTAAAGTATAACAAGTTCTTGAATCAACATGCCATACTCTAACTGTATGATCAGCTGATCCACTTACAATTGATTTATTTGAAAAATCAACACTAACTACTGCATCATCATGACCTCTATAAGTAGCAATACATTGACCAGTATGATAATTCCAAACTTTTATAGTTGAATCTAATCCACCAGTAATTAATTTTTGATTATCAAATACTAAAGATCTTACTCCCTTTGTATGACCAGTTAAAGTTTTAACACATTCACCAGTTTCAATTTTCCAAATTTTTATAGTTGTATCATATGATCCAGTCATAAGATATTTTCTATTAAATTGTAAACATGTTATACCATCTGTATGTCCTATGAATGATTTTAATTTATATATACCTTTTCTCCAATTTTTTTCTAATTTATATCTTTCTGAATAAACTGATTTCCATGGTCTTTTTTTAAGAACTGGGGATGTTTTCTCGGTTTTTTGTTTTTTTCGACTAGGTTCGATATTTTCTGATTGTGTAGGCTGTGCTGGATGTTGTTGTTGCTGTTGAGATGATGAATCTTCAGTTTGTGGTTGTGATGATTGTTGTCTTTGCTCCTCCGCTGCTGCTTCTGCTTGAGCTTCTTCATTTCTTTTTATAGGTTTTATATCATCTTCAGTCATTTCTCTTGCTCTTTTCATATGCATTAAAGGTAAACCCCAACCACAATTTGGACATTTTCTATCAATATGTTGTTCACACATATGATGCCAAACTCTATCATCATCAGCTAAACTTTTCCATTTTCTTGAAACTTGTGCAGCATTACAAAGACTATTACAATCTAAATAACATAAAATTCTTAAAGAAATTTCTTGTGGTAAAATTGATATAAAATCAATTTTAATTAATGATGAAACTTCTTGTGATATAAATGATAATTGAGGAAAACAACATTGAGTTAATAAACCTTGTAAAATTAATTGTCTATGATGTACTGGAGCAGCACTAAAAATTGACCAAACATGACTTATAGCTTCTTGATCTCTATTTGGTAAATTTTCTAATTTATCTTGAATTTTTTTCATTTTAACTTCATCTGTTTGTTTATTACATGTTACATCTGGATTATGACGATAACAATATTTATGAAAATTATCTTTTGGTATTAGATTTTGATCACTTATATGTTTCACTAAAAATGGTGTAACTACAGAAACATCTTGAGTTGGTGTATTTTGTTGTTGTTGAGTTTGAGGAGTATTTAATGATGTATCTAGTTGTGGAGTTGATTCTCTTGAAATTATTGTATGATCATTTGTATATGATTTATCATTTATTAAATTTGATTTTGTAGTTGAAGAAGTTAAATTATGAGGTGGTAATAATATAGAAGGAGTAGTTGATCTTTGAGTAGGTTGCATCGGTACTTGTTGTTGTTGTGGTTTAATTATTGGTGAAGTGACTGTTGAACTTATTATATCATTAAAATTATTAGTTGTAGTAGAAGATGAGACCTGCTTATCTGGTGCACAATTCGTTTGTAAATTCATTTATTTGTGGTTTGATATGACTATTAAAATAAGTTTGGTTGTAAATGTAGTATATATATATATGAAATGTAGTATTTAGACGATACTATCCTTGTTATTTACACGAGACGGAGTTAGACTGAATGTAGTAGTAGTAGTAGTATCTGAATATATAGATGTTACACGAATTATTTATTTGTTGTATGAAAAATGTGTGGAATGTGGTGTCTTTTATTTGCCTAAAAAAAGAAGTTGGATTCTTTTTCTCAAAATTTCTTTTCTTTTTGAATATAGTCTAAAGGATTATAAAACAAATTTAAGAATGTTGATGGTTTTTTGCAATTAAGTAGTTGGATACTTATTGTTTTATGGTAAGCTGATAATTGTTTGGTTGTACTTGATCTAACTAATGAATGACTTTTATGGTTGTAAAAGAAGAAGAAAAAGAAAGCATTAAAAATTTAGTGTGAAGTATTTTTTTTTTTCTTCCTTCTCTCTTTATTTATTATGTGGCTCACCCGCTTTTTTGTCTTAGGCTAAATAATTTTGTGTTTTTGGTCTAATAAACTAAAATGGTTATTAGACTTACTTAATTAATACTACTATATTGATCTCATAAAGATTAGTATATAGATAGGTTATAGAGTTTTATGGGTAGAAGTAAACCCATAACTTTTGGATAGTCACATTGTAAAACCTTTTCATGAACTTTCAGATGAAATTTACTTCTGAAATTAACTTTGAATTTCGTAAATCAAAAAACAATAAGAAGAATGTGATATTTTTTTTTATTCGATACACCACAAAATGTATATATTGTTGTATGGATTTTGTTTCAAAACAATTAGCCACTTACTTGATAGGAATTAAAACTTATTATGATACTTTTAATTCTTTTAGACAGATTTGTAATATAAGAGTAGATTAGTGAAGTTGATCAAAAGCATTTTGGGTCGTCATTACCACCTGATGCCATGATTTCGTTATACATCCTTATTTAAAGCGGGATTGATGATGTCTCACTACCTTAACAAATATCGGTTCGGGATTTCGGTTTCAATACTGAATTTCGGTTCAGCTTAGTTATAGAGAAAAAAATATGAAATCTTCAAATTCAGTTTTTTTTTTTCTTTCAAAACTAGGTTAGTTGTTTATTAAAAGACTTTATGGAATTGGATTTCATCATGTATGCATCATAAATTCTTCGTACAATGTTAAAATTTATAAATACATTTTACGAAGAATTTATGATGTAGACTAAATGGAATCCAATTATATTTAGAGACGCCACTCCACTTTAGAGTTGTAAATGCATATGAATTTCCGTAGAATTTCATCAACAGTTAATGAAACTAGCAACATGTTTTGGAGTGAGTATAGAGCTTATCATTTGGTGTCGAAGAACAGGTGCTGGAGGATGAATGGCAACAAGAAAACGTAATGGTCCCAATTTATAATTTTATTTTGCTTCAAAAATTCAACTTATTCGATGAGATTGAATCATGAAAGACATTTCTATTTTCGTGATTGTAATAATAGTACACCTTTCTTTACATATGCATGAGATTTCTTCAAGTGACCTCGCAGTATAACGAGTTGGAGATTTCAGTGGATCAGCTCTCAAAGCTTTAGAGAGACTAGAAGCATCTAGGTCGAACACTCGCTACCAATGATTATTTGCTTCCAAGCCGAATAAAAAATCCATCGCATCAGGTCATCTCACAAAAACTGAAACTTCTACAATGAAAGACTTATCTATAAAACTTGAGGCATTTGATTGAATTTTATTTTCAATGGAAAATTCGAATCCTGACAATCATATCGATAAGAAGCCAAGATTAAGCATGTCAGAAGAAAAACAACAACAACAACAGCCAAAAGAAGTTTTTGCATCAGTTGGAGATCAAGCTCAATCAGTTGATAATAATAACAATAATACTAATAATGAAGTAAGACAAACAGGAGCTGAAGATGCAGAAGGTCATCCAGTTCAAGAAGTAGAATCATTATGTATGAATTGTCATAAAAATGGTATAACTAGAGTATTATTAACTAGAATTCCATATTTTAGAGAAATTATAATAATGTCATTTGAATGTCCTCATTGTGGATTTAAAAATAGTGAAATACAACCAGCTGCACAAATTGCAGAAAAGGGATCAAGATACGTTTTAAAAATTGAAGATAAAAAAGATTTTAATAGACAAGTTGTAAAATCAGAAACTGCAACTGTTAAATTTACAGAATTAGATATTGAAATACCACCTCAAAGAGGTCAATTAATTAATGTTGAAGGAATATTACAAGATATGATAACAGATTTAGAATCTGATCAAGAAGAAAGAAAAAAAATTCAACCTGAATTATATGAAAAAATTCAAGAAGTTATAAATAAAATTAAACTGTATATAAATGCTGATGAAGGAACATTACCTTTAACTGTAAGTATAGATGATCCAGCTGGAAATTCATGGATTGAATATGTTCCAGGAGAACCATCTCATAAATGGGCAATGTATGAATATAATAGAACTGCTGAACAAAATGTATATTTAGGATTAATATCAGCTGATGAAGTAGCACAACAAAAACAAGAAAAAGAAAATAAAAATAAAAATCAAGATTTAACAAATTCAAATAAACCACAAGAATCCATCGAACAAGATACAGTAATTGGATTATCTGATAAATCAGAAATTGAAAATTTATCAAATGAAGTACAAACTTTTGATGCTACATGTGGTTCATGTTATAAACCATGTTCAACTCATATGAAATCAGTTGATATTCCACATTTTAAAGAAGTTATAATAATGTCAACAGTATGTGATCATTGTGGATATAAATCAAATGAAGTTAAAACAGGAGGTGAAATACCACAAAAGGGGAAAAAAATAATATTAAAAGTTACTGATCCAGAAGATTTAGCAAGAGATATATTAAAATCTGAAACTTGTGGGTTAAATATTCCAGAATTAAATTTAGATTTAACTCCAGGAACATTAGGTGGTAGATTTACAACAATTGAAGGATTATTACAACAAGTTTCAAATGAATTACATAGTAGAGTTTTCACACAAACTTCAGATTCAATGGATGAAACAACAAAATTAAATTGGATAAATTTTTTTGCAAAATTAAAAGATGCATTAGATGGAAAAATTGGTTTTACAATTGAAATGATTGACCCGTTGGCTGCTTCTTATATTCAAAATATTTATGCACCTGATCCTGATCCAAATATGAAAATTGAAGAATTTGATAGAAGTTTTGAACAAAATGAAAATTTAGGTTTAAATGATATGAAAACTGATTAACAAGAAATAAATAATAAATATAAATTACGTGTATTATAATATTGTAATTAAATAAATTCTATAAATTAAACCTTTTGTATTATATTAAATTATTTATCTTTTTTATATTTATTTGATCTAACTTCACTTAATGCATCTCTCCAAGAAGAAGTTTCTAAAATTTCTTCAATATTATTATCATCTTTGAAAGGATCTTCTTCAAATGGTGATCTTGTAATATCATCATCTAATACTTCACCTAATCCTGGAATATTAATTGTTAAACTTGGTCTTTTATTTCTTGTTGGTGATTGTAATCTATTATGATTTAAATTTGATGTATGAATAATTGGTGAATTTGGATAATATATACTACTTGACATACTATGATCTCCATATATAACAGAATTTCTATTAATTGGTTCTTGCTTTTTATAAAATTCATTTTCATCATAATTTTCATTTTCATTTTCATCATTAATGAAAATTGTAGGTGGTAAATCAGTATTAATTAATAAATCTTTATTTGATAGATAACTATTTCTTTTCAATTCTTTATCAAATGCTATATTATCATCTCTTAATCCTAATTTTCTATTTTTTTGATATTTCCATCTACATGCATATGAAGCAATTGTTTCATAAACTCTTTTTGTATGAATTTTTTTCATAACTTTACTAATTAATAATCTTCTTTCTAAATAATCAATTAAATTAAAACATTTTCCTGTATCAAATGTTGTATATAATGGTAATTGTAATATAATTCTTGTAAATGATATACCTGGATCTTCATTAATTTCCATTGTTAATAAAGCTTCTTCAATAAACATTTCATAAGATTTTCTACGAGCTCTAATTTTTGGAATATCCATTTGATTCATTGTTTCTTCTATTGCATCATAATTGACAGTTACATCATATGGATCATCTGAATTTTGTTTAACCCATCTTCTACACAATTCTTTAATTTCTAATTGTCCAGTATAAAAATGAAATGATAAAGCACCTTCTAATGAATGTAATAATTTAGGTAAATCAATTGGTTTAATATATCCAGTACCTTGAGGATCAAATTTTTGCCAATTTCTTTTAAATTTTCTAATTTCTTCTCTTTGAATTAACAGATTATAACCAGATCTATGATTTATATAATCAAAACTATCCAATATTAATGAAACGAACATATTAAGGAAAATATACATTGATATAATATTCCAAGCAATAAATAAAATATAAGCATATTGTTTACTACCACAATCATTATGATCTAAATTTTCTTCTGCTGTACAAAATGGTGATGATAATGTATAATCTTCCATTATATAGTTCCAACCTTCTCCAAAACTACATCTAAATAAAACAATTAATGTTTTAGGAACTGATCTTAAGTTTAAATTACCTGTTCCATTTGGTCCAATTTTAGTTAATCCAAAAATTTGATTCATAGCAATAGCAAATACTAAAAATACAATAATCCATGTATATGATAATGATAATATCGAAGGTAATGAAGCAGAAGCAAATCGTAATAATTGACTTAATCTATTACTTCTTGGAATAACAAATAATAACATAGTTACCAAAAATAATTTATTCAAATTAATGAAAGGGGAATCAGGATCTGTTTTAAATGCAATTAATGTTGTAAGGAAAGCACTAAAAGAAACTGCTAAATTAAAAATATTCCATTTATAATGCCAAAACGTAAAACCTTGACCAGTTAATAACATTAAAGCATTCATTAAAAAAATTGTAGATGCAATCATATAAATAGCAGTTCTAAATTCATTTAATCCATCATATGAAGGAAAACATTCCATTAATAATGCAACTGTATGTAAAAATAATGTTACATTTAAAATTCTAACCCAAACTAAACTTTTCTCTACTGTCATTTTATAACAAAATTTTCTAAATTTTGATAATGATTTATAATCTTTTCTTTTTGATGGTCTAACTTGAATTAGTATTTTTTTAACTTGATACCATGAAATTTGATCTGTTGTCATATAAGCTCTTCCTGTTGTTCTTGAATAATTACTTATAATAACTGATACAAATAATGTTAAAATAAAAACAATACTTATAAAATTAAATAAAACAACAAAAAATCCATTTATTGGAGTAGCATTACTATCAGGTACTGTCCCAATTCCTGTACTTGCCATTGAATTTTTTAATAAATCTGTCCAACCTTCTAATGAAACAATTTCAAATAATGTTGCAAATGCAGATGCAAATCTATTAAATTCTAATTGAGGATTTGTATAAACATTTGGACTTACTATTTCCCAATTAAAAACTTCTGCATTAAATTCATTATAACATTCATCAACTGTTGATTCACCATCAATACAATATCCTAAACGACCATTAAAAATATTTAAACCCCATATAGAAAATGGAAACAATAAACACAATGATATAATTGCAGCATTAATAATTTTACCAAATCCCGCAATCATTGTATTATGAAAATTAGATTTTGCAGTTTCACTAATTGTTAATAATCTTAAAGCTCTTAAAGCTTTTAAACCTCTAACAATTCTTGATAAATCACCGTCATTTTTTATATATGCAAGTGCTTCAATCCATAATGATATTAAAACAACTAAATCAATTAAATTCCAAGATGATCGACAATAGGCATTAGGTGTGAAAATAAATCCATCTGCTAAAACTTTTATAACAAATTCAATAGTGAAAAATACTGCAAATGTATATTCTGACCAAAAAATCCAATTCAGATGAGCATATTGCATTCTAAAAATTGGAGTCATATAACAAGCAAGTACAACTAATCCAACAGTAGCAATGAAAGTTAATACAACAAATGATTCAGAAATTGGTTTATATGGTGGTACACCATCAATTCTTTCTCCAAAACTAGGTTTTACTATTCTTTGACATAATCTTCTAATTTTATGTCTTGGTCCCATCACATAAAATACATAATTATATCTTGGATTTTTTTCTAAAAATTCATTTTGTTTTTTAAGTAAATTATTTCTTTCTTTTATAATAGTTTTTGCAAATGATGAAGGTTCAAAATTTTCTAATTTAAATTTTGTATGATTTTTAAAACTTGAATCAAATGGATTTTTTAAAAAATTAGATATCATATTTTTATTTAGAATAAACCATCTCTTTAACTTATTAGTTGGTGCTTCATTTATATCACTTTGTACTTCATCATCTTCATTAATTTGTTCTTGTAAATCTTTATCTAAAAATTCTTGAACTGCTGTACCACTTAATAATAAATTTACAACTGCTTTTTCTAATTCTTCTTTTCTTTCTCTTCTTCTAAAAAGTTTTGATTTAATTTTTCGAAGTAATCCTGTATCTTCATTAATACTTTGAAGTCTATTAGTCATTATTTCAATGAATTGAAATAATTGTTGTTTTCTTTTGGCTTCTTCTGATACTTCTAATGTTTTAGCTATAACTGCAATGAAAATGTTTAATATAATCATATTTGATAAAATAAACCATGTGATTAAAAATATTGATCCAAATGAACGATAAGAAGTAGTACCTGCATATTGCTGTAGTGAATATAAGATATCTGTCCAATTCTCAGTTGATGTTATTATATACAAGGCAATGAAAGATGATGGTAAGTTATTCATTGGAAAATCAACATCATCTAAATCTTCAACTGGAATAGCACCTTCAAAATAACGTGATAAAATGATACTCATTAAATATAATAAAATGAAGTAAAGGAATGCTAAGTCAAATATAGCTTTAAAGTTACTCATTATTTTTAACCATAGGTTTCGAGTGATTGATGTTGCTAAAACCACTCTATAAAATCTCATTAATTGAAATACTGTCAACCAATAATATGCATGACCTAATTTATTTTTTATTGGATCTATCACAATTATGGTACATATTATAGCTAAAAATAAATCAAAACAATTTCTTTTCAATTGGAAAAATAACCTCCATTTGGGGTAATAAAATAAAAATCTTAAAATTATTTCCACCAAAAACACTATTGTAAAGCTTACTTCGAATCTAAATAATAAATGACGTCTATGATCCGACATATAAAAGCTTCTGAAACATTGAACAAAAAGACTCACAGCTATAACAATAATAAAAACAAATTCAAAATTGTAATAATATTTTAAAAAAATATTTTGCTTTTTCAACAGTTTGATTCTTTCTTCATGCAGTAAAGGATCTTGATCAAATCCAAAAAATTTTAAAAATTTTCGATTCTGAAGGTTTTGTTTTTCTTCACTTGCTTTTAATCTAGTCATATTGAAAGATGCAACGATAACAGCAATGAAAACATTAAGTAACCAAACAGTCATAACAAATATACAACCAATGAAAAATAAACATGCAGCCATATTATCTGTATCCATAGTTTTATACATAATATCAGTGAAAGTATTTGCACTCATAACAACAAATACCATCTCTAACGATTGTAATATATTATCAAAATTAACTGTACCACCATAGGGATTTTCTCCTGATATACATTGTGAATACATTGGACATCTGAACCCCTTCACTGCACCTGACGGTACGCCTTCTCTAGTTAAATAAGATCGTTTCAGTCCATCTAAACCTATAAATGAACCACAATACAGATCTTCATTTATGTATGTATCAGTTGAATTATTTGGATTAGTCCAAACACAATGACGAGTTAATGATGATTTAAATGATTGAACCCCAATTATACCAAAAAATAACCAAAAACAAGAAATGAAAATTGAAACATCAATAAGTTGAGGTATAGCACTTTTACAAGCTGTTAAAATTGTAGTTGTACCAGCAGTTAAATTACATAATCTCAAAATTCTAATACAACTTAATGATCTAAATAACATGATATGATGTTTTGCATCATATTGATTTATTGATAATAATAATGAAATCCAAAAACAAAATGTAGAAACAAAATCTATTCTATGCCAACTACTTCTCAAGAAAGCTCTTTTTAAATGAGAAGGATTGATTTGGTCATGTTCCGGTTTGAAAAAAGTATTAGTTGATCTTAATTTGAAAGGTGGTTCATATTTATGATTTGAAATTTTGGGTGATGAATTATCATGATACAGATCAAATTCATATTTTTTTGATAAATCATAATTTAATGAAGAATTTCTCTCTAATAATTCATGGAAACTTTCATTTGCATCAACTTCATCAATAACATCATCTAAATCATCACTATTTGAACTTGAGAACTCATCATGTTGTGCTTGCTTCAAATCTTCGGACTTAAAATCACTTTTTTTCTTTTTACCAAGTGATATATTTGTTATGTAATTGTAAATAGTTTTTAATATTTGCCAAGATTGATCAAAATGTCCTTTTGGAAACGGTATATTTAATTCTCTATACATTACAGAATCATTAATTAGTCCATATGTTATGATTTGAAATGCTATTTCTATTGTGTATATAACATTTATGATGATTAAAAGAAAATCCGCCCAATTATACCCAGAATAATAGTACCCTTTCTTATTTAATGGATCCCATTGTCTATAACTTAACAATATTACTTGAAAAATCAAAACAAGTAAAATGAACAGATTTGTGAATTGATTCTCAATAATCATATGACAAAGCCTTCTAATTTTTGATTTTGGCGAGAAAATACCTAAACTATTACCAAATAATTTCAGACGTAGTGTAGATTTTGAATGTATTGATTTTTTTTCACTTTCAACATCATGTATTAAAGAAAACTGACTAGTTGCATCTTGATCTTCATTAAATTCAACCCGACTAGATTGATTTGAATTCTTTAAATAAACACCTAATCCTTGAGTTATCGTAGTTTCATTATATATCGACTCTCCCTTATCTGTAGTTACCGTTAAATTGGGTATATCACGCTTGAGACTTTTGGAAGGGGAAGTTTTGTTTTCGTCGTCAACAAATGAAAAATGCTCCCTCATAGGTGTCTTTAACAGCACATTATCTTTCGATTGAATACTTTTCAAGTTAGACGAATCTTTTTGGTTTTCATTCATTGTATCAACATCATCATCATCATCTCCGGCACCAGCTATACGATTTGATATTCTAGCAATAGCATCCGCAAATCGAGATGTACCAGGTGAGGTTGGATCTTTAATCTTGTCCGGACTTAGAAGACCTGCTTCAAGACGCATAGGACTTAATTGATTATGACTGTCGGGATTATTTATATTAATACTATTGTTTGACGTAGTTTGATTTAATGACTTAATGTTTTCCTCTTCGAAAAATGGTTGTGATATAGCTGTACTTTGACTTTTACTTCGCGAATAGCCAGGTCGAGAAAAGTCTAGATCATCAAGTGGTATATTAGTTGTATGATTTTGTACAAGAATGTCGTCTTTCGTAGTTGTTATTGACTCAAGATTCTCTTTTGATCTATTTAGTGTGGGACTTTTCGAGCGTTGGGAAACTGGGAACCAATTAGGTTCTTCATTTTTTGTCCCTAATGCAAATTTTAAACCTTCTTTTAAATCCTCAAAATCGTTATCACTTAGACTTTCTTGTAGAATTGGTGATGATTGTATGGATCGATCAAAAAATGATGACGCGTGATTTGATGAAGGATTCACTTTTAAGAAATTATTTTCACTTAAAATTGAGGTTCTATTTTCATTAAATGGATTATATGTCTTATCAGGATCATATTCTTCATCAATTACAATATTCTGTGTGTCGTAATTTTCAGTATTTCGAAGTGAGGACGAGGTTGATTCATAATTTTCTGATGTTTCCGTGGAATCTGAAAACTTTGCATGTTTATTATGATGTTCCATTTGCGATAGAATATGAAAGTTGTTTTGCCGTGTGTGACTATGAATTTGATAATATAACTATATTTGTATCATGAAGGACGTGGATTAATTTACTGGTGCAAAAGAAATAAAGGTGGGATATTAAATGCAAAAAAAATATTGAAAGCAGAAAGCTAAAGTTGAATATCTCTGCTAGTTATGTTGATAATGAGTGATGTTAGATGATAGTTGTTAATAATAGAATATTTGTGATATAAATAATAACCGAAAGATTAGAGTAAATCGAAAATTTGAGGTTATTGTTTTTGTGCCTCGAAATTAATTGATGTGCATTCTATAATGTAGTGAGCACCTGTTGTCTCTTCAGTTGACTCAGCTATCTGACTTATTGTCAGTTTATTACTAATAGCTACCGTACAGGATTTAAATAAAACAATGTCCATAAGTAACTACAAACTTTCCCGGTCAATTCGTTGATCAATCAAACCTTCATTTGATGTGTTTCACAAGTATTAAATGGAACAAAATCAAAAATCTCTCGCTTTTCATGCAAGTGATTTAATACGAAGGAAGCAGGCTGAGCTAGGCATTGAAATTAATGAAATGTCAACGCCACATAGTCATAACTCTTGAGTTCAGTCTAAACTATTTCATGATAAAATTGGGTAAGAAACTTTGTAGACCAATGTATTGTTAAATTGTTTGGCAAAATTTTATATTTACTCTGTAGAATCGTTGGTGGCTACCACTTTTCAAGTAACATTTGTAAAACTTTATTCTTTTGGAAAAAATAGTGGTAAAATAGATATAAACTTATACATCACATAAAGCACCTTAACAAAATACACATTAATGTCATCGGTGCTAAAAAGTCTACCATCGAAAGGTAGATTAGCACAAGCAAGGAAGCTTACTTCAGAAATATTTGAAGAGTATTGGAATCCAACCGCAAAAAGAAATCCTGCAAAAATTTTAAAGGCTCCATTGAAAGGACCAGAAGTTATAAAATATTATGGTGATAATAATGCAGTCCCAACATTCAAAGATTTCAAAAAGTGGTTTCCAGAATTAAAATTAGTTGATCCAAGAGAGGCTCATAGAACATTTATGGTTGAAGATAGGAAAAGAAGAAATAAAGGTGCTCCAAAGAAAAAGAAAGCATAAATCGTTGATGTAATAGCCACTCATTCTTCAGTTCATATCATGTAAATAAATTGTTCAATATACATCATTTTCGCTCAAATTGGAGTATGTTTTTCAAGTGTAACTAAAATTTACATTCACAATGAATTATGAGTAGTTGGACATTTTTACCGCTTGTCAAATCACTTCCACAACCTAGGAATTTCTTAATTTGAGGCTCATACCAATACAGGGGCATCTTAGTTCTTTCAAGATTTTTTAAAAGATCAAGGCTGAGAGCCCCCAGTTGCTGTTAAGCAACATTCATCTCATTTTTCGGGGTTGCTCTGATCGCTCACGAGCAATTGGATCAACTTTAAAGTACCCTCCAACTTAAGAGATTGAGCCAAAACATCTTGAAATGTTAAGTTTCACTATTCTGTAGACTACCACTGGTGTCAGCAATGGTATTAATTTTTGAACATAAATCGATGCATTCTTCTACATATAACCCAAATCATCAGTTTGAAGGTCAAAACATTACCAAAACGGTTACTGAATTTGCATTGTGTGATTTAAAAAAACCATCACTGCCTCAAAATGAAAACCTCAACTATGAATTAATGTCTTGGAAAAACCATCTGAGTATTTTGACACTCTCAACATAATTTTTACGAAGTCGTACTAAGACTTACAATTGGTTGCTATTAGTACCTCTGAATTTAGACTTTATATGGGAATCTCGCTGTCAAAATTTGACTTGATTGATATTTGCAGCAGGTTTATATATCTTAATGCAGGTGCTTTCAGGATTTACGATGTTCGTTTTAATCTTCGTACATACAAAGAATATAATTATCGACGCATTTTTGTGCAACTAAAATTCAAGAAATCAAAACATGGATAAGTTAAAACATTTACTTCAACCAAAAATACAACGCCCAGGCATACAAGTTTGAATAAATGGCTAAAAGAATCACAGGAGGTTTAAAAAACCCTCAAAAACAAGCACAGCCGAAAAAGTCGAAATCAAAACCAAATACTACAGAGAAAGATAGTGTGAAGGAGAAACAAACTAAAAAACAACCATCAAAAAGTATCTTTAATAGAGACAATAGATTATCTTCATTATTTTCTTCGCAAACGGAATCTCAAAGTCCAAGACAAACAACATTCTCATCTGACGATACTGATGATGATGATTTATTCAATCCAAAAGAGACCTCATCAAAATCAAAAAGAAGGAAATTAAGTACGCCTATAACCCAATTTAACCATATTGATTCCGATTTAGATAATGAACTCGATAATTCATCTGATGATATTTTCGCAGCACAAGCTCCAAAAAAGAAATCAAAACTTAACAGAAAGAAAGCCTCGAAACCACAAAATCATGAAACGAATCAACTAAGATCTCCCTTGCAAGATAATAATGAACAAGAATTAGAACCATTTAGAAAATTAAATCATGAAAACAATCATAGTCAATCGCTTAGTCAAAGTCGAAGCCAAAGTAGGCGACTGTCTTATTATAATCGTGGAAGACGTGTCAGCTCTATTGGTGGATTTGATGGAGAACCTCATCAAGAAGTTCCCTCCACATCATATCATAAATACATAGACAATTCAGTCCCAGAATCTGATAGAATGAGACAATTACTAATTTGGAACTTAAAAGCTGACCTAGATATTTATGAAAAGGAAATGAAAAGTAAACAAGCTGAATTTCAAATGGAGGATCATACGGTATTCAACATATCAAGAACAATCAAGGAAGAATTAATACTGCTGTTGAAAGATTATTCAATATCTATTGATTGGAAAGATGGGGATGTTAACAATTCAGATATCCTTCTACCAAATCCTCAAAATCAAACTAATTTGGAAAACATACGTATTTATTCAGACAAGATAGAAAAACTTAAAAGAGAAAAAATAGAATGGGAAGAAGCTTATAAAAAACAAGGTCTACCGATAAATGATTTGAATCACCACGCAAAAATCGACGATGTCAAAGTTGAACAATTCTCAGCCAATTTAGAGAATCAATATTATGTTTTACATGAAAGCTTAAAAAAAACGGTGCCTTGTGTTGATAAATTATATTTTTCAAGTTATCAAATGGAGAGCGCCACAAAATTAATTGAATTGGAAAAGGATCAAATTAGCAAGAAAGTATCTAATCATATCAACAAATTTCCTATTACCAAACAAGAACCATCTACGACCAAAAACCTACTAAAAGCCATTTGTAAATTGAAAGCACAATGATTGAATAGAAAAAAAATGCTCATTTATTCATTATATAAAATTTCCAATCTATTTACGACTATGACTTTTTTGCAAATAACGGTTCACCAATATTTTTTCCCCTTAATTTCACTCCTAAGGCTCTTTCTAGTTTACCTAAAACTTGTTGGTTTGGAATAGCTCTACCAGCTTCATAATCATTGATAACATTTGGTTTTTCATTAACTTTAGTAGCTAAATCCTTTTGAGTGAATTTCTTTTCTTGCCTTGCCTTTTGAATAGCTTTTCCAACACTTGCGTCAACTTTTTTAACAGCTACAACATCATCAGTAGCATCTAATTTTGTTAATTTTTGACCTTCCGGATTAGATTTGGTGTTTGATGAACCATATTTTTTCTCCGTTCCAACAACAAGTCCTTGTCTTCTTGCTGCATTTAATTGTGATTGTGTCTTTGCAACATGCTCTCTTGGACCACCTCCGCCAACTCTAGCTTTTTGTCCAATTATAGTTACTGAATCCCAGTCTGACATTATTGTTGATAGTGTGTTGATTAAGTTGTTTTATGATACATATAATTGTTTCATTTTTTTTAACAGAGAATTGCAATCACACATTTTTTTACGGCAATTTTACTTCACTCACACGACTATTTAGTAAAACCGAAAATACAAAGCTTGAGTAAATGTTTTAGTAAGCGTATTTCTACCAGTTCAACTGAATACTATAGCTCTTAGAGCGCTATATATGACCCAAATTTTTGAGTTACTTGACAATTAGGTTTAAAGATTCAAAATACTCTAAAATTTGGTAGCGAGGTCAATTGCTTTTGCTCGAAATAATTATCTTATCCTTTTTCCTATATCTTCTACGGAGTACAAAGAATAGTGAAACTACAACTACTAATTCAAAAAATGGCATCAATTGAGGTCAAATCACGTTCCAAGACGATCAAACCTTATTCAAGTAATGAATTGTCTACTGATTCATTAGTCCAGGAGTTAATCGATGAGCTTAGTATCGATAATCACATTTCAAAGCATAGATTAAGAATTACTAGATTGGTGAATGGTAAGCAAATTCCTTTAATTCCTCATGAAACTTTCACAAAGAATGGTATTGAGGAAAGTGCTGAGAGCATTAAATTGTATGCTAAAGATTTGGGTCCTCAAATTTCATGGAGAACTGTATTTTTGGTTGAATATTTTGGTCCATTCATCTTTCATCCTTTGTTTTACTTTTTCAGTGTCTTTTATGGAGTCAAGCCATTTTTTCATACTTTGACTCAAATAATTGCATTCAATTTAGTGCTATTACATTTTTTGAAACGTGAATATGAAACTGTATTTGTTCATAAATTTTCAAACGCAACTATGCCAATTTTTAACATTTTCAAAAATTCAACTCATTATTGGATTTTATCCGGATTTAACTTGGCTTATTTTGTTTATGCTCCCACTAATGATTATACTGGCATTTGGAAAAATTATGTATTTCATGTGAATGAACTTCCAACTTGGGCAATTGGATCATTGGTCTTAACTTGGATTTTTGCTGAATTTTCAAATTTCAAAACTCATTCAATCTTGAGTGAATTGAGAGACAAAGATCCAAAAAAGTATGTTATTCCATATGGTTATGGATTTGATTTAGTTTCTTGCCCTAATTATTTTTTCGAATCATTATCTTGGTTTGCTTACGCTTTGTTAGTTGGAAATTGGTCAGCTTGGTTATTTTTTGCTGTTAGCACTGGTCAAATGTGGCTTTGGGCAGTTAAGAAACATAAAAGATATTTAAAAACTTTTGGTGACGATTATAAGAAATTAAAGAGAAAGATATTTGTTCCATATGTCATTTAGGTAGAGTTCTGAATACGAAAACTAATGGAAAAATTGATCTGTCCAGTGATGTTAAAAGGAACAGATACATGTCTTGATGAAACAGGATCTGGGTTTGCTTTTTACATCTTAGATTCCGATAGCAAGGAATTTTAAGTACCAAGTTGCTTCCAGTTTGCTACTCTTGAATGTTTAATCTAAAAAACGCTTGAAACCTCAAAATCACCATGTATATGTTAGTATTATTGAACTAATTATTTGGCTTATTGAACACCTCCATCATACTAGTTATTCTGATATCACTTCCCGAATTTCTCAATTAAAAGAGCTAATGAATCACGTCGACTTGCGTTTCTGAATCGGAATACGGATGTATTTGTTCAACATCTATCTAAAACTACCTCGATTATTATTCCACTGTATATGGTCAATGTGAGACGGAAGAGTCTTATGCATGAGAGCCAACGGCCGTTCAATTTTAAAACGAATCTACAGAGTTTCAAAGGTATAACAATACAGTATTTATTTACAACTATAAACAACTTCTAATAATTCAAACTTGGTTGACATGTGCAACGCAGTATATCAGTCCTATTTATCATGTGCATTGGGTGCTTGAAACCACACCAATCAAGCTTCCTTTTTTGGTTTAAAATCCAAGGCAATTGAATTTATACAGTGTCTGACACCTGTAGGACTTCCAGAATTAACTTCTCCCTCAAAAATATGACCAAGATGAGAACCGCATTTGGCACATGTAGCCTCAGTTCTAACCATCCCATGAGAATAATCTTTATTTGTTTTAATTGCCCCTGGTATTGAATCTGCGTAACTTGGCCAACCACATGATTGAAACTTAGTTGAACTAGGGTAAAGCGGGTTCCCACAACCACGACATTCGTAAATTCCATGATCAGTATTACTCAAATATTTCCCACTGTATGGTCTTTCTGTACCTTTGTTCCTTAAGACATCGTACTCTTCAGGGGATAGGGTGGCCCTCCATTCTGCATCAGTTTTATTTGACATTAGACGTATAACTTTGAGGTTGTTTGTGAATCTGTATGGTTTTTTAATAATCAGTCCCAATCTCAACATAAATTAGGACAGTTAAATAGAACTAGTAAGATCTGTTGAAATTGAAGAATAAGTTGAGTGAACACTTAGGAATGGCAAATGAAATGATGATTTATAGCAAACATTTAGTGATTCCAGACTGCTTTTTTGTGTAATAATCCGGAGAAAAGTACAAATCTGTCGTATAAACTTTTAAGGGGTAGTAGATTTTAAGGGGTATTAGGACAAATCAAATTCCGTTTACTTATAAGCTAATAGATACCATTTACTTCTCAAAATTGCATCTACACAACTTTTAGTCTAATCATTCTACATACAAATCTGGTACTTTGCATTGTCATCCACCTATCGAAGAAAATATTTATAAGAACCTTTTTGATTTCTTGATTCATCTTTAGCTTCGATATTCAAATCCCACTTAAGTTCAATGTCATACTCTCTTGGATTAATGGTACTGGGTCTAGCATCAATTTCTCCAAAAATTTTATCACCTTTTTTCAATTCCAATACTTGATCCATATAAAATACAGTTTGTTTCCAATGAGTGTAATGATTCATTGGACCAGTTGGTAACACGATTTTTTCTTTACCTGGAAAGATTGCATCCCAATATACTATGTACGCATGACATTGATCATCTCCAATACTTGTTAATTCAAACGGCCTTTTGAATGCTAAATCTTCTTTCTTCACGGTATTTATATCAAATTCAAAAAATTTATAACTATCAGTTATTAATGCTTGCTTATTTACAGTATCAACCAATGGTTCTTCCATTGCTGTTTTTATAAATGGTGAATAATCAAATCCATAAACATCTTCCCAATAATGAATTTTCTCTTCTTTATATTGACCATCTTCAATTCCTGCAATAAACATTTGACATTTATCCGGTAAAATTAATCCTCCTTTGACTAAATATTTATCTCTTGCATACAAAACAGTATCAAGCATTGATTCGTATAATAAAAAATATCCCATCCATTCAGATATTATTATATCTACTGAATCCACAGGTAACTGTATATCTTCTAATTTACCTTGTAATAAAGTTATTTTATCACTAAACCCATTTAATTCTACTATTTCCCTAGCTTTCCCTATTATTGATGACATATCAACTGAATAAACATGTTTTGCTCCAGCCTTTACAGCAAACATTGAAAGTATACCAGTACCGCATCCAACATCGAGTACAATTTTATTTTTAAATAAATCTTTATTTCTATACATAGCATTTCTGTAACTCAATGTACGTGAAGTATCTTTTAACATTTCTTCATGAATTCCAAAATGATCATATGATGAAAAATAATGCTGCTCATATTTATCGAGCTGGGACTTGTCTGTTGCTGATTCAGACATTTTATCACGTAATAGTTGATAAGTTTGTCTTGAATGAATACGTTAGCATTTTGGAAAAAAAAAAAAAATAATAAACAGATTGATATACGCGATGATTCGTATGAAAATTGAAAAAAGGGACAAAAGATCGCTTTCAAAGTAAAAAACAAAAGTATGTGGGCTATTATAATGGACGAGATAAGAATCGAACTCATGACCTTTCCCATGCTAAGGGAACGCGCTACCAACTACGCCACACGCCCAATTATTGAAAAATTTTGCTCATAAATCTATCAATCTCAATTTTGTTGGACCCAATTTCTTCGCTAATTTTGAACTTTCTCTGCCTGGAATTAATAATTTAAGCGAAAGGCTGGAAAGTCATAACCAAAAGCTGAGTATTCAAAGAATTTGCTTCAAAAATAGTATCGATAGCAGCTGGCTAAAACTAAAAGGTCAAATTTATCGCCCCATAACTCAACTGAAACTCAACACAGCCACATACTGAATTAGATATAGTCATATTTTTGATACCTCACCAGGATATTATAGTTCATTAAAGTATATCTACATTCAAGGTCACTGTTTGCCGTCGTTGGCTTTATTTGGTGCATCTTCAAGGTATGAATTGATTTTGATTATTGCTGTTTATTTAGTCTGGTAATTCCTATAACAAACATTATAGACCTGTTCACTCTGAGCTGATGATCTAGCCATAATTGCTGTGTTTCTCTACACTCGGATGAATGATGCCACAATTTGTAACTTGGTGATTCACAAAACCTGTAGGGACTATTTCTTGATTTTGAATATAAGATAAAATCAACAACAAACACTCAAAATAAATTCATACCTCGAAGACATGAGTAAAACACATCAGAGACAACATTCCCCCGACCACTTAAAATCACGGCAATTCGAAATTTATGGGTGATGGTTGAACCTAATGTAAGGTAAGCTATGGTTACCCCGATATTCAAAAGACTTCCAAATAATTTCAAAATGCAAATGCAAATAATCATCCCCATGAGGTTTTTGATTACAACTTGAATTGTAATTTTTTTTAAATCAGCCATAGCGTAAGGCACTTTGTGCAGTAGATACCCTTTATGTAAATTAGATTTGAACATGTATAGATTACAAGAAGAAAAAGTTTATAGATCTTATAATTATTGATTTTGCACTCTTTTTATATTAAATTTTCCGGTTAAGTTTATAATTGTAATATTATTGAATTTTATGTACAGTACTTACTTACATTTTTAATTTAGCCTAAATTATAATATAAATAAACTATAAATATAATATATCAACCTTTTATAACATCGCATCTGACAAATCTTAACTTTAAAGATTTTATAATTAAATGACATCACCTAAAAATAAGAAATCAATTGCATCAAAAAATGACAATAACGAATCATTATCAACTTCAATTACTACTGCTTTAAATAATAATGGGAAATCTAACGAAACTAAAGAAATTAATATTGATGAAGATACAGATACAACAAATAGCACTAACAATAATACAAGTCGTCGTAATTCAATAAATAAAAAACATCACCATCATCATGAAAAACATAAGAAGAAAAAGAAAATACGGGAATCAAGAAGGGTTATGTTTATATTAGGAGCATTATTAGGATTAGCTCTTACAATATTTTTTTCAACTAATAAAGTCCTGTTTCCAGCTGATTTAGATGGGTTAGTTAATTTTGATCATTTGAATTCTTTATTTGATGATTGGAAAAATTGGAAAGATATTTTACCAAGTGGTATGCAATCATATTTACAAGATGCTGATAATGCTGATAATACTTTACATGGTTCAGCTGATTCTTTTAGTGTTGGACAAAGATTAAAAACTTCAAGAAATTATACTGCTAAATATAATGTTGTTATGGTTCCTGGTGTTATATCTACTGGATTAGAATCCTGGGGTACATCAACATCAGGAGATTGTCCATCAATTGGATATTTTAGAAAAAGATTATGGGGATCCTTTTTCATGTTAAGAACTATGATTTTGGATAAAGCATGTTGGTTGAAAAATATTAAATTGGATGAAGAAACAGGACTAGATCCTCCAAATATTAAAATTAGAGCTGCTCAAGGTTTTGAAGCTGCTGATTTTTTTATGGCTGGTTATTGGATTTGGAATAAAATTTTACAAAATTTAGCAGTTATCGGGTATAGTCCTGATAATATGATATCTGCAGCTTATGATTGGAGATTAACTTATTTAGATTTGGAGAAAAGAGATGGATTTTTCAGTAAATTAAAAATTCAAATTGAAATGACTAAAAAAACAACTGGTCAAAAATCAGTTCTTGTTGGTCATTCAATGGGATCACAAGTAATTTTTTATTTCTTAAAATGGGTTGAAGCAAATGGATATGGAAATGGAGGATCTAGTTGGGTTAATAATTATATTGATTCAATTGTTGATATTAGTGGTTCTATGTTGGGAACTCCTAAAACAATACCTGCTTTAATTTCTGGAGAGATGAAAGACACTGTTCAATTAAACGCTTTAGCTGTTTATGGATTGGAACAATTTTTTAGTAGAAGAGAAAGAGTTGATTTATTAAGAACATTTGGAGGGGTAGCAAGTATGTTTCCAAAGGGAGGTGATCTTATTTGGGGTAATTTAACTCAAGCACCTGATGATCCAATCAATACATTAGAAACAAATGATACAGATGTTTCAACTCCAAGTAATAAAAATGGAAGTTTTGGATCTTTTATTAAATATAAACAATCAGATGGTTCTGATCATGAAGTTACAATTGATGAAAGTTTAAAAGATTTACTTAAAAATTCTCCAAAATGGTATTCAAAAAGAGTTGAAGAAAGTTATAGTCATGGTATTGCCAAAACAACAAAAGAACTTATAGCAAACAATCAAATTCCAAGAAAATGGGTTAATCCATTAGAAGCAGCTTTACCAAACGCACCAGATTTGAAATATTATTGTTTTTATGGAGTTGGAAATCCCACTGAAAGAGCATATAGATATGTACCAGCTGATAAATCTACTAAATTAGATTATGTTATTGATAGAGACTCTCCAGATGGAGTTAGTTTAGGAGATGGTGATGGTACAGTATCTTTATTAACTCATACAATGTGTCATGAATGGCAAAAACCTGGTAATAGATATAATCCAGGGAATATAAAAGTTACAATTGTTGAAATTAAACATGAACCAGATAGATTTGATTTAAGAGGTGGTGCTAAAACAGCAGAACATGTTGATATTTTGGGAAGTGCTGAATTAAATGAATTAATTTTGACAGTTGTTTCTGGTCACGGTGATAAGATTAAGAATAGATATGTTAGTAATTTGAGAGAGATAGTTCAACATCTAGATATTTAAAAATTTTGAATAGTATAGAAACCGTCTTTTTTTTAAAGTATTTGCTCTGTTGAATCGAAAAATGAGTCTTATGTAAATAAAAGTTCGTGATTTTCACCTTGTTTCAATCTTTTATTTAACCACTTCCATATTCCTATCTATCGGACCTCTTTTAGATCTGAAACAATAGAGAAAACCTAGATTTATTTATCTTTGCTTTTAATGAAAGTGACTTAAATCAAAAATTTTGAGCAATATTTCGTCATTATTTTTACATACATTAATTCTGAAATTAATTATAATAATTTGAGGGGAAAAAGATTGAAAATTTTCAATTTAAATTAGCCTAAATGAGAATTAAAAAAAAAAAATTTCACTAATATTATTAAGAACCCTTTTTTTCTATTTTAGAGATACAGATCTCTAGAGATCTAAGATTTTGTGTACTGTGTTACATTAGTTATTATTAGAATTTCTCATGTCAAAAATTGCAAGACTGGATCTTGTAACCACTCGTATAAATGAGAGAGAGAATGTTGTTGTTTTGTGGTTCACTCAATTATACAAAACTCTTCTATCTTGATTGATTGCACATTGTTTGAACTCAAATTAATAAGCACTACCAATCAATTGAAATGTGGGGTTAATAATTAATTAATTTGAACCATTTACGGAGTAAAATTGATAATTTAATATTAAAATAGCAAATCAATTTATACAAAGACAATCAAACAATCAATCAATTAATGTGCTTGATACTTTTCATGTGAGATTTACGTAAATCCAAAAAAATTTATTAAGAGTGTTGTTTATCAAATAATAATATTTTTAATGAAGTTGAAACTAAAATTTTTCAACAAACATGACTTAATAAAAGGTACCTTGCATAATTGAAGAAAATAAATCTAATACCGTGTAAATTTAGAAAGTATCTTAACCAATTACGTACGTCCTTCGAATAAATCTTAGATCTTTATCAATCTTTTCTGCCCTTAAAAAGGTCCTGAAATTCTTAAACAAAGAAACCATTACTCAATGGTAGACCTCTAATTTCATAATTTACTCTATTCATTTCATTCATATGCGTCATATACTAATTCTATTATAACAAACAATAAATAACCAAATTTTAATATATACACACATACGGGCTACCAATTAATTCAGATTCAATAACCAAAAACAGTAATAAATTTATTTTTTAAAAGATTAATCTACTACAAACTTCTAAGAAACTAGTTAATAAGAATGAAAAGTTAGAGTGGAGATTACGTCTAGTGAGTTAAAATAAACTTAAAACAAAGGTCACATAGTACACAATATTCATAGTACTTACTACTTTGAGATGAAGAAAAAGATTTATTAAATACTTATAAATTACACATAAATTTAATCAAACATATAAGATGAAGTTTAAATTTAAAAAGTAAATTTCACTTGAATGTATATATTTTTGGCAAAGAGTACTTTTGAATTTTTCATTTAAGTTTTCCAAATAATTATTATATTCAAATTCACGGGATATCATTAACAAAATTATTCATTGAATTGGTCAAAAGTTTAATTTATAAATACTTAAATTTTGCGATTGAAAGAAATAAAGATATTAAAAGTTAAAATTTAGGTGATTTTTCTTATACTTTTATTACAAATTTTCATTACTATCATTGAATTGAAAGCAAGAAGAGCATTATCATAAATGAATAAATCAAATTAAATGAGTTGTTTGAAAAGTTTCAATGTTTAATAATTATATAAATTCAAATAAATCACAAGTGGAAAATGAACTTAAATACCACCATGATCATCAACAACAGCTGCAACAACTGCAAATACCACCTCATCAACCTCCAACTTTGAATACTACTAATCAAGCTCCACTAATAAGTCAACAACATTCGCTGTTAGGTCAACAATTACCATTAAATTTGTTACAAGTACAACAAATGGATCATTTACAACAAGCTCCTCACCATTTATTACCTTCACCTTTAGCTCATCATCAACCTTTACAGGGTTTACAAAATAATCATAATATACAACATCAACATCAACATCAACAGGTACAACCTCCGTTACTGCAACAACCATCCCTTGGCCAATTACCAACACAACCCCCGCAGCCACAAAACATTCCTATACTCAAATCCTCATTTGATATGAGGAAATCGAAAAGTGGTAATGACGGATTTGAGGATAAAACTTGTCAATTCTGTGATAAACAATTTAGTCAAAAAGGTTCTCTTTTACGTCATTTGGATACTAGAAAGGGAGATTCTTTACATCCAATAGATAAGATTAACTTTATTCGAAGTAATCTGGTAAGAAGAAGAAGTGTTGATGTAACGTCTGCAAGTGATTTTGCTAAAACTCCAGGTACTAGAAAAAGAAGAGCTTCAAAGAAAAGTATGGCAAGGTCTCAAATGTCAAGCGATTCAGCAAGTGGTCAAAAAGAAAAAAGTAAATTAAGAAGAAAACTAAGAGATAGAAGGATCAAAGCAAAGTTAATAAGTAATGAATGGATGATTGATAAATTTACAAAACAAACATTACCAGATTTGAAACAACAACCAATAACGCCTTCAACTTTTTGCTTTTTTATTGCATTTTATGTACCGATTAAAGTATGGCCATCATTATCTGTCGGTTATCCAACTACCTCCTTATATGAAGAAGTCATTAATCGAATCAACGATCAAGAAGTTTTAGTCAATATATTCAATCAAAGCATACAATCGTATGAACAACTTGGGATAGAAGATAAAAGAAGATTATGGTTGGAACAAATTCAATATTGTCTTAATTCATCAATTAATGAAATTAATCTTCATGATTTAAATAATATAAAATCAATAGTTGAAAAAAAAGAACAAAATATATTTGAAGAAATTTGTTCAAATGATAATTTATCTGCATTTGTTGATATTGAAGAAAATCATACAGTAGAAGAAGAAGAAGATGAAGATGATGAACAACTGAGTTCTCAACCTTCAACTAGATCAAATAGTTTACCTCAAAATATTTATTTACCTCATTTACCTAATCAAGAATTCACTTTCAATTCTCAATTTTATTAGCTAGTCTATATACATATATTTTTGATTAATATACATATTTCTCGTCATCTTAGAAGAGTTTGATTGTGTAGCTCATTATTCTCTGAGTTGGTGCAAAAGCGTAAAAATTGGCTGCAACAATTTTTCAGATATTTGTTTTTTCTCACCCAAAATCAATTCATTTATTAAACTAAACTACGACTTAAAACACACGAAGAATGTTATGTTTCAAGAGCTGATACGAGTTGCAGTGTGTGGAGATGAATCTGTTGGAAAATCATCTTTAATTACATCACTTATCAAAGAAACAATATTTGAAACTCCAACAACCAATAATGTTTTACCACCAATAACAATATCAAGAAATGATTATAATGAAAGTTTCAAAGAACAATCATTCGCTAAATCGAATAAAAATGAAATTATAAATGAAGTATCAGAGTATATACCAAACACCACAACTATAGTCGATACGAACTCCTCTGACCATGCATCATTAACTCAAGAATTGAAAAGAGCTGATGTAATATGGTTAGTATATTCTGATCATTATACATATGAAAGAATTTCACTACATTGGATGCCAATTTTCCGTTCATTAGGTGTTAATTTACCTATAATTTTATGTGCCAATAAATCAGATCTTTCTACTAAATCGACATGGAAAAATCAAAATAATGATGAATTTATTCCTTTAATTAATGAATTTAAAGAAATCGAAGCTGGTGTAAGGACAAGTGCAAAAAATAATTATAATGTTGTTGAAGCATTTTATTTATGTCAAAGAGCTGTAACTCATCCTATTTCACCAATTTTTGATACAAAAGAAGGAAATTTAAAACCTGGTGCTATTGCTGCTTTAAGAAGAGTGTTTTTTTTATTTGATACTGATCAGGATGGGTTTTTAAATTTTGGAGAATTTAATGAATTACATAAAAAATGTTTTGGATTTCATTTGGATGAAGATGAATTTAATGAAATTTTTAAATATGTTAATTCAAAATTATTAAGTGAAGATAATAATGTTATTAGTGAAGATGGGTTTATTTTATTAAATAAATTATATGCTGAATCAGGTAGACATGAAACAATATGGTGTATCTTAAGAGCTAATCATTATACTAATTCTTTATCTTTAAATGATAAATTTTTATTTCCAAATCTTGATTTAAATCCAAATGCAAGTGTTGAATTAAGTCCTACAGGATATAGATTTTTGGTTGATTTATTCATTAAATTTGATAAAGATAATGATGGTGGATTGAATGAAGAAGAATTAAAAAATCTTTTTAGACCAACTCCAGGTATACCGAAATTATGGATTGAAACTAATTTTCCATCTTCTATCTTATGTAATGAAGAAGGGTTCGTGACATTGCAAGGTTGGTTAGCACAATGGAACCTAACTACTTTTTTGAGTTACAAGACAACACTTGAATATTTAGCATACTTGGGTTATGATGAAGGAAATTCTATAAAAGCTTTAAAAGTGACAAAACCAAGAAAGACTCGTCAAAAACAAGGTAAAATATATAGAAATTCAGTTACTGATCGTAACATTTTTAATTGTTTTGTTGTTGGAGCTCCAAAAGCTGGAAAATCATCATTACTTGATCTGTTCTTACATGGAACTTATAGTGACGTTTATTCCCCTACTATTCAACCAAGATTAGCTATCAAAGATATTGAAATTAGAGGAGGTAAACAATGTTACTTGATTTTAGAAGAGTTAGGAGAATTAGAACCAGCGATTTTAGAAAATAATAAAAGATTAGATGAATGTGATGTTATATGTTATACTTATGATTCATCGGATCCTGAAAGTTTTCAATACTTGGTTGATTTAAGAGAAAAGTATTCACATCTAGATGAAATTCCTTCAGTATTCGTAGCGCTAAAGGCGGATTTAGATAAACAACAACAAAGATCAGATGTTCAACCAGAAACTTATACGAGGGATTTATTTTTGAGTTCTCCATTGCATATATCATCATCTTGGAATAGTTCATTACATGAATTATTTATACAATTAGTTGATGCTGCAAAGAATCCATCTATTTCTACTCCTGGTTTAGAAATTGAAAAATCAGTCGATGAAGAGAATTTAAAACATTTATTAATGGCTGGTGGAGCTATTGGGGTGATGGCATTAGTCAGTATATGGATGTTGAATAGTATGAGAAGACGATAATGCAAAATCAAAGTTCAGATAACATCGATAATCCACCTAAATAGCTGATAATTACACAAAATGATATTGTATATCTTTTTATTTTGTACCACTTTTTTACTCTATATCTCATCTTGTGCCTTTTAAAAAAGTTAATGATTTAGTAACCAGAACATATTAAATACTACTATACAACATTAACGATGTCTAAGGAAGATTATAAACCCGTAACGGTAGAGAAGCTTATAGAAAACACATATGACTTAGGGAATCTAGCCACATTTGATCCCAATCCTTTATCAAATGAGAAACTAACATCAAAGAATGAATCAGAAAAAGAACAATATATTTCATCTATAACCAGAGACAATGTACAATTATTAATAAATCAGATATTATCACTTCCCGTAAAAACCACAACCGATAACCAAGGATCATCTACTGGTCAAACATCATCAATGACATTAATTCAATTACCTGAACCAACTACTCCTCTTCCAAGAGAAAAAGGAATACCTAAAGATAAACCAAAAACTAAATGGGAAGAATTTGCGGCAAGAAAAGGTATAAAAGCTAAAACTAAAAATGAAAAATTAGAATATGATGAAGAAAAAGGTGAATGGGTTAATAAATGGGGTTATAAAGGTAATAATAAAAAATTAGATGATCAATGGTTAGTTGAAGTTAATGATGAAGATAATAGTAAAAAAAGGAAAAGAAATGAAGGAGATGAGTTAATAGATCCAAGAACTTTGGCTAGGTCTGAAAGAAAGAAATTGATAAAGAAGAATGAACTTCAACATAAACGTAATTTGAAGAATGGATCGAAATAATACAGTTGATGAATTTAAGAGGTATGAGATAAGGTCGCTTGATTGGTCTATAATGGCATCCCAATGCAACCAGTAGACTTTTTAATGAAAATAAAGTAAACTTTGGAGTTGGACTAGTTTAGATGGTCGTAATTTCGTTAATTTATAATTCTATCTCCTAGTATCCTATATACAATCCCCCTCCTCTTTCATCTAATTCATCAGCAATGAAAGTTACAGCTTCTGATTTTGGATCCCAACCTAACTTTGCGGTACACTGAATATTTTTCAACAAAGGTAGTCTACCATCTTCTATTGCAACAGCCAAATCCATTGGATCTAATTTTGTAGTTGTTCCAAGCATACCACTACTATTGATATACATAGTTCTTAATGGTCTTTCGTTAGCATATCCCAAATATTGGTCATCAAAAAACATTGATGAAAGATAATCAACACTGACTTCTAGAACTCTCAAGTTTGGGCAAAATATGAATACCTCATCTAATGAATTATTTTTTAAAGCTGGCATTGGATATTGAATTTTTAAAGTTGTTAATTGATTACCAATTCTATATAATACTTGTTTTAACCCTAAATCCGTTATTGCAGGACAATGAGCAAATTCCATATTTGTAATCAGATTTGGAAAATTTGAATGATACAAAAAATCATCATTTATACCGCCTGATAATCTCAAAAAACTTAATTTTGGTGGCCATGATATTTTCTCATGGTCTTCAATATCTATCAGTGATCTTGGAAATGATAAATGAGTCAAGTGTTTTAAATTTTCAATGGAATGAAAAAGTTGAGTTAAGTTCAAAGTTTCAGAAACTAATCTTAAATCCAAAATCTTTAAATTTGAGCAATTTTTTAATGCAACTAAAGGACCAAATCCAAAACTTGTTTGAGGAGCTACAAATACTTCAAGATTTTTTCTTGATTGTTTTAATAATCTTGCAACAAATGCATTTTTTCCAGATTGAATGACATAAGCTAAATCTAATGCATGAATAAAATTTCCAAGTTTCTTATTATTGGATAAAGTTTCAACAAAATTTAAAAAATTGGTTCCTCTTAAATATGGATTTTTATAAATCAATGGTAATATCATCACATAAAATAATTTACAAACTCTCATAAATTTTGGTTTTAATTGTCCCCAAGAATCTAATAAATCAAATATCTTAGCAAATATCTCAGCTGGGAAAATCATCATTGATTGTTTGATTTCCTTTTCAATATTTTGTAAATATTCTATATTCTTTCCATTTATTGCACATTTTAATACATCAATTTTTTCAAATTTTGATAAGGGCCAAACTTTTCCCTTTGTTGAAACTGTGGGGATATTTGAAATATGATATATTGATCTAATACTTATGCTATTCTTAAATTTATTATTATTCGTATCATGTAATGTGTTTTCTTTGTTTCCACCACCTTGATCATCTTCATCATCTGAGTTTGATAAGAATGAGCTCGATTTATAACTCCTATATGGAGCTCTAACCTTTTTAGGTCTACTTTTGTTAGCTATTTTGAATCAACTTATATAATATAATACAACAGCGGGTAATAATACAAATATAATACAGTAGTTTTGTTTATATAGTTACAAATGATTCTATTATTGGTTTGGTGGCAAAGGATGATGTCTAAGATGGATATTTATTATAAAGAATGTGGTTGTAAAACGAAGAGAAAAAAAGAAACCACTTAAAATAAATTTGGCAACCAAATTTAGATTTTGTGTACATGACCAAAATATTGTAAATACAATTGAAACAAGTTAATCAGATAAGATAAACAAGCAGCAAGTCACAATAAAATTGATTATGACGGGCATAGATGCAACGACTCAACCACTACCAGCATATAAAGTAGTGGTGTTAGGAGAATCATCAGTTGGCAAAACTTCATTAGTTCATAGATTCACATCAAACAAATTTAATACTCATACATCAAATACCATAGGTGCAGCATTCATAACTAAAGAATTTTCATCCACTAACAACCCAGAAAAGAAAATCAATTTGGAAATATGGGACACAGCGGGCCAAGAAAGATATAGATCATTAACTCCAATGTATTATAGAAATGCTAAAGTAGCTTTAGTTTGTTTTGATTTAAGTAATTTTGATCACACTTTTGTAACTGCAAAATATTGGATTGATCAATTAAATTTGAATAATAGTTCATCCATTGATGATGATATTGAAATACGGCTTGTGGGGACCAAATCAGATTTAATTGAGGATAATATACTAATAAATAACGAAGTTGAATCATTTTTAAGTGATAAGAATCATTCCATTAAAGAATATAATCAAACTAGCTCAAAGAATGGTACGGGGATAATAGAATTATTCGAGAATATAATCGACAATATAAGTGAAGAGTTTATACAAAATCATTACGAGCTGTTAAAGAAACCTAAAGATAATAGTATTGGAAGTATGCTACAATTTAGACAAAATCAATCGTCTAGTTGTTGTTAATAATTCATTGTCGACATAAAATTAAAAATTGTATTTGTCCTACAAACTTATTTCTTCACTTCATTTGTTGCTGGTGTTACTTCAACATCTTCTTCTTCCGAATCATCTACCAAAAATGCATCAGAATCAGCTGGAGGATCTTCAGGTTGCCAAGGTTGTTTCCTTTTAGTAGTATCCGTTGTATTGTCGTTTAATTTAATAGATGAAGGGGTATCTGATTGTAATTCAGTTGAATTTCTTGGTCTTGTAGGTAAATGAGGACTTGGCATGGTTTCTTCATTATCATCATTTTCTTTACTTAATCTAATTTTATCATGAAAATCAGTTGTAATTATTTCTGGATCTTCATCAAATCTTGTCTTCTTACCTTTATAAAGCTCGTCATAATATCGTGTACCTCCTAAATTTCCAAAATTATTACCACCTTCTCTATGAGATTTTGAACCAAATGTAGTCACATTTTCTCTTTGTTCTTGTTGTTGTCTATTTGCTGTTGCACTATCAAATTTTTTAGCTAATCCAGATACCCATCCATTTAATGTTGATTTAGCTTCTTCTAATCCTTGAGTAAAAGTTTCTTTTATTTGATCAAATTCATCTGGACTTTCTTCTTCTTCATAATAGTTTCTCTCATAATCATTTAAATTCTGACGATGTTGACGATTACTTGCTTGAGGATCTCTTTCCCTTTCCCCTCTATCTCTTCTTCTTTCTTGATTTCTTCTTCTTCTTCTTTCATCTTCTAACTCAAATTCTTTTTGTAATTTTCTTGCTAATATTTCATCATCTGTAAATCCTACAGATTCAACATTAGTGGTTGGAGCTTGATTTTTAATAGAAGGATTCTGATAAACTGGAATTTCAGGTTCAAAACTTGGATCAGATATGTAAAGTAATGCACTAAATGCTGGTTCTGGATTTCCTTGAGATGCAATCAATACTGCTGTGATAAGTTTTTCTTCAATTGATGGAAATGCATCTTTCAAATCTTGAGTTATCTGTTGCACTGGATCTTTTGGTCTTGTAGGAGGAGGTGGAGGTGTGGCATTTGTAATTGTTTCATTAACTGTCTCTTTTACTTCTACTTCATCATCGTCAAGTGGAATATCTTCAATTGGTGCATCATCTTTCTCGTCTTTTTTTGTTTTATCCTTCTCCCCAATTACTTTATCATCTTTGATTGCTTCAGAGTCTGTTATCTTATCCTTTGCTTCAGATTCTGTTTTTGTATCTTCTTTCTTCGATTTCGATTTATCATCATCAATCGAATCTAATGGTGTACTTCCAACGGTTTTTAATTCTTCTTTTTTGCCCATTTTTTGTTTGATAATGTTGCTCTTTGGATAGGAATTAAGAAACTCAATTTATGTAATACTACCTTGATTGTAGGATCATATCAACATGTTATATTTGTTGTTACGATGTGCACTACCTTCGAGTACGTTTTTAATTTTCATACAAACAAATTTTACTTTTAATCTTTTTACCCTTCTCTTTCTTTCTTTGATAGTATTTATTTTAAATAACTCCGAAAATAGCTAGAGCTTTATATTTGTAAAGTAAAGATTTATATAGAGTGTGGACAGCGGAGGAATATTGACTGTTAAAGAAAGAGATAATCTTTTTTTCTTTTTGACTTATATGATTAGAAAATTGAACTTTTGTTTTGTTCTGAATGATAATTATATAGTCAAACATTTTAATTGATAACTGGAGCTTTTATTAATATTTATTGATTATGTATAAAATTGTTTTAAACTGATTATGTGAAGAATCAGTATGTTGAAAAATGGAAGTGTCATCTTGAATTTCCAAATTAGGTCTCCCCGATTATGCTCAATTGAATTCTCCAAAATATCCCAACCGTAGATTTCTTTTAACTAATACATCCTCCAAATCAACTCGATTTAGCTTCTTGTAATAATTGCTTCCTTCTTATCAAATCTAAATTCTCACATTCTTCCCATGCATGTTTATCATGTTTACAACTTATTGACGAGTTTGCAGATTGTCTTATTAAACAAGTTTGGAATAATGCAAAGTAAGCAGCACATCTATCTCTCCATTTCAAGGGTACTTTGTATTTTTGACATTCATCTTCACTGACTGTTTTAAACTTTGTTAGTAATAATCCTTTTTCAAAGCTATAGTAATGTTTCACATACGTAGAGGTGGAAATTCTGTGACTGACATTTTTCTCTTTTAGTAGAAAATGGAATGAATGAAATGGAAGACGAGGTGGGTTCTGTTGTAAATTCGATTGTAGATGGATCTTGAGTATCGTTATTTTAATACGTGCAAAAAATTTGGAACCAATTATAATTATCGCATAGTCAGAAATTATATACAGGAAATATGATTGATTCAACTTTGAACAAGGAAAGGATCATCTTCTAAATTACAAAATGATCAAAAGAGAATGGTAATAGTAGAATCTCTTGTCATCACAGAGACGATTTTAAAAACGAAAAGAAAAAGCTTACTTCTCAAGTCGTGAATTGCATCTCAAGCAATAATTAAAAATGGAAAAAGAGTCACTTGACTTTTAAATAACTTTTAACGATGTGTATTATATTGCAGTTTGCAAGACTAAAGCCAATTGTCTTTGCATTATTATAATTCAATCCTTTGTCTCTGCGAGCCTTCCAAACATCATCATCATCTACTCTTTCGTGAGATGCGTATTACAAAAATTTAGAATCGTATCTCCTCCACTCTCTCAAAATTTTCATAAATCGTATCCTGTCCATGTATTTAACTTCAATTAATGTGTTTGTTTAGCAGCAAAATTATCTAATCTTTCTTTTAAAGCATTATATTGACATTTATAAAATTCATCTTTCGTTTTGGCACAGAATGATGTTCCTTTATCAAGACATTTGTAGTATTCAAGTAGATGAGCAGCACATTTATCTCTATAAAATAAAGGAACTTTTTGTTTATCTAATTCCTCCTCTGAGGCTAAACAATGTTTGTTAGTATTTTCTTCTTCATTCTTTTTCATCTCCTTGATCAGAGGGTGCTGTCAAATAGTATCAGCTTGTACATACGTATTGGTGGGTATGAATAAGCCTCAGAACTTCCCATGGCTATTGCTTGATGTGTATCAGGTTGTAGAATTGTATAACAGTTGATTGTGCAATTGAAATGATTTTTTCAATAATCTCTCTCGTACCAACAGTTATATGCACTACCACGGTTGCAAATAATTAGTCCATAAATTATTAACAAGGGTTTCAAGGCTTGATTTCGGACCCATACCTAGCAAGCCCTTTAAATTAACTTGATATGAGTCCTACAATGACGTATTCCAATATTTGTTTAGTAAAATTTAGTATAAATCACAAAATTCAGTATAAAACGATAAATCAACAGAATGAAGCACGTATCTATGATTTCACTCACTTCGAAAACACCAAGGTTGATAGCTTTGTGTCCTGGATGTTACTAAGCTATATCACAGTAATGGTTTTGAGCTTACTCAGTTTAATACTTTGATGGAATTAAAAGATTTGACAATAGTTGTAGTGAAAAAAATTTAGTATGTGTGTTCGGATGTATGATAATTTTGACTTGAAATTTTCAATTCGCATGAATTTTGAGACAAATTTTTCAACTAGAACAGCTTTCGGGATAAAAATATAGACGAGACTAAACTGATTCGATTTGCAATGAAATGAGTTACGATATTTACGAAATGTGGTATATTGAATTCAACTAATTAGTCTGTTGTAAAGCAAACGATGAAACCATTAATTAGATCAAACATAAAGAATCAGTTATAGATCAATCACCTATGGTATAAAAATAGTAATTAGCGTTGAAAATTCTTTATTGAAACGCGTATTAAAAAGACCATAGCTAATTAAAATAAAAACCTTATTTAATTTTACACGACCAATTTTAATAATTAAAATTAGGATAACAAAAAAATTTCAATAAACAAAAACAACGTAACTGATTAGATCAAAATCATTTTATTAAGAATAATTGAAACCAATTACAACAACATAATACATAATAACTACACAACAATGCCAGAACCAGTTGGAATATCAAATCTTCCTGATCAAAGGTATGTTATTGAGTGCTTTTTAAACGTTATGTGATCTACATATACTAACTAATGAATATAGATTAAATTTGGTCACCAAAACCGGTGCTACTTTCACAATTATGGTTTGTGGTGAATCTGGACTAGGTAAAACTACATTCATTAATACATTGTTTCAAACAAGTTTAAAATCACATAAATCTCCACATCAAAATAATCCACATCAAACAACAACTATTGAAGTAACAAAAGCTATTCTAGAAGAAAAAAATTTTAAACTTAATTTAAATGTAATTGATACTCCAGGATTTGGTAATAATGTTGATAATACTGATTCTTATCAACCTATAATTGAATTTTTAGATGAAAGATATTCAAATTATTTAGATCAAATAAATCAACCAATTAGACATGATGTTAAAGATCTACGAGTAAATGCTTGTTTATATTTCATACGTCCTAGTGGTCATTCTTTAAAACCTTTAGATATTGAAATCATGAAAAAATTATCAACGAGAGTTAATTTAATTCCAGTTATTGCAAAAGCAGATACTTTATCAAGAAATGAAATGGATATTTTTAAAACAAGAATTAGAGAAATTATTGAAGCACAAGATATATCAATTTATACACCACCATTGGAATTAGATGATCCTGCAAGTGCAGAACATGCTAAACAATTGATTGAATCAATGCCATTTGCAGTTATTGGATCTGAAGAAGAAGTAGAAGTTGCACCAGGTAAATATGTTAGAGGTAGAAAATATCCATGGGGTATAGTTGAAGTTGAAAATGATGAACATTGTGATTTTAAAAAATTAAGGAGTTTATTATTAAGAACAAATATGTTGGATTTAATTTTATCAACTAATGAAATACATTTTGAAACTTTTAGATCTATTAAATTAGGTGGAGAAGAAGAAGAAGAAATTACAAATGAAAATGGAGAAGTTATTAAAAAACCTAAAAAAATTAGATTTCATAATCCTAAATTTAAAGAAGAAGAAGATGCTTTAAAGAAATTTTTTACAGAACAAGTTAAAGCTGAAGAACAAAGATTTAGACAATGGGAAACTAATATTATTAATGAAAGAAATAGATTAAATCAAGATTTAGAAGAAATGCAATCTAAATTAAAAGGTTTAGAAGAACAAGTTAAAAAATTACAGATATCCTTTAAATAGTTTTTAATTTACATAACCTAGTTGATTTGTTATTTTGACTTAAAAAAGAGGTCGCTAAACATAAGGACTACCGTAATTTTCTATAATCGGGGGAGTTCTAGTTGAGCTGACATTTGATTTAGAACGACGCAATAATGCTTGAGATATTCGATTACGGAGTTTAATATTTTTCTTATGTCTAAGACTTCAATTTCTCGTAAATGTTTTAAAAAATAAATTCGAGTAACAAAAATTCTGATCTTAAAAACTATACATTCCTTCTATAACCGAATAGATCCTAACCACAGATCAATACAGATTATATGTCAACTACAGAAACAACACCTTCAGATCAACAACTGAAATATAAAAGAAATTATAGAGCATGTCTAAATTGTCGAGTTCGGAAAGTTAAATGTGATTTAGGTCCGGTTGATAATCCTCATGATGGTAAATGTGCAAGATGTTTAAGAGAAAGAAAAGATTGTATATTTGTTGAAAGTAAAAGAGGTGGGTCTAATAATGTTATGAATGGTAAAAAGAAGAAACAAAAATTAGAAGAAAATGTTGAATTACCTGGTGTAAATTCTATTTTACAAGAAAATCAAAATAATTTAAGCCATTTACAACCAAATCAATCATCTCAATTACCACCACCATTTGTTCATCGCCAGCAGCGTCAGCAACTACAACGGCAACCGCAACAACATCATTCAAATTTTCAATCACCTTCTCAATCTCAATCACCACCACCCCAACTTCCACCACCTCAGCAGAAAGAAAAAAACAATTTTTCAACTATGGAAGGTGCTTTAGTGTTTTTAGCTAGTGCAGCAGGTACTTTTGCAAAAGCAGATGAAAGAGATCATATAGATGCAAGAACCAAATATAATGAAATTGAATCAATGACTGAAAAACAAAGAAATGAAACAATACCACAATATATTAAACCTACTGGAAAAAGGATGACAATGCCAGCTGCTGAAAATGGATCATCAGTTAGACCAAAAGCATCAACTAGATTAGCTAATATTGATTATATTGGTGAAAATGGAATTTTAACTGAATCTGAAGCTGAAAATTTAATTAATTTATTTTTCACTACAATGCATCCTTTTTTCCCACATATTCCTAAATTTTTACATTCATCAAAAGTATTAGCTGGTTATCCAATTTTATTATGTGCTATATTGACTATTTCATCAAGATATCATCCATTTGAAAATAATAATACAAATACAGCTGTTCCAAGAAATATTGAAGTACATGATAGATTATGGCTATATGTTCAAAGATTAATTTCTCAAACAGTTTGGGCTGAAGCTAGTACTAGATCTATAGGTACAATATTTGCATTTTTATTATTTACTGAATGGAATCCAAGAGCTATTCATTGGAGATGGTCAGATTATGCTAATAAAGCTGAAGAAGGAGCGGAAGCACCAGTAAATGGAAGTCTTGCTGGTTTAGGTGCAATGAGAAGATCACATCGAATGGCTTGGATGTTGATTGGAAGTGCGGTTAGATTAGCTCAAGATATGGGATTTATGGAAATAAGTTCAAAGACATTAATTGCTACACATATAGCAGAGATTAATTCAGTGATGGATATTTCAAGAAGATCAATGTTGGCTCATTCATTATCCGAGTTAGATTTAAATGAAGATGAAATTGAAGAAGATATTGATGAAGAAATTGATTTTATAAGTGAAGAAGAATTGAAGAAGATTTTAGTTGAATATAAAATTAAATTTACTACTGCTCAAAAAGCTCAAATTGAATTATTACAAATTATGTCATTAGGTCATGAAACATTTTATGGATATAAAGCTCAATTGGGACATTTATCTCAACGTCAAAATTTATCCGTATTAAATATTATAAGTCCATTGATCAATAATTGGAGTAGAAAATATAAACAGTATCTTATTCCAACTACAGGTAAATTGTCAAAACATATAAATCAATGGTCAAAATTAAGTCCCAAAATTATTTCTGAAATCAATGAAAGCATTCAACAAGAATCTTTTATATTTGAATTCAATTATGTTAAATTATATATTTATTCATTAGCATTAAGTCCATCACCAACATTAGAAAAGAAAAATTTAAAATTGGATGAATTATCAAAAAGTGCTAGATTTATTGAACAAGCGTTTAATGCAGCAAATGAAATGTTAAATGCAGCTCATAGAATTCATAAATTTAAAATGTTAAGATTTATGCCTGTTAGATGGTTAACTAGGTTAGTTCGAGCAGTTGCATTTATTGTGAAATGTTATTTAACAATTACTGCACAACATAAAACTTCAAACTTTAGTACAAAAGTAGGTTCAATTTTCCAAAGCATGAGTAACAATGAAATATATGATCCAACTGTTTTAAGTTTCAGTATGATAAGTGTTGATGATATAAGCTCTTCAATTCATAGAGCTGCTTTAACCCTAAGAGATTGTTCACCCGATGAATTACATTTATGTACTAGATATTCTTCAATTTTAATGTATCTATATTCTGAGATGAAATCAAAGAAAAACGAAAGTGAAGAAGTTGAAGAACAAATTCAATCACAACCGCATCAACAAAAACAATTTTATGATCAAAATCAATTTACAAAACAAAACCCAACTCAACAACAAGAAAAACAAGGTCAAACATCTCATCAATCATCGCAATCCCAGCCTCAACAACATTTACCAGGAAGTTCAAATATTGAAAAATCATTACCAGATACATTTCCTTATGGTCCTTACTTTAAACATCCTAGTAATATTCCAACAGCAGCTACGTTAGCTACTCAAGAATATCAACAACCACTTTCTCAACAACAACCAACTCAACTGCATCAACAATCACCTTCACAACAATACATAAATTCAGAAGAGAGCATGAACAACATGTATTACAATAATACTAACACAACTACTGCTAATAATGCTAATGTAAATAGTGGTGGAACAGGTGGTGGAGCTGGTGGTATAACTGGAGGTGATTCAGAAGTCATGGATTGGTTTATAAATAATCAAAACATTGGATTGGATTTCGTTGCTCCTTGGACTGAAATGATTGAACAACAATTGAATTTAAATGATCAATTTTGAAGAATAAACAAAATTGGTTATTGAAGTGATATACGAAAGAGAAGAGAGACAAGAATACTACTTTTGAATGTTTTGAAAGAGGGTGACTAATTTGACTTTAGTTTAGAAGTTTTGATTTAATTAAATATCTTTTGCAGCCATTTCATCCATTTTTGTTTCAACTTCTTAATTTGTAACATCTATATTTAAATCGAAAATAAGATAAGGGAAATGATTGAATGCAGTAAATAGTATCTAATTTGCCAACTAGTACCGAATTGATCAACCAGTATCTCAAATACATCTTGCTTCAAAAGTAGTTAATTTCTTACTCTTTTAGTCAAAATTGTAATTAGCAAAAAGAAATTAACCGAAAGTTCCTGAATTACAATATTATTCGTTTATTACGAAGTCCAAAACAGGTATATCTTAACTGCAAGTACCTATACGCTTGTGTTGAAAGATTTATGATCAGATGCTTTCCACATTGTTACGATCGAAGAATGTAGAAGTTTCTGGAATGAAACCTATTCTTTTAATATTTCTTGATGGTGTGAAGTTTTGATTTTTAATTTTAAGGGGTATTACGGAATTAAATGTACGACATTAACTATCAACTAAAAAATGTCCTTTTGCAAAGAGAATATTATTGTAAGTAACACAAGGCGGTAAAGTGATACAAAATAGAGTGGCTATGCTAATAAAATAAATTCACACAGAATGGAAATGAATGTGTCGAAGAATAGAACATAAACAATTGCTTCCAACTCACAAAACCAATGAAATTGACGTATAGTGCGGTTTAGTCTGTTTGAAGTTCTGCTACTTAGATTTGAAAAGCAAAATTGATATTTGAACGAATAATTTTATTTTTCAAAAGATAGTTAAATCCGTTCTATGTCTTGCTCTACTCAGAAATGTCTGATTTTGATTTACATTGCAGGACATTTTGAATTTAAAACAATATTATTGAAATTATTATTTTATCTTCAAATTAAAATAACGCGTAATTTTGTTCCATTTGGACTGAATTGATTGTTTTATAAATACAATCAAAGCTATTAGTTAATCGAAGAATGAGACGAAGAGCAGAATTTGCAATTCATGCTATTGTCTTTGAAACGATTCACGATACTTAAGCTTCGAAATCTTTAATCTTAGATTAAATCTGTTTCTAAAGGATACTAATTTCTTATCAAAATTAAGGAACGAAATATTATTATCATTTTATGAAAAATGGCTGGTTTAAAAGTTTAAATCAAGTCTAAATCATATCATGAGTAACTCGCATAAAAACAAGGGGAAGGACATGTGGGGTTCAAATTTGATTTCACTTCTTACATTGATGATACAGCTCAATGCTACAGTCAATTAATCGACTTGAAGATAGAGATCAATGACATGTTGTGGTATTCCAATTGAAACGAATTGAAACCGATTAAATTTAAACGACATTATGGCACACTATGATTATTTTTTACTTGTTAAAGAAATAAAAATAATATGTCATATTAAGAAATTAAATAAGTTTATCCGTAAATCTATATTATAGTGATATCTTAAATTTTTTCATAAAGGAATGTGAAAGTTTGTGAGAATTAACTAACCAATACCACAAAGTACTTAGTTAAAGTTTGTCATATGGGTGATCTTGATAAAAAAAGGTAAACAAGATATGCAATTAATTTACACAATAAAGTTTAAAACTAAGTATTGAGATATACAAAAGCGTGGAATTAGATTAGATTATTAGTTGGATCTTTAAAAATGAGTAGCATCGATAGCTTCTCTATTATGCATTTCACTATCACGTAGATTGATGTGAAGTACTCAAATATTGGTCTCATACAATATTTGATTTTCACTAGATTTATTTTTAGTAACAATTTTCAAATATAAACAACAACAATGTCTCTTGAGAGAGACATTTTATTTTTCAAACTGCTTTGATTTGTAACACAATCTCTTTTGTACTTTTGTGTAACATACTTTGTTAAGTTTATTTACAAAATTACAATAACCAAATCAATTTATCAAATGTTTAATTTATATTAAAATTATTGTGGAATTTGAAGAATTATTTCTCATTATTGTGAAAATTAGTTAGATGTTGATATATTCAGTTGACCAGCTAGTGAGATGTGCCATTCTCTAGCTCCAAAAATTTTAAATTCATTTTATAAGTGAGGAATTTGTATCTAATGATCAGATTTCAAAAATTAAATTTTGAAAGTATTTCGGGTACAAAATGTATAACAAAATTAAGGTAAATGCATAATTGATTAAAGTAAGTAATTTATACATACATAATGTTTGTCTCTTTAAATAGTGGTGGTTACTTAACATTCAATTAAATGTCTAAAAATTTTTCATGAGAGGATTTTGATTTTTTTATAAAAAAAATTTAAAATTATCAACAAATTCAAATTTTTTAATTTCCTTTCGCTTTTTAATTCACTTTTTCCTTTTTTTTTTGATATTTTATTCAATTGGTACATTCGCTTTCTATCATCAAAAAGACAAAGGATGCAATTCAAGAATATTTTAGCTATTTCAGCTATTGCAAGTTTAGCTTCTGCTGCTAATAGTATGTATAATATCAAAACAATTTTGAGAAAATTAAATAAGCTTTTCTTGATCCAAGATTCAAAGTAAGGGATCAGATAATATGATAATATATATCAATCGTTCAAGAAACATTTAAATCAAGTAATGAATAGATCTTACTTTGGAGAATAATTTATATAGATCTAAAGATCTGGTGATAATAAATTATAAAATATTCGGTTATAAATCACAAATATTTTGCATGATTTGACATGAAAATTTGGACTATTTCACTAATTCCAAATGAATCACCTAAGTAATGAATAGACAATTGAGAAGTAATATGATCAACGACTAGAGAATCGAATATTCAATCAATCGGCTCAAATCAATCAAAGATAGATCAATGTCAATTTTTTGTGTGTTATTATAATGTCGAATCAATTGAGACAGATTTTTTTATTTTTTATTTTCATTTTTTTTTTCTCGACAAAAAAAAATAATTTATTTTTTAAATCAAAAGGGGAAAAAATATTATAAGAGAGTCTGAAAATTTAGAGAAAAAAGCAATCTTAATCTGAGACAGTAGGACAAATTGGATCAATTATTGTATTGGGATGACAGATCATCAGTTAGAAAAAGTTTAATTCATTTAGGAATATTCTTCATTTCAAAATCAAATTTTTACTCATATGTGATTAATACCGATCCTGCATAATATACTCGTATATTCCCGTATAATTTTTGAGATTTAAGATACGGGAAAATTATAATATTTCAATAGTACCCCTAATAGGATTTTATACGATATTTTATGACACCACATAATTCTTGGAATTCAAAAAAAGCTTCATTTAAGTATTACTATCAAGGAAATTTACTAACTTTTTCTCTTTTTAGATTCTACATTAACCACAGCTACACCATCAGTAGATAAAGAATGTTCTTTCTCAGATTTTACCGCTACTGCTTCAGGTGATGTTCAATCAGTTGCTGCCTGTGAAACCGCAGTTGGTGATATTACCATTCAAGGTCCAGCTTTCGGTACTGTTGAATTAACCGGTTTAAAACAATTATATGGTGATTTATCAATTAAAAATGCTACTCAAGCTTCAACAGTTAATGCTCCAACTTTACAATTAATTTCAGGAACTTTTGAAGTTAATGCAAACACCATTTTATCAAACTTAAACTTAGCTCAATTAACTACTGTTGGTACTTTAAATTTAAATGCTTTACCAGCTTTAGAATCAACTGGTTTAGCCTCTGGTTTAACTTCAGCTGACTCAATCATTATTTCAGATACCGGTTTAAATCAATTAACTGGTATTAATGTTTATAAATTAAAAGTTTTCAATGTTAACAATAATGATGATATTGATACTATTGATTCAGGTTTACAAGAAGTTACTGATACTATTGATATTTCATATAATGCTGAAAAAGTTGATGTTATTTTAGATCAATTAACTTCAGCTAATAATGTTATTTTACAATCAGTTAACTCATTTAGTGCACCAAACTTAACTCAAACTAATGGTTCAATTGCTTTCTCCTCATCATCAATTGAAAAAATTGAATTAAAAGAATTAAAATCAATTGGTAAATCATTGACCATTAACAAGAATGATGATTTAGAAGAAGTTGATTTCCCAAAATTAGAATCAATTGGTGGTGCTTTACAAATTTCAGATAATGAAAACTTAAAATCATTAGATGGTTTCCCAGAATTATCAACAGTTGGTGGTGCTGTCAACATTAATGGTTCATTTGATAATGGTACTTTCAGCTCTTTAACTAGAGTTGCTGGTGGTTTTATTTTAAAAATTGATGGTGAATTATCATGTTCAGCTTTCAATAAATTAAATTCAAATGGTGATGTTAAAGGTGATAAATTCCAATGTCAAGATAAAGTTACTACTTCATCATCATCATCAAGAAAATCAGGTTCAGATTCATCAGATTCATCATCTGAAACTGGTTCATCATCAGGAAGTTCAGGTTCTTCATCATCAGGATCATCAGGATCATCTTCATCATCAAGTAAACAATCAGATGCTAATTCATCAAGAGTTGGTTTATTAGCTTCAATCATGGCTACTTTTGGTGCTATTGGTATGGCTTTCGTTTAATCGATGAATATACTATTAGTTGATTTTCCACCATTTAATAAAAGAGTTCATAATTTTTTTATCTTTCTTGTTCACAAAACCTCGTTAATGTTTTTCTAAGTTAATAAATACATAATACTAATATTTAATGCTATTTAAGTTCATGATGTAAATGCTTCACTTATTACCTCAACAATAGTTCTAGTCGGAGAAAAGTATATCTATAGTATAACCTTCTCAATATCTGGCAAATTCAAAACTTTAGCAATTTGCTCAACATATGAATCCGCAATAGTCTCTATATTCAAGTCTTTATTCAGGTCAGCCTTTCCATTATTCAAATTCTCATCTATCGAAGTTTGTTTACCATTTTTTAACCCACATAATTCAAAAGTATTCAAATATTTTAAATCAGGATTTATATTCAAAGAAGTTCCATATTCAGTTATTCCATGACGAATTCTAACTCCGATACTTGCAATTTTATTTTGATTTATAAATATTCCAGGATTTAAATCATCAAATTGGGAAGATAATTCGAATTTTGATTCTAGAACTTTTTGTAATGGTTTTAAAAGGATGTTATTTACATAACATTTCGGTGAAAGTTTTGTAAAATCTTTTAAATTTAAAATTAAATATGTTACTAATTGTCCTTTCCCATGCCATGTCAATTGGCCACCTCTATTTAATTGAAAAAATTTACTATTTAAACTCTTGAAGTTTTGAATGTCACGCTCCGATATTTGATTTTTCAGCTTGAGACCTGAGACATATACGTTTTCGAATTGAAAAGTTAAAACTGTTGGTGGAATTGGTTTTAATTCTGATTGATCAATTTTAATTGGATTTCGTCGTATCTTGGACATTAATGCATTTTGAGCTAAATGTTGATCCATTAATAGATCTTGAATGTTTAATCCATGCTGAAAACTAGTAATACCGGGGAAATGTATATGTTGTAAGCTTTTTAAATTTTTCAGTATTGGTTTATACATTTTAGCATTGTAAAATAAATATAATTTGCAATAATTTCATTTTCTGTTTTTTATGTAAACAAAAACTATTTGGCAACCACAATTTACAAAGATATGAATAAATGTTTTGCTCACCATTAGAAAAATGTCAAGATATAAGGAAATTCAATCTAAGTCTAAACCTGTATCAATTGCAACAACAAATACCAATGTAACAAGTTATGATCATCAACAGGTATCATCAACTCCCCCACCAATTGACACAAAACAATCAAGTACAGATGTAAAGGAAAGCCTAAGACCAAAATCCAAAATACAAGCCTATTCGCGACAACAACTGGCTCATTATGCTATAACCAAAAAGGACATAAAACTACTCACAAAGAAGGAAGATGAACTTAAACATCAAAAACAAGAAGTTGAAACAGATGAAAATCATAACTTTAAAGAAATTGAATTTTTAAATCAATTATATTTAAAAACTAATTCCACTACAATATCCAAAGAATTGAATAATAAGATACCCAATATAACCTCGAATACTAATCTAAATTGGTCAATTCATATTTTTCTTTCTACTATAATGGTGAAATTTATCAATTCTTGGTATTTGACTAAATTAAACACTAACGAATTTGAATTTATTGAGAAATTATATAATGAAGTTATAATTGTTTTTGCTAAGGATTTAAATCTGAGGATTTGCAAGATTTTTGAAAATGAAGATAAAATATTAACTTTTGTTGATAATTTGATACATATATTAAATGAACATTTAAACGAATTTGTTGATAAAGATTTGAGAAAGTATCCTAATAAGGTGATAAATGATTATTATTATGAATCAAAAAGCTGTAATAGTCTAGCTTATGAACCCAATTTAAAACCAAGCGAAATACTAAATCAATATTTAGCTCAAAAACATATAATTTTTGATCCGAGTAATGAAGAAACACAACTTCTGTATTTTAGAATCATGGTAAAAAAGATTTTACAAACTACATTCAAAGATCCAAATAATATCATATTTAACTCAAAAATTTCAAGTGATTTAGTTATACTTATAATAAGTGATTTAATACTCAACAAGTTATTTGAAAGATTATCATCAGAAGAATTTTTTATTGGTAATTTTGATAAAGTTATCAGTAATTTACTATTAACGATCAAGTCCAAAAAGAAAGTAAAAGAAGAAAAATTATCCATGCTAAGCAAATTAAATCGAATAATCAATAGCACAGCTTTGGGAATAAGTTATTTGACCAAATATCGAGATCATTCATTTGACTTTTTAAAATCTTCAATTTTCAATTTGTTGAATAATTTATTCTTCATAGACGTATACAAGCCAATGATATATGGATTGTTTTATTCTACAAATAGTTTGATTTTGATGTTTGCTGGCTTACATAATTTGATGAATACTTTGATCTTGAATTTTATTTTCTATCAAATCAAAAAATTGCAATTTGAAGAAAAGTTGAGTGGATTGATTGATGATTTGAGGGTGCAATTATTTTATGAAAATAAAACTGAATTGAAACAAGAAGAACAAACCGAAATGCTTAGGTTAAAAGAATTATCTGATAAAGTGAAAGAATTGCTTCAAAGTATACCTATAGTTACCAAATTATACAGTAATGAGGAACATTTAACAAATACTTTTAATCTGATTTTAATAATATTTACTAAAGACGAAGAAATTGATCCAAGAAATAAAATGAACAAGTATTTGGTTATCAAATTGTTGGATTATATAGTTCATTCTTTATATACTGAAATATAAGATATGTACCCTTGTTTTTGTGTAATATGTATTTTCTCGTATTTTATTGTAGAATCATGAAAAGTAAACCAATCACTTATCAAAAATCCAATTTCAACACAATTCATAATTAACAATGGAGTGGCTAAGACTGTCGTCACGATACTCCAGTAGGTTGCTACAGAAGCAGATCAATCTTCAATTATATTTGGGTCAAAGAAGAAATTTTGTATTTACAACATTAGCAACTACTTTATTTGGGTCAATTTTATGGTCAAAAAACAATGTCTTAGCATCAAAGATGGAGAATGGAGAACTACATTATAATGATCCAAACAAAAGCATGACAACAAAAGCAAATCAAAAACCAACATTTCAAAGATCAAAACCAGATTATCCTAGTCATATTCCATTAAGTAATATCGAAAAATTTATGATGTTTGTAGGTTCATCAATTGGATCGTTTTATCATCCAGAAAGAAATGAATTTATTGTTGCTTTGGGGGAATCCACTGCTATTGAACCTGTTTTGAAAAGTTTACAAAAGACAATGTTAAGTGATCCTGTGGGAAGACAAATTTTGAAAGAAAGACCAAGAATCACAAGTACTTCATTAGATTTAGATTATTTAAGATCATTACCTGATAATACTATTGGAAAACAATACATAATATGGCTAGATAAAGAAGGAGTAAGTCCAGATACTAGAGTTGAGGTGAAATACATAGATAATGAAGAATTAGCATATATTTTTCAAAGATATAGAGAATGTCATGATTTTTATCATGCAATAACTGGATTACCAATAATTATAGAAGGTGAAATATCAGTAAAAATATTGGAGTATTTGAATATAGGTATACCGATGAGTGGATTAGGCTCATTATTTGCACCACTACGTTTAAAGAAAAGTCAAAGAAAAAGATTAAGAGAAATTTATTATCCTTGGGCTTTTAAAAATGGTCTTTATTCGAAACCATTAATTAATGTATATTGGGAAAAGATATTGGAAAAGAATATTGATGAATTTAGAAAAGAAATGAAAATTGAACCACCACCAGACTTAAGGGGATTAAGGAAAGATTATTTTGCTGAAAAAAGAAAAGAAAAAGAGTTGAAAAATCAAATGATATAGATTTTATAGGTGATTTTGATGGAACGCATCATATTTAAAATTACTATACATTTCTATATTCAACCTTTTGTGATTCGAATAACTTGAAACAAACTTGTTCCAAAAAATATTAGCCCCAAAAAAAAGCTACCAAATAAAAATTAGACGAAAAGGCTGTACAAGAGTCTTAATAGTTATGCTAAAAAAACTGATTCAGATCACATTTGAGTCCGAAACACATTTAATAATATTCTCTAACGATTTTAAAAGAATGTTTTAGTTTGCCGATCGAAAGATTCACATGAAACGTATTTGAATTTTATTTTTGTTTATTTGTGTTTGAAAATATTTACTTGAGATGAAATTGTTTAATTAAATGAAATAATATAAATATATAGCAACATTCCGTTTTGTTTCACTCTGCTCTAATATTATGCTTTAATTATATTAACCTTGTATAACAGCTATTTTGAGAATTCAATACAGACTAGATCTACATCAGCTTTTCACTAGTCATGTCTCAAATTTTGTATAAGTATTTTTTAAATAAAGTATGTGTATAAAAAGCCACTCAGAAATTTATTATAATGTGATAATTATACTAACTAAAAAATTTGAAGACAAAATTAGATCATTTAGTTACTTTTGGAGCACCTGAGGAGGATCCATATTACGAAGAAATTCCAGACAAAGACTTACATTTTTATCAAAGGAAAGGAGCCAAAAGAAAAAGAAAATTACCATCTTACATCCCTAAACATGATTTAAAAATATTGAATAAAGTCAAAAGCCGAGCTTATACTTTAGACCTACAATTAAGTTTATGTGGTCTCAGAATTGGATGGTCTGCTGTAATTGGATTAATTCCTTGGATTGGTGATTTAATTGCTTTTTATTTTGCTCTTCAATTGGTGAAAACTGCTAAAAAGATCGAAGGTGGTTTACCGAAGAGTTTAGAGACTGAAATGATGGCGAATGTTACATTTGATTTTGGGATTGGTTTGATACCTATAGTAGGAGACTTTATCAATGTTTTGTACAAATGTAACTCTAGGAATTTCATTTTGTTGGAAAAGCACTTGGTAAAAAAATATGGTAATGTTCAGAATAATCAACAAGCGATTGGTAATAATACAAACCCTTCAGGTCCAGCAGCAGCAAGTACAACAAAAGCAAATGCTACGCAAGGCAAAACTACTGCTGCTCGTGAAATAGATCAGCCATACAATCCAGAATTACCAAGAGCTCAAAATAACATACCACCAACTTACCCTGGACGATCGGTTCCTAAAAGATCAGTTGACACTACTGAAATTGGAAACAAAGTTTAGTTAAATATTTCATTCTGTTTCCATTGCATTGTATATTTAGTCAGGTAATTTAATCAATTAAAATTTTTTGCTATAATCATCCAAGTTCTTTGAACCTCAGTTCAATCGCGTCCAACCTATGGTTAAATTCTTCAACGAATAAAACTAACTGATCTATCTTCAGAAACTCTAACTCTAGTTCATTACATTTTTTCATTAGTTCATCAATCTTCTCATACTGAGTTGATAGCTTCAATTGTTTCTCAAAATAATCTTCGTTAATGTATCGTTGTTTTTGTAGAATTGACGTATATGTTTGATCTGTTAGGGTTTTGATATAGTCCTTAATTTTGTACATTAAGTAGTCATAACTTAATGATAGTTGATGTAATTCTAATGGATCTGATTCAGAAATAGGATCTGTATCTTGAGAGCGTTCTTGCGGAGATGGCAGTTTTAGCTCTGCATCTTTATGTTTTTGCTTATTTGCAGTTGTGCTTTGGTGTTTCGTATGATCCATACATGAAGTTAACTTGATATCTGAATTGATCCAATTATGTTCTGGTTGGATCCAAATGTGGATTGAATTAAAAGTAAATCGTTGTCTTATCCGGAAAAAATAAATTTGAACAAAAAATTCGGAATCAGCAAACTAATTTTAATTCAACGACAATAAAAGACAATCTTATCTTATCAATTGAACAACCAATTTTTGCTACACAGTCAATTCAACTGACATGGCATCATCATACTCGTTGGATAAAATAAATCCGAAGTTATTGAGAAGAATATACCGAGCATGCAGACCAACAAACGATGAACCAAATTTAGCGCTTAATTTAGAAATTTGTGATTATGTGAACGCAAAGAAGGGATCAGCTCCAAGAGATGCTGCCATAGCTGTCGTTAAGTTAATTAGTCAAAAAGATCCTCAAACTTCTGAATTAGCTCTTGCTTTATTGGATAATTTGGTCAAAAATTGTGGATACCCATTCCATTTACAAATTTCAAGAAAGGAGTTTCTTAATGAGTTGGTCAAAAGATTTCCCGAGAGACCTACATTAAGGTACTCGAGAGTTCAACGTTTGATCTTAGCACAAATTGAAGAATGGTATCAAACCATATGCCGTACCTCCAAATATAAAGAAGATTTTGGTTATATTAAAGATATGCATAGATTATTGTCAAATAAAGGTTATATATTCCCAGAAGTAAAAGTTGAAGACATTGCAGTATTAAACCCAGGAGATAATTTGAAATCGTTAGATGATCTTCAACAAGAAGAAGCAACGGTACATTCTGCCAAATTACAGGAATTGATTAGAAGAGGTAGACCACAAGATTTACAAGAAGCCAATAAATTAATGAAAATTATGGCAGGGTTTAAAGATGATAACTTGAAGGAAAACAAAAAACAATTAAAAGACGATATTGTCAGATTGACCAGAAAAGTGGAGATTTTGAGTGAGATGTTGACTTCGATAGAATCTACTGGTTCTAAAATCGATGATAACTCAGATGAAGCTTTGGTGGAATTATATAGCTCTATTAAAAGCTCCCAGCCTATTATAAATAAGATAATTGAACAAGGAGATGATGGGGAAGATGACATTCATGGTCTTTTATCACTCAATGACGATGTTAATAATGTAATCAATAAGTTCCAATTATTGAAAGGTGGGAATGTTGAAGAGGCAAGTAAAATCAAAGTATCTGGTGGTGGAAACGCTGGTGCCGACTTGAATTTGATAGATTTTGATGATGCACCTGAAGATGTCACTGCAAGCAAAGAGCAAGGATATAATGACTTATTGAGTGACTTATCTAATTTGACATTTGGAGATAATAATTTGAACTCTTCATCTAATGGTTCACAAGTAAATCCACTAAATTTATATGGCTCTGGTGGCTCAATAGCACTTGGAGGCAATCAAGTAACACCCATTCAACAACCAAAACCATCTTCTGCTAACAACAATTCTTCCAAATCCTCAAATTTAGATTTGTTAAGTGATTTAAATTCGCCATCACCACAATTACAATCCAATATAAGTAAACAAACCTCAATCAACTTAGATCCTTTTGGGTTTGATTTTCCATCGACTACACCATCAAGTTTACAACAATCATCACAATCCCAACAATCACAAAATTATATCAAGATTTTAACCATAGACCAAACAAGTAATTTGAAAATTGAAGTTGGAGTATTACAAGAACAGACGAACCTATTCAAGGGGAAAATATTATTTTCCAACCAATCCAATAAGACTATATCAAATGTTAAATTTATGATCGCTGTACCAAAATCTTGTAAATTAGATTTGAAATCACAATCTAATGATATATTATACGGATTCAATAATCACGGCATATCCCAAGAGTTCAGTGTTGAAAATCCTCAGAGCAAGCAATTGAAAATAAAATGGAAAGTAGAGTATAAGATCGATAATGAAGTCAAAGAAGATACAGGAGTATCAGTTCTATAGATAATTTTTTTTTTTCATTAAAGTAAATCGAAATATAGCAAATATAAAATGTTTAAATCGCATGAACAAAGTATAGGAACGAAGAATTGAAATCACAGCACCAATTATATAGATATTCAAACCGAATTTGAAACTTAAGGTTTGACTAAGGAATCGTTGATAACGAATATCAAACCATTTTCAACTTGTTTGACAGTATCAACTGGAATCCATTTTAGATTATTAGCTTTAATGTAGAACCTTTGGGTCAATAAATCTTGTTTAATTTTCAAATTTTCACCATTATCTAAAGTGGTCAATACGACTTTTTTATTACCATTCCCTTTTTCATCATCATTCTCAATAGTAATCTTATTCTCAAAATTAGTAACAATGTGACCGTTCAAAAAGTTATTTAAATTATCCTGTAATATTAAATCTTGCTCTTTCTCACCTGTTACTGCATCTATATTTTTTGGAAACTCCCATGGTTTTAAATTTGATAATTTGTTTTCAATAGCATCATCAGTAGGGGTTATGATTAGCATATTTGAGTCCAAACTTTCTGTTTTAGAATTTAAATTTGAATTGCCCCTAATATATCCAGCAAAAATTGAGATTGATTTTAATTGAGGTAAGATGGATTGCAATAAGTTATTGAAAGAGTCAGATGCGTTAAATGTGAAGATCAAGTCGTTGTTTTTAGACTCTTCTTCACCCTTACTGCCATCTAAAATTTGTTGTTCATCACTTCGTTTGCTATTTGATTTTGCAAACTGCTCAATGTTGAATTTGTTTTTGGCATCTCTTTTCGATTTTGAGTCATTTTCGGTAACAAAATCTGACAAACTTACTGTATCTTTTCTCTTTGTCTTGGTAGATTCATCCTTCAATGCATTCAATATATCAGTTAAATTCGGTGTGTTTTTAGCATCTCTTTTGTTTTTGTTTTTGTTTCCGGATGGTCCCAATTTGCTAAAAATTTCTTCAAAATCTGGGATATCTTTTGCATCTCTTGTACTAATTTCCCTCAAAGTTTCATAAATTTCTTCAAGAGCCGGTGTATTTTTAGCATCTCTTTTAAATTTAGAATCTCCCAATGATTTAAATAATTCTTCCAAATCTGGGGTGATTTTAGCTTCTCTTTTCTCACTTATAATTTCTAAACTCTCTTTCAATGCTTGTAAATTGGCAATGTTTTTAGGTTCGGCTTCTCTTTTGTCGATTTTACCTGAATCTTTTAATGCTTGTAAGTTGATAACATTTTTTGATGATACCATAGTTGAAAATGCAACCACAAATATTATCGATAAGACCTTCATGTTAATTATAACAGATATATTAATAACTAGAAAATTTGTTGATTGATTAGCAGTTGAATGAAGGAAATTAAGGATGTAACAGTTAGCTTGTTTAAAGGGATAATGCTTAGGCTAATCTATTTATTTACTTACTTGACGAGAAATTTAAAACGAGACTAGAATGACATATTTTTACTGTCATAATGTCATTAATCCCGACTTTGTCAACAAATGCTTGATCACTTTATCAAGAAATGCTTGATCCCCTGTCGAGCTTTGTAAATTTGGCAGCTAAAACTCAGAGTAAACAATTACAATGATTTGCTTTTCATAACAGTCGTAACTATGTATTCAAAAACACAAATGAGACTAAGAGAGCCTCAGATTTAAACTATATTTTAATCTTAACTTATGTGCCCTTAAGTCTCTCAACTTCCTAACTTTAAATTCATCGTATCTAGCATCTTTCAACAATTGTTCAAAATTTATTTCTTGATCGTTTGATTTATATCGTTTCAATTTTTCACGTAAGTTTGTTAAGGTTGAAGATAAGTTATTTCTTTTATGTTCAAGTTTGTTTACCTCATTCTGAATCTTAACATAGTGTTTCATTATCTGGGGCGTTATTGTATTTCTGTAATTCTCTTTGGCATCTTCAACATCTAATTTTGGTACCAATCCATAAGTTCTAGTTGAAGTCAAAACTTGTTTTAATCTCAAACTATCTTTTGTTGTTTCTCTTAATAACTCACTAGAGTTTCGAAGTAATTGAATTGATTCCAGTAGTGAATTATTACAGTTTTCTAAATTGCTATAGGTTGAGCTCGACATGATTCCTTTATCAATTTGTTTATTAATCCTAGAATGCTTCAATGAATCATTGTTTTGACTCCAACTCAATTTTTTTTTGATAAGAGTAAAAGCCGCAACAATTGCTCTTTATGTTTAGTCAATAAACTGAGATAAAAAAATCAAAAGATAATTTAGTAGCTTTACGAATAAATAATTCATAAAATTTTCAGGCAATATACTCAGAATCATATCATTAATACAATCCCTTCATTATCTTTTTAAAGATCATACTACATCTTATCCATCAAATTCAAGTCTACCTTTTGTTGTGGAAGACAAATATTATTAATATATAAGAAGAAAAATAGACGAAAAATAAATCATTGCATACGACCCATATTCTACGACTTTTGATGAAATCCTGTTAATAATAAATCTAAAGATAAACTGGCTTAAGTGTCTTTTTTATTTTATAGTCTATAATATATCAAAGAATGACAGATATATCGGAAAATTTCGACAATCTACAGCATTCTAACAACCTCATGGAAATGAAAAAAGAAAATAAGAAACAACCATTTCCCAATTTAGAACAAAGGAAAGGTGGAGTAATTCACATAAAGAACAATGCACAAAAAAATGGATCCGTCACAAATACAGCTTCAGCTCGTAAAAGATCAAATTCACAATCACAAGTTGTAAATCTACCGATTAAACCAAAAACATCTAGAGACATATCAAATTCATATAATTATAATAATTTCACAAATTCATATCCTAGAAAGAGAAATCAGATACAATATTATGTTACTCTACTACCGTTGAATGATACTTTTGTTAAGAAGCATTTACCAGTTTCGATATTTCCAGAAACAACTAAACTTGGGAGACCAACAGGAACGAAGCACAAACCAGATTTCACAAATGGGTACTTTGATTCGAGAGTTTTATCGAGAAATCATGCACAAATCTACGTTGACTCAAATAATGGAAAATTAATGCTACAAGATTTGGGATCATCGAATGGTACATATCTAAATGACACTAGACTTTCGAATGAGCCAACTGAAGTGAAGATTGGAGATGTCGTTTGTCTTGGGTTTAATGTACAAGCAGAATCAACACATAAACAAATAAGCCTAAAAATAGAAAATGTAGATATTGTTGCAAATACAAAATTTGATACTTCAGCATTAAACAAAAATCAATTTGACACCCCACAATTCAAACATCTTTCATTTGTTGAAGAAATATATCGAAAAATAAATACGGAAGACAAAGAAGCGCAAAAACTGTCAACAAGTTTTGACACCGCAATGTTTGGTGATGTGAATCCAATATTAGATGATGAACTTCTAGGTTTGTTTTTAAATAATACAGGTATATATAATAATTCACAAATCACAAACACATCCACTTTTGAAAAAGTTATCAATACTTTACTCGACACTTTGTCAAAAGTCAAACAGCAATCATCAGCTATTAATTCATTGCAAAATTTTATTACTAATTATGAACAAGAGAAGGACGAATTGAATAAAAAGTACATAGAAGAAGAATTTTCACAAAGAAGTGAAATACTAAGAGAAGAGTTGAAACAAGAGCAACTTAAAAGTAAGTCATTGGAAGGAAAGCTAAATAAATTTAAAACAGACAAAGAAGCTGAGATAGAAGAATTAAATAACAAATTAAAAACAGTTGAAAATGAGAAATCAAGTATGTTTACTTCAATAAAAGATTTACAGGAAAAAATAAATTTCAACGAAAGGAAATACAAAACTTTAACTGAGCAACTAGAGGAACTTCGACAGCCCAAGATTACCAAGGAAGCGTCAACATCTACCTCCGGTGATTTTCTGAATGAAGAGCATGATCTTGTATCTGATGCAATCAACGGATTCATAATGGATTTATCTCGAACACCATCAGTACGTGATAACATGAAAGGTCTAGAAAGTGCGCTGATAAATAAAAGCACTACTTTGAAAGATGCAATTGAATTAACGCCGCCTTCATCAGATAATGAGGAAGAGGAAAATGAACCAGACGAGAATAATGTTGAAGCAGATGAGATCAACCATCAGAACGGAAATCAATCTAGAAAATCCTCAAAAGATTTATACAGAGAAAATTTGTCATCATCATCAATAATAGCTACAAACTTAATGTTAAATGATGTTGAGCCATTTCCAAAGGTTGAAGATTCACCAAGTGTTTCTTCAACGAGTTCAAATATTCTGCTTTCGGAAAGATCTATTCCAGGTTCATCCAATTTAACACAACATAACAAATTTGTTTCAATGAAGTTATCAGATCAGGATAAACAAAGATTTTCCACTTTTGCTATTGCTATGTCTTTCTTATTGTTAGGATATTATTTACAAAGATTGGTTAATTAAATCAATATAGCATTACAGGTTGTTGAATAACATCGATTATTTTTGGACCGTAGTAGCTGTTTATCTTCTAATTTCGATTCTTGTGCTCTTATCATTTCAAATGGTAGAGAATATAATCTTCTGGCTTAAGTAAAAAATGATTTCTTCAATCCTTTTTTAGCCTCATTTTTCCAATTCATCATAACTATAAATATCTTGTTCATTAAATGTCTATTTAAGCTTTCCATATTTTAGAAACTATATTAACTATACCTCCATCCTTTTTTTCCATCACGTAGATACCATAACCAGCAACTCCAGTACCAAAAGTTAACAAATACATGGCATAATTGTACCAATCTCCATAAACTCTTTTTGGAATATAATCTATAATACAAGATTGGAAACCTGCATAACAATGATATAATAATAATGCACTCAAAGTTGAATCAACTAATGTTGAAGCACCTGTAAAAATTGGTAATAAAGTTAAAGGAACTAAGCCAATACTTACCAATCTTTCCGCCGTCCAATGATATGATCCTTCTAATTTATGTGGTTTTGGTGGTACATAAGCATCATTTACCGTTCCAACAATAAATCCTGGTGGTTGAGGTATGGTTTTTATACCTCTAACTAAAGTTGGTCTTACTAGTTTGGATGATAATCTTGAAGTTTGTTGAAGTCCAAGACGTGATAACATAATGATGTGTATATGAATGAATGGATTGTTTTAAACTTGAATATATAAAAGGATTGATATTTGGTTTCCCCGGGTTTTGATATAAATCAATTTTTACAAAATTGTCTTACGCTTATTTTCGAGACTTTTTTAATTGGTTGACTTATATACAGGTGTTTTAAGACAAAACATTGAGAAAATGTGACAATAAAAATGTCACTTAAAAATGTCACTAGCACTTGCAAAAAAATAATAAATCTTAGGCTAAGACTTGGTCTCGTTTATGAATGCTCAGAATGTGATTTCAATTTCATGAACTTTGTTCACGTTAAATAATTTGATATACTTTTACAACTTCCAACAAGGATTGGTCTTTGTTGAACATGAACCATCACTGTTGTTGATGTTATTGAGATGTTCTTTTTTTGTGATACATCTTTCTTACACTTCAGCTTTGCTCAGCTTTAGACTATAATAGTGATTCAAAGTGGTAGCATAAATTTGCAACGTAAAACGTATTTACGTGGTGATTAATTTTTAGAGCGTGGTGGAAAAAAATAATGATCTATCAGTCAGGAGAAGTTACAGCACAAATACTTTAACAATTACTACACAACCTAGCATGGAATTTGATTTAGAGCCAACATTAGAAGCGTTAATAAAACAAGATACATTAAAATGGATTTTTGTAGGAGGGAAAGGTGGTGTTGGTAAAACAACAACTTCATCATCAATAGCCGTTCAATTGGCTTTACAACATCCAGAATCCGAATTTTTATTAATCTCAACGGATCCAGCTCATAATTTATCAGATGCATTTTGTCAAAAATTTGGAAAAGACGCAAGAAAAGTTGAAGGGTTATCCAACTTATCATGTATGGAAATAGATCCTGAAGCAGCTATGAGTGATTTACAGCAGCAAGCATCACAATATAATAATGATCCAAATGATCCTATAAAAAGTATTATGAATGATATGACTGGTTCAATACCTGGTATAGATGAAGCTTTATCTTTTATGGAAGTTTTGAAACATATCAAAAACCAAAAAGTAAATGAAGGGGATAGTAAAGATAAAATTTCATACAAAACGATCATATTCGACACTGCTCCTACTGGACATACACTACGTTTTTTACAATTGCCTTCTACTTTACAAAAATTGTTAGGCAAATTTCAACAATTATCTGGGAAATTAGGTCCAATGATGAGTATGTTAGGTGGAGGAGGAGCAGGTCAACAAGATATATTTGAAAAATTAAATGATGTTCAAAAAAATGTTGCAGAAGTAAATGAACAATTTACAGATCCAGATTTAACAACGTTTGTGTGTGTTTGTATATCCGAATTTTTATCATTATATGAAACTGAAAGAATGATTCAAGAGTTAATGTCATATAAGATGGATGTTAATTCAATAGTCGTAAATCAATTATTATTCGCTGACGATGACGAAAATCCATGTCAAAGATGTGTAAGTAGATGGAAAATGCAAAAAAAATATTTGGATCAAATGGCTGATCTTTATGAAGATTATCACTTAGTTAAAATGCCACTATTAGGTACAGAAATTAGAGGTGTTGAAAATTTAAAAAAGTTTTCTAAATTTCTTTTGGTACCTTATGATCCAAAGAAGGACAATTCTTTGATTACTGAGATCAAAAATGTATAATATATACATGTATAAATACATCCATATAGAAGTAGATTTGTTAATCAAAAATTATAGTAATAGCCTATATTTTGTATAACTCTCACTACAAAGATCCTGCAGATAAACTCAGTATAGTAAAATCGAAAAACGATTTAATAAAAATTTGGTCCATTGATTTCAATATAGTCTGAACTAAACCAGGTTCTTTAATACCGCATTCAGTGGTTGCATTAATTTGTTAATACTACATTCATGGCAAGAGGTAATCAAAGAGATTTAGCTAGAGCTAAAAACTTAAAAAAGCAGGAAGAAGCAAAAAAAAGTCAAAAGCAAGGTGATAAAAATAAGAGAATGGAAAATGATGCTGAAAAAATGAGAGCAAAACAAGCAGCAGGTATGTAATCAGAATAATGGAACTTTAATCTTATGATTGATATTAACTTGATAATTTTAGCCGATGCTAAGAAGGAAGCGGAGAGATTATCGAAAATCCAGAAGAAGTGATTTGGGCAATTTGTATGGTCTTAATTCATATCATTCTCAATTGAATTATCGTATTTGGATCTTCATTCTTCATGGTTCTATGTAAATTCATGTAAATAGAAGCATAAATGTACACTTGCAATACAAGACACGCTGGAATATATTATTTTTTAAGTACATAAGATGCGGCTTTTCAACCCCATAATTAGTAATTTCCAGAGATTGGAAATTATTTAATTTTACATTCTAAACCTTAAATTTATTTTATTAACTTTAATGAATTATTTTTCAATTTACTTTGCATAATGAATTTTCATTGGTTTATGCATAACTTAAATACTCGCCCTTTCTTCCTTCTATTCTTTCTTTTTGCTTTCCAACATTAATTGCATTCTAAGTATACTCAATTGAATTCAAAATGTTAGTTGAAGATTCATTCGTTGATATTAAAACCAGTAATGGTACTACTATGAGAATTTTTGTTTATCATCCAAAAATTCCAAATTATCCAAATGTCAAATTTCCTGGGGTTGTGTATGTTTGAAAAGTCTAAGAATTTACCATTGAACAATCAATTGCTTTACTAACTAAATAATTTTAGATGTTGGAGTGAAATTTATCAGGTTACTCCACCTGTTACTAGATTTGCAAGAGATATTGCGTCTGCAGGTTTTATCGTTGCATGCCCATCAGTCTATCATGATTTTGAAGGACCAGAAGCATTAGCTTATGATGATGAAGGAACTGATAAAGGTAACAGATACAAAATTGAAAAAGAATTGAAATCATATGATGAAGATATTAAGTTAGCTATTGATTTCTTAATTGGTTTAAAAACTTGTAATGGAAACATTGGTTCAACAGGAATGTGTTTAGGAGGACATTTAGCGTTTAGAACAGCTTTGGATCCAAGAGTGAAAGCTGCTTTTTGTTTCTTTGCAACTGATATCCACATTCATGCTTTAGGAAAAGGTAAAAATGATGATTCCTTAAAAAGATGTAATGAAATTAAAGGTGAATTGATCATGATTTTTGGAGATAAAGATAATCATGTTCCATTAGAAGGTAGAGATCTTATTAGAAGTGAATTAAGAAAGAATAAAGTTGCTTTGACATTTATTGAAATTAATGATGCTCAACATGCATTTGTAAGAGACGAAAATAGTAAAGGTAGATATGATTCTCAAGTCACCAAATTATGTTTTGAATGGTTAATGGAATTATTCAATAGAAAATTGAAATTGGATTACGGTGACCATGATGGTAAAGAAAGAGTTATTGAAGATGTTTGTTGAATCAATAAATAGTGTTTCCAAATAGTAACTAAACACACGACTACTTTTTCTTGTCTATGAAAGATTTTTTTTATTATTTTTTTTTCAGTAGAATAAAGTGAAACAAATCAAAAAAACAACCACCTCCACGAATACATATATAACCTCATAATGAGACCTATAAAGTTAATGGGACACGAGCGTTCCTTAACGCAAGTTAAATATAATAGAGAAGGAGACTTATTGTTTTCTGTGGCAAAAGATAATGCAGCATCAATCTGGTATTCATCAAATGGAGAAAGATTAGGAACTTTGGAAGGACATCAGGGTGTAATTTGGTCGATAGATGTTGATCCAGAATCAAAATTATGTGTCACAGGCGGTGGTGATTTAGCCATAAAATTATGGAAAGTCGAAAATGGTGAGTGTGTATATACTTGGAATAGTCCATCACCAGTAAGAAGAGTATCTTTTTCACCAGATGGTAAGAAATTATTAGCCATTGCTGATCAAGTTATGGGTCATATAGGTACTATTTCTGTATATGATCTCAATCGTGAAGACTTTACATCACAAAATGAACAACCAAGTTTGGTGATAGAGACACAACAAAATGGATCAAAAGCAAATGTGGCAGGATGGGCTGATGATGGAAAATATATAATATCAGGTAATGACGATGGATCAGTTTCAAAATTTGACGCCACTAACGGAAATTTAATACAAACAATACAAGCTCATGGTATACATAATGAAGAAAAAAATGTAAGTTTAACAGATATACAATTTGCCCCAGAAGATAGATCATATTTCATAACATCATCAAAAGACAAATGCGCGGTATTGATTGATGTAGATACCTTTGAAATTTTAAAAGTATATAAAGCAGATGCACCCATGAATACAGCTGCAATCACACCAGTAAAAGATTTTGTTATATTAGGAGGTGGTCAAGAAGCAAGAAATGTTACAACTACTGCTGAATCACAAGGTAAATTCGAGGCAAGATTTTACCATAAGGTTTTTGAAGAAGAGATTGGGCGTGTGAAAGGTCATTTCGGTCCTTTAAATACTATTGCAGTACATCCAGATGGTACTGGTTATAGCAGTGGAGGTGAAGATGGTTTTATTAGAGTTCATACATTTGATAAATCTTATAACGAATTTTTGTTTGACGCTGAAAGGAATGAAAAAGCTGCTGCTGCTGGAACTATATAAATAGTGTTAAATCATTAAGTAATTGTAATAAGAATTAATCACTGTTTATTGTAACTTATCGCCTTATTTCTTGCCATTATTTGTCAACTTTAACACAAAATACAATAATTATTCAGATGTGCAGTTATATACAGGATATGCCGTTTTAATTTATTGCTGCAATTAATTTAATGTGATAAAATCTCACTTCATTTTGTTTCAGATTTATTATAGATTTTTCATTCTTTAGTCAGATACCACACACTTATTTTTCTCCTATTCAACACTTACAACCACTTGAAAATTCATTACCTTCATTATTGAATATTATGTCAAAGTCAGAAAGTTCATCGGATCAAGAATCAAGTCTGAGTGATGTTGGTGGAGGTTTTGTGATTAATGATAAGAATGGCAATAAGAGAAGAAGAACTAGCACAAGAAGAACACCTCAAAGGAAGACTACTAGGAAGACTTCATATGTAGAAATATCAGATAACGACAGTAGTGATGAAGAAATAAACTCAGATACTTTTGCAAACATTGAAACGCCAAAGCAAACGCGTAAAAACGGAACGCGTTCCAAAAAGGTTACACCTAAAAAAGATGCTTCATCTGATGATGACGATGATGATGAAGAATTTACATTAAGCGTGGACGAAATCAAAGACGATAGCTCTTCCGACGATGATGTTGAAATCGTAGGTTCGAGTTTTCAGGATCCAGATGGTTCATCAAGAAATTTAGCTATTGATATAGGATCAGATAATGAAGATGAAGTACCGTTGGCGAATAGACAGCCACCAACACCTCCATCATCAACTTCTGAACAGGTAGATGAACAGCCTAAAAAAAAGCAGAAGCGTGCTCCAGCTAAGAGAAAAAAACCAGCTAAACCCAAAGTATCACATTATGAACGTTCAACTAATAATTTATACACTCATCATCCAGAATTAGTCAATGTATTCCCGGATTTGGCAAAATATGAAGGCATCAAACCTGAAAGAGCACCTCATCCCGAAGGTATGACTTTAAAAATGTTGCCTTTTCAATTGGAAGGTCTTAATTGGTTATTAAAACAAGAAGAAGGTAGGTTTCAAGGTGGTATATTGGCAGATGAAATGGGTATGGGTAAAACTATTCAAACAATTGGTTTATTTATGCATGACACTACCAAAAAACCGAATTTAGTTGTTGGTCCAACAGTTGCTCTTATGCAATGGAAAAATGAAATCGAGAAGCATACTGACGGAAAATTAAAAGTTTTGTTGTTTCATGGTGGTAATAGAGTTAACAAGGTTAAAGAGTTAGAAGGATATGATGTAATTTTAACATCATATTCGGTTTTAGAATCCTCATTTAGAAAACAAAATTATGGATTTAAAAGAAAGGGAAATATGGTGAAAGAAAAATCAGCTTTACATAATACTGTATTTTATAGAGTAGTTTTGGATGAAGCTCATAATATTAAAGACAGAACCTCAGGAACTGCTAGAGCAGCCAATCATTTAAAAACCAAAAAAAGATGGTGTTTAACAGGTACCCCATTACAAAATAGAATTGGTGAAATTTATTCATTAATTAGATATATGAAATTGTGGCCATTTCATATGTATTTTTGTACGAAATGTGACTGTTCAAGTAATGATTGGAAATTTTCAAATGGTAGAACTTGTGATGGTTGTGGACATACTGGAATGTTACATACAAATTATTTCAATCATTTCACTTTAAAAAACATTTTAAAATTTGGTTTAGAAGGTGATGGTATGGAAAGTTTCAAAAATTTAAGATTATTATTAAATAATATTATGTTAAGAAGAACCAAAATTGAAAGAGCTGATGATTTGGGTTTACCACCTAGAATTGTTGAAATTAGACATGATAGATTTAATGAAGAAGAAAGAGATTTATATACATCACTCTATAGTGATTCAAAAAGAAAATTCAATGATTACGTTGCTGAAGGTGTTGTTTTGAACAATTATGCAAATATTTTTACATTGATTACAAGAATGAGACAATTAGCTGATCATCCAGATTTGGTATTAAAAAGATATGGTACTAATCAAATTGCAAACCATATAGATGGTGTTATAATGTGTCAAATTTGTGATGATGAAGCTGAAGAACCTATTGAATCTAAATGTCATCATAGATTTTGTAGAATGTGTGTTCAAGAATATATTGAATCGTTTGATGGTGCTAGTAATAAATTGACTTGTCCTGTATGTCATATTGGATTATCGATAGACTTAGAACAACCTTCAATAGAAGTTGATGAAGAATTATTCACAAAAGCATCAATTGTAAACCGTATTAAACAAGGGTCACATGGTGGAGAATGGAGATCATCAACAAAGATTGAAGCATTAGTTGAAGAATTATATAAATTAAGGTCAGATAAGCACACTATTAAATCAATTGTATTTTCACAATTTACATCAATGTTAGATTTAATTGAATGGAGATTGAAAAGAGCAGGTTTTAAAACAGCAAAATTATCAGGATCTATGTCACCACAACAAAGAGATAATACGATTAAATATTTCATGGATAATATAGAAGTTGAAGTATTTTTGGTCTCATTAAAAGCTGGTGGTGTTGCATTAAATTTATGTGAAGCATCTCAAGTGTTTTTGATGGATCCATGGTGGAACCCAAGTGTTGAATGGCAATCTATGGATAGAGTTCATAGGATTGGTCAAAAAAGACCAATTCGTATAACAAGATTTTGCATAGAAGATAGTATTGAACTGAAAATTATTGAATTACAAGAGAAAAAAGCCAATATGATTCATGCAACAATCAATCATGATGAAGCAGCTGTTAGTAAATTAACTCCGGATGATTTACAGTTTTTGTTCATGAATTAAATAATAATTCAGGTCCTTTTGAAGTAAGATTCCCTAAGAAGCGTTGGTTTGAAAATCCAACATCCAAATCAATTACCTAACTTAATCGACATGTCAACAGGTGCGTTGAATCCTTTGACATTATCTATAAATTAAATTTACTCATCTTAAAAAAGCATCAAATTTAAACCTAGCATTCCTCAATCTAGGTTACATAGCTAGATATATAAAGTAGATTCTAATTCTTAAAACGTACCTGATTTTCTTTCTCTATGTTGTTTCAGCCTGCCCCATATTCAAGTTGACTCATTTATCTTATATGCAAGATTACAAATTTTTTTTAATTTTCCGATTAATTAAGAGCGCTTAACTAATATTTACTTTTAATATATCATTTCAATTTTTCACAGCCAAAATTACACTATACATCAATTATCAAAATCGAATCAAAAATGGCTGATTATTGGGTTGATTACTTGAGTAATCCCACATTATCCGTACTACCACATGATTTTTTGAAACCAGCAAATAACAAATCCGTTGAAGGAAGCTGTACTTTTAAAACATCAAAAGTTTCAGATTTTACAACTGGATTAGCAGTTTTCGCTGCATTGGTTTATAGATTGACTGGTGATGAAGATATTATATTGTCTACTGATACTTCAGCTGAAACTCCTGAATTTATAATAAGGTTGAATTTAACTCCAGAATTGAAATTTGAAGAGTTAGTTGAAAAAGTCAAATCTGAATATGTTAAAAATTCAAATAAAATAGATTATAAAACTTTATCGGAAGTTTCCCAAAAAATCAAGAAACATGCAAAATTGGAAGAAAATCCGGAATTATTTAGATTATCATATCAACATGCAAATCCAAAGCAACAATTGAACACAACCGTCGAAGGGTCAATTCGTGATTTAGCAATATATACAAATGGCACAGACTTTACCATATTTTATAATGCATTACTATATTCCAATGAAAGAATTCAAATTTTAGGTGAACAATTTACTCAGTATATAACAGCAGTAACTGAGAATCCTGATATAATCATAACAAAAGTCAATTTAATAACTCCTACTCAAAAATCAAATTTACCTGATCCAACAATTGATTTAGATTGGTCAGGGTATAGAGGAGCAATCCAAGATATTTTTCAAAAAAATGCTTTAGCACATCCCGATCGAAATTGTGTTGTTGAAACCGAATCATTTTTGGATCCAAGTTCTAAAACAAGGACTTTTTCATATAAACAAATTAATCAAGCATCAAATATAGTTGGAAATTATTTGAAAGAAACTGGAATCAAAAAGGGTGATATAGTAATGATTTATGCTTATCGAGGCGTAGATTTAATGGTTGCAGTGATGGGTGTTTTGAAAGCAGGTGCTACGTTCTCAGTCATTGATCCAGCGTATCCTCCAGCTAGACAGAATATATATTTGTCCGTTGCTAAACCAAAAGGATTAATTGGATTAGAAAAAGCAGGAACTTTAGATAAATTAGTGACTGATTATATTAAGGACGAATTGGATGTTATTACTACCATACCTCAATTAAAAATTCAAGATGATGGATCATTAGTTGGAGGAAAAATTGATGGAAAAGATGTATTGATTGATTATGCTAAATATGCTGATATACCAACAGGTGTAATCGTTGGTCCTGATTCTAACCCCACATTATCATTCACATCGGGATCTGAAGGTATTCCCAAAGGTGTTTTAGGACGTCATTATTCATTAGCTTATTATTTTCCATGGATGGCTAAAAAATTCGGATTATCAGAAAATGATAAATTCACAATGCTATCAGGTATAGCACATGATCCTATACAGAGGGATATGTTTACTCCATTGTTTTTAGGAGCTCAATTATTAGTCCCAACAGCTGATGATATTGGTACACCTGGTAAATTAGCCGAATGGATGGCAAAATATGAAGCAACCGTAACTCATTTAACCCCAGCTATGGGTCAATTATTAAGTGCTCAAGCTACAACTGCTATACCATCATTGCATCATGCCTTCTTTGTTGGTGACATCTTAACCAAAAGAGATTGTTTAAGATTACAAAGTTTAGCTGAAAATGTATATATAGTCAACATGTATGGTACAACAGAAACTCAAAGATCAGTTTCGTATTTCCAAATTGAAAGTAGGAAAGCTAACCCAACTTATTTAAAAAATTTAAAAGATGTTATGCCTGCTGGTACCGGGATGTATAATGTTCAATTATTAGTTGTGAATAGAAATGATACTTCACAAACTTGTGGTGTTGGAGAAGTTGGAGAAATTTACGTTAGAGCTGCTGGTTTGGCTGAGGGATATAGAGGATTACCTGATTTGAATGCTGCTAAATTTATAACGAATTGGTACGTTGATCCTAAAATCTGGATTGAAAAAGATTCTGGTGATGAAGAATGGAGATCTGCTGGTTGGTTAGGACCAAGAGATAGAATGTATAGATCAGGAGATTTAGGAAGATATTTACCAGATGGAAATGTTGAATGTTGTGGTAGGGCAGATGATCAAGTTAAAATTAGAGGATTTAGAATTGAATTGGGTGAAATTGATACTCATTTATCTCAACATCCTTTAGTAAGAGAGAATGTAACTTTAGTTAGAAGAGATAAAGATGAAGAACCAACTTTAATTTCATACATTGTACCGAGAGATTCTCCAGAGTTACAAAATTTCAAATCTGATATTGAAGAAGAGACTGAGGAATTAAATGATCCAATTGTTAAAGGATTAGTTGCATATAGAGAACTCATAAGAGATATTAAGTCATACTTGAAGAAGAAATTAGCTTCTTATGCCATTCCAACAATTATAGTTCCCCTTGTCAAATTGCCATTAAATCCTAATGGTAAAGTAGACAAACCAAAATTACCATTTCCTGATACTGCTCAATTGGCTGCAGTTTCAAAATTAAGTGTTTCTGCAAAAGATATTGAAAATGCTGAAAAGGAAGAATTAACTTCTTTAGAACAACAAATCAAAGATCTTTGGTTTGAAGTTTTACCAAATAGACCAGCTACTATAAGTAAAACTGATTCATTCTTTGATTTAGGTGGACATTCAATCTTAGGTACAAGAATGATTTTTGAATTAAGAAAAAAATTAAATGTTGAGATACCATTGGGAGTCATATTTAAAAATCCAACAGTTGAACAATTTGCAAAAGAAGTTGAAAAACAAATTAAAGGAGGTCAAGATTTTGAATTGGCTGATGGTAGAACCAATGTTGAAGAAAAAATTGAAAAAGATGCGGTTATTGATTATGCACAGGACGCTCAAAATTTATCATCAACTGCTATAAGGACAAATTATGAATCTTTAACTCAATTACCTAGTGACGGTAAAGTAAACATATTTGTCACTGGAGCTACAGGATTTTTAGGATCTTTTATTATTCGTGATTTATTAGAAGCAAGAAAAAATAAACTTGATATTAAAATATATGCACATGTCAGAGCATCATCTAAAGAAGCTGGGTTGGAAAGAATTCGTCAAACTGGTAAAACTTATGGTATTTGGCAAGAATCCTGGACTTCAAATATTGAAGTGGTATTAGGTGATTTATCAAAAGAAAAATTTGGATTAAAAGAATTTGAATGGGAAAATTTAACAAATACTATTGATGTCATAATACATAATGGGGCATTTGTTCATTGGGTATATCCTTATTCTCAATTACGTGATGCAAATGTTATAGGTACAATCAATGTATTAAATTTAGCAGGTGAAGGAAAACCAAAATATTTTGCATTTGTATCATCAACTTCTGCATTAGATACAGATTATTTTGTAAATTTATCAGATGAATTATTAAAACAAGGTAAAGCTGGGTTATCTGAATCAGATGATTTACATGGTTCATCAAAAGGTTTAGGAACTGGTTATGGACAATCAAAATGGTCAGCTGAATATATTATACGTCGTGCTGGTGAACGAGGATTACGTGGGTGTATTATAAGACCAGGTTATGTTACTGGTTTTACTGAAACTGGTGCATCTAATACTGATGATTTCTTATTAAGAATGTTAAAAGGTTCAACTGAATTGGGATATTATCCAAATATAACAAATAATGTAAATATGGTTCCAGTTGATCATGTAGCAAGGGTTGTTACATCAGTTGCTTTAAATCCACCTAAAAGTGATGAATTAGCAGTAGCTCAAGTAACTGGTCATCCAAGAATTCAATTTAATGAATTTTTAGGTAGTTTAAAATCTTATGGTTATAATATTGAAGCTTGTGATTATCCTATTTGGACAAGTAAATTAGAAAAATTTGTTATTGAAGAATCAAAAGAAAGTGCTTTATTCCCACTTTTACATTTTGTATTGGATAATTTGCCACAAGATACAAAAGCTCCTGAATTAGATGATTCAAATACAAGAGCTTCATTGAAACAAGATTCGAATTATACTGGAGTTGATGTTAGTAAAGGTAATGGTGTTACAGTTGATTTGATGGGTACATATATTAGTTATTTAATTAAAATTGGATTTTTACCTAAGCCTCAAGGTAAAGGTGAAAAAGAATTAGTTGATGTTGAACTAACGAAAGAAACTTTGGATTTAATAGCTAAGGGTGCGGGTGGAAGAGGTTCTGCTGCCAAATAAACATCTTATTTAGAAATCTAATAGACTGAGTATAATGTAAATATTTATGAACCGCACTTACTTTTTATAAAATCGATCAAATTTTAAACTTTACGATTTTGTGTCTTTCAAAAATGATTGACAGTAATTACGCAAGAAATTAAAATTAAAATTACTTTTTATTATTAATTTAAGCTGCACTTTAATCAAAGCATTACTTGATAACATTAAACTTAACCATATATTGAAATTAAAACCAATGACTCTACAGATATAACAATTAAATGAATGGAAGTATGAGTACATCCAAAAATTCACCATCAAAACCTTCTACTCCCAATTCAAGCTCCATTTTAAATAACAATTCACAGACTTCCAATGGTTCAGAAAACAATCTACGAAATACGAAAAATGAAAATGGAAGTCGAGTATCAATTAAACTTAGCGATTTAGGAATTAAAGTTCCAAGTAAAAAAAATAATAAATCAAATACAAATGGCGTGGGGAATTTAAATAATAATAATAATGAACCTTCTTGGCAATTGAATAAATTGAATTCAAAAAGTCCATTTAATAAATTATCATCACAACCACAATCACCACAAGCTCCTCAACAGCAACAACCACAATTACAAAAAAGACCATCAAGGAGTCCCTTGTTTAAACTGAAGAATCGATCAGATACAAATATCACAAGTCTTAATTTGAATCATAATAAAAGAAAATCTGTTTCATCAATATCAACTCCTGGTTCAAATTCTATAACTCCTCCATTAATATCAAAATCAAGTGATAATTTACGAAATTTATTAGATCGTGAGCCTCCCATCACTCCACCTGTTTTTGAAGATGATAGTAATATGTCATATTTTAATTTAGATAAAAATCGAAGAATTTCTAGTGGTAATGTAAATAATAACTTTAGATCAAAAGATAGACGAAAACCTTCTTCTTTTAATAATGGAAATAAGAGTAATACGGAACTACTAAATAGTCCTAGATTTATCAGAGATTTTAAAAAATCAATTGCTAACAATTATTTAAATTCATCATCATTCAATTCACAACAACATTCCAATTCTAATAATCCTAAATTACAAGTACAAAAAGAACAAAAAAATCGATTAGTTGATCAATTTTATAATAATGTCCCCAATTCTCCACAAAATAATAGTGATTTAAATAGAATTTTACAAAATAATTTAAATGATAGTAATGAATCTGGATTTTTAGCTTCTTTACAAAATAGTAATGTTAATTTAAAATCAATGGCTCAAGGATTAAGTTCAACAAAAAATAATGATATTAAAAAATTTAAATGGGATCAAGATGAAATTAATGTTGATGAAAAAATGAAAGAATTTGAATTATTACAACAAAATCAACCTCCTAAATCAGGACATTCAACAACAACTACAAATAATATGCCATTTGATTTAAAAGCTAGTGAAGATTTAGTTTTTAGTATTTTAAATAATGGAGGATTTAGTTTTCAATATGATGTTAAACATGTTATAGAAGATGATAAATTAGTCAATTATTTAATAAATATAGATAATATAATTGATGATTATATGAAATCTAAAAATTCAAATCACAGCAACAATCAAAATTTAAATGATGATGCAATGAATCAATTAACTAAGATTATATCATCAATTTCAGATAAAATAATGATGAAATCAAAATTATTAATTCATTCAAAATCTAATCCTATAAAAATGTCAATATTACAATTAAATATAATATCAAATTATCTAATAAATTTAAATTTAGATATAAAAAATTTAAAAAATTATCTAATAACAAATTTAGAAAATACCAAAAATGAAAATAAAGAAATTATTATCAAAAGTTTAAATAAATTAGATAACATAAATGAAAATTTAATAAATTTTGAAAATAAATCAAATTTTTATAAAGATAAAATCTCGAATTCAAAAAATTATATGAATGATGAAATTAATAAAAAAATTAAGTTATTGGAATCTATTAATATTAAAATTCAAAATCAAAAAAATTTAAATAAAACTAAAAATTATTTAAAATTAAATTGTTTGATTATTATTGGATTTATTTTATTTGTTGGTGTTTGGATTTATAAACGTTGATGATATATATCTTTTTTTCATGAGTTACTGGTTATAGACTATTTAAACAAATTTGTTTATGAAAGATTTATAAAAGAAATTAAAGCACGATAGAAGTTTCAATTAGAGGTGTTTGAATTAATGCCAACAGGAGATGAAATTTACTTAACCTGAAAGACGGGTCAGTTACTACGGAATCCGCTATACAAAATACCTCAGAATGTCAACTACAATCACGAGGAATAGACCAACTGGATCACGATTAATTGTTTTTATTGAGCCATAATAAGTTTGCAACAAATACTACTTATATATTTTATTTTCACTTTCTTTTGGCATGAAATTTATATTTTATTAAAACCTTGGCTCTTGTCAATGCTTTGTGGTTTTATCAGCATAATATACAGTATTTTATTATTGTCTAAATCAAGTCTTCGAAAGAAGTATTGCATATTTCTCATTTCCTGAATAAACTGGTACATCACCAAACGATAACTTATTTTGCTTTCCAAAACCTTAAGTTTTCACAATGAAACAACATTACTCATATAAATCTCATTTGAAAATACAATTCAAACTACTTAATACTACTTTTATTGTACTTTTATAAGTTTGATAAATTCATGAATTAGCTCTGGTTAAATTGACAAGGATTCTCTGTACATGTATCGAAAACAAAAACAAAAAGTAAACAAACAACCTTGTTTAGGTGTGTAATGCGGCTGATGTTTATTTCGACAATTGTGAATTAATGTTTGTATCACGTGATTTGGCAGTTGTATTGAGCACATATTCACTTGAGAAACAGCCATTAATATTAACACAAGTTTAATAAACGTCATACAAATACGATTCAAAAATAAGTAATCAACTTATTTATCTTACCTTCATAATAGTTTCAAGAATATTGGAAATTTTAATACCAAGATACCAAATTATCGAAAATGTCGAACACTTTTTTTGTTTACCTTTCGAGAATTGTGTTTGGCTATCTGGCTCACGTGATAGGATTTCCATTCTTGAGACCTGATTTTTGTCTTTTATAGGTATTAGTTCCCAAGTTGAAGCAAAACTTTTCATACGAAATACATTTAAAATTATCTGAACAGCATATTAATGTTATATTTAATGTACCTTTGATATACTAGAAAATTCGTTTTTGGCGAAATGAATTTGACAAGGATTTGTTTTTACATGGTAGGAAAGGTAAACAAAAAAAATACAGAAAGTTGTGTAAATTACACTAATACAATTTTACTATTGCAGTAGGGAACTTGTGTAAAGCTAAATATTGTCCTCTATTTTGCGCTTCAAAATATGTTGTCTCTTATTATTACTAATAGTATCGTATGATTTTTAGTAGAGATCTACGATTATCCACAATGTATAAGCAAGAACCGCAAAACATAACAGTTCAATTCTATTGTTATTGGTGTTACTGTTGTGTTTGTCGTTGTTTCATTGTTTTATTCAAATGTTTTAAATTAGAATTTTATGTTTTGATCTATTTCTATACATACATACATTATGTATAAATTGATTATTCCTACATAAACTTGCGCGAAGTTACGTCATAGACAGTAGAAATATAATATTATATATTGACCATATAATGTATTAGGTGTGAAGCTGAATTTAATGTAATTGAAAGATTACGAGATATGAAAAGTTTATAAATGTTCTATATGCATATGTTAAATATAAGAGACTTGAGCATTGATTTGATGTTGATTTAATTGTGATTTATCATTGTGGAAATTGTTTATATTTCCACTTTTAAAACCGATTGAAGTAATTGAAAATCATAACTTTCTATAAGAAGCGTTTTATTGTCATAAAGCGGCTAAAATTATTTTTCTGTATTAAAGCTAAAAATATATTTGTATATGCTGTATCTTTGATCTAACACTGTTGGCTGAATTACATCATTAGAAGATAAGAAGATCTCAGTGTTAACTATTTAATGATAAACTCAACTACAACGATAGTGATTAAATAGTGGTTTATACTTCTATTAGATGAATTTCATACTATTGGGGTTTCCTATATACAAAAAAAGCCATTCTTTGTCTTTTAATAAAAAATAAAACAAGAAACGGTTTTGATATTTATTTTCATCGGTTAAAAAATAATTAATAAGGTAAAATATTATATTCAACTGTCCTCTGGGGTGCTTTTTTCTTCACTCAATACAACAGAGATATAACTAATGACTATACTAGAAACTTGCTCTGTTGAACTAGTAGAATATTGTTGTAAAATACGTTTATATATTTTTGAGATGATGTATTTATTTAGTATATGTTAGTTTTGTTAATAAGTTAGTGAAGTAAAACATAAAGTAGTGTACTTATGGATAAAACGTATATTTTATCCACTACTATACAGTACTACTAAACCTTAATTATTATCTAACTAAGTAAATTTCTTTTTTTTCTTTTCTGCTTCATTAATTTTATTTTTTTTTTTACAACCAAAAAAGTTTAAGTAAGATAAAAAGAACTAAGCTACTAGAGATAACAATAAGATTCAACCACCACCACTTGTATTCAACTACTCAATCACACCTGTATTCTAATTCACAGTTTTTACATTTCAAGATCTTCAGAACGTTACTTACTGATCATATTATCATTGAATTTCAAGAACAAACTCAACTCAATTCACTCATAGTAATATAATTCTAAAGTTAAATTAAACAAAATTTAAGCTTATATAGTTTTAACAACAACATCCACAACTAGTATACTCAAATCATAAAGTTTAATTAAGCAAAAATAGAATTTGAAGGTTGAAATCATAACTAAAGATCATTTTTTTCATATTTTACTTGTGTTTATACCCCAAATTGAAATCAAATACACTATAAATAGGAGTTAGGAATTAGCATAACCTTTTAAATCCACATTCAATCCATTCATTACAACTCATTATATCTTAGTTTTTATCCTACAGTATCATTTGGGTCAAAAAAGTTGAAATCCAGTTAGCAAATATTCAAGAAGATGTGTGAAATATTATCACTAATAAAAGATATACCAAAAATTAAATTGAATTCAAATAGATATCCACATAAATGTGAAAAAGAAGGTCATAATAAAAATCATCATAGTCATAAACATAACATAGAAAATCAAAAACCACAACAATTAATACAACATTATTTCTCATCTTTTAAATTATTAATTGAACATTTATTTAAAAAGGGAAATCAAGAAACTGATATAAATTATCCAATTTTAATAATTTTAAAAAATGATAATAACCAGGAAAAATCAAATTATGAATCTTTAGAATCATTATCATATAAAGAAAAATTAATTTTATTAGATTATTTTTTTGGTCATTTAAATATTATAATTATACCACATAATCATCAAGATTTTAAAAGTTTAACAAAACAATTAGATTCAATTATAATTCAAATATATAATAGAATTTCAAGAATTGGAATTTGGACAGGTATAACAACAATAGATGATGAATGTGATGTTGATAAACGAATACCAACAATGAATAAATTATTAATTAAAAATGTTTCAAGATCATCACAATCAACTAAAAATTTAATAAAATTAAAAAATTTGATTATTTCAGAAATTGAATTTTTAAAATTATTAGGTAAGCATGATTCAAAACATTTAGCAAAATTATGTCATATAGTTGGAAATTGGTCATTTACAGCTCATGAATTAACAAATGATGATTTGGTATATTGTGTATATTTAATTTTAAACTATTCAATAAAAGAGGTTGAAAAATTGAAAATTGAACAAACAAATGAAAATACAAATACAAATTCAAATTCAAACTCAAACTCAACGTCAAAATCAAATTCATACACAAAAAACTTAATTTTACCAAATTCAAATGAATTATTAGCATTTATTTTTATATTAAGGGATACTTATAGATCAGGAAATCCATTTCATAATTTTCGTCATGCAGTTGATGTATTACAAGCTTGTTTTTATTTTTTAATAAGATTAGGTTGTTTACCACAATTTAAACAATTTATTATAAATCCTTTACAATCTGAATTTGAAATTGAAAAAAATTTAAATTTTAATATAAATGAAGAAGAAATTGAATTAATATCTATATCAAAATTATTTAATTCATCTTTTCCATCATCATCAAATTCATTAACTTCATCTTTTTCTTCTTCAATTTCATTATCATCTTCATCATCAACATCAGATTCAATCACCTCAAATTCATCATCTGTAACAGTAAAACAACCACAAAAACCACATTTAAATTCAATACAAACATTAGCATTATTAATAGCAGCATTAGGTCATGATGTTGGACATCCAGGTACAACAAATGCATTTATGATAAAAAATAAAGCTCCAACATCATTATTATATAATGATAGATCAGTATTAGAATCTTATCATGCATCAATATATATAAATAAAGTTTTAAAAATTTTATGGCCATCATTATTAATAACTCCTATTGATGAAGAAAGTCTTTTAAATATAAATGATTTAATCATATCATCTATTTTAGCTACAGATATGGGAGAACATTTTGAATATATATCAAAGTTAAAAAATTTTAATCAGCAAATTAATTCATATGAGTTAAATGATATAATAAATAAAGATAATCAAATAAAATTAATTTTAGCTTTATTAATTAAATGTGCTGATATTTCAAATGTTACAAGACCGCTTAGAATTTCTTCTCAATGGGCAGTAATTTTACAAAGAGAATTTGATGAAGTAAATAATTTAGATTCTTATTTAAATAATTTACAAAATGATGAAAATTTAACAAATTTTTCAAAATGTTGTATAATTGAAGATGAAGAAATAATATATCCAAAATTACCATTTGAATTATCAGAGATATTAGATAATGAAAACACTATAATAAAAATTTCAAAAGGTCAAATGTTTTTTATTTCAACTTTCGCTGAAAATTTATTTAATAATATAAGTCAAGTTTATCCTAATTTATCTTTTACTTGTGAAATTATTAATAATAATAAAAAATTTTGGTCAAATGAAAAATAATGAATAAATGAAATAAATTAGTGATTAAATAATTATAAAACGATTGGGAAATTGAATGGGTTTGAAGAATGAATTTACAGAGATGAATGATATTTGGGATTGGGAAGTTGTAAGGCGATTGGAATGGGGTTAATGAAGTAAAAAAAATGAAAATTTATAGCATATAATAAACGAACGATTATGAATGGATATATTAATTTATGTGTTATTTCCTTTTATTACATTATCTCTAAGTCACTTATGTAATATCTTGAAATAAGTGAAACAAATTATTGTTTTTTTCGCAACAAGATTCATAAAAATATCATTTACAAGCAGTTTTTTAATTCAGTACTTTGAAATTTTAACTTTCAAAGTATTGTAAACTAGCTCTCAAAGTATTCCAAACGATCTAACTTTTAAATTGTATCGAATAATATCTTCTCTAGCATTTTAGTTGATGTATTAAATATTTTAATGAAAGAAAAAGTTTTATCATTTTATACGTAGGTATGGAGGTAAAAATTCTTATGTATTGAAGTACGGAAGTTTCATTTAATTTTATTAGAGGGGAACTATAAAATTCATTAAGTATTTTGATAAACGTTTGTAAATCTAATGAAGAGAATAATATGATGTAGATTAGTCTAAATATTTATTTTGATTGAGGTACATTATTTATGTCATGCTTTTCAGAATATGAGATGATCTCAGTGAAAAAGAGGTGGTTTTATATTTTGGTGAATTTTTTTGTCATTGTTTGGTTGATTTATTTTTAGTATCATTCATGATTCTTTGATGTCACGAGATTTCAGGGTTTTATTGTCACCTTTAGTATGAAACCACTTTACATTTAATAACTTGCAGATTAAATTTGTAAATCTCTTACTCTATACGATTTTGTTAAGATTTGTTGAATGACATTTGGATACATGTTCATTTCAAATATTACTAGATAAGTAAGAAGGGTTTATTTATGAGAAGTATACTTCAAATTGTTATGAGAATGCTCAATCATTCTAGGACTCGTTACTCCTCTTTTTATATCCTTGAAAAAGTTGAGACAAAGAGTGAGTCGTACCTCAAATTAAAATGCAATGTAATGTGATTAAATTCTTTTAATTCGGGTTATGAATTGACTATTTAGCTTCAATTACCGATATGTACAATTTAAACTATTACTATTTAGAGGAGTCGATCCTTAGATAAGTTTTTATTGATGTGTAAGAAAAGAACAATTTATTGTTTCCCCTCCATTATCTGCACATGATTAGATCTAAAAATCATAATACTTTGTCAAAATTCAACCTTATCGATTGACCAACTACTAAAGTGTTCAAACTATCAGACGCCTTTTGCTCTTTTTGAAGTTCTTCCGCTCAATCTGGACTAATCCAAGACATCTGATTCGTTTGAAAAATCCCAATAAAAGTTTATAGGCTTTCAGATTGATCAATTCTAAAAAGTTTTGTTTGGTTACGTATTTTAAATCAAATTTATTCCGTTCTTCGAACATTCACCAAAAAGAGATCAATAAGGATAAATTAGTAAATCATTACAAATCAAAAACTAGTAAACTCAATGAAGAATCTATCCCCCACTTTTTCAAAGGATCTCATTGATATAAAAAATTTGTATTGTTACTGCAAACTTAAAATTGTTCCAAGATTTTCGGAATATTTATTGATTATTACGAAATCCGGATTATTTATTTTTCTTTGCTAAGTATGTAAGTATAAGGCAATAAAAATAATTTATTAGTATTTTTGTGACGCGTACTTCATTAGTCAGAAGCCTTAATGATCGTCGATTTTGCCCCACAAAAATTTTAAATTTGTATACTGATCATCAAATTTTAAACAAATTTGGAGATAAATTTTTTTTCTTCAAAACTATAGTTAATGTTCAAAGTGTTATAATTCAAAATTTAACATGAGATGTTTAGAAAAAGAGTTTTGGTATATTTGTAGAAGCTAAGAATTTAAATTATTCCGAAGTCATGTATTCGGTTTTAAAATTTTATTTTGATGATACTTCTTTATCATACTATATCTTTTTGAAAAAGATGTGACGAAAATAGAAAGTAACATTTTTGCAATAAAGAATGTAGCCTTATGATCATTAACCCCAGCTTTATAACTTTTACGAACGTAACAGACAATAAAATTTTAAACTGTATATCAATCGGTCATTTTTTTTTCCATTCCTAACTATTGCTATTAGGCTAATATGAAGTAGTGTATTAGGGTCAATTTGTTTGGTTAGTAGTAATGATAAAAATACTGTGTTTGTGTGAGTAAGTAAATTTCGTAAATATGGAACAATTATTTTTGAAATTTGTAACAAGCACAAAAGTACAGTAGTAGAAGATCTCGTCTGATTTAAATGATTACCAGCATTGACAAAAAACCTGAAAAGCTTGCAAATTAGCCAGTCTCGTCCATTTATTCAGCTAAGTAAACTTCTATATTCATTGTATAATAATCTGATGAACCGAAACTGAAATCACATTGTCTACAAACGCTAATAATCGGCTATAAAATATTATGAAGCCTGTTTTGATTGTCTGGAAGAAACAATACAGAAAAGAGTTTGCGGCATTTTATTCTCCAAATTCTTTAATTTGTATCCATTGAACTACTAGCGAGTTAAAGATATCATTCATTTGTCAAAATCAAATATTTGTGAGTGGGATGATTTGAAAATGGTTAGAATTTGCCATTCCAATTTTATACTGCATTTCAGTTTTTGAATGGTATTATATGTACAAAATAATTGTACAAAAGCTAAAGATGAAAATTTTTCCGAATTGACCGACAAAAAGGTGCAAGAGCTTCATACTCAGTAATTAATATCTCCAACTCCCCAGATTTTAGTTTACGAAACCATTCAGACATTAATCCACATAGTAACGAGTACGATTGAGCCATTAATTTCTTTTGCATTCAGCTACTTTTATTTTTATTAGCTTGTTTCAAATAAGGATTACCAAGAAAAATTTTAAAGATCGTTAATAATTTTTCCAGCCGGTAATGTGTCAAAGAAGAAAAAAATAAGATAAGCTTAATTACAGATTTTGACAGATTGATCAAGTTTCATATATCAACAAGATGTAAAGCTACAACCAAACACAAGGCGATATGTATTTGCTAAATTGACTCCACCAGTTTATTGTAACCATAAATATCAAAGCCTGGTCACTTGTTACTATAAAAAAATATCTCTTTTTTACTTTCAATTTTTTTTATGTCTGCATACAAAACAAATAATCCGTGTAGTTTAAACAATCATAATCTAAAATTTTTTTTTGCCTTACTATACAAAATATACCCCGGTGGGGAAGAAATTCTAATGACAATAGGCAAAATAACCAAACTAAGAATGGCTTAATTGAGACTTGAAAATATTATAAATAGCTTTTTATACCCCCCCTGAAATACAAAAAAATTCTGTTGTTTTAATATTCAATATCATTAATCTACAAATATCAAATATGTCTAGCAAAATAGAAGGAGTATTTGCTCCTATAGCATTAAAAATAGCCAACTATTTAGATGGTTTACCTAAAATATATAATCCAGTATTCATTGCTTGTATTTCAACAATAGCAGGTATGATGTTTGGTTTTGATATTTCATCAATGTCTGCTTTTATTGGTCAAAAGCCATATATGAATTTTTTTAATTCACCAAGTTCAACTATGCAAGGTTTTATTACATCTGCTATGGCTTTAGGGTCATTATTTGGTTCAATTTTTGCAACATTTGTTTCTGAACCTTTTGGTAGAAGATTATCATTAATTATTTGTGCATTTTTTTGGTGTGTTGGTGCAGCAATTCAATCATCTTCACAAAATAGAGCTCAATTAATCATTGGTAGAATTATATCTGGTTTAGGTGTTGGTTTTGGTTCATCTGTTGCTCCAGTTTATGGATCAGAATTAGCTCCAAGAAAAATTAGAGGTTTAATTGGTGGTATGTTTCAATTTAGTGTTACTTTAGGTATATTGATTATGTTTTTTATATCTTATGGTTTAGGTCATATTAATGGAGTTGCATCTTTTAGAATTGCTTGGGGTATTCAAATTGTACCAGGTTTAATTTTATTATTAGGTTGTTTTATAATTCCAGAATCTCCAAGATGGTTAGCTAAACAAGGACAATGGGATAAAGCTGAATTTATTGTTTCTAAAATACAAGCAAAAGGTAATAGAGAAGATGCAGAAGTTTTAATTGAAATTTCAGAAATTAAAGATCAATTATTAATTGAAGAATCAGCAAAATCTGTTAGTTATGCAACTTTATTTACAAAAAAATATATTATGAGAACTTTTACTGCAACTTTTGCTCAAATTTGGCAACAATTAACTGGTATGAATGTTATGATGTATTATATTGTTTATATTTTTGATATGGCAGGTTATTCAGGTGATGCTAATTTAGTTGCTTCAGCTATTCAATATATTTTAAATACAGTTTTAACTATTCCAGCATTATACTTTTTAGATAAAGTTGGTAGAAGACCATTATTAATTGGTGGAGCTATCTTTATGATGATTTGGCAATTTGGATTAGCTGGTATCTTAGGTTCATATTCTGTTCCATGGCCAGATTCAGGAAATGAAACTGTTAATATTAGGATTCCAAAATCTAATAAACCTGCTTCAGATGGTGCTATTGCTTGTTGTTATTTATTTGTTTGTTCATTTGCTTCAACTTGGGGTGTTGGTATTTGGGTTTATTGTTCTGAAATTTGGGGTGACAATAGAATATCTCAAAGAGGTAACTGTATTTCAACTGCTGCTAATTGGGCTTTAAATTTTGCAATTGCAATGTATACTCCTTCAGGTTTTAAAAATATTAATTGGAGAACATATATTATATATGGTGTTATGTGTTTGTGTATGGCTATTCATGTTTTCTTTGGATTTCCAGAAACTCGTGGTAAACGTTTAGAAGAAATTGGACAAATGTGGGAAGAAAAAGTACCAGCTTGGAGATCAAGAACATGGCAACCAACTATACCAATTGCATCTGATGCTGATTTGGCTAGAAAAATTAGTGTTGAACATAAAGAAGAAGGACTTATGGAAGATTCAAATTCTGATGAAATTGCTCAATCAGAAGAAAAAGTATAAAATTGAGATAATGAAAAAATATAAACTAAATTTAGTAATATTTTTATTACTAAATTCTAAGTTTTGGTTAAATTTTAGTTCTTCTTGATTGCATAATCAAATCTTTTGTAATACTTAATATTTAGATTTTAATGAACGGTTTTTATGTTGAAATTATTATGACTTTTGATGGTTAGTTTTCATGATTCAATATCTCTATTTATATTCCTTTGAGAATTATCAATCCATATGTACAGCAGACGTTGAAATGAATGAGCTCAACCATTACAATTTAATATTCTTTAAACCATATATCATTACTTAAAAAATCATCATACACGTCTATCAAAAATTTTCTTGTAAAAGTTAATCCGTGTTTCTCTTTATTAATATTACTTAGTACAAGCTCAATTAGACGATCGTAATTTTTGTAACTCTATCTAAGAAAAATTATTTATTCCGAGGATGGATAAATTACGTAATCACGGCTTTGAGGCATCAAATTTAATTTTTTAGTCTTAGCAAAGAAATTTTATGCTTAAATATTCGAGAAGTAGTTAAAATCAATTTTGTGTTCATCAGAACTTTAGATCTCCAAATTTAAATTTGTTTTCACAGCTGACTATTCAAACTAGATCATCCAAGGTAACAGAAGATTTATTTGAAAACTCTGAATCCCTACTGCATTTGAACCGTATGTGTACGTGGAACTTACCCAAATTTTTGAATGAAATCATGTTGTATTTAACATACGTTCAATGAAGTGCAGCAAAATATTAGCAAACGTTTATGTTTTATCTGAACCAGCAGTAAAAATAACAAATAAAATGGGGAAAGTTACAAATTTAGATTATTTTGTTTCACCACCGACTAAAGCTACTCGAAAATCAATTCGGTTATGAGAGTTTGTAGTATATAGAGATTGAGTGACTACAGTTTAGTATCACTCAACATTAGTTGAACAAAAAAGTTTTAATTTCGTTTTAGTGTAATACCGTAAAAAAAATTATTGCCTTACACATAAGGCTTTTGGTAATTCAGTTTGTGTAGGATAAAGTTTAATTTAAAATTCAAAATTTTCTTTCGTTACCTATGTTCATATAACAACAATCGTATGAGGATTTTGCTCGTGAGTATAAAAAGAAATGACAAGGGGTAGAGATAACTAAGATTTACGAGTTGAGGAAACTTCTTGGTCAGATCCACTCTTTGTCGTACGTTATTGTTCCATCCCCAGGTGAAACTATACTCCCTGAAAGAAAATTTCTTGAGAATAAATTTTTTTCCGTTATACAATAAATATTGTTCCTTGCCAAAGAAAATTTTGAAGAAAAAAAAAATCCGAAAATATGGGGTAAAATTACACAATAAGATAACACATACAAAAATTTGAAAAAACCACCAATCAATATCATGATCTACTTGGAATATTTCTGGAATCGGAAAAATATTTTCCATCATCCCTTTCTTCCTTCAGTTTGCTAACAAGTTTTGTTAGAAAATTTCCAAGAAAAAATGATTTTTGTAACATAATTTGTTAGTACTATAAGAATGCAACTAGTCTAAAAAAATTTATCCATAAGGCAAAAAAAATAATTTAGTTTAGTGGTAACTAAAAATAATTAGGTGGTAATACATAAAACATCATCTACCACATTTTACAATGATATACTTTGTTATGTATTACAATCTCATTCAGTTTTATCGAGTTAATTATTTCAATTTGCATTAGAATTTATCAAAATATGAGCATAAAGTATGAATGTATCAAGTGTTATTACCCCAGCGGGGAAATTCTTTGTTGATTTTACAATAGTAAGGCTTTCAGTGATATTTAGGCTAAACTATAAACAGAGTAATGATAATAATAGTAATTTAGAATTAAATACGAGTTTTAGCTTCACGATTCCATACTAAAAGTTTTAATATAAATACCTGTTAAAATCTTGAAAAAAGATGTTGCAATTATTTTTTTAAAACTATTAATTTCATCAATCAACAATTCATTTTGAAAAAGATGTCTTCTAAAATCGAAAGAGCTTTTTCAGGTCCAGCTTTAAAAATATCAAATTTTTTGGATAAATTTCCTAAAATTCATAATGTTTATTTCATTGCTTGTATATCAACCATTGCTGGTTTAATGTTTGGTTTTGATATCTCATCAATGTCAGCATTTATTGGCTCAAATCCTTATGGAAATTATTTCAATCATCCTGGAGCTGATATGCAAGGTTTTATAACTGGTAGTATGGGTATTGGTTCATTTTTTGGTTCATTATTATCTTCTTTTGTTTCAGAACCTTTTGGAAGAAGATTATCTTTAATTATTTGTTCTTTATTATGGATGATTGGTGCAGCAATTCAATCTTCAGCTCAAAACGTTGCCCAATTAATTATTGGTAGAATTATTTCTGGTTTTGGTATTGGTTTTGGTTCATCAGTTGCTCCAATTTATGGTGCTGAAATTTCACCAAGAACTAGAAGAGGTACTGTTAATGGTTTGTTTCAATTTGCAGTTACCGTTGGTATAATGATAATGTTCTATATTTGTTTTGGCGTTGGTCAAATCAATGGAGTTGCTTCATTCAGAATTGGTTGGGGTATCCAAATTGTACCAGGTTTAATTTTATTTTTTGGTTGTTTCTTTATTCCTGAATCACCAAGATGGTTAGCTAAACAAGGTAGATGGGAACAAGCTGAACAAATTGTTGCTAACGTTCAAGCTCATGGTAATGCTGAGGATACAAATGTCTTAATTGAACTTGCAGAAATTAAAGAACAATTATTAATCCATGAAGAAGCTAAATCAGTTGGATATGCTACTTTATTCAAAAAAAAATTCATCGTCAGAACTTTCACTGCTATCTTTTCACAAATATGGCAACAATTAACTGGTATGAATGTTATGATGTATTATATTGTTTATATTTTCCAAATGGCAGGTTATTCAGGAAATGCTAATTTAGTTGCTTCATCAATTCAATATGTTTTAAATGTTGTATGTACTGTTCCAGCATTATTATTATTTGATAAAATTGGTAGAAGACCATTATTGATTGGTGGTGCTATTTCTATGATGATTTGGCAATTTGGATTAGCTGGTATTTTAGGATCTTACTCAAAACCTTGGGCTGATTCAGGTAACGATGCCGTTAATATTAGAATTCCAGAATCAAATAAAGCTGCTTCAAACGGAGCTATTGCTTGTAGTTATTTGTTTGTTTGTTCATTTGCTTCAACTTGGGGTGTTGGTATCTGGGTGTATTGTTCTGAAATTTGGGGTGACAACAGAATTTCTCAAAGAGGTAATGCCTTATCAACATCAGCAAATTGGATTTTAAATTTTGCAATTGCCATGTACACTCCTTCTGGTTTCAAAAATATCACTTGGAAAACTTATATTATTTATGGAGTAATGTGTTTAGCAATGGCTATTCATGTTTATTTTGGATTCCCAGAAACTCGTGGTAAACGTTTAGAAGAAATTGGACAAATGTGGGAAGAAAAAGTTCCAGCTTGGAGATCAGCTTCATGGCAACCAACAATTCCAATTGCATCTGATTCAGATTTAGCAAGGAAATTAAGTCTTGAACATAAGGAAGATGCTGAATTTTCAGATGAAAAAATTCAAGATGTTGAAACTAATTCTGTTTGAGGAGAATAATAATTGATGATTGGGTTCATTTCAATTCTACTTTATTTCATTTAAGTTTTGTTGGTTTTTTTAATGTTATAGTTTACGCCGTTTATGTTTAATGTAATTATGAAACTCATGTTTCTTTTATAAGTTTTAAGCATCTAATTGTAAGTTGATATCCTTCCATGTCCTCTAAGTTTCAAAAACAGCTGTAAGTACGATTTTCTCTTGAAACAATTTATTTTTATGACCACATGTGTTAAGGGGATGATTTGAAAAACTGATTCATATAGGAATAACCTATGATAGGAATCCCCACCTTTCAAATCCACTTTTTAGCTAGATCATGTGTTGCTGACGAAATACTTGGCTCTAAAAAGCCAAATGGTTATGTTTCTTCGGTCGGAATTGCAAACATTTTCACTTTTTTCATCATCACTCAATTGTGATAAGAATAAATTAAAAGACCAAGAAAATTATATCAAGTTTTAATCTTTTGTAAAGTGGCATATATCGGAAAATTTTTTTTAGAGTTGATTGAGATTTCATTACATATTATAATGATTGAAACATCTTTTCTATTGATTAATTCTTCAAAGCAATTTTTGAATTATAATGTCAGTTAAGAAAATCATATGACGCCTAATCACTCATTACACATCAGGCTAATATGGCTGGTGTATTGTAGGAAAACAAACCTATTAATCCAGAACCTATTAACGAAAATAATTTGAAATAATCCGAACTTGTATTATGTCATTAAATCTTTACTTTAAAAAAACTAAAATCTTGTATAAAAGAAACACAAAGAAAAACTATCATACCATGGACAAAGACATAACTTCCAAATATCGGAAAAAAAAATCATACAAGCTATTTAAAAATTTAATGTGTTATTGTTGTTCAAGGATTAATTTATTTTGCTATGATCATACATTTAAATAAAAAGTTTAATTTGTATGAAAAAAATTTCTGAAGTTAAGAAAATTTGTTAATTAACAATAAAGAAAAATTCTTAACAATTCAAGAAATTAAGTGTAACATTTGAATGACTACTATGAATAGCATTAAACGAAATTAAAGTATGAAGAGGGGATAAATATATCGAAGATTACTGTACTTTAAAAGATAATGAGCAGTAATTAGATCGTGCTTAATCAAACATTGTTAATCAAATAAACAGGGATCGTTTCACAAAATTCGAAACATGTTTTTCCACTAAAACATAAGACGAACCATAGGTTAACCTTCAAGTCAAGAATTTAATTAAATCTTAGTATGTAAGATGGGTAATTACCCCAGCTGGAGTTTTTCTCAAATCTAAGAAATTTTTATTGTTACATGGCCATGTTAATGTTTACATTATCATCCTCAAAACAAAATTATTATTTTAATATGGAGCACCAAATAACATTCAAATATAAATAAGCATAAATTTCCTCAAATCTTCAAAATGTTTTTAAGTCCCAAACTAGTTAATAAAGACTATTCACACAAATATGTCGTCTAAAATTGAGAGAATCTTTACAGGACCTGCTTTAAAAATATCAAATTTTTTAGATAAATTCCCTAAAATTCATAATGTATATTTCATTGCTTGTATTTCAACTATAGCGGGATTGATGTTTGGTTTTGATATCTCATCAATGTCAGCATTCATAGGTTCAAGACCATATCTCGAATATTTCAATCATCCAGGAGCTGATATGCAAGGTTTTATCACCTCATCAATGAGTTTAGGATCATTTTTTGGAGCTTTATCGTCAAGTTTTGTTTCTGAACCTTTTGGAAGAAGATTATCTTTAATTATTTGTTCTTTGCTTTGGATTATTGGTGCTGCTATTCAATCTTCAGCTCAAAATAGAGCTCAATTGATAATTGGTAGAATTATATCTGGTTTTGGTGTTGGATTTGGTTCATCAGTTGCTCCAATATACGGAGCAGAGATATCTCCAAGAAGACGAAGAGGAACAGTTAATGGATTTTTTCAATTTGCAGTTACATTAGGTATCATGATTATGTTTTACATAGGTTTTGGAGTTGGTCAAATCAATGGAGTTGCATCTTTTAGAATTGGTTGGGGTATCCAAATTGTACCAGGATTATTATTATTCTTTGGATGTTTCTTTATCCCTGAATCACCAAGGTGGTTAGCAAAACAAGGTAGATGGGAACAAGCTGAGACCGTAGTAGCAAATGTCCAAGCTCATGGAAATCATGAAGATGCTGATGTTAAAGTCGAAATTGCAGAGATTAAAGAACAATTATTGATTGATGAAGCGGCCAAGTCAATTGGTTATGCTACTTTATTTAGAAAAAGATATATTGTGAGAACTTTTACAGCCATGTCATCTCAAGTATGGCAACAATTAACTGGTATGAATGTTATGATGTATTATATTGTTTACATTTTCCAAATGGCAGGTTATTCAGGAAATGCCAATTTAGTTGCTTCATCAATTCAATACGTTTTAAATGTTGTATGTACTGTTCCAGCATTATTATTATTTGATAAAGTTGGTAGAAGACCATTATTGATTGGAGGTGCTTTAATGATGATGTGTTGGCAATTTGGTTTAGCCGGAATATTAGGTGCACGTTCTGTGCCTTGGCCAGAGTCAGACAATGAATCAGTAAATATTAGAATTCCTGAAAGTGATAAGCCAGCTTCAAACGGTGCTATTGCTTGTTGTTACTTATTTGTTTGTTCATTTGCTTCAACTTGGGGTGTTGGTATTTGGGTTTATTGTTCAGAAATTTGGGGAGATAGTAGAATTTCTCAGAGAGGAAATGCTTTATCAACATCAGCAAATTGGATTTTGAATTTTGCTATTGCAATGTATACACCTGCAGGTTTTAAAAATATAAGCTGGAGAACATATATTATTTACGGAGTTTTCTGTTTCTGCATGGCTATACATGTATTCTTTGGTTTCCCAGAAACTCGTGGTAAACGTTTAGAAGAAATTGGACAAATGTGGGAAGAGAAAGTACCAGCTTGGAGATCAGCTTCATGGCAACCAAGTATACCTATTGTATCTGAAACTGAGATGATTAAAAAAATGAATGTTGAACATAAAGAGCATGGTGGTTTAATGGATGATGATTCATATTCTGATGAAAGAATGAAAGGTGTTGAAACTAATTCTGTTTAGAGCTGACATTTTGATTGACGAAGGGACGTAGATTATGTTTGATTTTATATTGCTAGAATATATAAGTGTAATAAGTTTAGTTTATTCTTTTATTAACATGTACTGTAAATGTATTTGAATTTATACAACGTTACAACATCTCTTTAATTATTACACAAAATTGGACCACTATAAGCAGACACGAAAAATTTATATGAAAATTTGTAAACAGTGTTATGTTAAACATATCCAGGTACATGTCAAAAAAATTAAAACTAGATAACATGGTCAAAATTTGTACACACTCGGGGTCGTTTCATGCAGACGAATCATTAGCTGTGTATTTATTAAAATTATTACCTAAATTTTCCAATGCTGAGGTAATAAGGTCGAGAAATCCTGAGGATTGGGAAAGATCAGACATAGTAGTTGATGTAAGTGGGAAATATGATCAAGTTAAATATTTCGATCATCATCAAAGGGAATTTGATACTACATTTAATAATAATTACAAGACTAAGTTATCATCTGCTGGATTAATTTACAAACATTTTGGGAAAGATATAATACAAGAAGTATTAAATTTACAATCTAATGATAGTAATGTGGAATTGTTATATGACAAAGTATATAAAGAATTTATTGAAAGTCTAGATGCTAATGACAATGGTATTAGTAATTACCCTAAAGACATAGAAAGTAAGTTCAATGAAAAAAATATCACATTGCCTGCAATGGTTGCAAAATTTAATCCTAGATGGAATGAAAGCTGTAAAGATGAGGATTTTGATCGTCAATTTTTGATTGCAAGTGAACTAATGGGTAAAACTTTTGTGAATTTATTGGAAGGATATGGCAAAGGTTGGTTACCTGCAAAATCTATTGTTGAAAAAGCATTTGAAAATAGATTTAATGTTGATAAATCAGGAGAAATAATAATTTTATCTCAATTTTGTCCATGGAAAGAACATTTATATGCAATTGAGAAGAAAAATAATGCTGAAGGATCAATAAAATTTGTTCTTTTTCAAGATGCAAGTGGTAATTGGAGAATTTCTACTGTTAGTATCACATCAAGTTCTTTTGAATTTCGAAAAGGAATACCGGAAGAGTTAAGAGGATTAAGGGATGAAGAATTAAGTAATAAATCAGGTATTGAAGGTTGTATATTCGTGCACGCTGCTGGATTTATCGGAGGAGCAAAAACGGAGGAAGGAGTTTTGAAATTAGCAAAACTTTCCTTACAAAAAGACTAAAGTTAATATTGAGTAATGAAAATATCTTATTTATTGGTTAGTAATCAGATCAAAAACTGTGTAAATCATTTATTTGTCTATTTTGTATCGAATCCTATACCTCGTATACCATTTGCATGATATAAATTTGCCAAGATTAATTGTAAAATGCGTTCTAACGTCGGAATGAATTGACTAAATTGGTACAGATGTCTAAATTTTGTAAAACGTGAGGCTCAAAATTTTTTATTTTCCTTCTTCATTTTCGGTTACATATTTGATTTTTTAGTACTACATAGTATATCCGCAAAAACTTGTAGTTTATTAGCTTTAATTATGTTTGGTTCACGATGATTTTGATAGTTCTCTATCAATCAATATTTCTACGTTGCTCGGTTTTGAAATTGAATTTCGAATGGTTTTGGATGATGTTTGTAGGTAATTACCAGCGTCAATAACAAAAGATGAGTAAAGGGCTACAAAATCTGATAAAACCCCAAGCGCAATTTCAAGATTTGAAAAAGAAAGAAAAAATTGCGCAATACACAAACTTGAGAAAAATTGCGCTTTTGATTTTTTACAATAATTTTTGATGATAATAATTACTAATTCTGTCCTATATAAAAATTTATTGAATCCCTTCCGTTTTAGTTCCCTTCACAATTCATATGTCACTTTATTTGTTCCCTTATTATGTTTTATTGCTGTATTAGGTGATAGAAATTTAATAATTAGTCAAGATCAATAGAGATAGTAAATTGCATAAAAGATTGAAAAAACAAAATGAATGATTCAAATGTTCTTCGAATTCCACCAGGTCAAAGAGTTGGTCTTCAAATAAGAAATTTAACAGTTTCGGTCAAACATCAAATTTCTGGATTGAATAAAGTAAAGAAAAAACTATTTAGACAACAATTAAAAGATCATGAGACAAAAGACTTTAATCTGAAATCATCCAAAATTTTAAATGATATTTCATTTGATGTAAATAGTGGTGAATTGATTGCATTAATGGGAGGTTCAGGTGCTGGTAAAACTACATTATTAAATACTTTAGCTCAAAGAACTAATGTGAGAAATAAAAAGTTGGAATTTTCAGGTAGTGTTAATTATATTAGTGATGATGATTCTAAGCATATAAAACATGCTTATTTACTTCAAACAGATTTTTTTTTACCTGGTTTAACACTTTGGGAAACTTTAAAAAGTCAAGCTGATTTAAGATTACCACCTTATGTTACAGAAGATGAGAAAGTAAATTTAATTAAATATATTTTAAATGTTTTGGAATTAAATCATTTAATTGATACAAGAGTTTGTAATTTTTCATCACATTCTTCAACTTTAAGTGGTGGTGAACAAAGAAGAGTTAGTTTAGCTATACAATTATTATCTAGACCATCCATATTATTCTGTGATGAAGCTACAACTGGATTAGACACTTCAAGCTCTTTAAAATTAGTTCAATTGTTGAAAAGATTATCATCTTCAGATTTGGGAATTACAGTGGTTTTATCTATTCATCAACCAAGACCTGAGATTTGTGATTTATTTGATAAAGTTTGTTTGTTGACTAAAGGAGGTAGATTAATGTATTATGGAAACTTACAAAATGAAGCATATGATTATTTTAATAAATTAGAAGATTTTCCTAGTGATGATGGTAAACATATTAGTACCTATGTAATGGACATATCTGTTAAGGATTCAAGTACTTTGGATAACGAATTAAGATCAGCTGCTAGAATTAACTATCTTGTTGAAAAATGGAAAAATTTACACCATTATGAATATCAAAGTACTTCCAAGAAGGATCAAAAACATTTCATTTCCAATTTAAAATTATTCTCAACTCCAAAGCAGGATCAAATATCATTCATACAAGAATTGAAAATCACAACAGCAAGAACATTCAAATTATCTTATCGTGACAGAGGCAGTTTAATTGTTTTAAATTTTGGAGCATTAGTTATGGCCGTCACATTAGGGTGGATGTTTTATCGTCCAAAACATGACTTAGCTGGTATTAGATCATTAGTTTCAGTTCAATATGTGTTACTAGAAGTTGTTGGATTTTGTGCTATGTTCATCGAAGCAGAAAGATTATGGGTAACTGATGGTGTTTATTTTTTTAGAGAATATCTTGAACATGTTTCAAGTCCTGCAGGCTTTATTTTGTCAAGAAGATTAGCTAAATTTTTATTGGAGGATTTACCTATGACTATTGTATTTTCAGTTATTACTTTTTTTATGTGGGGTTTAAGAGTTGGAAATGGTTCACATTTTGGAATATATTTTGCTATAACTTTATTGGTTCAATTATGCTGTATGACTGGTGCAATGTTAATGTTTGCAATTGCTCAAAGTATGCCTATAACAACGTTATACATCAATTTATTTTATCAATTACAAAATTCTGCTTCTGGATATTTTGTAAATGCAAGAACTATGCCTGTTTATGTAAGATGGGTTAAGTATTTAGCTTATTTTTGGTATGGATTTGGTGCATTATGTGCAAATCAATTTACAAATTGGGAAGGAGATTGTCCTTACGATGATCAATCAAGATGCTTAGAATATACTGGGAATGCTCAATTGGCTTTATTGGGGTATCCACAAAATTGGATTGCTGAACCAATTGGAATTTTAATTGCTTGGGTTGTTGGATTTATGATATTATCTTGTTTGGGATTACATTTCAGAAATCATGACACTGGTATGGCGAAGACTAAAAAGAATACAATTGGTGATGAGGAGGATCATGATGATGAAACGGAAACAGAGGAAGATGAAGATGAAAAGGCGAATGAAAATGTTGCATTTGGAATCACTACTGATGAAATTGTTAATGATACTTATCCTATGAGTATTGAATTATCAAACATCAATTTAATTGTGAATAAAAAGACATTTTATGGTAAAATCTTAGATCAAAAAACATTGTTGAATGATATCAATGCAACATTCAAAGCTAATTCAGTTAATTGTATTATGGGTCCATCGGGTAGTGGTAAAAGTACTTGTCTTAACTTTTTATCAAACAGGTTAGACAGATCTTCATCCTTCATTTCATCTGGTAATATCAAAATTAATGGAGTTCAAGATGTTTCAAGACTGCAGTTAAGTAAAATATCAGCTTATGTGACTCAACATGATGATTCGTTGATTGCGGATTTAACAGTTAGAGAAACTTTGTATTATCAAGCAAGGTTAAGAATACCATTGGAACAACATAAATCAATACCAAAAATCATCAACAAGTTGATACGTCAAACTGGATTAATTGATTGTGCAGATACTTTGGTAGGTAATGAATATATAAAAGGTATTTCAGGTGGTGAGAAAAGAAGGTTAAGTATTTCTATTCAGTTATTGTCCAAGCCAAAAATATTGTTTCTTGATGAACCAACTTCAGGTTTAGACTCTTCCACAGCTGAAGCTATATTTAATTTGTTAACAGAATTAGCTGTTGAAAATGGAACTACTGTTATTTTGACTATTCATCAACCTAGTGAAGATATATTTTTCAACTTTGGAAGTTTATTATTTTTAGGTAAAGGTGGTAATGTAATATATAATGGGTCATCATCTGAAATTGTTCCATATTTAGCTAAATTAGGTTTCACAAATGTAAATAATTTAAATATGGCTGATTATATTTTAGATCTTATCAGTAATGAAGAGGAATCAATCATTGATGAGAAGAATGATTCCTTACAAGATAGGATTAATCTTTTAATTAACAATTGGAAATATAAAGAACAAACAATACGACAAAATCAAACTGCATCACCACAACAAGTAATCAATTTATCTCAATTTTATTTCAAAAGATTATCATTCATTCATACATTTCCAACAGTTACAGAAAGACAATTTCTAACATCATATCGATCAAAAGATAGTATCATTAGTAGAGTTGGTCAAACTATATTTTTAACTATAATCCACACATTATTTTTTGCACCATTAAAAAACACACAAGATGGAATAAGTAACAGATTAGGTTTAATTCAAGAAGTTTTGAATCTTTATTTTGTGGGATTAGTAAATAATATCAGTTTATATCCATTTGAAAGAAATTTATTTTATCAAGAATATAAAGATGGAATTTATGGTGTTTCAGAATTTGGTATATCCTACTTTCTTAATGAATTACCAACGGAGATATTACCATCTTTCTTTTTCAGTGCTTTAATTGTATTTGTTTGTGGATTACCAAGAAACGCATCAATGTATTTCGCAATGTTTTGTACTGGATTTGTTTCAATAAATTGTGGTGAGTCATTAGGAATATTTGTAAATAGTGTTTTCAATCATATTGAAGTTGCAACAAATGTTTTATCTAATGCAATTATTATTGCAATTTTTATGGGTGGAACAATGTCATTACATATGCCTCATTTTTTTAAAGCTATAAATTTTATAAGTCCTATGAAATATGCTGTTGCAATTTGTGCAAATTTAGGTTTTAAAAATCAAACTTTTACATGTGGTGTTGATGGAGTTGATTGTACTTTTAGAACAGGTCAAGATGTTTTAGAATATTATAATTTAAAACAAAATTTAGGTGCTATGTTTGGAGGATTATTTGCTGTATTCATTGTTTATAGATTAATTGCCATTGCTTCTATTTATGTAAGAGTTAAATGGTTTTAGCATTTTTTATAGAATTTAATACGTATTAATTAATATCATTTTATTTAATTAAAGTTAAGAATTTGTAATGAGGGTATGAATGTAGCACAAAATAAATCTAAATTGAAACTGAAACTCATTTAACGTAAGTTACACAAGATTATCGATCAACTAAAATATATAAGAATAAGTGCTTTGAATAAGATTTTGAGAACTTCACCGAGATATAATAGAGTATTGTTGAATTGTTTATCGTGATTTTTTAGTAGCTTTTACATTTAATTAGAACTTAAAATTAATACAATTTAAGAAACGTTTTTGGAATTTAATAGTCCGAAAATATTTTATAATTGTGTCAAACCTGATAAGCAAAGCTAATCAAAACAGTTGAACTGATTAATGGGAAGTAACATAACAACAAAACTCTTAAATACTAGATACTTACCATAAGCGTCGTCTGATTAAAGAATAAATGATATGGTTAAGATGTAAATAATGATTTACGGAGTAAAATGAAACTGTGTAATTAATTTGTAGGAGAAAGAAAAAGAATTATTATTCAAATTGAGCTTATCTTTTAATTTTACACGTAAATTCCGATTTGTGATCTCAACAATTGACTTTTAAATTCCCATATTATTTCAATTAATTTATTTAAATTTTGATCTAATTCTAACTACTTGTGATCAAGGTCTTTATCTTGTTAATCTTTTAACTAATAAAGATAACGAGTAGAATTTTTAGGGATTGGAAACTGATTTTTTAATTTTTAAATTATATTTTTTTGTGTATTATCTGTGTGTTTTTATCTTTTATCAATCACTTAGTGAATCACAATTAGTCGAAGAAATGGTATATCAATATACAATTAAAGGACCAACAGGTATCAAATCGGTCCAAATTACAGGAACATTTGACAATTGGTCTAAATCATTACCAGAAATAACAAAAGAACCATTTGAACAAACTATAACATTAGATACTAAAGAAGATTTAATTTTTAAATTTATAATTGATGGTACTTGGAAAACTTTAGATTTATATGAAACTACAACTGATCATGAAGGTAATGTAAATAATGTCATAAAAGCTGAAGATTTAATTTTGGTTGAAGAACCAATTAATGGTGATGATGAATTTGTTGATAATCAAACTTTTACAACTACCGATAATGAAGATGTTTTATCTGCTCCAGTTGTTATAAATGATGATGAAGTAATAAGCAGCTCAAAAGATGATGGTAAAAAGCAACAACAGAAAACAACCCCAACAACTTCTTCTACAAAAGAAAATGCTAATAACACTTCTGCCGTTTCATCATTTGCTGCTGTATCTTCACCACCTTCTTCTTCCGATTATGAACATATTGATTCAAAAATTAGTAACGATACAACAACAAATAAGATTGATTCAAAACCCAAAGATACAAACGATGACCCAATTGTAAAAGATACCACTTCAAACAATGAGCCAAAAGCTGGACCAAAACCCGATAAACCTACATTACAAGCTCAAGCTTCTGATTCTACTTTAGGCATCAACAACAATACTCCTGGAGGTTCTCAAGCTCAAACTAGTTCATCATCTACAACTACTATTAAATCAGGTAAGAATTCACAACAAACCCACAAAATCCCTGGATCTTTCGATCAATCAAAAACTACAAAAGAGAGACCAGGTAATGAAAGGTCAGACAGTGGTTTAATTTCAAAATTAAAGAAATTATTTAAATAATTAAGTAGTTTCTTGTTCAGTCAAATCATTGTCATTAGCAAAATGCTTTTGATTCTAGTTTACAGAAGTATTGATGCATTCGTAATATTAATTAATCTATATATTGTCTATTTTTTTTTATTCTTTTTCTTATTCTTCTTTTTGGATGTTGTTGGTTTCACATCACCAGTAACGGTCGGTGTACCTTCCTTACTATTATTATAGCTCTTATTTACAGCTTCGGTAGCAACCGTAGTAGTTGATTCATCAATGTTTTCTGTTTCAGGTTCAACATATTTAACATTAGTCATTAAACTAGTTAACCCAATTTGATTAGATAATCCTTGTGGTCCCAACAAGTTTAAAATTTTACTCAATTCCTTTTGCTTTTTGGTCTTATATTTAAGTAATTTACCTTGATGTGGCTCGTATAATTTTATATTGACTTCATGAGTTGCTTGTTGTTTATTTGGTTTTGAATTTGGTTTTTTTGAAGCTTTTAATTTTTTAGATTTATTGGAGTACGTTATTGATAATGTTGTTGTTGATGGAAATATGGCTAACAAATTTGTCGATAGTTCTATGAAGTCATCTAGATTTTTTATTATAGGCATCGTCTTATGTGTTTGTTGTGTAAATGCAAGTGTAATTGATATATGGTTGTAAAATGAAAAGATGTTGATGGAATTTTTTTTGGTTGTAAAGTAATTGTCGTGTGTATTTAGAGTAAATCTGTAAAGATAAAGATCAAATGAACTGGTACAACTCTTAAATTAATGCTATTACATGCTAATATACAAATCAAGTAATCTATCTATATTTCGTTGATGGACCTTTCTCTTGTCTTGCTTTTAACTTTTGTTGACGTTTACTTAAACCAGAAGAATCTTTTGAAGTTGCACTAGTTTCTCCAACTTCTTCACCAACAACCGGTTTGGACTTTTTAAAGAAAGGTAATATAAACCCACTCAATTTATAAACTATATAACCTGGAATAATCAGATACAAGTACCAAACTTTGTTCGACCCTAATAAAATGGTCAAAATATTGAAAAACCATGTCAAATATATAATATCAAAACAATATTGAAATAAACTTCCCTTTTGTAAAATATCATCACCAGATTTGACTAATTGACCTGCTGAATTATATTTTGGACGTCCATTTTTTTCTAATAAGTTTTGCAATATTATACTTGGTATTTGAAAGATAAGATATGGAATATAATTTGATGGTCTTTTGAAATAAAATATAACAAATAATGTCAAAAGGTTTACTCCAATTGAAATATAGAGTAACTGATCTAGTATTGACTTGTTTTTAACTGCTAATTTCTTCTGACTCGCTCCAGCCATGACTTGGTTGTATTTTAGTGTGGTGACAATTGGTGAAAAATTTACAAAATTTATTACTTTGCTTTTGTGACGTACTAATAAGAAGATTTAATTTTACTTATCTTTAAAAACTCCGTCATTCAATTATATTTACATAAATCTATAAACACCTATCTATTGAGTCTTTTTAACAACATCTTTAGGTATTTGAATTAAACTTATATAATGAATAGCTAAATCTCTAAGTTGGAAAAATAATTGAGTAAGTTTTGGATTGTTTATCTTGTTTATATAACCATTCCAAGTTTGATCCATTTGAAGTACGGATGCTTTAGTATATTGACTATGATCAAATTTGAATTTATTGAATACAATCACTGTTAAAAATACAATGACTTTAGTAATGTAATCGATCAAATTCCACCTTAAAATTAACCAAAATGTACTTATTAAAACATCAAATCCTGTAGTTACAGCCAAAACTAATTCAACACTTGATGCTGCATACAAAGCAGGTTGATTTAATTTAGTTGTGAAGTTGTTTATCAAAGAATTAACATGTTGTTGAGCTTGAATTGATGGAATAAAAATAGTAATTAAATGATTTTGGAAGTATGTAACAACGTGAAAGACTCCAAATATAAAATATGGGTATAAAGCAGCTTGAGTTTGGGTCTTTAAAATGTAACTTGACAACAAAAATACTAATGCAAGGATTAAATATTGAACATTTTCATCATTTATTAATTTTACTCTGCTAAATTTAGCCCCAATTGATTTAAAATGAATTTGTTTTATGACTATCCCATAAGTTATAATATTTGATATCAAAGCAAATCTAAAATATTTTAAAGATGATTCATTTCTGAAAATCAATCCTGTTAAAGTACTTAATAATGAAAATAATAATGCAAATACATGACCTAAAAACCAGTAAAATTGTTGAGTTTTTATAACTTTGATCAATTGACTAACAGGAGATGCGGATTTGATAGTTGATTTAGTAGATGGAGTAGCTTTTGGTGGCATCTTGAGTGAGCTTAATTGATTGAGTATCTAAAGATGAAATTGAAGTGTTGTAATGTGAAAATATAATTTGGGTAATTGCTTTTAAGATTTTTTTTCTTTTCTTTTGCTGTTTTAAACTAAGTAAGGTGTGATAAATAAGCCTCACTTGACTACATGAAATTTTGCAACCATCCATATATATGAGCTAGAGATTTAATAAAATATTCTACAAATTTTAACAATTTTAAGAAAGTTTATGCATTTGTATAAAAAAATTAAACACCTGAAATTAAAAAAAATTGATTATTGAATTATTAATTAAAAAATTTGGAAAATCAAACTTGCAATAGAACTTTAGCTCTTCAATCTCTTACGACTTCTTCCTCAACCAAAGCTTCATCAGTATTTGGAACACCTGTTGGAGGTACTGCGGTATCACCAGAATGTCTTGGAGTATCTACTCCAACATCCTTTTCAACATCATGATGACCAATATCACCATCTCTACCATTATTCAAATGGAAATGCCAAATTTTAGTGAAAAACTCCTCATCAACTCTATTTATAGCAATCCAGGTTAATATAACTGGTACAAATCCAAAAGTTATTAAATCTAAAATACCATAAAATACTGCTTCTGAATCTGGTTGAATAACATTTCCACCTTCCGATAAACCCCAACATACTGGATATAAAATCCAAACAACAATATAAAATGTAATTATTAAATTACCTAACCAACTTTTAGTTGGTGATTGAAAACTATGATGTAAATCAACACAAACAAGATAGATTGCAAATAATTGAGCAACTACTGCAAAAGTAAAATAACCCCATTTATATGATGATCTAATTAAACCACCAATTAACAAACCTAATACAAATACAGCTATAGCTAAAAATCTTGTAAAAATGGTTGAAATAATTTGGACAACTCTTTTTAAAATATCATCTCTATCATCAGTTAATCTTGTATGAGTTATGATAGCAAAGATAGTTAAAACTAATGGCCAACATAAGAACCAACCAATATATTTATTGTAAAAGATTTGACGAACTCCTAAACCTCTGTCAGTAGTTACATGATGAAATTCAGTTCTAATCCAAGTATAACCCAAATTAGATGCATAAGTATAGTAAGCAAATGCCATTACAGCATTTGTAAATAATGGAATAATTAACAATGATTTTTTTAAACCACTTCTTCTAACACTTGTTAAACTGTAAATAAAACCATGAACAACCGCTAATAAAGCAAATACAGAAAAAGCTGCCCATAACCAATCTGAACCATGAGAAGTTAAGTTAATATCTGATTGTGGTGGTGGTGGATTAATATCGACTGCACGATTTCTTTTAACGATATTTGAAACTCCATCAAAATAAGTCATCTTTGTGTCAAATTTTATTATGAAATATGAAACAAGTTAAAATTATAAACTTAAGATTGATGTTTTTGATTAGAAATAATAATAAAAAGAAAAGGAATAAAAAAAGTTTGCTGAATAAATAGGGGTAAAGATCAATAGCTTATATAACTTCTCAATTTTAAGGGATGTTTAAATTTTGTCTGTCAATAGTATAATTATTCATAATAAAAATAGTAATTTGGAGAATAAAAGCAAAATTAGAATTTTTTTTAAGGATAGCCGTAAGAATCCATGAAATGCGTGATGATTCAAAAATAATGAATTCTATAAGAATTTGGTTTCAGAAGTATCAAACATATGATTGCATAATGCTAATTAAAGTTTTTATTTAATAATGGAGAACACGGAAAATGTAACATTCAAACATACAAAAGAACACACAGAACCAAATTAATAATCAAAATATAATTAAATTTTTAGAATATTCTAATAAAACATTTTGTTTAAGCCGTAATGTAAAGCCGAATTCGAAAGAAAAATGTTTGACATATCGAATTAACATTTGACAAAAATTATGATCATTCAAAGTCTAAAATTGTGGAAAAACGTACTTTACATTAATTTGAGTGGGACAAACTATTAAATTTCGGTCTTCATTTCAGTACCATTAAATTTCAAACTTCAAGACATTCAACTTACATATAGCTGAACAATGCTAATTTCGTAATACAAGGACTTCAATTTGATTATAAGATTCGAAATGTATCTATCGGACCACAAAACATAGCAAGATCAAACCAACTAAAATTATCTGGATCACATCGGTTACAGTTTTGAGTCTGGTCATCTAAAATAAAGATTGGATCACAGTAGGTTTAAAATATCTCAAATCATTTATATGGTTTTCCCCATATTTTTCCAATAAATTCTATTGTTTTCAAGATTTTATTGAGTTTGTATGCGCTTAATTTAACTAGGAAAGAACGGCTTAAATTTAATAGAAAAGAAATGACACAAAATTATTTTAGTTGCAAATTTTATTTGTCTTAAATCATGAGATTATTCTAACATCAAATTGTGGTGATTACAAATTGCTTTGAAGGTCTCTCCAACCTCACACATTTCAAAAGAATGTAAGATGAAGTTTACGTAAAGTTGATTTAAACTTCTGAAACAAATATGAGTAAATATCTCAATTTCGACAAATAAACTAAAGACATCTAGCACCACAAGAGTTCAATATTTTACACACTTCAGCTAAAGTATGATATCACGATCAGTAAAAAATTTAATTATTTGATTTCTTTAAATTTCTTGAAAGCTTTCAAAATTAGACATACAGTAAGTCAATTATCCTGTTGATAAAATCAGTTACCCGAATATCTTTTATCAGAGGGTATCAACGTTTGAACTAATGTTGACTTAATGATAAGCATCTCTATTCTTACTAATTTGAAGTTGTTCAACGTAAGCATAAAGTTTGTATTACAAGTTGTTGGCAAGCCAGACTACGAATCTAATAAACGTTAGTTGTATGGTAAAAAAAAAAAAACGAAAGCATAAAGATTGTATTTACAATGTTTTGTAATTATTTCCTCAAATTCTTTCAAAAATACATAATTTTGCAGCTAAACTTGTATTTAGCTTAATTTTATGGAGGATGATCATAATTAGAGAATAAATCAATACTTCTGAACATGAGACGAATAAAGGACAAGATTTATTAACAATAACTGGCTTATATATTTGGTCAATGCATAAAACGTTCAAAAAAGTTATAATTATTTTTTTTTATAATGCTAACATCATTAATAGTTACCTTGATGCATACATAATACCAATTCATGTTTTGGAATCAATTTCGAAAAAACGTTAAGGTTGGGACAGACATTTCGCGTCATAGGCTCGTACTGTTAGACATGCCCGTTAATATAAAAGTACCATAATAATCGTGAGTCTTCGAATTTTAAAATCTTTATCATCCTCAAGAACGCCTAATATTGTCCACCACATCAGCCAAACAACTCTTTTTTTAAAAATCGTCATCAAAGAGCAGAACCTTCATGCTCCATTCAATCGCTGATCTGAAATGAAAGTAATAGTGTGTCTCGTTTTTCGAGAAGATGATAAAATGTTTCAGTATTGCTCGCAATTTTTCAATTACTCAATTAGGCAATTAAAGCGGATCTTTAGACCCTAGTCAAAGTGACCCTTCAACAAGCTTTTTTTCTCATAATCCACCATATGTTATCTCCTTTGACGAATGCTTATCAATGATCTTGAATTCAAAGAGTAAAATTATGCTTTCCAGTTGAAAATTTTAGATCATTAAAATTCCGTGAGACAAAGGCGGTATATTGCAAAATGTTAAAGGTAAAAAGAAGGGTGCAAAAAGTAAAGACAGCATGTTGAGTGGAGTGAGAGATATGTCTTCCTTGAATTTAATACTCAATCAAACTCACTGACTCATTCATGAGAGTAAAATTTGATCATATTGATTGTAAGATTACCTCTGCTTCGCTTTTTGACGTTTCAATTGATATTGTCACAAAAACGATTTGCAAAATTTTTATTAATCTCTTATCTATCCATTTAATCAATCAGATTGCAAAATTTTTTTAGGGTTAATGCATGAAGAATCTTTTAACTCTATTATGTTTAAAGTTCTTTGAGATGGAATTACTTCAAATTAGTTAGTCTGCATATGGATCTAATTTATACAAACAGATATATATATGAAAGATGTTTCCCATTATTAGAAATGACGAAGTGTTATGGTGAAATTTTCATTCATTCAACTTCAAATCATTGATCAACTCAAATTATGAAATCAGGTTTCACTTCTTCGGTAAACTCAACACCTCAAGATCAGGAACTTCAACCTATAAAATCCAAAGTATACGTTGATGATTTACATATTACCTCAATTTTATCCAATCGAGGGGCAGTCATTAATGTTGACCATGAAATAGATGATGACGAAGCTTTAATATTGGCAATGGGTTATAAGCAAGAGTTAAAAAGGGAATTTTCATTATGGACTGTATTTGGTGTTAGTTTTTCAGTTTTGGGAATTCTTCCATCAGTAGCTGCAACATTTGATTATCAACAACTAGTTGCAGGATTATCACCAACATGTTGGTTGATTGCAGCACTTTTTATAATCAATATATCTTTAAGTATGGCCGAAATTGCGTCTGCATTTCCATGTTCAGCTGGTACACCATATGCTGTTTCTCAATTAGCTCCACCATTTTGGAAAGCTTATTTAACATGGTTCACATGCTGGTCTAATTGGTTATGTCAAGTAACAGCTGCTCCATCTGTTTCTTACTCAAATGCTTGTTTAATTTTGGGTATTTATTCATACAACAGTTCTTCATACACCCCAACAAATGCTCAAATATTTGGACTAGCCACTGCAATTATGATAGTGTGTGGATTGATGTGCTCAACAACTTCAAGATGGGCAGCAAGATTTAGTTCAACTGGTACGGTTTGTAATATTTTCTTTTTAGTCATAGTGTTTGTGATGGTTTTGGGTGGTAACAATCGTGCAGAGGTTCAGAATAAACCAATTCCAAAATTTAATTCAAATTCAAAAGCATGGAGTTTAGATAATCAAACTGATTGGCCAACTGGTATTGCTTTTCTCCTTTCATTTCTTGGTTGTATTTGGGGTGCTTCTGGTGCTGATGCTCCATTACACGTGGCAGAAGAGTGTTCCAATGCTTCACTTGTTGTTCCAAGAGCCATCGTGTTGACTTCAATGTCAGGTTTATCTATTGGATTTATTTTCATTATAGCAATCGCATACACCTTATATGATTTGGCTGAAATTGCTGCTGATCCTCAAGGATTAGGTCAACCTTTTTTAACTTATCTTTCACAAATTATGAAACATGATCTATTGAATGCTGCTATTGCTTTAACAATCATATCTTCATTCTTCATGTCATATACTTGCCTATTTGCTGCATCCAGAGTCACATATGCTTATTCGAGAGACGGTTTGTTCCCTGGCTCTAAAATTTGGAAGAGAGTTTCACCATTAACTCATACTCCTATATGGGCTGTTGTTTTTAATATTATAATTGGTGAATTATTATTATTATTGATTTTTGCGGGAGATGTAGCTATAGGTGCTATATTTAGTGTTGGAGGAATACTGGGGTTTGTCAGTTTTGTTATGCCAACTTTGCTCAAGATCACATATGCTAGAAACACATTTAAGAGAGGTCCTTGGCATTTGGGAAAATTATCACAACCAATTGGATGGATATCAGTTGCATTCATTGGCTTAATGGTACCAATATTGTGTTTCCCTACAGTTAAAGGTAAAAACTTATCACTTCAAGACATGAACTGGACTGTAGTGGTTTTCTTTGGTCCATTACTTTTAGCAACAATTTGGTTTCTTGTAGATGCACATAAGTGGTATATTGGTCCGAGAAGCAATATAAATGAAATAGATATTACTTACCCAGATGAACTTGATGGCGAAGATACCCTGGAAAATACTCAAGTAATTGAAGCACAAACAGTTCATGACTTTGGTGATGAAAAAAAAGGTGAAAAATAGAGTATAGATTTGGTTGCAAAAGTAATTAGTAATTGAAATACAGAAATTTTATGCAGGACATTTTTTAGTATTTAATAGAGGCATTTAGGTGAACTATATTTTAAACTTCAATTAACTAGATTACTCTTATGATAAATTTGTGATTATGAATATGCGGACCTTCAAAGGTTAAAGGTATCTTATTATAATATACTTAATATAGATTGTGTGTGACAATCTGAACTCCAAAATTAAGTGCACTCAGAAACTAAAACATGACACAAAAAATTTGTTCTGAGATATCATATTAATAAGTAGACTACTATCATACTTCACCCAAATTCGTCTCCATCAAAATGAACGGACGTGAAAGGTATCAACCGAGACATCATGATAATAACAGCAGTTCTTCTGTCTCCTGTCTATTTTACAACAAGATAGGTGCTTGCAGACACGGTGAAAAATGTTCAAAAAAGCACATCAAACCCACATCATCAAAAACTTTACTTTTGGCAAATTTGTATCAAAATCCGAAGCTAAATAAGAATGAAAGTGAAGAACTAAGTCAAAAACAGATACAAGAAATTTTCGATTTGTTTTATCAAGATATTTTTATACATTTGAGTACTTTGGGGGAAATTTCATCTTTGGTAGTATGTGAAAATGAAAACAATCATTTAAATGGGAATGTATATGTGCGGTATTTTTCAACAGATGATGCATTAAAAACGAATAATGAATTGAATCAAGAATGGTTTAATGGAAGACCTGTACATTCGGAGCTATCACCTGTACTAGATTTTAATGATGCTCGATGCAGAGCTTACGATACAAATTCTTGTGAAAGAGGTGAAATGTGTAATTATATGCATATACGACAACCATCCAAAGGTATAAAAGATAAATTGTACAAAGGTCAAGAGAAGAAATATCAATTAATAAAGTTGAAAAGATTGCAGAATGAATTGAAAGATGTAGAAAAGAGAGAGCAAAGGGAACAAAATGGAACGCACATTAAAAGCGAAACGAACAAGTTATTGAACTCCTTATTTTAATGGCAAGTAATGTGTATAAAAATTAATGGAACTGCTCTTCTTGTCGTTTTAATATTCTTGTTTGCAATCCGATTCGCACGATCTTAAAAATAATTGAACGAATATAATTTTTAAAAACTGGAGATCAAACAAAGTTCTATAGATTTAATACATTTACATCACAACACGAGTTTGTAAAAAAATTTCATAATTCAAATGTCAAGGAGCTGATTAAACTAACTCAAGAAACATCCCATTTGCCAAATTAAAGATCATAATTAAAAAATAAAGCACACTATTTTTACAATTTTTCAACTAAACAACCACGAAAAAAATAGTTAGTTTTACGTTCTTTTTAAATAAAAAATGAACATTACAAACCAAATACTCACTCCAAATCTACCGAAGTTATCACTACGAAAGTCCAATTTTAAATCAATTCATTACATACCACAGTATAGAATCAAAATATCTATTTATAACCAGCATAAACCATTTATAATATCTAAAAAATTATTTTCAACATTCACCTTTTTCCATCAAAAAATGTCAACAGGATCTAATTCAAATGATTTAGAGACTAAACATCAACAATCAAACACTCATTCTCATTCTCATTCTGAGGAAGCGCATACCCATTCTCATAGTGGAGGAAGTATGTTACACCATCATCATTCAATGCATGAACCGAATGAATTTTTAGCTGCAAGTGCATCCTCAATAAAGTCAAATCCCGCTGTAAGGATAACTTGGATTGGCCTATTAGTAAACATTGGGTTAGCTATATCAAAGGGTATAGGTGGAGTGGTGTTTCATTCACAAGCCCTAATTGCTGATGCAATCCACTCAGTAAGTGACATGCTAGCTGATTTTTTGACATTAGCTACTGTAAATGTTGCAGCCAAAGTCGGAACTCCTACCAAGTTTCCATTTGGATATGGAAAAATAGAAACTATTGGATCTTTTGCAGTTAGTGCCATATTATTATTTGCTGGTATTTCAGTTGGTTGGTCTTCATTATTACAAGTATTCGAATTCTTTTTACCTACTCAGTTATATGAAATTGCTGCAAGTATTCAAATTGGTCATAATCATACTCATACTGATCTTGGAAATGGAGGTGTTGGGGAATCACAAAGCAGTTCACATAGTCATGTACATACACCAACAGGAACTGAACTTTCAACACATAGAGAAATACCAAATATTAATGCTGCATGGTTGGCTGCGGGTTCTATACTAGTGAAGGAAATTTTATACCGTAAAACAATGAAAATTGCTCATGAAACTAATTCCAAAGTATTGGTTGCTAATGCATGGCATCATAGAGTTGATTCATTAACCGCGGTGGTTGCATTATTGACTGTAGCTGGTGGAGTGTTATTCAATGTAGCGTGGCTTGATTCAATAGGTGGGATCGGGGTATCCATATTAATTATTAAAGCCGGATGGGATTCAATCAAAGAAGCCTGGTATGAATTGATTGATAGAGGTGAACAACCAGGATCTGAGATTTACAATAAAGTTGAAAATATAATAAAGTATGAACTTGAAAGTAATGAACAATTGAAGCAATTTAAAATAAAACAATTATCAGTCTTATCTTCCGGAGCAAATACAAATATAAATTTCACATTGCTTACTCAAAATAAAAATATAAATTTAGTTACTTTAAACAAATATGAAAAAATTTTATCCGATTTAATTCACCAAGACGATAGATTTGTTAGAAATGTGGGAATAAAATTCGAACTAGAAAACTCGACTGAAACTGAGAATTCAAATAATCATGATGATCATCATTAACTTTTTAATCATTATAAATAATATATATACAAAAATAGTTCAATTAAGTCTATGTACATGATGTCCTCATTCTATTAGTTTTTCTTTGATTTTGTAGAATTTTTACCTTCGATGAATTTCAATATTTCATCTACTGATTGACTTGCAATTTCTGGTACTGATTGAAATGTCTTCTCCTTTTTTGATTTATTGCCATTCTGTTGTTGATGATGGCCATTTGAGTTCGATGTAGCTTTGATTTTATGTTGACCATTAGGAGCTGATGCTTTTTGCAGTATTGCTTTTTTCTTCTCTTTCTCTTTGGCCTTGGAGTAGTCGATATATAATAAAACGTTAGATAAATATTTACTAATTTGTTTAGTCATTGAATCTTCAGGACCAACCAATTTTGCGAAAGTATCATAGGCCTCTTCGAAATATTGTTTTGATTGTTCGATTTTATTTTGAGATATGACAACATTTGCAATTCTGTATTTGATTAAACCTGTAATTTCTGAGTCGTCACCATTAAGATTTTCGCTGTGTTGCAAAGCTTGTTTTAATAAATTAAATGCATCATCGAAATCTTTAACTTTCATCAATGAATCAGATGAATTAAGTAACGTGTTGATGATAGCTGGATGGTCTTTCCCATATGTCAATTTCCAGGTAGTAACTGCTTGGTTATATAATTTTAATGAATTCAAAGTTTGATCATTTCCAGCTTCAAAATAAGCCAGGTTCATATAAGCAGTAATAGTTTCATGAGAATCAAACCCACAAGATCTTTCACATAGTATAATAGCTTTACGACCTAACAAGGCAGCTTCATGATCATATCCTAATTCTTGATAAACTTGAGCTATTAAACTATAAAATTTTGCAGTTTCTGGGTTGATCTTACCGTAGATAGATTCTTGAATAGCTGTGAGTTCTGCAAACATTGCCATTCCAACCTCTTTATTTCCTGAGCTTAATTGAGATCTAGCATTTGCATAAATTTCATCAATTATGGTTGACTTATACGAGGAGTCTTTAATTTTAGGGATAAAGTCAACTAAATCATCAACAATAAAAATCGAGTTTCGTTTTATGGATTTAGATACAATTTGTTGAGTTTTCTTTTTCGATTTTTTGGATGATTTGGTTTCAATAACATCCTTTTTAATTTCATTATTTGCAGAATCAAAGTCAGATTTAGTATAGGTGTAATTAAGTGATTTCCATTGAATACCAAATTGTAACGCAATTTCTCTAAATAATTGAGGTAATCTAATTTCAGTAATCCAATTTTGAGGCAATTTATATCTAAATCTTGCTAATACTTCTTTCTCAATCAATTCAATTACGGATGCATGAGTCAACTCAGCAAACTTGAAATTTTCTTTTGGATAGAATGTTTGATATACTTCATCAATTTCAGCTACTGGGGTTTTATTTATTTCACCACCAAATAAACAATTATGAAAATGAACAACAGCAGCTGGTGAAAGGTAAGTTGGCAATGATTTTACCAAGTTTCTCAATATGTGTTTTGAAGCTCTAGCAATCATTTCATTGATGATAATTTTGTAAAGTGTATTATAGTTTGCATAAACTAAGTCATAAGTGGCTTTTGAGGGTATTTCTTCCTTTGACTCCAATTCCTTATCTTCCTGGTCTTCTTTATCCACCTTTTCTTCTTCTTTAGTTTGCTCTGATTCTTCTTTCTTTTTCTTATCTGATTCAGCTTGTTTTTCCTCCTCATGCTTTGCAATTAATTTCTGGTTTTCAATTATTGTCTTCTCGATAAATTCTTGATGTTGCTGTTTCTTCAGCAACAATTGTTCAGCCACATATCCCAAGTATCTTAAGTTAATACCTTGTCTATGCAATTGCTCACTCAATTGTTTACCATCAAACGGAGTTAATTGATGTTTAACTTCATCTAAATATTCATCAATTAATTTTTCTTTAATAAATTTCGAGATTTCCCTAACCTCATCTTGGTCCTCTTTCAATTCATCCAATGATGAAAATGAGTCTGGATTGAAAGTAACTTGATCAGCAGCTAATGCAATTTGTGGCTTCTCGTCCCCATCTTGCTGTTTCAATTTACCTTCGGTTTCCAATCTGTCCGTTTCTTGTTTAAACAAAACTGAAATTTTACGTTTCCACCACTCGTTAACAGCTTCATGTCTAATTAAAGCTTCACCATGAGGATATGAATTCTCAAAATCTCCAAAATTTTGCTCGATAAATTCTATATCTCTAGGTGTGGTACGATATAAATCGATGACATATTTTCTACCATCAGTTCCTTTCAAACCCTTTGTATCTTTAGAAACATACAAATTATCCTTGGATTCAGTTTGGTTATTTAATTTCACTTTATGTGGTTTTAAATGGAAAACCTCACCAATTTGTTTTAATGGTTCTTCAAATGATTTATCTTCTAAAATTTTTGAACCATCAGATGATAACCCATAAAGAACTTTTTCTTGAATTTCTTCTTCATTTTCTTCAACTGCAGGTGGATCTAATATACCTGGAACAGGAGCTTGACAAACAACTCTTCTACCCATATAATCTACAATACAAGTAACTAAAGTCGAAATACCATTTAATTCATGTCTGTTTATAATTTTAATACCAGAGAGATCTTTTGAAGATACATATCTTGATGCCTCTTCCCCACCGGTTGATTCAAACACATCAACAGTAGCAGTACCTGCCGAATAAAAAACACCATTTTTCAAATAAATTTGTTTGTCTTCAGGTTCACCAGGATTCATTGGTATAATATTTCCCTTTATAATATTTTTTGCAGTTTCTGTAGCAACTTTGTTGAATTCGAATAATGATTTTTGTATAAGTTTATCACGAATTATTCGTTCTTGAAATGATGAACTTGGTAATTCTTTCATAGTTTGAATATCATTATTCCAATCCCTTATAATATCTGAGCCATCAACTCCATTACTTATCAATGCTAATTGTGATCTTGATGAATCTGGTATATTTTTTAATTCTGATTCATTAACAAGCCATGGATATGCTAAAAATGAATTATGTGGTAATAAATATGATTCTGGATGCTCAGTTGATTTTGATAATTTTATTTCATTTTCAGCAATTGTTGTAGCAAAAGATGGTGATATTGAAGAAATCAAATCATATAATAAATAACTTTTGTAAAATTTGCCTTTTTCATTTACTTTTATGTTAGGGTTGAAATTGATAGTTGATGACTTGTTAACAAAAAAACCAGAAAAATGACAAGTAATATTGTAAGTCTCATTCTCCAATGTTTGTAAAACTAAATATAACAAGTCCCCTTTACTTCTTTGGTATGGAGGAACTGGGGACCATTGAGAAATAGTCAAAGATTTAATTGGACTTGATGTGTTCTGATTAATAGTATCAAATTTAGTGGCATTTGGGAAAGTTTCAATCACATCTTCAATCAATGAATTAACAATCTTTTCCACTTCTGCTTTTTCTTCCAGTGTCCATTGCGTCTTGTCCTTTACTTGACTGGAACCATTTGTTTCTTCTTTTGATTTAATTTGATCTAATTTAATACTATTAAATTTTGATACCCCACCTGATGATCCTAAATCATTTGAAATTCTATCGACATAATAAAGCCCAATAACTTCCCTAAATCTAACAATTTGCTCATAAATTGCAGCCAAATTATAAGGTTTTGCTTTAATATCGATATTTAATTCTTTTAAATCTTCTCCTAATTTTAATTCTTCAATTATGCGACTAAATGTATAAAGTTCTTCAAATTGTTCAACATCAATACCTTTGATAAGAATTGAATAATGTGACAAATTTCTGGTTTTTGGAATTAAATTTAAACTTTGTCTCAAGTCAGTTAAATTTTCTTCATAATGTGAAGGTATACTGATCTCAGGTTCATCAAGCTGTAAGATTGAAGGTAATTTAATTTTCAAAACTAATTCTTTCGCCACTACTTGTTGTGGCTCTTGAATTTCCACATTGCTTTCACCTTCACTCATTCTTGAGTTCACTATTTTCAAATCTGAAATCGGTTGTAAAAATATTTAAAAAATGGAGTTGAAAAAAAAAAATAAAAATTTTCAAACAATTTTTGTGGTTGCAACTTCAGAGCTCAAAAACTTTTTGCAGCAAAAACAAATTGCAGAAGAACAAATTGTAGCTTTAGTAGAATCTAAACAAAATGATCATAGAAAAGTCAAAATCAGATAGGCATATTGCTCATATAGTTGTTAAACTTTCATCATTTTCGTCGAGACTGGAAAAATCACGCTATTATAGGACTGCAGTCGAGACAGAAAATATGGAACCATTTCCAAGCAGTAAGGCTTACATTTTGAATCATAAAATCACACTCTCCGAGCAATCAATTGAGAGACATCATACACATGAATATATGTTGTTTAAATGATAATTTATTTTGCAACATTGTGTAGAGCTATCACAAAAATCATGAAACCAAAAAATTCGCACGCGGTCGTTCTAGAATACAGAATGACAAACATTGCAATACTTAAGTGAAGAAGTTGTATGAAAAAAAGGCAAGCAAAATCGAGCCTTGACAAACGGAATAAATAACATGAAGATATAGCCCATAATGAATGACGATAATAATTCAGCAATAGATACTGATTCGTTTGGAAATACAATCACTCCACCAAATTTGATTGATATACCCAAAAAACAATCGATTTTTATAAATGATTTACCTGATGAGATCTTGATTCAAATTCTTTCTCAATTAGATCCACTTTTATTAAATAATTTAAGATTAGTTTGTAAAAAATGGAATTATATAATGAATGATAAAGAAACTTGGATAAGATCATTTCAAATTAGATTTGGTATCCAATCAAATATGACATCATTTCCAAGTGTAACTAATAGTAATAATTGGATGAATGAATATTTTTCAAGATTACAAATTATGAAAAATTGGAAAAGAGGTAATTCAATTCATCAATCTTATAGATTAATAGTTCATGAATATGATGATCTTTTAAGTTTATGTGATTTTAAAATGAATAAAATTTGTTTACTTGATAAAAGATCAACAAATATAAGTTTTGGAAATTTAGATTCTGGAAAAAATCAAAGTTTTATACCTGGTGATAATGCTCATTTAGAAAATTTAACTTGTTGTATAAATTGGAATTATTTAGTTATTGGTAAATCTACTGGTGATATTGTTTTAAAAAATTTAATAACTAGTACTTCTTTGAGTCAACGTGTTAGCTTCATCATATTTGATGTTCCTGAAGAAGAGAAAAGTGCCATAACGGCTATAACTATGAATCAATACGTTGATAAGAATGCAGCATCAGTGGATGTAATAAGTGGTTCGTTCAATGGTTTATTACAATGTTGGTCAATAAATGGTCAATTAAAATTACAAATTGATTTAAAAGAATCAATATATAATGTAAACTCAGATTTTAAGAATTATATAATTACAAATACTAGAAATCATTTATATGTTTTGGATTTTGAAACTTTGAATATTTTAAATAAAGTGGAATTAGGTATTAACATAGTGTATTATGAAGATCCGGAAACTATTGTCAGTTCAATATCGCGAAATACATTAAATGTTGATTATGGTGGAAAAAGTATTGTTATTACATTTATGTCATTGATAAAAGTTTTTAACTTCCATGATGTGGGAGTTAGAACGCTAACTTTAAAAAATGGTGTTAGAGCAAAGAAAGTTAAGTTTCAAACGTGCTACCCGAACAAGATTTTGAATCGAAATGAGAACATTATAGGAAGTGATGGTCTTTTAGTAGGAGTTTTATTAAACGATGATAGTATAATGGTATGGAATATAAGAGAAAATTCAAATTCATCAATCGTTCCACAATACAGAATATATCCGGAATTAAATTACAAAAAATTACTGAGTCGTCTTAATTACGAAATATCTCGTTTGGAACTTAGTAAAATTACAACATTTGCATTAAATTCTTCAATATTAGCAGTATCTGGTTATAATGGACTTACTTATATATATGATGTTTTCACCGGTAAATTTTTAAGAGAGATATCAATTAAATTTCCAAAAAGGTTTGAACAAATGCATCATCATTTACAATTTACAACAGAGATAAAATTGAATCCTGATCCTTTTAATACAAATGGATTAATTATATGTGGAGAATATATACAATATTTTCAATTTGGTGAATTAATAAATCAAAACAAATCAAATAAATCGAAAAAACCTAAACAAATTAATTTAGGAGTTCACAACAAACATGAGTCGAAGAAGAAAATAACTGATGGAATGGATGAATATAATCGACAGCTAAATCAACAAAAACAAACTAATCAATTATTTGATAAATATAATGGTACGATTTATGATGATGATGAAGAAGAAATGAGAATAGCTTTAGCAATGAGTGAAAATCTACATTCAAATCAAAATGAAGAAATGGACGAAGATTTAAAATTAGCATTAGAATTATCAATGATTGAGAACAATTATACTATGTAGATGTTAGTTGTATTAGAACATTTTTAAAGAATCGGATTTAGTATTTCTTTCCACTTCTTTTTATAGCCGCTCAAAATTCTAAACTCATCAATTGTTTAAATTAGGTAAGTGGCGAAAAAAATCAAGTTTTACGAGGTGTTTCCAATTTGTAATAAGCATAAATCTGTTCATATCTAGTATCGATGAACCATAGGTACAAATTCAAAGACAATTAAAAGTAATATTATTAGAATAATAGTTAAGCTAAGTACTGTCTATTTGATAGTCTATCTTGTAATTGGTATTAGATTTGACACTACCAAGTGAGGTTAATCCGATTTCTTCCTTACTAATTCCACTAAGTAAAATGATTCATACTTTGATATGAAAACTATTATATACAGTACACATAGGGGATACATAAAAAATTTTTGATTCTATATAATACATAATACGGAACTTAACTTACAACTTCTTATTAGTAAGAGTCTCTCTTTATAATAAATTTGATTCTTTTTTACAACCAATTTGTTTTAACAACTACAAAACCAAACACAAACGTCAATCATCTTCATTCTCTTCCAAATTCAACAGAGAAGGGATAATCTATTAAACAATATATTTATTCGTCATTTCCTTTATATGAATTTTCAAACACTCGCTTTAACATCAATCATATAAATCATATTCTATTCTTCATGAGAGTATAAATTTTTTTGAATTTTTATATCAATATAAAACTTAACCATCTACAATCATAGGACACTTCAACAAACATACGTAACTACAATTCAACATGGTATTTTCATCGTTCATTCGATTTGCCAAATTTTCAACAAAATCATCATCACATACTACATCAACTATTCATAATCATTTTTTTCAAGCATCATATCCTTATTTAAATACAAATTATTATTTTCATGGTTTACAAAAACATAGTAAATTTGCTCATAGAACTAAATGGTGGAATAAAGCTGAGACTGGATCTACAAGTAATTCCAATTCATTTTTAACTATATCAAATGGTCATTATGGTTTATATTATTCAATGTATAATAAAGAATCAGAAAGAAAAGAAAAACAAAATAAATATGAAAGATATATTAAACATTATTTATTAAAACAATTTCATGAAGGTGATAGAACTAAATTTAGACAATGTATGTTTAGAAGATCTCATCATTATAGAAAAAATTATGGTCATTATCAAAATTATAGAAGAACTCGTCATTTAAAAAAATTTTTACATTTAAAATTAATACTTATTGGATTTACAGCAAAATTTTTAATATCAAAAGTAATAAAAGATTCTCAATTAAATATAGATAATTTTAAAACTTTTTCATCAAAATTTATTTCTTCATGTTTATTTAAAAATTTGGCTACAACAAATCAATTTTCATCACCATATTCATCAATCCAACTGTCAGATAATGTATTTTCATTAGGTATTTCGAAAAGGTCATTCACTACCATTTCTCATACACATCGTGATAATAAACCATTACTTCAATTAAAAGAACTACCTCAAAAGGATGAAAAAGTACAAGAAGTTTTAACGGAAGAAGTTGATGATTTTGAAACAAACTTTTTACAAACACAAGTAAAAACGATTAACGATGCATATGACAATCACAAATCACCAGAAGACCTCAATATCATATACCCAATGTACCAAGCAGTTAAAAGAAATAACTTAACTTTACCGTCAATTGAAGATTACAACGTTGTTTTGAGATCAATTATAGAAAGAGATCTCGATAATAATCTTGACTTAAAGTCTATTGAATCAAAACTTACAAATTTACTCAGCATTTATCAAGATTTATTACAATCCGGAATCAAACCTAATAGCGAAACATACAAGTTGGTGATCAATTCATTATTGGACAGTAGTATAAGCTGCTCCAAAATCAAATGCACAAATCATATTCAATATAATGAAATAAGAAATAGAACAAAAGAATTTACACAATTAAGTTTTGAGTTGATACAAACAGTCAATAACCAAATTGATAAATTTTCAATTTTATCAAAGATTGTTGTTCTTGGGGCAAAATTTCCAGAATTATTAAATAAAAATTTGTTATTGATATTTGATGAATGTACAAATAATATTGACACTTTGAATTTACAAGGATGTATGGATGTTTTCAAATTAATCCGTTTTTCTAAAAGATTCTCATTAATGGATGAGGAAAAAACTTACAAAATTATAGAACAAGCTTATCAAAGAATTAGACAGTTTGACAATGTAAATGATTTTGAAGTTTATCAAATGGTATTGATAGCCTTAATTGACAATAATTTCAAAAACAATGCAACAGAATTGTTAGATAACATTTTAATGGATTATAAAGAATCTTTACAATTTATGAAACGTCCAAATAAATCAGAAGTTAGTAATTTATTGGGAGCATTTTTAAAATCATATACTGAAAATGTCAATGTCTCTAAAGGATTAGAATTGATGAAAAAATTTCAATCAATTGCATACTTACCAGAATTACCAATATCTCTGTACAATTTTATTATAAACAAATTGCAATCAAATGATGATCACTATAATGACATGTGGGCGCTTTATAATCGAATTGCTTTAAGAAAAGATTATCAATCAACTAGCACCATATCAATTATTCAAGAAAATGATGACTTATGTTGCAGAGATACCTTAATAGCACTTGCTATTCAAAAAGGGGATCATGAAAGAGTTTTTCAATTGTTGAAAGAGATTCTGTTGAAAGAACATTTGATCGGTGATTATCAAATTATGAGAATGGTTTGTAATTATTTAAGTAATGGGGTAATGTTTAGCAAATCCGAAGGTGAATATTTCAATCAACAATATTTTGGATTACTTTCACAATTACTTGAATCTCAATCAAAACATTACCAGAGTTCAACAAATTTAAATGATTTTATTTCAGAATATGCTCAATTTTTAACTATTCCAATTCCATCTGAATTTATATCTAATAAATTAGCTATTTCAAGTATTTCAAATTATAATGCTCAATTTTTAATGTCATCTCAATTACCTTTTAAATGTCTTGAAAATTTTGATTTAAATGAAGATAATTTATATGGATTAGTTATTATTGCTAGACAAGTAATGTTATATTCAGGAAATGATGAAAATATTTTAAATAAAATTGCATTTTTTGAAGCTAGTTTAATTAATCATTTTGAAGATTCTGCAAATCATTATATTGAATTGACTGATGAAGTTCTTGAATTTAAAAAACAATTGATTGAACATTTTAAAAATTTAATGATGAATATAACAGTTACTAATTATGAAATTACTGAGGCATGTAAACATTTGAATATTGAATCGAAATCTGATGAAACATTTGTAAGGGATCACAATTCAGATTTGAGTGTTTTGTTAAATATCAACTACAAAAAAGGAGTTGCTCAATTTTTGGACCAATTGGAAAAAGGTTTTATATTCCCAGCTAGAAATTGGGATATAATAATAAATGAAAATTTCATTAATGAAAATTATTCAATTATTGATCAAAACTTTTTACAAAGACTTTGGGAAACAAATTGTGAAGAAGAGAAGAAATTGGCTTTATTACAAAGATTAATTATGTACAATAATTTCGAGATTAATAATTCCATCTTGAATTTTATAAGTGATCAACAAATTTACGATACTGAAATTTTGTCATTGATTTTTAAGAGTTTGGACGGTAACTTGAGTGGAATTCAAAATTTTGATTTTAAGTCGGCTATTGAGACCAATGAAAATGCAAAATGGATTTTGTCATATTTCAACTATTTGAAACAAATGAATGAATTTGAGAAGATAAAATCTGATGAAAAATTTATTACAAAAAGATCTGATGATATTAAAACATTGATACTTGAAGCAGAGATGGAAACGGATTTATCACATTTTCAAGAAATGATTGAAAAAGTAGGTGTGGAAGATAGTACAAAATTAGAGCCGTTACTCATCAGGCACGACTTAAAAAAGGGAGTTTCAGCTGATTCAATTTTACACAAGCAGTATTCAAATTCAAGTAATGAAATGATTGAATTGATATCATTTGTTAAATTATTGGATTCATTACAACAACATAAATATTCTTTTGATGATAGATTTTTCGTATCGGTAAAACACATTGCTAATGCTTTATTGACAAGTGGTAATTTATCAGAAATGAAAAAGATCATCACAAACAACAAAATTAATGATAAAGAACTATTAATCACAACTATGTTACAATCTTTGATAGATTTATCAAAATTACCAATAAACAATTTATCACAACCAATAATCAATAGACTTTTAACATTTATAAAATTTTTTAAAATCTTGGACATTGGAAGTTCAATTAAAATAGAAAATTTTTTACAAATTTTAACAATTTTAAAATTAAATAAATCTGATTTAATTGAAATTATTAAAAATAAATTAATTGGACCAAAAAATCAAATTTCAGATATTATTAATTTTTATTTTCTTGAAGTGAGTTTATTTAATCAAAGTGATAAGCAACGAGTATATAATTATATAATGACCAGTTAACGTGAACAAGAAACAATTTTTTTAAAAATTTTTTTATGTCTGTTTGAATTGTAAAGTATTCGTTCTTTTGAATTGTAAAATATTCATTCAATCCATTTATTGCAGAATCCCTTTTTTGAACTTACGCGCTCCGTTTTAATTTAACACAAAATATCTAAAAAATAGAACTATCAAAGTTAAAAAATAATAGATTGAATCATTCTATTGACATAACAAAATAGATTATAACCGATCGATATAAATAACAAATGAGATGAGTACATATGAACCAGATAAATATCTACCTACCATAGATGTATGTTACGCTTTAGAAGTTACGTATAATTGGAAAAAGTTGAACGAAATTACTAACAGAATTAATGAAATAGGCAATCCTTGGGGTAGCTGATCTTGAACAAGTTAGTGTTAAAAAAATGAGAAGAGCAGTACTGGAATTGTTTGCTATTGATTTGAATCCATATAAGGTATGTTTTAGTGAGCTTGAAACGAAATAGATATGTGTACTAACTGATGATCCTTTTCGATAGAAAGAAATAAATCAATTAATAATGGATAGATTTTATCTACTTCAAGAGAAAAGAGCTAAACAAGAAAAAGATGAAATGGAAAGGAAGGATGCATTATTAGCTGCAAAATTAGCAAGGGAAGATTCAAAACCAATTAGAAAAAGTCGAACCACAACCACTAAAAAATCTACAACAAAAGAAAAATCAAAACAAGGATCATCTTCACCAAATCATATTTTTAATAGAGAAATGTATTTAAGTCGTGAATTAGCAGATGTATTAGGTGTAGATGCATGTTCAAGGCCTCAAGTTGTTAAAAAATTATGGGCTTATATTAAAGATAATGAATTACAAGATCCTTCAGATAAGAGACAAATTATATGTAATAGAAAGCTTCAAAATTTATTCAAAAGAAGTATGTAAACCGAATTCATGCACTTATGAGAATCATGTACTAACGTTTTTGCAGAGTCTGTTGGTGCTTTTGAGATGAATAAAATTTTAAGTCGTCATATTTACAAGCCAGAAGAAGTTGAATCTGGCGGCTCAAGTAGACCGACGCCTCAAAAGTCTTTGGTTAAGAATGAAGATACTAGTGATGCCCTAGCCGCTGAAATTGAAGATAATTTGGAGAAAGACGTTTCTCAATTGGAGGCGGAAATGAGTTCTGAAGAAGATTAGACATCATTTGCTATTGACAATTTCAATTCTAGTAAACAATCTGAAACTAATGATATTTAATTACGTTACTTTAATTTTTTTTTGTTGGTGTTGTAAATCTTATGTCATGAAGTCAAATTTTAATATACATTATTACTCAATACATATTACCTCTTAAGATCTCTGACATCAAATACCCCTTAAAGAATACTCGATTCGGTAATATTACTTCACAGTAAAATATTATTTTCTTTCGTATTTACAGTTTACCGTTCTTTATTTTCGTTAGATCAAACAAGAATACAATTGTACCGTGAACTTTAACGTCCTTATATTCTCGAGATATGAATGGCCATAAGAATGGGGAAACATCAAAAGATGGATTGCTACTGAATGGCCAGTATAAGGATGAAAACACAAAAGAATTATACAAATATTTACTCAAGATACTACTATTAGAGTATAGCAATGAAACTAGATTTAGAACACCCATAATAACACCAAAGAAAGTTACAAGTATAAGTAGGAATAGTGCCGTTTTTGACTCAATACTACCTTCACAAGTCATTAAATCATTAAAATCACGACTACAGGACATAATGACAAAAAAAATACAGATAGATGAAAAATCACGAAGATCACTACTACGATTATATGGAGATCTACTAGATCCATCAAAGGAGATAAGAAATGTTGACTTTTTAATTTCAAAATTCGCTTCTTACGCAGATCAAGAACTTCGAAAAATGGGAGATGAAGATGCATTTGAAATGTTTAGACAATCTTCCATATTTATAGATATGTTGATCTCAATGTTAAACCCCAAAAAGGAAAATGAACAAACTATAATAACAAGATTAAATGAAAGAAAGAAAGAATTTAAAGAAAAACAAACATCAAAGAAAGAGGTATTTGTGTATCCACAGAAATCATATAGGGTGGATGATATGAATGAAAGTTTATTATCCATAATAAGAGAGATATTTGGTGTCGATAATATAAAAATCCAGACTGATATATTCAAATATAAAGACCTTTCAGATCCCTACTTGCTACATAAAGATGTTGATAAATTGATAAGTCTAAATAATGAGGAGTATGTGAATACTAGAAACTCTATCATAGCGTCTCAGTTAAGAAGCAGATACAAATACGTGACAGAACCAACTGTTGCCCTACCGGCAAATGAAAACTATTTTGTCATACCAAGTGATACCAATAGAAGAAACTTGTACATACATCTAACCTCATTACTATCAAATACGGACAAAGACATACTTGGAAATAACTCTTTAGATTTTTTGCACATAGTAGCTCGTGTTTGGTTCATTGATTCACCAACCAAAGTTGCCGCATTATATCAGGCGTGTAATGAAAGCGAGTATTTTTTATCAGCATCTGGCCTTGATTTGGTCAAAGCACGTCATGGGTTTAGTTTGATTCAAAAAATTATTGAAGACAGCGGATTATCATGGGAGGATAGAGAAAAATGGTCAGCTGATGATCAAAACTTATGGATTGAGAATTTAACCATTACTTATAATCAACTATTTGCGTCTATAAGAGAATGTTTTACTCATTTGTTCGATGAAAAAAATAAGCCGAAATTTGGTCCATATCTTGAATTCCTTCAAATGTATATTGAGCAAGATAACCTTTTTCAATTAATTGAGGAATCAGGTCTTCCTAAAAAATGGGAGAAAAGATTAACGAAATCATTATTAAAGGTAGCAGGTAAAAGATATGAAACATGTTTAGAGAATATACCGAGAGATGATACTTTAAATGTTATCCATTTATTCAACATTTGTGATACAATAGTGAATGATATCAAATCTTTACAGAAGAAGTATAAGAAACCATTTTTGGGGTTCTTGAATGTTTCAAGAACTGTGGCATCGATAACTACTGGTATGTTCAGTAGCGATGCCAAAATGATTTTGATTCATATACAAAACTATATGAAATTGAGGCATGAAGTTTTTCCCGTTGCTGATGCATTAGAGTTATATAAGCTGTTATCTGAAATTCGAGATATTTATTATCAGGTCTCTACTCCATCTGCCTCAAAATTTCAATTCGATTTGGAACCCTTTTTTTACCCATACATAGACTCCTGGGCAGAAGAATCGGAAGATAAATTGAAGAATATAGTTGAAGAAGCATTAAAAAAAGACGACTATCAACCAATCAACATCAATGAAAATGCACAAAAGAATAGTAAGGCGGTATTGGATATACTTGCAATTGTTAAACAATATTTGTCAATAATGAACAAACTAGGGTGGCAGAATGAATATCAACTTGCTAAACTTTATACTAAATTACTAAGAGCTATATCCAGTTCCTTATTATTTTATTCAGATCAAATCACCTTTAAGTTGAATAGAGAATTGGCAGTTACGAAATCGGAGGTTGAAGAGTCTCAAAAAAATTGGTTTGATGAGGTAAAGAATGTTGTGAGTAATATTCAAGGTAAAGCTGAGCCATCAATTGTTTATAACTTTGAAGCTGAAACTTGTGTATCGTTAAATAACATAGAAGCTATGATGGAGAATTTTGCAAAAGTGGAAGATTGGCTAGATCCAGAATCAATATCGAATTCATTAACTACTTTTGAACCTCAAAATAATTATTTGAGTCACGTATTCACGGTGAGGGTACTAAAAGCTGAAAATCTTACATTATCTAAAGAATCAACCTTCGGAAGGATCAATCCTTATGTTGCATTAGCAGATTTTAATCATAAGAGACCAATTGGTAAAACAAGAGTTATACGACAAACATCGGATCCTGAATGGGATGAAGATTTTGAAATTACAATTCCAGCTAATACAATTTTGGAAATATCGGCTATTGTTTGGAGTGAAAGTATGGGTCAACATCAAGTTTGTGGGAAAACTATATTTGAGCTAAATCCAAAAAAATTTAAGCATAATGGGTTTCCTGAAGAAATTATATTAGATCTTGATTTACTGGGTAAACTTATAATTGAAGTTGCAGTAGAAAATGAAACTTTGGATGCGTTGTTTGTCATGGGAAGAGCATATAGAGCATTAAAAAGAGCTCAAGAAAAATCTATTAAATTAATGGTTGAAAAATTTCTGGGTTTTATTGAAGGTTGTTTTTCAAAAGCTAATGTTAAAGCAGTTTGTTCAAAAGGAAACCCAGCAAATGCTGATTTTGAAGCATCAATTGAAACATTATGTGACTATTTGAATCTAAACTTAAGTACTTTAAAAGCAAATTTGCGTGATGATCTTTTCATGCAAGTGATGTTAGCAACATGGAATGTTGTTATTAAAAGTGCAGATGAGTTATTATTACCAAAATTATCAAAAGCTAAAGTTGATGCAACAAGTTGGCAATCAATGTCATCAAGATTTGCAAATACTTCCATAACATCTGCAATGTCTAAACTAGGGTATGATACTCAATTAAGTGGTTTAGAAATTGAAACTGTATTAAGATGGTTAGATTTGTTGACTGATTTTTTTCACAATGAAGGAAATGGGCCTCCATTGGAAGATTTGAAAACTGATAAATATCAATCATTGTTATTAATTCCTGCTTTTTATGATCAATCAGATGATGAATTAATTGATGAAGTTGAAAGACTTTCACCAGCATTTGTCAACATGCTAACTAATAAAAATGATTTTGTTTCATCTAAGAATTTTGGTAGAGCCGGAACTTTATCTAGAAGTAAGACAATTCAAGCAAATGCTACTGTTAAAAAAAGAGCTCAAGCTGCAAAAGATGCAAAACGAGCTAAGACTGATATAAATGCCAACATGGTTTCAAAAGAAGATATAATTTTAAGAATTTTACTAGCACGCGGACGTAAAGATTTTGTAAGATTGAGATTGTCACAAAGAACAAAATTAGCATATAGTGTTGCAACTGAAAGAATGGCAAGAATTGCAGCTGAAAAGAAATTTGATAGATAAAATTGTTTAATAGAATTAAAAAATATCATTTTATATATATTACAATTCAAAAATTATATAGTTGTATCATTTGCTGTTACATCTTCTTGATTTTCAGCAACCTTCTCATCTATTTCCATCCCATTGGATTCTTCCTCTGGTTTTTTTTCCTCTTCCTCCTTTAAAAATTTCTGATACGCTTCACCTCCTTCTTCAAACAATACTTTGATAGCCTCTTCTGCTTTGGCTACTTGTGATTCCTTGGTTTGCTCTTTTGCAGCATCTCCCTCTTCTTTCTCTGTTTCATCTTCAGTATCTAATGTCGATTTCCAACCATTTTCACCATTTATCAAATCCTTTAATGATTTAATTTTGTCCTCAGTATCAATATTATCTTCATTACGTTTCTTGTAAACCACATTTGAGAAAAATTCTTCATGAGACCCACTTTCAAAAAATAATTTATATGAATTTTCACATACTGAAACTTTCAATTCTGAATGCACTCTTCCATCAACAGAATCTTCATCTACTTGTTCCAAAAATGCTTTTGAAAATGGCATATTCAATTTCGATGCTGGTACACCTTCTGTTGGATGTGACATTACATAACTTGTGACGTAATAATTGTATTGTTCTTCGTTAGTGTGTTGATCACTAAGTGTAAGATCGTCCAAACTTATATATTGAATATTCACTTTATGAGATCTGTCATTGTAGGCTATTTTGAACATATTTTCATCAGATGACATCAAAGTTCTAACTGCTACACGATACAATATTTGTTCTTTTGTTGATGAAATTGGTTTAGTTCTATCATTTTCAAATAAAACAACAATTTCAGAAGTCTTAACATCTGTTATCATCGAATGCATATGTTTTACTAAAGCTTGAACAACTTTATCAACAGTATATATTTTGTAAGCTTTATTCTTATAACCTTGACGTAAACTCTCCTCAAACCATTGATGTTCTATTTCACCTTCAATTAATCTACCTGCTAATTTAATTACTTGATCGTAACAATCTTCAGATCCATTGATGTCAATACCCATGTCTTCTAGTTGATGAGAAAGTAAATTCAAATCTTTAGCAAATTGTGGATACTTCCTGTTTTTAATTTCCTTACCAACTTTATCATTCATTTTTTTGATTTCATTTAATCTATCATATAAAGTCGTCAAATGACGAAAAAATACATAAATTGAAGTGTTACAGAAAAAATTATATTTGTCACGTCTTTTCTCAATGTCATTAGTTTCAGGTTCTGAATTGATATTTGTTGATTTAACCCACAATTCACTTGATCTTTGTAATTCTTCATCTGCTTCTTGTGCTGCATTTTCTGACGATTGAGGACCAGGTGATTCTCCACGTTCATCTTTCTTTGATTTCGATACTTTTTTCAAAACATCTTTCAATAAATCTGTTTCCCTAGCTCTTTTTTTCGATGAGTCAGCGCCACTGGCAATAGGAGTTGATCTACCATTAGCTTCTTCCTCTTCATTTTCTTCTTCGACCTCACCTCTAGCTTCTAATGCTTTATCAAATTTTTCATTTGGTATACCAAAAAACAAAGATATAAAAAATTTGAAAAATTGTATCAATTTTTTCCTATCATAAGTTGAGTAAGTTGAAGATTTGTTTATGAAAACACTTGCTAATTTAAATATATCAAATAGTATATCTTCGTCATCAAATTGATAATTTAATTGTTCTTGTGGCTTTGGTGTTAATGGATGAAGTCTTTTATTTTGTTGTTCAATTTTAATTGTACTTATTTCACTAACTAATTGTTTAGCAGTTAATAGTTTTTTATCAGCTTGTTTGAAAGTTAAACCTAAATGATCCAATGATTTATAAAAAACTTTTTGTTCCATTTCCCTCCAAACTTTATTCCATTCTCTTTGAGCACGTTTCCATTCTTCATCCTTTTGTTTTAACCTTTTCAATACAATTGGGACAGCAATAGCAGGATTATCATGTAAGGCATCAATAACCTCAAAACCACGATCTTTATCATAAATTTTTCTTATAACTTTTTTATATATCGTTGTTGAGTTATGACCCAATCCAGGCGGAAGTTTGAAATTAGCTTTTTGTTCTGGTGTCATATTCGCTATTCTATTTGCAATAGTTTCTAATATTTGAATTGTCCTTAAATTAGATTCCATATAATAATCAAACTCCAATCTTTCTTCTTCAATTTTAAATAATATTTCTTCGTATTGATTTTTACGGTGTGCAATAAAACCAGAATCTTCTGAAGCCCAAGTTGGATGACCTACCCATTCATCATTCAAAACTTCCCAACACATTTCATCTCTTCCAGAACAAGGCATAAAAGTTTCAGCCTTAGGTAATTGTCTATATGATGGTCCATATGCTTTACATAATGAAAGCTCTAAAGCATGCTTTTTGAAAGTAATATTTTCTAAATTTTGAGGTTTTTTCTCGTAACCAACAAATAATTTAAACCAATCAAATAAGTCGGCATTTGCATCACCTAAAAAGCTATCAACACGTTCTACTAAAGTGTCTTTATCAATAATATCTTGAGTGAATAAATTAAGAAGTTTCAAAAATTCACTGTATGTTTGCTTGTTACCCAAAGCCTTCTTAATTTTATCGAAAAAGCTAATTTCTTCAATTAGTGAAGAAGATTTTGCTGTACCTGGAGGTGGGATCGGTTCTGGAATACCAGGTACTAAAGTTGCATTTATTGGTGCTGTCTGTGTTATAGTAGTTGTTGCACTTGTTGCAGGTGGACGTCCTTGAGTTTTAGTTGATTTTGCTGAACTGACTCCAGAACGAACGCTTGAAAATTGAGCGTCTTGATTGTAATTTTCTTCAACTAAAGATTTTTTCTTATTTGATTGTTCAACGGAATCATATTTACGTTCAGGACTAAAACTTGAGACTTGATTTGAAGGTTGAATTTGTGGAGCATATGGAGATTGTGTCGGACTAGGACCAATAGGTTGAAAATTTCCAACAGGTGGTAGTTGAGTGCCATTACCCATATATTGAGATTGTTGTATCTGAGATTGAGGTGGTTGAGATGATTGTTGATGTTGTTGATGTAAAGGTGGTTGAAGTTGTTGTGGCTGTTGAGTTTCTGGATAACTTTGATTACTAGTATCTGGTAAAAATTGTTTAAAATCATCTAAAAGATCTGGACAATTTGCAAATAATTGAGTGACTTGTTCATAAACTTCTGCAATTGGCTTTTGTTCTCGTTGATATGTCTGTAAGATTTCAAGGAATTGCTTATATATATCTGGTTGATTCGCAAATCTAGTTTTAATTTTATTCACATAAGATATAGCATGATTAAAATCTATTTGTCCACCACCATTAGTTTGTGCACCTGATAAGTCAATTTGTTGTTGCTGCTGCTGCTGTTGTTGTTGTTGATTGGCAGCTGTTTCAACTGCGGCGGACTCTTCATTACCCCAACTTTGATTATAAGTAGTTCCAGCTATATTGGGTCTTGTTGTAGTTCCAGTAGGAGTTGTAACTCTAATAGGATTTGGATCTGATGGATCTAATGAGCATTCAATCTTATAACCTGGTGGTAGAAACGTATTAAAACCTTGTATTAAATTAGGATGACCTTTAAATAAAGTAGACACTCTATCAATAACTCCAGGAGTGTCTATACTTTGAGATTTAAAATCTTTCATAATGTCAAGAAAATTGTTGTATACATCTGATTGATTATAAAATTGTATTTTAACTTGATCAAGATAAGATAATGCATCCTTCACATTTAACGGTCTGTAAATATTACTAGTGCCTGATCTATTTGGAATACCTCCAATTGATGTTGTAGTAGTTCCATGTGGAATTTGAGGTGGAAGTTGTTGAGTTTGTGGTGGAGATTGATGAGGTGGAACTTGTTGTTGAGGCAAAGACTGAGATTGACCTTGTTGTTGACTTTGTTGTGGTTGTTGGTGCTGTTGAGAAGATGATGGTTGATGTTGAGATGGTGGTTGTTGATGTTGTAATTGATTTTGTGCATATTCATTGTTTATAATTTGAGGCTCTGAATTCAAACCTGTTAAAGTAGATGAAGGTGGTAATGGTTGATTTGCAACATTTCCAAAAGTTACTGCTGAAGGTCTTCTTATATCTGGTGTTTGTCTTGGATGAGGTTGTTCCGAGTTCTTTCATCATTAGTTAGTAAATAATCTTTCAACATGTTTTATTTTTCTGTTTCGTTATACATACTTGTCCTAAATCGTTGACTGGATTAATTGATGGAATAGTAAAACCATGTTGTGGATGGCTACTCCCATTTCCTAAACTTGGCAAACTTGGTAATGGATAAAATTGTTGTCCTCCTTTATAAGTTGTTAGTAAATGACTCTTTTTTCTTATAGGAATTTGATTGAACATACCTTGTTCTAATGTTGCTGGTGGAGGTAATACTGGTGGATGTTGACGACTATTGATAAATTGTTAGTATTCACATTGGGTTTATTTTGAAGTGACACATGAAGAAAAATACATACTTGAACTGTTGTCCCATCTGACGTTGTTGGTTTGACCAACTGTCTTGTGGATTTGACATTTGGAATCTATTTATATGATGATATCGGAATTATATGAAAAATAACGTTGATCTTGTAATTATAAAATCAATCCCGAAGGAACTTCTTTAATGTTTGTGACTTTACGTTGATACTAAAGAGTTACAAATAACAAGATAGTGTTATGACTTCCCACGTTATTTTATTATATATAGGTTGGTGATGATCTCGATTGAAATTTCTTTAATAATCTTAATTTCACTATAAAATGATAATTGGTTGTAAATTTTGCATTGAAGGAGAGAGAGAGACAATCTCATTTTTTAAATTTTTGTAAACAAAGAAAAAAAGTACTGCATATTAGACACATACTGTGTCGGGATTTATAAGTCAAGACGAACGCATGTATTTTGTCGCATCAATAATTTTCGAGACATCATTATTGAATATTACAAAAACAAACTCACATCTAAAACCATTTTCAAAAGCCAAACGATTTCAGCTTGACATACAATATCTCATAAAACCACAAGATGAATGCTCCAGATAGATTTGAACTATTTATACTACCAGATGGATTAGATAAGTATGTAAAGTTCTGAACTACATGTCTATTTAATTGCAGTTGTACTAACCAATCTTTTAATCAAGAGTGAAAATAACACCAGATACAAAAGTGCCGAATGCTGCAATAGTGAAAATAGAAAGGGAAGATCATACACTAGCGAATCTATTAAGAGCTCAATTAATAAAAGATGAAAAAGTTATATTTGCAGCATATAAAGTTGAACATCCATTATTTGCAAATTTTGTATTAAGAATACAAACAGAAGATGATTATACACCAAAAGAAGCATTATCAAAAGCTTGTAATTCATTAATTAATGAATTAGAAATAATAAAATCTAAATTTGAAGATGAATGGGCTTTAAAAGTTTTATTAAATAATGATGATGATTATTAATAGGAAAGGGGAATAGTAGTTTAAACAAAAATATGCTTGGATGATTATTAATTGGTATGGAGAGTATTTAGATTCGACAAAATTTTGTTTTAAGTACTTTTATTTTTGATTAAATGCTAAAGCTAGATAGAAATCTATATAGTATAAAAAGTAAATTTATGATAGTGTACATGTACATGAAAGAAATATATAATAATACAGCATTAAAAATTGAAATAGGTAAAATAATTGAATGATCAGATTATTCTTCATTAAAAGCTCTTTTTTTAATAGCTTCTTTTATAATGGAAATTTTTTTCAAACAATCTGGAACATGTTCATTTGGAAAATCACCTTCTTGTAAAATCATTATTAATGGATGAGTTTGAGTTAAACGATTTGGTGAAATATGAGTTATTGCTAAACCAGATTTTGAAATACAAATTTTATGATGATCTTTAAAATTAAATTGAAAATTACCATTTGTCATTTCAAACATAATATAATCTGTTGTTCTTGTATATCTTCTTAAAAATACAATTTCTTTTCTTTCTTCATTTTCACTAACTTTTGATAAATTACTATTCATATATTTTGCAAAAAAATCAACAATTTCTAATTGTCTTTTAGCTTGAGCTGGTGGATGAGTTGTAGAATTTTCAATACATGTCCATCCTTCACCATCATGATAAATTAATTCTAAAAATTTTGTAGAATTATATAATTTTAATAAAGTATTTTCATCATTAAATAAAACTCCAATATCATCATTATTTAATTGATAAGAAAATCCATATTTATTTGAATAATCAACCCATTTACTAATTAATGTAGGATTATCACAATCTGGTAATTCAAATTCTTCTATATTATCGAGTTTTGAATGTTCTAATCTTCTAATATTTTGATACGTTTCAAAACAAACTTGATTAAGACGTTTTATAGTTGTTGAAAAATGTGAATTAAAATTAACTCTTCTTGGTCTACCCAATTGATCTGGATCAACTTCTTGATATTTATTTTTTGTATCATTTGGTGATAATGATTGAGGTAATAAAGTTTTTGGTTGTTCTGATTGTAAATCTGATCTTAATATTTCAACTGGATTTTTGGTTTTTGGTGTATATATACCAGCCATATCTTTTGCATTCTTAAAATTACTTTTAGATTGAAGTCTTGATATTTGATCTAAACCTTGAGGTGTTTCACTTAAACTAATTTCTCTTGTTTTATCTGGAAATGAACCTTTAAACCATTCATAAGTTAAAACTTCATCAATTGTTGGTCTATTTAATGGATTTAAACTTAATAAATCTTTAATTAATTGTTTTGCTGAATCAGATATTGGTTTTTCTTCTGGAAAACAATATTCTGTTTTTTTAATTCTTTCATAAATTACATTAACATCTTTTGCTTGAAAAGGTGGTTTTCCAATTAATAAAGCATACATCATAATACCAATAGCCCAAATATCAACTTCAAAACTATGTCCAGTTTGTTTACCACCTAAAACTTCAGGTGCAATATAGTTTGGAGTACCACAAATAGTATATTTTTTATGATCACTTGAAGGTAATACAGATGCTAAACCAAAATCTCCAATTTTTAAATTCATATCTGGATCAAAAAATATATTACCTAATTTTAAATCTCTATGAATTACATTTCTTGAATGTAAATATTTAATTGCACCAACAACTTGAACCATAAAATATCGTACTTCAGGTTCAGATACTCTTTTTCTATTTTTCAATAATTCCATTAATGATTGATTTGGACAAATTTCTAATAGTATATAAACATTAATATCATCTTCAAAACAATCTATAAAATTAACAATATTTGGATGTTTTAAAGATTTATGAATTTTAATTTCACTTAATAATTTAGTTTTAGTTTTTTCATTTTTAATTGAAGCTTTTGCAACAGTTTTAGCTGCATAAATTTGACCTGAAGAATCTTTCATTTGAAAACAACGAGCAAAACCACCTTCTCCTAAGAAATTACCTCTTCTATAATCTCTTCCATTTCTAGTTCTAACAATTGAAGGAGGAGTTTTACATAATGCTGATAATTTTTCTTTTTTCTTCCTTTGTTGTTGTTGATGTTGTTGTTTATTATTTTGATCCGATGATTGTAATGGTTCTTTATGACGTCTTACTGATTTGATTGGAGTAATGTTATTTCCTCTTGCATTTAATTGACCACTATTTAAAGCTTGTAAAGGTTGTTGTGAACGGACCGCTGACATTTTTGAATTATTGACAATATATTAAGTTTTGGAAAGAATTAAAAAAGATGCTATAATTATTATTGATGCTAATAAGATGATTTGAAATGATTTTCAAGGAAATACAAACAAACAAAACAAATGGTTGATGAAATGAAACGGGGACAACGAAAAAAGGTTGAAGTATTCAATTAAGTACTGAATTGGAAGTGATAATGATAAGTGAATTAGAAATAAAAAAGTATTAAAAAGAAGAAGTTTTATAGAAATATGAACATTTTATATTTGAATTTGTAAGTTTTATGATTTTGTATTATCTTTATTAAATTTGTATTGATGTTTGGATGTTTCAACTTTGGTATATATTTACTTTTTAACCAAATTAAGAATTGTTTGTTTGTTTTCTTAACAAAAGAAGAGTACGTCACGTGACGCATTAATAAAATATGAAATACATAGGCATTAATACCAAATATAGAATTAAACATAACTAATATCAATTAACACCAATTAGGTAAATATTTCTTACATTGTTTCAGAATATACAGACTTATATTTATATTTAATATTAGCAATGTTTAAATTTAATCCTTCATTTACGACTAATTTAAGTAACCTTTACAACCTGGTGCTCCACAAAGACATCTAATTCTTTCATCATCATTTGTTTCTCTTTCAAATTTATAATCATAAGTTAATTCTTCATTAGCTTCAATATCTCTTAATGCATATATAACAATTCTTTTTTTACCTTCAACTTTAATAATTTTTGCTGTACAACTTGGACTACAACAATGATTTATAAATCTTGCTATACCTCCCTTTTTTGTTGCATCTATAACTGTATTTTCATCAATTCTAAATAAATATGAAGATCCAATACCTGTACGTAAATAACTTTTTTCTCTATGTTCTGCAACTTGTTGTCTTATTCTTTCTCCAACATATTCAATAATCATTTCTTTCGCAGCAATTGGTTCCATTGCATAAAGCCCCCAATTATGAATTGCTGATCTTGCAAATGTTACTGGTTTTTTACGTTTAGTTAATGCATTCAAACTTAACACATCTGACTCTGAACCAATTTGTGCAGTTATATCTGCTGCAAATCTTCTATTATTAGCTCTATTAACACGAGAACTTTGAATATTTTCAATTGGTTTATCATCTTCTTCATCTTCATATTGAACTGTTTTAATTGGTTTATGAGCTTTTTTACGATGTGGTAAATATTCAATTTTATCAATATCTAATATTTTCTTATATCCATCTGATTTAAAACATCCCTTTGAATTTAATCTTGATGGTAATTCTTCTATTAAATCTTCATCATCTATTATTTCTTCTATTACTGATTTATTTTGATTTTGTTTCCAAGCCCAATATTCAATATTTGATAATTCTGTTTCTTTAGTTTCAGATAAAACTTGTCTAGCTAATAAAAGATCTTCATCATCTTTAATATGATCTTGTAATGATTCTAAATCTGTAATGGTACTAGCTAATGGTTCAGGATAGACTGTTAAAGGTCCATCTTCTGTTGGTCTGAATAATGGATCTATGTTATCTTCCACATCAGATTTAGGTGATTCAACTATTGAAGTAGATAATTTAGTTTCAACATCCACTTCCATATCATCTTCATTTTCATCTTCTGGAGTGGGGAGTGAATGTTTTTTCTTTGGTGGTTCAGTCTCCAATTCTTCATCAACACTAGTTTCTGTTGAACTTCGTATACGTTTTAATTGTTGAGGTATTGGTGTGGTTGATCTACTAGTTGACTCGTAATCTTCTTCATCTTCTTCATCAATTTCATGTCTTGAATTTTTATCCTCATTTTCTTCATCGTCATCATCATAATTTAAAGCATGCAGCATAGGTATAATTGGTTTATGTTTCAGTTGTTTCATTCGTTCATTAGCTCTTTTATAAAATGGTAACTTGTTATGTGATTCCAATCTTTGTTTTTCCAAGATTGACATTGCAGATTGCTTTAAATATACATTTGATGAAATATTTTTCTGTTTAGCAGCTTCTTCCTTCTCTTTCTCTTTAGCTTTTAACTCTTCAACTAGTTTAGGGTATCTATCATGATCTAAAAGACTTAAAATGTGAGGAGCTATAATTCTTTCTCTTATATCTTTTACAAGATAAGTTTCAAATTCTTTGATCAAAATATTTGTAGCTTCATCAATGACTCCACTTCTCATGTCATCATCTTTTTCAACATTTTTAAAACCGTCTGGTATAGCTAATTCCATAACCATTTTGCACTCAAAAAACTTTCTACCATCTTCTTTCATGAAACATCTTTCACATTCAATTATTGAGTTGAAGACAATATAGAAGCCTGTTTTATCAGATAACACTCTAGTCCAATCGTATTTTTTTAATATCCTTTTAATTTCTTGAGATGATGTTTTTTTAGTTGGTACATATTTATCTTGAATTAAAATATAAGGTCGATTTTTAATATATTTTGAAAGATCTTTCGGTAAATTTATTCCTTGTACTACTTTATTCGAATGACGAGATGATAATATTGTTGTATTAGGTTTGAATTTTGAGACTGGTGGTTCTGAAGCTTCCTTTTTAGCAGCTTCTTCTTCTTTTCGTTTTTTCTCTTCTTCTAATTGTTGTTTCTTTCTAGCTTCTTCCTCTCCTTTCTTTTGCTCCTCTGCTAATTTTATCCTCTTCTTTTCTTCCTCTTCTTTTTTCTTTTGTACAGCTAAAACTTTAACTCTAGCAGCTTCAATCTTTTGATTAAGAAGTTTATCATTATTGTCATTAAATTCAATTTTTATCGGTTTTCCATCAATTTTGATTGAATCTGAAATAACAGTTTTCATAAATTTTTCTGCCACACTATTTGATTTTTCTATACTTCCCAGAAATTTAAAAGTAGCTATACCCAAAGGAAATCCAAATTCTGGATCGTTTATTAATTTTAAGTTTTCAACTTTTGAAGAATCATAACTATTAAGGAAATTGGATAAATATGTTTCGTTAGTGCTTGATGGTAAATCCCATATAATTAATTCAGTTAAAGGCGCTTCTCCTAATGAATCATTATCAAAAACAAATTTAGGTCTAGGTAGTTGTTTGAATGGAAATTTTGATGAAGCTTTATTAGGTTTCAGTAGATATTGAGTTAAATTTGTTAGTCGAGGGTCAGAATTTTCTGATACGCCTTCTCCATTAAACCGTATCTTTTTATGTTTGATCTTTTTGTCATGTTTTGATAATTTTGAATCTAATTCTGGGTCGTATAATACTTTGTAAGTCTTACTATTTTCGATGATTTGTATGTTTTTTGTAAAATCACTATGATGTGCAAGTTTAGTGAATTCTGAATCCTTTTCATTCGATCCAGTTCTAGTATCAGTACCTTGAACTGCGAATTCAAATTTAGTATCACTATTTGCAGATTGAGGAGTTCTTTTACCTGAATAATATTTATAATCACTATTATCGTAAGTATTTTGATAGTTATTATAATGACTCGCGTGATAACTACCCAGATGAGGGATTTGATGATTATAATGACTTTTATATGTTGAATGAGAGTAATTCAGACTCCCTTTATAACTCGTATCTCGTCTATCAGACCTATAAGAGTTATTTCCACCTCGTGAATACCCATTTTGATAACCATGATGGCCATATCCTCCTCTATAGGACATGATTCTTTAGATATTTAAGATGTATAAATCACGGTCTATCTAATAATCCTTTGGATAATGCATGCAAGTATATGAAATATGTAAAGATGTAAGTATTATCTTTTGTTATTAGTGAATGAACTGTTAGAATATTGTTTTCTATCTAGAAATACAAATTTCTATTTATTATCACACAAATTCTACATATTTTTTTTTTTTAAATCGATTATCGCGACTACGTTACTAAAAGAGAATTAAACTTAAAATAATGATAGGAATTGGTGATATCGATGATGTAGATAACACTCATAATCTGATGAATATCTAGAAGTTTTTAACAAGCATTTCATTGAGAAATTAAACTACTTCATGAATATATACTAATCTATTTAGTTCTTATATGTTTCAAGGGACCAGGTACATGATAAAAATTCATGGCATATTCTTTCTTTCTAAAATGTCTTTTTTTAGGTTCTTGGACGTAGTGATCCCATCCTTGATTCTCTGCAAACCTTATAGCAGCATCTTTTGTATCAAATCTCATTATTGTACCTTGCATATAATCTGAAGATCCTTGATAACCCATTAAATCATTCTCCCATCTATTACCTTTACCTAATACATCCCAATCTAATTTCCAATGATCTCCATTATGATGTCCTGATTGAGTAGCTGGTTTAGCTTCTTGATATATCCTTACTACTCTACTTGTAACTAAATCTCTTGGTGCACCAGACACTATTTCTTTTCCATCATATGCCGTTGGTTTGGCTAATTCTGAATTTCTTATTATTGAAGTGCAAGTGAACGAGCGACTTAACGTAATTGGTTTTATTATGGTTCTTGATAACATTATATTCACAGTTTTGATGGATTTATTACAAATGAGAAACTTTGGTTGGTTAAATTTCATTTTTCTGGATTTGATAAACTAAAATTTATTGTCGTGACTCTGTATTTTGCGACCCAATGCATAATTGAAACCATTTGTAAAGTATTAATTCTGCTTCATATATTAACCAAATCAGTTCACGTAATGACAGTTGCTCAAATAAAACAGTCAATCAAGGATATTATACCCTCTTATGACGGAGAAGATAGGACAAAATTGACAAGTTACATTGACTCATTATACAATTTAAGTTTAAGGCATTCAAGAGTACTACCGAATAATTCAGAAATAGCTAGATATCACCTTTGCACTTTTGTTATAATTGAGAAATATAAAAACTTATTTGATCTACCACAGCCCGATGTTTCAAGAATACCTATACAGCCACAAATTGCGAAAAAGCTACTAGAAGATTTTAGAGAGTTTGTTAATCAACTATCAGCATCAAGTACACCCGTTTCAACTCCAAAAAAGCAAAAACCTGCTGCACCTATATCAACACCTAGACAATCAGGATCACCTTTAAAGAAAATTCAAGCTCTAGCTTCATCTCCATCGCCATCTCCATCAAAAAATTCAACTCGTTATGATTTCAAAACCGTCCTGATAGAAGAATTTATCACATTTTGCAATGCCTTTTACATTCCATCGGAATTCACTAAACAAATGCTCAAAACTTTTTATTCCCACAAGCATAAATTTGCGAAAAAGAGTGATTGGTCATTAGCTTGTGGTATAGTTTATGCCGCGTATATGAGAATAAATCATCTTTTATTATCAACAAAAATGGGTGCGAGATCGGAATTTATGACGCTATTATTACAATATCAAAAAGGTGGTTTACTGAAAGATTCATTACAGACATGGTGTAGTTTAGTAGAAGAGTGGGTGAAAGATGAACAATGGGTTCAAGATATTGAAAGACAATACGTCTTTGGTAATCAAACTATTGAAGAAAAAATATCTGATGAAGAATATAGAGGAAGAATAGGAGACGGTTGGGAACAACTCGAAAGATTAGGAGCAATGATTCATGGTGAAGTACTATATCAATCTGATTCTCAAATTGAATATTATAAGAATTGGTCAGAGAAAGCGTGTAATGCATGTTAGTTAAATTCATAGACCAAAAATATCTGAAAGCCGCAGTAAATGTGTTAAACTCACCTAATTTGGTTAACCATCACAATCTCTTACAAATTTGATTTTGTTTCTTTTTTAATTTTTTTTTTTTTTTTTTTTTCATTTTGAATTTAATAATCGATCTAGTAGATAATATTGCAACTACACTTGAAAATTTCATACTAATGAAGAGAAATGGTGAACCACATTTAAATGGAAACTCAAAAAAACTAAAGATAGATGAATCAGAAGAAGAGGATGAGTCAGTGATCTTTGATTTTCCTATTGCAACTAGTAACAAGTGGCAAGATACTATTAAAAAAGTAGTAAATTCAGTTGTATCTATTCAATTTTCACATGTTGCACCATTTGATACTGAAACGGCGGTTGTCAGTGAAGCAACGGGATTTATAGTGGATGCAGAAAATGGGTTGATTTTAACCAATAGACATGTTGTTGGACCTGGTCCTTTCACTGGATATATTGTTTTCGATAATCATGAGTCAGTTGATGTAAAACCTATTTATCGTGATCCGATACATGATTTTGGATTTTTAAAGTTCAACACAAAAGACGTAAAATATTTGGAGTTAACAAAACTAGATTTAGAGCCAACTCTTGCCAAAGTAGGTACAGAAATTAGAGTGGTTGGTAACGATAATGGAGAAAAACTTTCAATATTAGCAGGGATCATTTCAAGAATAGATAGAAATGCTCCAGACTATGGAGCTTTAACATATAACGATTTCAATACAGAATATATTCAAGCAGCCGCATCAGCCACTGGTGGTTCTTCTGGATCTCCTGTTGTTAATGAAGATGGAAAATGTGTAGCATTACAAGCTGGTGGTTCAACTGAAGCTTCAACAGATTTTTTCTTACCTGTAAATAGACCAAAAAGAGCTTTAGAGTGTATTCAACAGCATAAGGTTATTACAAGAGGTGATATACAAGTTGAATGGGAGTTGAAACCTTTTAACGAATGTTCAAGACTTGGATTAACAGCTGAGGCTGAAGCAAAGTCTAGAGAATTATTTCCAGATAGGATTGGATTGTTGGTGGCGGAATTAGTGTTACCAGAAGGTCCTGCTGATGGATTTATAAAAGAAGGTGATGCATTAATTTCAATAAATGGAGAAAATATTTCCACTTTCATTAGAGTTGATGAGATACTAGATGAAAATGTAGGTAAAGACTTGGAATTTGTTATACAAAGGAGTGGAGTGGAAATGAAACAAATGATTAAAATTGGAGATCTTCACCAAATAACACCCAATAAATTTGTTCAAGTAGCGGGTGGTTGTTTCAATGATCTTTCATATCAAGTTGCAAGATGCTTCTGTTTACCCGTTAAAGGTTTATTTGTCAGTGATGGGGCTGGATCTTTTGAATTTTCAAATCAAGATACTTTGGGATTTATAGTGGAAACCATTGATGATAAGCCGGTGAACAACTTAGATGAATTTGTTGAAGTCATGAAACTATTACCAGATTGTTCAAGAGTCCCTGTCACTTATCGTCATGTTTCAGATATGAATGCTGAGTATGTTCAAACTATTTATATTGATAGACACTGGTATACATCATTCAAATTGGCAACAAGAAACGACGAGTCAGGATTGTGGGATTTTACGTCATTACAAGAAAAACCTTTGTCTCCTCCACCTCAAGTTGCTCAAAATGCGAAATTTATAGACATACCTGGTCAAGAGAAAAAGGAATTATCAAGGCTAGTTAGATCGTTCGTTCAAATACGAACGTTATGTCCAAGCGGAGTTGATTCACATCCATTCAAAAAAGATATATGTTATGGAGTTGTTATAGATGCAGAAAATGGATTTGTTTTGACTTCAAGAAGATTCGTTCCTCATTACATGTGTGATATATTTGTCGTATTTGCTGAATCAATAGATGTTTTAGGTGAAGTTGTATTTTTGCATCCACATTTAAACTACGCAATTATAAAATATGATCCTAAATACGTTCTTGCTGATGTTCAAACGCCTAAATTTTCGACTACTCCATTAAAAAGAGGAGATGATTTGTTTTTTGTTGGATATAATTATAATCTCAGATTGATCACTGATGATGTCAAAGTCAGTTCAATTTCTTCGTTAAATGTGACTGCGAATGCAGTTGCACCTAGATATAGAGGTACAAATTTGGAATGTGTTTTACTAGATAGTAAAATTACTCATGAATGTAACACCGGTATTTTAACCGATTATGATGGTACAGTAAGAGCTTTTTGGTTGTCATATCTTGGAGAGTCCAACGAGCAATCTTATAAAATGGGTTTGGATGTAACAGATGTGTTGGATGTCATAAATTCATTAAAACAAAACATAATACCGAAAAACATAAGAATGTTAAATGTTGAATTCGCATCTGTCACTGTTTTTCAAGGTAGAACAAGAGGTGTACCACAAAAATGGATTGATAGATTTGAGGAAGAAGCGGAAGATCAGATTAAGTTCTTATCTGTCGATAGAGTAGCTGCAGGTTCACCAAATCCATTGAAAGTCGGAGATATAGTTTTATCGGTAAACGATAAACCTGTTAAAAGTATGAGAGATTTTGCATCAATGTATCACAATGAACAACTTAATTTCAAAATCATACGTCAAAAAAAAGAACTCGATATTGTGATCCCTACTGTAACAACATTAGAAACTTCAAATGTAGTATATTGGTCAGGTGCATTAATTCAAAAACCACATTTAGGTGTAAAACAATTGATGACGAAAATTCCATCAGAAGTCTTTGTTACCGATAAAAGTTCATGTGGTCCTGCTCATCAATATGGTATAGTTCCTATAAGTTTCATCACTCATATAAACGATTTAGACGTAACTAAGTTTGAAACATTTGTCAAAGTCATTAAAGAAATTCCAGATAAAACATATGTTAAATTACGATTGGTTTCATTTGATAACATTCCCGCTGCTATATCTTTGAAGACAGATTATCATTATTTTCCAACAACTGAGTTAATAAGGAATGAGAACACAGGAAAATGGGATACAATAAAACAACAAACTTAATACTTTATACAATCTTATAAATTAATACATTCAAGCATAAGGATACATTTTTTTCAAATATCCACCTTCTTTCTTTACTGTAGTGAATCCTCTCAAATGTTTTAATGACGGCGTACTGAACTTCCCTAAACCATGGTTCATACCAGCATGTTTTCTCTTCAATCCTGAACTTCTTTTTATTATTCTACTTGTGATGGCTTTATGTGATTTCATTTTGGTTCTGATTTGAGTGAAATTTATGAATGATCTAACTGCATTTGACCGTATTATGTTGTTGAACATTTTTGACTAGATTATTGATCTTTATTTGATATTGTAGGGTGTATTGAGATTTGTAGACGGTTGAGCCAAAAAGATGAAAATTTGTTTTAGAACAATTTGTGAGATCAAGAATCATTAAATCATTTTGCGACAGAACAATTTTATTACGACCTGATTTGCGACAAAGAAACTTTTAGACAAAATCTTTCTATAGTCTATCAACATCTATTATGCTAAAGCATCTATTTAGTTTACAATGTATATACGACCTTCGAATGGTGATAATCTGTCTTCATCAATGTCAGCCTCATCTACATTGCAACTGACCAATTCGTATTGGCCATCAATCAACTTTTCAAATTTAGCATTTTCTTTAGAGAAGTTCAAAACAACATAAGCTTTTGGTGAATCGGCATCTTTTAAACTTTTCACGTAGGTGAAAGTTTGTTTGTTATCATAATCTAAAATTTCGAAAGATCCATAAATGAATAAGTCCTTATATTTTTTTCTTAATTTCAAAGATTTCTTATAAAAATTTAATAAAGAATTTGGATCATCATATTGTTTGGCAACATTGATTTCCTTGTAATTTGGATTAACTTTGGACCATGGTTTGTAATCTGAAAAACCGGAATATTCAGAATCGTCCCATTGCATTGGTGTTCTAGCATTGTCTCTAGCTAACAAATTGATGATATCCATTAACTTTTCTTCTTTTTCAGCAAAATCAGCATCTTTACCATACTTTTCCTTGAATTGATTATAATAGTTGATAGTATTAACATCTTGGTATTCATCGATTGACCAGTCTCTAGGAACATTAGTCATACCAATTTCTTGACCTTGATAAATAAATAAAGTACCAGTTAATGTAGTTTGAAACATAGCTATTAATTTTCCACTTTTAACTTGATGTTTCTTATCACCAAATCTAGTTATACATCTTGGTTGATCATGATTTTCTATAAAAACAGTAGACCAAGCATCTGTACCTTCAGTGAATTCACATTGAGTTTTAATAGCATCTTTCAAATCCTTCAAATCAAACCCATAGTATCTAAATCTATCACTTTTATCTGACCCAATGTCAACAGTGTCAAATAAGAAAATCATATTCATCTCACCTCTAGATGCACTAACATATTTCAAAGCTTCTTCTCTTGAACAATGGCCAACCTCACCTACAGTCATGGCATCATAATTGGATGTAACCTTGTCGTACATTTCCTTATGAAAAAAATGAATTCTAGGACCATTATTACTTAAGTTTCCACTTGGTTGAAATTCATCTTCAGGATAAAGAATTGGGGCATCTGGGAAATCTTGATCTTTTGAATACAACCCAGCAGTATCAATTCTGAATCCATCTACACCTTTATCTAACCAAAATTTCATAGCTGACTCATAAATTGCTGCTCTTGTGTCTTCATTTTCCCAATTAAGATCAGGTTGACTAACATCAAATAATCTTAAATAATATTCATCTGTTTTAGGATCATATTCCCAAGCACTACCGGAAAAAAATGAACCCCAATTATTTGGTGGATGCCTGTTTCCATTTTCATCATATTTTGGTTTTTTCCAAATATACCAATCTCTTTTTGGATTGTCTAAACTTGATCTTGATTCTTTGAACCATTCATGTTGATCAGAAGTATGGTTAATAACTAAATCACAAATGAGTTTTAAACCGCGTTTATGACATTCGTCAATCAATTCCTAATATAAGGTTAATATTGAACTTTCGTGTACAATGGTTTCTGAGTCTAATTGTTTAGATGAAGATCAACCATTGAGTTTTGTAATGCTTAACATACTTGCATATCTTCTAAATTACCATATCTTGGTAAGATTTTCTGATAGTCTGAAATGTCATAACCAACATCATTGTTAGGACTTTCATAATGAGGACTTAACCAGATAATGTCAGCAATTTCTTTCAAATAGTCTAATTTCCCAATGATACCTTTCAAATCACCAGTTTCTCCATCAAAGATATCTTTTGGACCTTCAAATTTTCCTTTACGACCCTTTGCAAAAGTAGATGGATAAATTTGATAGATAGTACCGTCTTTCCACCATGTATAATCTTTAGTCATGATTAAATTTTTATCGATTCCTGCTATGAAAAATTACAATGATACCAATCTAATAATACTTCTTAAAGACTTATAAGTTGGATTGATTTTTAAAGATCCAAATTTTGACATCTTGTTTGAAATGAAACCATTTTTATATTCATTCACCTGGTTTGTTAATTGGAAGGATTGATTAAGAACAATGTAAAATTTTAAATTTTATGTTTGTGGGGAATAACTTGCCAACTAATAACCTCCAATTTTTTTCCAAGAAAGTTCAAAATATGCTTTGGCTTGGATCTCGTATCGAGATAATCTAAAATTGTTTTTAAAAGAAATTTTAAATGTGGAGGATAAGGCTGAGAAAAACGGAATAACATCACAATTAAGAAGAGTCGCATAAACAATTAAAGTTTCATAAATCAAATGCGGCCGCTCTTACGATTCGAGCAATGAATAAAGAAAGATCAGAAGATCCTAACTCAACCCCATCTTGCAGCCGAATCCAATTGTTAGGTACAATTTTGAAATTGCTGATTAGAGAAATTTAGCAATACCTGTTCACCTGACAGATTATCATATTGTCGACTATTAGTAAGTTCAGATTTATTTGAATCAAGAATTAATTGACCAAGCAAACACAATTTTTGCCAAATATCATGGCCACTTTAGTATTAAAAAGGCAACCTTAAAAGCTATGTTACTCGAGGAATTCCCACATGAATAGTAATGAGCTCTTTTTAAATTTTCAAGTAGGACGTTTGAAAATAGTTCAAAAAACAAACAAAAAACAAATTTTAGCGCTGAAACAGATGGAAATCTCTATAGTAAACGTTTAGGAGCAAATCTTTTTTGTAACGTTTAGTATCAATTCTTCCGACCACATTCGCTTCTTCAATTGTTCCATATATGTGGGGAAGAAAAAAATTCAATATGACAAAGTAAGTCAGCTTATAATCTTGTTGGGTTCTATTAGATACGAATTAAGGTTGAACTTGCTCGTGTTAATAATTTTTTGATGTGCCTTAAAACATTTTTATTCGCATTGCAACAGGTAAATCAATAACAAATGAAAGAGAAGAGAGTCACATTGAATACAATCTTATCTTGATCTTTCGAAAGATTAGAAACCCTTGTTTGATAGTAGAATTTGTTTTCTATTATTTTGATATAAACTTATTACTAGTTAGTTTGCAGCAATTTATTTTTGTTACAGAAAACATTCAACAATTGTGGAAGAGCAATTCATATTGAATTTCTTGAATTATGTTCTTACCATTTTTAAGTTACTAATGGCTAATTTGTGGGGATAGTTTACACTTCTTTTTAATCCAGAGATTTTGTGAATTCAATTGATTAAATTTTCCTGCAGAAAAGCGAATTCGAAACTCGGAATAACACCATCTTACGTTTAAACCATACGTTTCAAATAATGTAAATTTATTTGTTAAAGCAATTTCTGTAAAAAGAAAAAAACCTAAAGTCTTGAAGTTGGGAAATCAGCCTCCTCCTCCACCAACTTCAATAAATTTTTGATGGAGTTGCTGAAGATTTGAGATCTCAAAATATTTTACGAATTATCTGGAATTTGTGTCAGTTCCAAGTTCGTAAATTTAGATTACTTATAAAAGAAATTGACAAAAGACTTTATATATGTTTTCAATCAAATAGCTAGAAACATTAATCAAATTATCCAAACGTATAGTCTCTTCATTAATCATGGGTTGGAAATATAGTAATGTCATATGATGTTGGGTCGTGATTTCGGAGAAATAAAAGTTGTTTTACTTGTAGATTTAGTTTCGATTCGAATACATCATACGTTTGAAAAATAAAACATTTTTGATAAGTTTCTATTCCAAAAACTTGCTTAAGTACTCAGCTTTTTAACTTACGCCTCATGGACAATATTCCAATGCTATGCAAGTTTTTCAAAATGTTTATCTTGCCTGTTTGTTGATTTGATAGTTAAGTGGTATTCAGAAAAAATAATTCTTCAAATCAAGTACTTAATCATTGCTATGGAACCATTCAAGAGAATTATTATTATCAAAAATTACTAACCGTATTATGTGTGCTCAAGTTATACGCCGTTGCTTGTGACTGAAGTGAATTAATTGAAACTCGTAGTGCTTACATTTGTTTTAGATTGGTCTTTGCAATTCAAATTGCTTTTTATCTTCAACTACGAAATAACTTAAATGGGCCAAAAAAATCAAATAAAGAAAGCGATTTACCTCATTTACTCCAAGATTATTCCATTTAGTTTAAGGTTGTATACATTTTACGTCACCTCGATTTTTGATGCTATTTTTTATTTTATCTTTAATTTCTACTCCGAAATCAATTTTGAAAGCCTGCATATAAGAACTTCTGATGCGTTACCACTTAAAAAACTGGGGAAAATAATATCAAAATGTAAAACTTTACATGAAAAAAAACTTGAACTTCAAGAAATGATAACAGAATGGTGGTGAATTAATTAATTCAAGAGATAGAAAATGAAAATTATAAATACTGGTGGATATCGTCGCTACTCGTTGTAGCTGGTTTGTGATTTAATCTATATCTCGAAGAGAGTCAACAAAACTTCAAAAATGTCAGATCATATAATTCATGAATATAAAGGTGATGAGAAACTTATTGCAACTACTTCATTGGTAAGTGATATTGATGATAAGACGACAATTAAGACTTCAGATGTGGATGTTGATGACTATGTTTCCAAATTCATAGAGCTTTCAAACTCAGCTAAAGCTGAAGATTCAAAAGATAAAAGCATGCCGTTGAGAGAAGGTGTTAGAACATTCCCCAAAGCTGTTCTTTTTTCATTAATTTTAAGTAGTTGTCTTATTATGGAAGGGTATGATACTAGTTTACTTGCGTCAATGTACTCCAACGACCTGTTCAAACTTCAATTTGGAAATTATTATTCTGATATTGATCAATATCAAGTACCTGCGAAATGGCAAACAGCTTTTTCAATGGGTTATCAAACTACTCAATTGATTGGTTTGCTTCTTGGAGGAACTTTAGCTGATGCTGTGGGATATAGAAAAACTATTATTCCTGTCTTGGTTATTGAAATTGGTTTTATATTTGTTCAATTTTTTGCTGCAACTAGAGAAATTTTATTATTGAGTTATTTATTATGTGGTTTAGTTTATGGAAGTCTTCAAGTTTTAGCTGTTTGTTACGCTACTGATGTTGCTCCATCTTGTTTAAGATTATATTTGACGTCTTATATTAATGTTGCTTGGGTTATTGGACAATTAGTTTGTAGTGTGGTTTTAAAAGGTATACAAGATCTTGAATTTGCTAGGTCTTATCGTATAGCTTATGCTATTCAATGGTTTTGGCCAATTCCCATTATAATTGGTGTTTATTTTGCTCCTGAATCCCCTTATTATTTAGTCAGAAAAGGAAGAATAGAAGAAGCAAAACAATCTTTAAAAAGTCTTTTAACTGATAACAAATATTTACCTGATAAATCATTAGTTGTTGAAAGTATGGTTACAAAAATTCAATTAGTTATTAAAGAAGAAGATATGACAGGAAAAGGTGCAACATTTAAAGAATGCTTTACCGGAACTGACTTTAGAAGAACAAGGATTGCTGCAATAGTTTGGATGATTCAAAATGTAACAGGTGCTTCACTTATGGGTTACTCAACTTATTTTTATCAACAAGCTGGTTTAGATACTTCAATGTCATTTACTTTTACAATTATTCAATATGTTTTAGGAATGTTTGGAACTTTTGGTTCATGGGTATTAAGTAGAAAACTTGGTCGTTATTCAATATTCTTTTATGGTTTATGTATAATGCTAGTATTGCTTTTAGTCACTGGTGGTTTAGGATGTGCAGATTCAAATTCAGTTTCTTGGGGAATTGGTTCAATGTTACTTGTCTATACATTTGTTTATGATATATCAATTGGTCCAATAATTTATTGTATAGTAGCTGAAATTCCATCTGCAAAATTAAGACAAAAAACAGTTATGATGGCTAGATTTTTATATAATGTTGCAGGAATTGTTGTTTCAATATTATCAAGTTATATGTTAAATCCAACTGCTTTTAATTGGGGTGCAAAATCTGCATTTTTATGGGCTGGTTTAACTATAATATCAATCATATGGGCATTTTTTGAAGTTCCTGAGACTAAAAATAGAACATTTGCTGAATTAGATAAATTATTTGCTGATAAAGTACCTGCTAGAAAATTTAAAACTACTGAAGCTAATACTTTTGATGCTGGAGAAATGATGGAAAAATTAGGTAGTCAAGGTATAAAAGATGTTGTTAATGAAAGAGAACATATTGAATATGTTGATGATGAATCTAGATGATTGGCATTTTTATTTTTATTTTGTAATTTTACATAAAATTGTACTTCCATATTGATTATGAATTGAATTTTAAAAAGATTGTAGCTTTCTTCTACAAACCATATTTGAAGGCATTCTTCACATAGCAAAATTTTCGTCGTTATATCTAATTGGATCGAGAAGTCATAATGAAAAATCTCAGCAATACAATGCAATGCTAACAGGTCCCAATTCTTTAGTTTTTTACCACTTGTTCTATCACTTGGTATTTAATAGTTATAAATATGAGTAGGATTTTGTTCACTGATAGTCTTGTCATAAACTCAAAAATAGAATTGATGTTTGATTTAGTTGATTTTTTTAGTATTATATAGCCATATAATTTTAATTTCAATAAATAAGGAAATTATGGATTTTTGGATCAATCTATTTCTGGCTAAATCGCTAGCAGACAATTTGTTAATCCGGACGTAAAAACGTAGTTCATCTCATAGTTGTAGCTGTAATCGATTTCATATTTGCTCATACATGCTGCCTCGTAAACTTACTTGATCAAAATTTATAGTCACTCGACATTAAAAAAGATACGTTTCGTAGTTCTTCCCATATTATCATAAAGCGTCCATTGTATAATCATATTCAATTCCAGGGGTAACACTCGCAATGAATTTTAAAAATATAACCAAATAATGATCAGGTCTTATTCCTTGATCTTCTTCACTATTCGGTTCTTCATCATTAATTGATAAATCCTCTATTGTTTTTTCTTTCTTTTTTAATTGATGTTTCATCAAAACTTTCATAACTGATGAATGTTTACATGGATGTATAGATATAGAAGTTGTATTATGAGCAACAGGTAAATTTTCAATTGTAACTGTTTTATCTTTATAATCTGAATTTATATCTTCATACATTTGATTTGGTAATAATGGAATACCATTTGAATTAAATCCAACCAAATATAATTTTGGAACTCTATAAGAAGTTGAATAAGTTATATATAGATCATATTTTCTTAAATTTGTATTTATATTTGTTTTTATATCTAAATCATCAAAATCTTCATCAAATTCATTTTCTTCGGCATTTTCATCTATAAGTTCATCAATATCATTTATTTCCTTTGTTGTTTCATCTTCCTTTTCTGTCTTTTTGGGTTTCTTTGACTTAATCCATCCATATTCTTCATCATTTGAATTATCTGTGGCATCATGTGGCTCTTCTTCATCTTCCTCTTCATCTTCACCATTATCAAAATATTTATTAGCTCTAACATTACTGGGAACATGTCTTGTTACCAATACTTGTTTATCTTCTGGTAAAAATGATTTTTGTAAATTTTTAGGACAAGAAGACCATGACCAAGTAGGAAATTTATAAACTAAATAATCACCAGCTTTTATAAATTCTTCAGGACTTATTTCTCCTGTTGTTAAGAAATTTGAATTATGATTTATAGGAGTTAAATATTCTCTCAATGATGATAATTTTGATCTTAACATGACTTAGCTGTATCAGTATGGTTGTACACAAATGGTTAGTAATTATTGTAACAAATTAAATGTGACCTTTTTTTGTCTCTTATCTAAATCTTTAATTTTGTTATCAGAAAAGAGCCGCACTTAAGGACTAATATGGAATACACGGAAGAATTAAGCTCAATTCAATACTGGGCTAATTTTATTAAAAACAAATCCATATTATGTAAGGTAGGTTCATTACGGTCAAAAAGAGACAAAGACGAAGTGCAAGTTGTTCTTGTTCTATCATTATAAAAATTTCCGAAATTTCATGGGAAACTATATTCTACGTCATCCTTCACAAAAATTTTGTAGCAAGACTTTTTGTAAGTCTTAAAAAATAGAGGAACCAGCAACATCCGTAACGCAATACAAAACTTGAAACTAACTCGTAAATAATTTATAGACAATCAACAACTATTCAACAAAAATAACAATAGGTTGATTCTACGAGGAATAAAACGAGATCTATTGTATCTAAGTGGGTTAAGGCAAATTACACTCAACATCAAAATATTAAATCAATTTATTTTTAAATCGTATTACTGGAAATGGACTATATTAAAACAATAATTTACTTTAATACGTATGAATCAATTTGATCTCGTAAATTTTGAATCTACAAATATATCAAGATACAATTAGTAAATAAATTAATATGCTGCTATTTTGATACCCTTTTTAAAAGGTTTCATAATAAAGAAATTTGATAGTAAACAGACATTGTCGAATACACTCTTGTCTAATAGATTTAAACATCAATTACGTATTTCTGCATTTTCGAAAGTTGTCTCAATTCAACGTAAAAGATACGTGTTAGTACTAATAATAGTACATTAGCAAAGCAGTCAAAGTTGGAGTAATAAATATCAATAACCAAAATCATTAAATTTATAAATAAACAATAATAAATTAACAATTTAATAATAATAAAGAGATCCAAATATTGGAGATCGAATATATCACAAAATTAATAGGTCACGATTTTCATAGACATTTACGTATATCAAAGCCAATTCAATAACCATGTAGTTGTTGATACTAACTACTACAAGCATTTTCCACTTAGGTGCAATGGCTGACTGAGGACTTCCATACACTAGGGTGTATTTCAATCAGTTTAAAAGGGTTCATCATAAATTGTTTAGAAATTGTAATACAAACAAAATTTTTTGGTGTATTTGTGACATAATTTTGTGTAATGTTTTGTTACGCGTAATAATTGTTGTTTCGTTTCGATTCGTTTTGTTTCGTATTGAAATCTGAAAGGAAAATACGCCAAACAAACTTTAATTTGTATCATGACTGAAAAAGATGAATTGAGTTTCTTCGGCCTAACCAATGCTCCTCGCTTGCAGGAAATTCCCGTTCCTTTAGCGAGAAACAAGTTTATTTTTGGGGTTTTGTAGAGATGAGCCCGTCAATATTTAAATTCGTGTATTTATAGTTGAGTTCAATACAAACTAACAATCACATGGAGTAAATTGGCAAGTCAATTGATTTCCAGATCAGGATCATCTTACCTTCGATGTAGAATATACGGGTAATAAAAGTAGTTGATGCATCTTTTGCATCTTGTTTTGATTTGTTTATTTTTTTTGTTTTGATGAAATCCATTTTTAGTATTTTAAATTTTTCACACAAAGTTGCAAAATGAAAATAATAAAATGTTAATTATAACATCAATTCAAGAATATTTTCAATAAACCCTTGTATATACTTGAAAGTTGTGACTTGTTCATTCACTTAAACTCAAAAGAATTCAATCACATATCATTACATTCAATTTGTTTAGTGAGCAACACACAATTGACTAGATTGCATAAATATAAACACGATATCACACGTAAAATCACGATAATAAAGAAATCAAGTCACGTCAAAAACAAATGTCAATAATAAGTAATAGAGTGGCATTATCAACTATTAGAGATAACCAATTGAATTCATCTAAATCAACAACTCCAAACAAGAACAACCTATTCAAACAAAGACGATATCCTGACATTTTGACGAAATCTTTTTCAATTGAAAAATCTGGAACTTATTATGGTAGTGATTATAGAGATGTTGATGAAACAAAAGCTACTAAATCAGTTAGTTTCAATGATTATGGATATGAATCTACGGAGAAATCACCTACTTTGCATTCAAATTCTTCAAATGATGTTGCAGGATTAGCAGCAACAAAATTAAAATTAAAGCTACAATTAGCACTTTATAAATTGAAACAAAACAAGAAGAAAGTCAATAACAAAAAATCGATTAGTTCTAAAACCATTTTAAGTCCAATCAATTCCAAAAAAAGTACTCCAAACTCATCTCCAAATATTGAATCAATATATCATCAATCTATTTTATCATCCTTACCAACTCCACCAGAACAACCCAAATATTATACCAAATCAATCAATGTCAATTTACAATACAAAAACAAACCAGAAGTCTCCGCTACATCATTATCCAAAGTTGCAAATAATAAATTCAAAAAACAAAATGGTCAACAAAAATTAAAACTTTTTCAAATTAAAAAAGATAGCATATATTATTCAGATAATACCAAAAAATTACCTTTAATACGTAAAAAACAACAAATAGAACCAAGTTTTAAAATGGATTCATTCATTAATAATTTTATTTATCAACCTTCACTTACAACACTTCCATCAATTTCAAATCAAAAAATTAATCTGGAACTTCAATTACCACCAATTAATAAAATTTTAAAAACTCCAATTAAACAAGCTAATTTATCATTTACAAATGCTTCAAGAATACCAACTACTGTGGATGATACAATTGATGATGATCAAGATATGACATTATTACAAAACTCTACTTATCAAAATTCAACCTTACACGATACAACAAAGGATAATGATGAAACAAAACTCCAAGAAGAAGAAGAAGAAGACAGCGAAGACAGTGATGATGAAGATAAAATTGAAAAAACTGTTTTAACATCATCACCTTTTAATAATCATTTAGGAACACCAAATAGTTTCAGTGTGGCCAAATCTTTATTACAATTAGGTGGTCATAGAATGTAAAAGTATTTCAACATAAGTTTTCGAACAACAACACATACGAATCCAAAATCTTTTTAATTCATTTAATGTTAAAGTATTAGTCTATATTTTTAATATTATATAATTTATAAATAATTATTATACATATTACATCGTATCCAAAAATTTCAATTTCTCGCGTTCGTTGTTATTTTTTTTTTTTGCAACTTTTGATAAATTTTAAAACAAAAACAAATTGGTAGCACACAGTACTTAGAATTTTCCATTTAATAAATTTTTAATCATATCTCTTGCGGTATAATAACTTGTTAAATAAAAAGTATGAAAATCTAATGTTGAACTTAAAGTATCTAACAATCCAAATGGTAACATTGCAGGAATCCAACCTTGAGCTAATTCCAAAGCAAAAGATCCACCAGGCATTGCATATTGTTTAACATGACCTTTTGGTAAATGATGTTGATCACCTGGTTTATAAATTTCAGGAGTTAATACTCCTGGATAAGCAGCTCTTTGTTCTCCAGTTAAAATTGTAAAATAATCATCTGCAAAATGAACACCTGTATGACCTTCTGTACCAACTGATGTACCAAAAAATATTAAATATTCAGATATTGAAGCATGTAAAATTGTCATTTGTCCCATTGCTCCTCCTGCATTATTATAAAACCATTCAGTAAAAGTTAAATCATTAATTAATCCTGGATATTGTTTTTGTAATTTAGGAGTTAAATTTATCATTATTTCTGTTGCATTACCTTGAGGAAATTCATTTAATGTTTCTTGTACTAATTGTTGTAGTACTACTTTATCAAATTTATAGTTTGTTGGTAACCATGTGTAGAACAATTGATTGAAGATAAGGTATAAACCTATAGGTATTAAACCAAAGTATAGTAACCTCATGTTTGATTTGGTTGTTGTAGTAGTTGAGGAAAAGTGGATTAAAGTGAAAAAAAAATAGAATCTAAAATTTAAACGAGAGACCGTTTTATCGTATACGATAGTATCTTTCATGGTTCAATGTCAACTTTATTGATAACAACAGGTGCAACAGTCACTTTCACATCATTAATTGAAAAAGTTGTTGATGCTAAATTCATTAATTACCTAATAGAAGCTAACATATCAAGGTTGTATCTTCAGTATGGAAATGAAATCAAAAATTCTAAACATATAAGTAAAATATTTTTTGAATCACAACTAAAAGAATCAAGTATAATTGATCATCTAAACTTGAAAAAGGTTGAAGATACTAAAACCAATGCTATAACATTATCAAATTCAAAAATCGAAATTGTGGCATTCCCATTTTCAACAAATATAGAATCATACATAGAATCATCCACCTTGGTTATTTCTCATGCAGGAACAGGTTCAATTATTGATACGTTAAAATATAAAAAACCATTAATTGTAATTGTTAATAACAAATTAATGGATAATCATCAATTAGAAATAGCTGAAGAATTTGAAAAATTAAATTATTGTTTAAATTTAAATGTTAATGATCTTGTTTCTGAAAAATTTAAAATTCTACTAAGTGATATAATTAATGGGAAAGTACATTTTAATGAGTTTAAAGAGAGTGATGGGTCTATTTTGGAAACTATTATTGCTGAAGAATTACAAGATTGATCAGTTCGAGATCGATGATATCGTCGTGATACAAAGAAGCTTATATAAATCATTTTAATTTGTATGTCAAAGCTTGGAATCAATGGTATTTTGGCCTTTCAGAATTTGAAGTGAAATAGTATTTAATTATTGTATGGAATATCAAATTTTGGAATGTAGCTGCCTTCAATCATGGTACAGCATAGCAAAGGAATTTTTGCTCAATTATACTTAGGGCATGTCGAAATGTAAAAGCTGTCAATTACGAAAGAGCCATATTGAAATGAAATAGTTAATTTTTGGCAGATTCAAGTAAAGCTGTTTATATTAAATATTTGGCATTTCAGAGTGTAATTGCTTCCAATCACACATGTGACAAATCAAAATGAAACTTTTGTCAACTACAGCATAGCATACATATTTTCATTCGTTTATATCGCGAATAACAAAGAATAATCGACTGACTTCAACTTAAAAGTTACTATTAAGCACAATGAAAATAAAATTGAAGGGATAAATTAAAGAAGCATCAATTTAAATAGTTTACATCTTTATTTGGACAAATTTGAAACCATACAAAGACAACTATATACCAAAACTAGATAGTAAGGAATACTCATACATTTAATCATATTTTGAATATTCTTTTGAAAATTGTCTAACTGTTTTTTGTTTACCAATTTTTGTAATTTCTTCTTCATCCTCTTTATCAAGTTCAAAATCAAAAATTTCTAAAATAGCTTTAATTCTATTTTCTTTTGAGGAAGTAGTAATTGGTAAAACATTTTTTTGTAAAACCCATCTTAATAAAATTTGATCTTCAGTTTTATTATATTTTTTACTTAATTTTTCTAAAATTGGATCTAATGGACCTGGTTTACCTTTTGTAATTGGACCTAATGGACCATAACTTTCAACTAATATGGATTGTTTTTGACAATATTCAACAATTCCTGGAGTTTGATCTTGTAAATAAGCACTAAATTCAATTTGATTAACTTGAGGATAATATTTTGGATTTGATTTTATAATATGATCTAAATCTTCAATTTGAAAATTTGAAACTCCTATATTTCTTGCTAATCCTTCATCTCTAAGATGTTCTAATTCTTTCCAAGCTTCACTTAAATTAAAACCATGAGTTTCCTTTTTAATATATGGATAATGTAAAAGGTATAAATCAACATAATCTGTTTGTAATTCTTCTAAATCCGATTTAAATTGATCTTTGATACTAACATGTTTTGCATGTTCGTGGTTCGTATTGTATTTATTAGAAATGAATATGTCTTTTCTATCAACTCCACTTTCTTTCCAAGCTTGGCCAATTTCTATGTTCGTACCATACACACTAGCACCATCAATGAGCTTAAAACCTCCTTCTATTGCAGTCCTGATTAATCCAACTAATTCTTTATTAACTCCACTTTTTGGATCTCTTTTGAAATGTGCAGTACCAACACCATAACCAACTGCTGGAATGGTATTTGCATCTTCTAATTTAAAACTTTTATTGACAAGTGACATTTTTACTCAATTGATGAATGAAATTTGATATGTAATCCTTCACTTTTCTTTTTGGAATTTTGACCCCCTTATAAATTCCACCACAATAACGCTACCAACTCCGGTAGTTTGCTACAATTAAAAAGTGCCACAGCTAAAAAGTTTTGAAATTTTTTAACGCGGGAGCTAATTACATCATTGGTGGATTCTCGAATCAAAAGACTTGAAGTCTTCCATCACATTCCTTCCTATCAGTTACAAAATCACTCTCAATATATTTTTTTTTTTTGAAAATTGTTGGAGTTGATCGCTGAAAATGCTTTGGATCATTTAGTAGAACTGTGTCAATTTTGTATAATCCAGTCAGACGTATGAAAAAATGTAAATCTTGCATTTATGTATTGAATAATAATAAAAAATCAGAAATCCAACTATAATTTGCGTTTCTCGTAATATTTGCGCTCGTGGCGAATGCAAGATAGCAAAAAACTACTTTTTACAGAAATTAAATGCTGTATCAATTCATTATCTATCAATTCTCGAAACTTTTCAACAAGTACAATCTATATACAATGTTTCAATTTGCTAATTGATCTTCTTCTGCTATTGCTTCATTCACGCATTCATCAATTATATCATCCCAATTACTTTTTATAATAACAATTAATTGTGAAATACTAACAAATGCTAAAGCTATAATCATTCCACACCAAAGTCCAATCAATTGTAAATTTTGAATAAATGCTAAATAATAAGCTATTGGTAAAGCAATTAGATAATAACCAATTAAATATAAATAAGCCCCTATTTTTTGTCTACCTTGAGCTCTTAAAAGACCACTTGTTGTACAACATAAAAAATCATTAACTTGATAAATTGCACCAATTATTAAAACTTTACTACTTACTTCAATAACATCGGAATCATTTGAAAAAATTGAACATAAGCTTCGTCTAAATCTAAAAATTAATATAAAATTAAAAATTCCAAATATTAATGAAGTATAAATTGCTGAAATACTTGATTTTTTAGCTGAATTTTTATAAGCTGAACCAATAAATAATGCAACTCTACTTGATGCAACCATTCCTAATGCAGCACTTGCTTGATAAAACCAAACTAATAATGAACTTATAATAGATTGAGAAGCTAAAACAATTTCACCAAATTTTGCAGCTTCAAATGTAATAATTTCAAAAGCTAACCATTCTGCTTCAACCATTAATACACCAGGTATCGATAAATCAATCATTTTTTTCCAATTTATAAAATATATCTTGTTTAATAAATTCTGTTTTGGCCAACATTGATTATTATAAAACAATATATAACCATAAAGTAATATAGCCATAAACCAATTTGTTAAAACTATAGCTAATGAAGCCCCCAAAAATCCAATATTAATTTTACTCCAAACTAAAATATAATTCAACAAGATATTAAAAGGAAAAGCAATAAATAAAATATAAGTTGAAATATGAAATATACCTTGAGATTGTAAAAAATGTTTACCATTTTCAAATAATATAAAACCGGGTAATCCATAACTTAAGACTTTTAAATAATTTGAAGCTAATTTACAAATATCAATTTCATTTTCACCAATAAAAAATATTAATATTTTTTCAACTCCAAAATTCCAGAATATCCAAATTGGTATAAATAATAACATTATAAAATAATTACATCTTATAAAATGAATTCCAACATTATTGAAATCTTTTCTACCATAAGCTTGAGCACATAAAGTATCTAAACAAGTACTTATACCTTGTATTATTGCTATACCACTTATATTTGAAGTCATTGTTGATAAACTTATTGCTGCTAATTCTTTTGAACCTAATTTTCCAACACTTATTACTGATATAACATTTAAAGAATATTGTAAAAAATATGTAATCATTAATGGAATTGAATTTACCACGAGAATTTTAGATTCTTTTAATATAGTTGTTTTTGGTTCATTACTACCATTTTCCATATCATGATCAGATAATATATCATGTATTGAAAAATGATAAGAGTTTGAATTATTTGATGATATCGGATTTAAAGTTTTTGGTGGATGTCTTTGACCTTGTTGTAAAATTTCATTGGGGATTTTATTATCTATCGATGCTATTGATTCTCTTCTTGATTTTACATATGATACTATTTCATCTTCTGTATGTGATGTAGTTGGTGATAATAATGGTGATGTTTCAGATCGCATTATGTATTTTTTCGTAACCTCGTGGGGTTTTAAAATGAATCGAGATTAAGTTAGATTTTGTGTTTGGTGGTGCACTTTGAACGAGTTTTTGTAGATTGATTGAAAACGATCGAATGTTGATGGATTATTGTAATAAATTTGGTCTATCCTTTTCAAATATCGGTTGTAATGTTGAATCAACTCTTCATGTCATTTATTAAGGTTTAAGTTATGAAAGATAAGAAAAATTGATATTTGCAACAGAAGTAAAAATTAAGCGATGTTACATCATTTGGAAAAATTATTATTTTTTCATAAAATATATTAAAGGACTTTGTACAAGTAAAGAGTGGTCATAGGAAGCCTAATACACTTGAATCAAGTTCTTGTCAGTTCTAGCGAGGTTCGATGTTAATTGCATAGAAAGTATTTGATAGCTTTGCCTAGACAAAGTATCTATATTTGAATAGTGGATTAGGTAAAACAAAGCATCTTGTTAGGTATAATATCCTACTAGCATCGAACCAATTGCAATGTGGATGCTCCCAAAGTTTCTTTTTTGTTGAGAAATCACAGACTTTGACATTATTGGAAAATACAGAGGGATAATGAGTCTCACATCCTACCACAGATTTCATTCTTTCAACGATTTTAAAGTGAGTCCTAAGTTATACATGAAATTGAATTGCTTGAGGAAATGAGAACTAAAAGTTCCAGATTTTCAACCTTTTTCAAAAATAAGTATTGATCGAATTAATTGAGCAATTGCCATACTTTCAATTCAACGAAATATTGAAAATGAGTATCAATTTTTCAACGCATTGTAGCAGCATTAAATTTTATAAGCAAACTTGATAATTGAACTATTTGAAACTTGAATGCTAAATTATAATGATTCAAATACGTTGAGGAATTCAACAACTTCTTGAGACTTCCATATGATGGAATTTATTTACGCATTTTTGTTACCGAAGCTTTATTATACAATTGTTTTGGTGTTTGTTTAATGTTTTTGTAGTCACTGATAACGTAAAATCCATTTGTCACAACATTTACAATTGTGTATCATCAAATTCATTTTTCCATTTCGTAAAATCAATTTGTGTAGTTCACTTACCTTTTGAATTGTAAATTGATACTGATAACCCACAAACACGTCTAGTCACCAAATTTTTTTCAATCGCGGGTCCAGTTTTTTTTTATTTTGCTACTACAAACCTCGTCGATCCATCACAATCACGAATTTAAAGGGTCTCTTTCTTTTATGATTATGAGAGTGATCTTGATAAACAATTGTTAAGGTCCAATCTGTTTATTATCATCTTTTCTGAAAAATATTATTATTTTACTCAGTTGAAGTTTGGGCCACTTGATTTAAGCCGGATGAATTTTTCAAAATCATCCGAGAATTATAATAATATATTAATAGAAATATTATTTAATAATTTTCCAATTTTGGTAACTGATTCCAAGCATCATCTAAACAATTTGATTATTGATCTAAACAGTATAGAATTCAACTTCAAATGGTTATATTCCATACAGAATTGAATAAATTGTCAATCATTCGAAAGCCTACTCATAGAGAGTAAGTAGCATTATATTTAAGAATGTATGATGAATTAAATAATTAAACGAAAAATGGAGTTAAGAAAGTTTAAGTTTTTTAATCTTACATTTAATACATCTTACATGTATGTAATGTATATGTTTTGTATAACAGTTTAATAATATTCCCGCTTAAATATTTTTATTTTGTCTATGTCAAATTCCTGATTTTTTTGTGTCTTAGCCTAAGGCTTTTTTTTTGATGATATGTTTATTTACATACCAAGTAATCATATCATTCCATTTGACGAAAAATAATCTTGTGTTGGTCGATTATAATTATGATATGATAGTTTTGATTTAAAGACAACAAACATGATTTGAATTGTTTGTAATTAATCTCAATTAGTTAATTTTTTGTTTTTTCTACCAGTAGATCTATTACTTTGTATCTGTAATAAAGTGTTGATCCTTGCCTTTATCTTTTTTATTTTTTGAAAGATTATACATACTTTAAACTTTGAGGCAACAAGATACCGTTATTTATTTGACATTCCAAGTTCAAACATAAGTAGATAGTAGATCCTTTGGCGGAAGTGTGGGTAGTAGTTGATAGAGCTGGATTGTAGAGTTTGTAGAAAATCTCAGAACTCGTAGAAACGTTTGAATAAATGGCAAGAGTTTGGTTAGGTGGGTCAATAGATTCTCGATTTTTGCAAGTTCGTTAATTGACAAAAAGTATTACGCGAAATTCTAACTGTAAAATGAATAACCGTCAAATGAAGTGTACGTTTTTTAATTTTTTAATTATTCATCAATGATAATACCAAGTCCAAATATTTTGAATATCGAGAATGCAATCAATTAAGGTCATATGATCTATAATTCAAATATCATACTAACATTCATTCCTATCTCTATTTTTGTTTCAAAACGCCGTTTTAATTGTCATTAAACAATAGATATTTAAATTTATAATTCAAAACAAACATATCATATCACAGTTAAAGAATTGGAAGTCCTTGCTGAGACAAAAGGTTTCAAAAATTTAGATGAGAATCAACTGTAATATATATAATTTTTGTTTTGAATTTGACTTATTCTAGAAATTTGAAATATTGATAGATAGGCATGAGTAGATCCTTTTTAAATTTATAATTAGATAATTAGTTATTGTTTTTTTTAAGACAATACAATATTTTTTAATACAATAGTAGGCTTACTACCCACTAGTTTAAACAATAATTAATTTTTGACGAAAATGTATCATAATGTTTTAAAAAAATGTATGTAATTTCTATTTTGTACTTCCTAATTTGCAATATTTTGAAGTTACAGTTACAAAATTAATTTTAAAATAGGTGTTAATTTAAAAAAAATAATTCAAAATAGATTTACGATCTTTATCAAACTTTATTAGTTATTCTAGCCAGTAAAAACTGTAGTAGTAGTAGTAATACTAAGTAGAACTATTAAGCTTTTTAAAAAGTAAAATTGATAGATGATATGTTACAAAATTGTAAATGATACTACAAGCAAAGATACGAGAGATCTAAACTTTTTTTTTCATGAAGTACAAAATACAGCTCGCTTGAGCTTTACTTGTTCAAACTACTGAATGTGATATATATTTTCAAGAATGTATGTGAATAATAACAGCTAACACTATACATTTGAATTATTTAAAGCGTTTTATTGTATGGCTATAAGTAGAATTAAACTAACTCGATTAAGTTAAGTATTAACGCATAACAATAAAACAAATTGAAAAATAAAAAGGTACAAACCAAAATACTATTAAAATAAAATTAGTTAACTCCTACATTACGATTTTAGATTAATTTTTAATACTACAATTTTGACATTCTAGAACAACTAATTTTAAACAATTTTACACAAAACAATTTGTCTTATTTTTTGGTGTCCAGTTGTTTTATTGTTAATTTGACGAGATTTTGTTTGTTAGCCTAATAATAAATTTATGTTAATGTCTCAGATAACTAAATTTTATTTTATTATTCATTTTTCAATTACATTCTCTATAATTATTATTATTCAATTTTCACTCTTTAAGTTGATCTCTAGTTTAATTTGAGTTAGTTCTTGCTCGAATTGATTGAGCTGTTAGTTGAACCGCCTTTATTGAAAATTATAAATCGTCCAATTTACTTGCTAATTTTAAGATTTCCCCTGGTACCTTAAATTAGTACGGTAAAATAATATTACAGGGTGCTGTACCAAGTACTGCATATAAAGATAGAGGAGGAGCTATCAGACATATTTATTAAGGTAGGTGAACCAAACGTATTATAAGTTAAAATCTCGTCTAAATATACAGTCAAGTCGTAAATTTATCCCAAAATATTTTTTTTATTTTCTCTAAATTGCATACTAATTTATCACGACATTTACTATCAATTTATATCTAAATTTAGAACAATTTATCCCAAAATATGCAATTTATTTTTCTCGACCTAAACTATGCGACTCTCATAGTAATATTGGGGATAATTTTTTGTTCAGTACAAATAAAAAATTTTTTCGTGATAAATTAAATTCTCGCTCGAGATAAATTCTTTAGTAGATGTCGTTTAATATTCGTACAAAGAGGTTATAAATTTACGACTTGACTGTATACGTAAGGAGTAGATTAAGCTATGCAATCAATATGTTTCTTGTTTATCTATTGCTTATGATTTTTTATCGATACCATCAGTATATCCAATCGCCGTATCAATGATGAGATAATAAACATTATGGCTTGATTTGAATATCTAATTATTTTGATTGAGAAATACTGGTTTTGTTGTTTATTAATGTAAGACGCGAATTATTTTTGAGTTATGATAAATGATAGTTCTAGCTTAGTTTATTAGTTTATATGGTTATGTTAAATTTTGTTTCAAGACACTAAATTAATCAAGTAATAAACAAGACTTTGGTCTTATAATAATTTTTATATATTATTTGTTCTATTATTTTTTTCATACACTTGTCTCTCAACTTCTGGGGATTTCGGAAATATCAAATTCTACGGACTGGTAAATCAATGAAAATTATTATATTTCACTAAGAAGTCATGAAAAAACTATTCAGGAAGAAACGCTGTTCAATTGCTGGAAACAATCTTGTTATCAATTTTAATTAACCCCTATCAACCACATCTTCAATGGTTTGTAATATCAATTTGAATATCTGATGATATTTAAATCATTAAGGTTTTGTGATAAACTCTTGCAAGTACTCATGAAAAAAAAACCATAACAAATACTATGAATAAATTGCGAGTAATAATTCGTATTATGACTTGTACAACCAATTCGATTTCTTTTGTGTTTCACCCTCATTTTTTTTGAGTGATTGATGACATGACGAAGAGTATGTAATATTCAACAAATTATAATAATATATTTTGGTTGTTAATTGATGTTTTGGTAGTATGAAACATTGACTTCATTAATATTATATTTCAGAAGAAAAAAATAAAATTATTTTTAAAAGTTTCTTTCTTTTTAAAATGTTTCTAGATAAGGAAATATCAAGTATAAACTTTAATAATGTTCTGAGCGGTGATGAAGACCACTTGTTTATTTGATATGTGTCCTTTTTGTTTATATCGAACCTCTTGATACTTAGTTCTAACCACTACGATAAACAGTTGTCCCCTTTTTCAAAATGGTTGTTTTAGACACTAGACTGTTTATTTTTATTTTAGTAAAAGTAACACAATAAGATTGTTATGTATATTAACTTAAAACATAAACACACTAAAAAAAAAATATAATTTATCGTTTAATCAATAAATGGTACAAAATGAATACAATACAATAAATAAATTACATGTAATAATAATTCAATAATCGTCAATCTTTTGAATATTTAATTTAGTAGACTATTGTAATAAAGTTAATTATCGGTAATATTTAAAACCCTGGTTTATTATTGTTCACTTTTGTAGTACTTTGTAATATTAATTTTTATAATTTTTCAATAACTTTACATATTAAAAATTAAATAGGTCTCGTTAATCTTTTTGGAACTTAAATTACACTATTCAATTATATAAATATAATTGAAAAAGTTCACAAATTTTAACTTTTTATTTTTATAATTTATATATCCATATTATTTATCATAAAGTTTTTTTTTTCAAACTTTGATAACTTTAGGATTTAATCCATATTTGGTATAAATATCAATTGATATAATTAGATCTTTGGGATTAAGAAAAATACAAAAAGTCTAATATCATAAGTTATCATAATTTAAAGTTAACTTAATTCCATTTCTTTCCAAAATAAAAAGTTTAAAAGTTTATTCATTCATTTATTTCATTCAATTTGTTTTTCCAATTTCGTTCAAATTACTTGATTTGTTCATTGATCAAGCCCTTTCCTTCTTTAATTCATTTCATTTCATTTTTAACTTTCATTTTATATAAATAATTTTTGCATTTATTAAATATCAGCATTCATTCTTCAAAATTTTAATTTTAAAAAAGTTTCATTATCATTAGTTCATTCTCATTTAAAACATTATCATCATCATGTTAAGTCCAAAATCAATTTCACAAATTCATAATCAACAAACTTTTATAAAGAATAGTGGTGCCAATAATAATAATTCTAATTCCCACTCAAAAAATTCAGAATTTAAACAATTAAATTATTCTTTTCAATTATATAAATCAGAATGTAAAATTCATCAACAAACTATTCATGAATATGAAAATGAAATTTATAATAATTTAATAAATTCAATGAATGTTAATAAACCAAATTTACAATTATATAAACAACAACCATATTTAACATTTAATATAAGATTAAAATTAATTGATTTTTTATTAAAAATGTCACAAAGATTAAAAATTTTACCATTTGTATATTTTAAATCAATAAAATTATTTGATAAATATTGTTCCAAAAGGATTGTATTATTAGATCAACTGCAGCTAATTATTACTACTTGTTTATGGATTGTTTCTAAATTAATTGGTGGAAATAATCATTTTATAAATTTAAATAACATTGGTGGTGGTAATAAGAATTATAAAATTATAAATGATTTAGGTTATGGATCAGGTGGTAAATTTTTAGGACCAACTGAAAGATTTAGATTACCAAAATTATTTGAATTAATAAAATTATGTGGTAATAAATGTAATTATGATATAAATATGTTTAAACAAATGGAATTACATATTTTAAATACTTTAGAATGGAATTTAAATGATCCAAGTATAGAAGAATTTTTAATAAATAGTGAAGAATTTAATATCTTGGGATATAATTTTTCTGATGTTAATGATATTGAAATGAAACAAAATAATATTTTTAAAATTAAAGAATATTTAAGTTATGTTAGTTTATATTCAAATGAATTAATTGATGTTAATATTATTGAATTAAGTCAAGTTATAATGGATTTAATTAATGAAATTCATTTACCAAGTTTAAATCATAATACCACCAATTCATGTAACAACAAGTTGAATATAAAAATGGATTTTCAAAATTATAAATTTATTAAAAAAAATTTAATAAAATCAATTTTAAAAAGTTCTGATTTTATTTTAAAATATTTTGATTCTTTTGGTCCTCAATATATTTATCAACAAATTAATAATCAATATAATTTAAATATTTCATCATCATTATCATATGATTTAAATGGGTTGGAACATACAAATAGATCTTCTTCATTATCATCATCGTTATCATCAACTACTTCATCATCTTCAGCAACCACATACAAGTCAGCAACAAAATCCTCATTACCTAATATTGAATCAATTACTCCTCCAACTCCATATATTGTATCTCAATTACCTCAACAAGTTAAAAAATTTAAAAAATTCCCACTTTCAATAGATACAAATTGTGCTGTAGCTCCTCAAATACAACAACAACCAGTACCTTTTCATCAACACCAACATCAACATACACAACATCAACAGCAAACACAACAACATACACCATTATCTTATAAATCAAGTCCAATTCCACCTCAACCAAATTATAAATTTATAACTCAACAAAATAATAATTCATCATTATCATTAAATCAAAATCCAAATTCAAATCCATCATCTTCTACATCAACATCATCAAATTCTTCAAATAATTCACCATATGATATAAAATCAATAAAATCTTCATCACAATCTTCAATTTATTCAATTGATTATAAATTTTTACAACAACAACAAAATAATACTCCAATTAGTGAAAATCAAAGTCCAATATTTGCAAATTTAAATAATAAAAAAAATTTATTTAATGACGCTAATCATAATCATAATCATAATGGTGGTAACAATACTAATCAATTTATTACTTCTCATTAGTTCTGGTTGAAGTGTTGTTTCATTAAAATTATTTACAACCAATATTTAATTTTGGTTGCAAAAATAAATTCGTTTTTTAATAACGTGTGATTTACAAAAAGTTTTTAATTCTTTTAATTTTTATTATGTGCATTTCAATATTTTACATACTTTTAATTCTTTTGTTTATAATTCTTATACATATATAATCTTATAATAACATAGTGCATTTCATTGATTACATCCATACAGACAAACACATCTCTAATGATCGACTTCATGAAATCTATTCTATTGTAACTGTTCTTATTGATGTCAATACCGGTAGAGAGAATAGCATAGCCATATTTACCATTTTTTCTTAGTAAGAGTGTTAGTGTCACAAAAATCAAATAATAACACTTGGTAGTGACACTCAAGAATAATAAAACGCCAAAATTTTTTCTTTCTCTTGATTTCTCGAGCTGTTTGCTATTAATTATTTTACTACTGCGTATTCTACTTAATATATTAATTACTATTACCAATACAATAGTCAATATAATTAATTAGAAGAAGAACTTTTTTACAAGATCAAATATTTATAACCATATACCTCACATCACTGACCACCTGTACTAATCTCGGTTTACTCATTCGCTATACATCATAAGACACTCAACCACATAAATAAATCACTTACCATTTCACAATACAATAGCATATCCCATTCCTCATACATCTAACAAAACACTACTCATAAAATGTTTATAACATCATTATATATACTTCTATTTACAATTATAATACCTAATATTTTAGCTGATCCATCTATGGAAGAATTAGAAGGTACATGGACTTCAAAATCAAATACAGTATTTACAGGTCCAGGATTTTATGATCCAATAGATGAATTATTAATTGAACCTGATTTACCTGGAATTTCTTATAGTTTTACAAAAGATGGTCATTTTGAAGAAGCTCTTTATAGAGTTGTTGGTAATCCAAAAAATCATTCATGTCCTGTTGCTTCAGTAACTTATCAACATGGAACTTATGAAATTTTAACAAATGGATCAATTGTATTAACTCCAATAGCAGTTGATGGTAGACAATTATTAAGTGATCCATGTAATCAAGAAAATCCAAATGAATCTCAATATGTTAGATATGTTCAACCTACTTTTTTCAAAACTTATCAAAAATATGTTGATTCTTATCATGGTAGATGGACTTTACAAATTTATCAATTTGATGGTTCAAAAATGCAACCATTATATTTAGCTTATCAACCTCCTTTAATGTTACCTACTTATGCTTTAAATCCAACTGATTCAGCAAGTGAAACTGCTTCAACTTTGAGAAGTAATGGTGGAACCAATAAGAAAAAAAGATCTACTAATATAAAAAATAATTTAAAAAGATCATTAGAAAATAGTTATAGAACTAATGCTATAAAAAGAAGTTTTATTGATGATAATAAATTTGATTTTTATTGGTGGTGTTCTGTATTGTCATTAGGTATAATTAGTAGTTTTTTATTTTTAAAGAAGTAAAGTAAGTGAGGATATAGTAATATATTATTTTTGTGTAACTATATGTACTCTCTATTATCATTAATAATTTAAAAGAGGCAAAGGTTAATTTTACAACCACTTATCTTTTCATACTACAACAGTCTCATTAACAAAATCTCTACCTACTTCATCTAACCTCAACACAATGTCTTGGTTTGGTTCATCTACATCCGCACTACAATTAGAATTAGATAATAAAATATCAGAAGCAACATCAGAATCTATTCCCAATGGAGAAATTGATTTATCAATATCATTAGAAATTACAGATTTTATAAGATCAAAAAAATTACCAGCTCAATCATGTATGAGATCATTAAAAAAGAGAATTAATTTAGTTTATTCAAATCCAAATTTATTAAAAAGTTCATTAAAATTAATTGATTTATGTATAAAAAATTGTGGATTCCCATTTCTTGTAGAAATTAGTTCAAGAGAATTTATTGATTATTTAATTGATTTTATTTTTAAAATTCATTATAATATAAAAGATGATAGCTTGGATGAATCAAAATTAGAAATTGGTGAATTTATTTTAAAATTATTAAAAAGTTGGAAAATTTCATTTAAAGATCAATTACAATTAAATTATATTGAAAAAAAATATAATGAATTAATTAATGAAGGTTTTAAATTTCCTGATATTGATGTTAGTGTGGTTGATTCAAAATTTATTGATTCTGAAGTTCCACCAGATTGGATTGATTCAGATAGTTGTATGATTTGTTATACTCCTTTTTCAATGTTAAATAGAAAACATCATTGTAGAGCTTGTGGAGGAGTATATTGTCAAACTCATTCAAGTAATAATTTACAATTAGTTAATTTAGGTATAATGGATCCAGTTAGAGTTTGTGATAATTGTTACGCAAAGAATAAACATAAATCTAAAAACCATTCAAAAAATAAAAATTCTGTCACTGGTAATGATGATGAAGATGAACAATTGAAAAGAGCTATTGAATTAAGTTTACAAGATAATAGTATTCTGATTAATCGACCATCAGAAGCACCACCACAAAGAGTACAGGAAACTCAACAACCACAAGAAGAAGAGGATGAAGATATGAAAGCTGCAATTGCTGCTAGTTTAAAAGAATATGAAGCCACAAAACCTAAAATACAAGAACCATTTTCTCAACAAGTTGAAAATCCATTTGAACAAGAAGAAGAAGATTCTGATTTATATAATATTGATTTTACTAGTTATCAACAACAACAACAACTGCCATTACCATTATCTAGTCAACCATCTTATCATCAACATCCATCTTATCAACAACAACAACAGCCACAACAATATCATCAACCACCTAAAAAACCTATATCACAAGATTTATCACAACAAGAAGAAGAACAAATTAATTTATTTATAACATTAATGAATAATGTAAAAAACGATCCAAAAAAACATCAAAATATAATGTATGATCAAAATTTAAGTGATTTATATTCTCAAATTTTAAAATTAAAACCAAAAGTAAATAAATCACTTAGAGAATCAATAGATAAATATAATTTATTTTTTGAAATGAATAATAAATTAAGTACTATAACAAGATTATATGATCAATTTTGGGAAAAAAAATTAAATTTTGGTATTAATAATAATTTAAATTTAAATCAACATCAACAAGATATTAATGGTTATCATTCTCAATTTAATCGGGAGGATTCAATTCAACAACCTCAGTATACTGGACAATATACTCAACAGCAATCTCAACAACATACTGGTTACCCTCTACAACAACAATCAACTGGTTATCCACAGCAACAGCAACAACATACTGGATACCCCCAACCACAGCAATCTCAAAATACAGGACAATATAATCAACCTTCAGAACCTCAATTTGATGAACCAGAACTTCCAACAAATCCACAACTTTACCCTCCAACACATCAACAACAACAACAACCTCATTCTCCCCAACAACATCAATATTCTCCTCAACAAAATTATAATCAACCATCTGAACCTTCATTTGATCAACCAACAACTATACATAAACACCCTGCTCAATCAATATATCCAACAACTGAAAATTTACCAGAATCAAGTGAAAGTGATACAGAAAAACAACAACACCAATCTAACCAACATCAACAACAACAAAATACAAATGAATATGTAGAAGTATCATTACCAAATTATCCACCACCAGAAGATATAAGTAATGAATTACCAACTCAATCATTTTTAAGACATGCAACAAGTTCATTATCTCCAAATGCTTTTGAAGATGCTTCATTAAAATATCCAAGTTTGAAAAATGTTGAAGAAGATTATGAATATCAAAAATTAAATCATCCTAATCAACTACAACAACAACAACAACAACAACAGAATCATGGTATTGGTGATTTACCTAAATTGCCTAATAATCTTGAATCTTTTGATCATCAACAACATCAACAACATCAACAACATCAACAGAAACAGAAAGTATATGAACCGGAACCTCTTATCGACTTATAGATATATATATTTGTTCAATCAATACAACGTTTATCATGAAGTTTCTAATTGTTTATGTATTTGGTTAGGAATGAGTAGTAATGCATCAATATCTAGAAGAAAAGACATCAATCAATACTAAACAAATTGAGCTCAATAATTATGTTGTAGAAAGACATTGATTTCAACTTTGTATAGAGTTTATCGATCAGAATAAAAAATTACCACTCAACCTTATCTAGCTTTTTAAACCTCTGCTAGCTTTGATCAACTACAGCTAGCGCCAACTAATTTTGGCACTACACTTCGTTAAATTTCCTCCCTATTTGATCGTATTAAGTAATAGGCGGCTAATTTTTAAAAACATCTCAAAATCAAAACCTCGCAGCAACCAGAAAAAGAAAAAAAAAAAAATTTAAGAATTATAATTTGAAAAATTTTTAGTAAATTCATAAACTTATTACATCCATTTAACACTCCAAAAGATTAAAAATAACTCATAATATCACCTACTTTAGTTTGGTTTTTTATTTATTTTTTTAATATATCTTACCTTCCCATAAGTCTAAACATTAACGTGTGTATTTCCAACCAACACACAACGAGAGCTGCCGAATAGAGTCCAGTAAGAGAAATATAAGAATTTTCAACTCAGAGGTCACCAAGCCAAGTATTTTAAACTGAATCAAGAAACAAATTAGAAACTAAACCCACTGTGTCTTCCTTAACGATCCCCATCACAAGGTTATGACAACAATTATTGAGAATACAACAAATACAAACATTATTGAAAATGAAAAATTGATTGATTTAAATTATCAAAAACCAAATATTCATGAAACCTCCATTATTGGAAAAGCATTAATTGATCATATCACTAAAATTGATCATGAAGAATGTGAAGCAGGTGATGAAGATTCATTTTTTGTATGTGATTTAAATCAAATTATTAAAAATGTTGAAATTTGGAAAACATTTTTACCAAGAATTCAACCTCATTATGCTATAAAATGTAATACAAATATAAAAGTTATAAAATTACTTTATGAATTAGGAGTTAATTTTGATTGTGCATCAAAAAATGAAATTGATACAATTTTAAATTTAGGTTTTGAACCTTCAAAAATTGTTTATGCAAATCCATGTAAAACAAATTCATTTATTAGACATGCAAAGACAAATAACGTTAATTTAACAACTGTTGATAATGTTGATGAATTATATAAATTGTCTAAATTTCATTCAAATTGTCAAATATTAATTAGAATTATGACTGATGATGAAGATGCTCAATGTAGATTAAGTACAAAATTTGGTTGTGATTTAAATGTTGCTACTGAACAAATTTTACCAATTGCTAAAAAATTAGGATTAAATGTTGTTGGAGTTGCATTTCATGTTGGATCAGGTGCAAAAGATTTTACTTCAATTTATAAAGCAATTAGAGATTCTAGAATTTTATTTGATTTTGGAATTAAATTAGGATTTAAAATGAATGTTTTAGATATTGGAGGAGGATTTGAATTTGAAACTTTTTTAGAATCTTCAAAAGTTGTTAATTATTCAATTGATGAATTTTTCCCTTCGAATGATATTAAATTAATTGCTGAACCTGGTAGATTTATGGTTGCAAATGCTTTTACTTTAGCTACTCATATTATTGCAAAACGTTCATTACCTAAAAATATAGGTGGTATAAATTCAATGATTTATATCAATGATGGAGTTTATGGTAATATGAATTGTATATTATTTGATCATCAAACTCCATTAGCTTTTGTATTAAAAAATAAAGATGGTTACCATTACATGGAAAGAGAATTGAAAACTTTACAAAGTTATTCAATTTGGGGACCGACTTGTGATGGTTTAGATTGTGTTTCTTCAAAAACTGTTTTAAGTTATGAAGTTGAAGTTGGTGATTGGTTATATTTTCCAAATTTAGGTGCTTATACTAGTTGTGCAACTACACAATTTAATGGATTTAAAAATGATACTAAGATTATATATGTTTAAGTGCACAAGATATCTTGGTATATAATAAATAGACTTAACCTAATAAGCCTCGATTATTTTTCTTACGTAATGATATTTTTTGTTTTTTGCTCTGATAGTCTAGAGATAATTTTTCACCAATCTTGATTGATAAATAGAAGTCTGAAGAGCCTAAATCATCTCGATAGATCTCACTCATATCATGTCTCGTCCGATTAGATCCAACTCAACAATAGTTAGGACTCAAAATAATACAAATCAAATAAATAAAGCTTTAAATGCAATACAACATAAACGAACAGATTCAAATCAAGATCGAACTACTTTCACAACTGATGATGGTGAAACTTATTCAACAATTGATAGAGCAGTCACATCAGTAAATGCTCCAGCAACATTTAAACCATTTAATGAACAAGTGTTTTTGAAAAATGGATTACCAAATTGTGATTTTATTAAAGAACATTTTATAAAAGAGGGGAGACTACAAGAAGATCAAGCAATTAAAATAATAAAACAAGCTACTCAATTATTAACATCAGAACCGAATTTATTATCAGTTCCTGCTCCAGTTACCATATGTGGTGATGTTCATGGACAATATTATGATTTAATGAAATTATTTGAAGTTGGTGGAGATCCAAAATCAACTAAATATTTATTTTTAGGAGATTATGTTGATAGAGGTTCATTTTCAATAGAATGTTTAATTTATTTATATTCTTTAAAAATATCATATCCAAATTCATTTTGGATGCTTAGAGGAAATCACGAAAGTCGTCATTTAACCGAATATTTTACATTTAAAAATGAATGTTTACATAAATATTCTCAAAAATTATATGATGAATGTTTAACAAGTTTTAATGCATTACCATTAGCTGCTATAATGAATGATCAATTTTTTTGTGTTCATGGTGGAATAAGTCCTCAATTACAAGATTTGGATAGTATACGAAAATTAAATAGATTTAGAGAACCACCAACAAAGGGACTAATGTGTGATCTTTTATGGGCAGATCCAATAGAAGAATATGATGAAGATAATATAGATACAGAATATTTAAATAATGCAGTAAGAGGTTGTTCATATGCTTTTACATATAAAGCTACTTGTAAATTTCTAGATAGAACTAAATTATTATCAGTAATTAGAGCACATGAAGCTCAAAATGCAGGTTATAGGATGTATAAAAGAACTAAAACAATGGGATTTCCAAGTTTATTAACAATGTTTAGCGCTCCAAATTATTTAGATAGTTATAATAATAAAGCAGCAGTTTTAAAATATGAAAATAATGTTATGAATATTAGACAATTTAATGCATCACCGCATCCATATTGGTTACCACATTTTATGGATGTATTTACATGGTCATTACCATTTGTTGGTGAGAAAGTTACTGATATGTTAGTTAGTATATTAAATGTTTGTACAGAAGAAGAATTAGATGAAGAAATTCCATATACTGAATCACAAATAGGTGTTAGTGCTGCTTCTCCACAAGCTATACCTCCAACACCTGAATCAACAGAATTAAGTTTAGATGAGAAAAAATTAGCATTAAGAAATAAAATTATTGCAATTGGTAAAATGTCAAAAATGTTTCAAGTATTAAGAGAAGAACAAGAATCTGTTGCTCATTTAAAAGAATTAAATAGAGGTCAATTACCAAAAGGTTCTTTATTACATGGAAGAGATAGTCTTCATGATAAAATTTTATCATTTGAAGATGCTAAAGCTGCTGATCGATTAAATGAAGCATTACCACCAACTTATGAAGAATTGAAAAAAGCAGAGGAACAAAGAAATCAAAGGTTGAAAAATAAAATTGGATTTTCAGACAATAGATTTATATAGTTAGTTGAGGAAGTAATGATATGATTCACGTCTAAATGTTTTACGCAATTCGTTTTTTTGAGAGTTTCTTGAACAATCTTATTAATAATGTGAGAGACTCAAACCAATGACAAGTTTGTCTCGAGTTTCTTCTTCTGTCGTCGTGCTTTCTATGATCAAATGTTTAAATTGTTTGTCACAACGGAAAAAATCAAAATCAAAATAAAAGTGAAACACGAGATAATAATCCATTAATATAATTACGTCAGAAGTGATATTGGAATGCCTCCACCAATAAAATACATTAACGAAGAACCCAATATAGAAAATACAATACTATATCATGCATACCAAGCATCTAGTCCTGCAAAGTTCTCGGCAGATGACGACAAATATATCATCTACGAAGGTGGTTCATTTCGTTTAGAAGTCAAGAATAGACCACTAGAATTCATACCTAAGTTCACATCAGATCAGGTCAATATATATGTTTTATCATCTTGTTTTATTATATGGTCAACAAAAGATAGTCTAGGTTTGGAAATACCTTATCAATTAATTTATTTACACGCTTTAGATAAAAACTCACTATATTTACAAATACAAATACTACCTGATGATGTGTTCGAGGTTATACTACATCCCACCGTGGAACCCAAGAATGAATTACTTAAGGAAGTTACGGGGAACGCTGAATCAGTTTATCAAGCTATGTCCAAATGTTCAGCAATGCATTATGATTCTGATAATGAAGAAAATCATGTACAGGAAGAAGACGAGCTTCCATCATTAGAAATACCGTCTCAATGGATTGAAGAAAGACACTATAAAAACGAGGGAAACGCAGATGATCTAGATGAACTTGATGATACCAATCAAAGTGATGAAATTATAGCTGGAATGAGTGTTGATGTGGGATATGCACAAATTGCCGGCAATAAAAGAAATGAACACGATTATGCATCAATTAATAGTAAAAAGAATAAATTATTTTAACAATTAAACACCAACACTCTTTTAATAGCAATCGATACTAAATTTATCTTTTAAAAAATGGAATTCAGGTGGTTATGAAAAAAAAAGCCGCTTATCTACTTGTATTAGGAAAAAATAATAGTGTATAGAATTTATTATTAAGCGATCTTTAATGATGTATTACATGAAAAAGTTGGTCCGTTCGTTGCAAAACATCTTCCAAATAAATCAACTTTCGTTTTGATTAATCACACATTCCTTGATGAAAGCGGCCGATGAGAAGTTGTATTTTAAAAATCATTTTTATAAATTAGGTCAGGGCCGTATAATATCGAATGATGATTATCCATTTTGGTCTAAATTTTGGAGATTACCAACCACAAGTGATGATATTTATGAAATTATAACTTTAGAAGATCTTAAATTAGTACAGAATCAAAATTTACAAAACTATTACACATTTGTCAAAGTGCTAAGTCTAAAAATTATTCAATTTACAAAACAACAGAATGAATTTAACGACTCCGATATAAATAAATTGTTGAACTGTATACGGTTCTTATGTAAAATTATACCACCATTGTTTGCCTTGGATACTTATAAAGACATAGAAATTGAATTATTCTGGGACGAACAAGGGAATAAAAGTCTAGCATACAATTTAATGATGAGTCTTGTGGATTTATTGTTCACAAAAGGATTTACAATAAATTCTAAAGAAAAAGGTGGATTATCATTGTCAGTTTGGGAACCTGGTATTGGATATAATGCAAAATTCCAACAACCAAATTTGATCATTGATAGTAATAGAAGTGAAGTTTTAAAATTGATTATATGTTTGTGTTCAACTACAATGTATTATAAAGCTTCAACAGCTGTATCTACAGGCTCTAAATTCTTGACTATTTTAGTTCTGGCTACACCGAAAAAGAATTTGTTAACATTAGTGTCATCATTGATCAATTTGGTTTGCAGATCATCGAGAAGTTCAATTAATGAGAATGCTCTTTATTATGACAACATAAATTTTACAGAAATTAGACATCTTTGTGCCACTCAAGCATTCCAACTACTCACATTAATGATTGTATATCCCCTACCGGAGAACTCAACCGAATTGAATGATGGTGTTAAGCCAATGAATTTGGCAAGAGCTTACATGGGTAAGATTCATAAGGAAAACGAAATTCTATTCTTGGTCACATCATTAATCAATATACTAAGATACCCAATGGTCAATTCAGAAGATAGCACATTCGGAATCATCAAAAATGTAAATCAACCGTCACTATGGGCAGTTGAATCAGTCATCTTAATTTGGGAATTAATTCAATGCAATAAACACTTCAAGGAAGTTTTAACAAAAAAATTTATTTCAGAATTCATGGTTATTTTATTATACTATATTTTTGCTTTTCACAATCATTATAACCATAAAAATTTAGTTCGTGTTTGTTCTTATTTATTATTATTTTTATCATCAAATTGTAGCATGCTTGAGAATTTATTTTTACCCATGAATTCCATGCTTTATGAATCTATACCTGCTAGTTTCAAATTATCAATCACTCCATTAACAACCCGTGATTATTTGGTTTGTCAAATTTGTACAGTTTTATTGAATGCATACCCTTTGCAACAATCATATATGACAAAACCATTACCAAATCTTTTATTAAGTACATTGGCTGAAACATTGTTTAATTTGATACCTCCCGTTTCATCGCAAGAATTAAAGGTACATAATGATCCGCAAAAGAAAATCAATAATCCAAATCCAAGAGGTGGATTATCCTATCAATCATCTTCATTAATCATACAATTGATTGCGAGATTTTCAAACAAAAGTTTTTTACTAGAGAAATCATTTCATTTAAATGTAGTCGCCTTGATCATAAGAGCTGTTTGTACAGCCGTTATAAAATATCCACAACCATCTAGAATGTTATTATTTTGTATTTTAAAGAATGAAAAGATCTTTGATGAACTTTGGAATACTATTTTTAGCTTTAATGAGGTATATGTTAGAGGAGAGGCAATTGCCAAAATCGTCGAACAAGAAGAAGAAGTGCAAACCAATGTTACTGCAGATACCAATTCTATAACAATAAAACCTAAAAATTTCGAGGATAATGAATCCGTTATATCAGAAGCGGAAAGTGTTGAAGCTTCGTTAAGACCCAAACCACCGTCTGGTATGTCCACAAAAGCAAAAGAAAAAAGAAGGAAAGAAAGTCCTATAGGTAAAAGTTGGGAAGGGAAAGACTCCTTAGCATTAATTATAACAACTATAGTTCCTTACTTGAAGACCATACTTAATTCGATTTGGTCTGGTACTCGTGGAAGCAGTGTCGATAGTTTTGAATTAGTTCGGAAAATTGAACATGCAGATTATCATCAACTTATAGAGGAACACAAACATCAAATCAAATCGGATCTACTACCTGACACTAAATTGGAACAACTAAAATTTAATTGGAGTTATATATCACTAGGATGGTACCTTTCCTTATTGTACGGCAAGATCTACAACACTACTACTGAGGTCAAAGTTTATATCGGAAACAACAACAAATTTATTAAGAACTTTTCAAATTCAATTGCTACGGTAAGTAAAATAACTTCAAGTTGGACAAGCTTTTTAAAGCAAGATACACAACCAGTGACAGATGAAAAAACAGCCGAATGGATAAAAAATAGCATTACCAACTTTAACCCATGGCAAGGAACTGACATTAAATTATTTGAATTACAAAATGAGTCTAATGATAGCTTCTTTGCAAATTTAAATAAAATAAGTGGAAATTCACATTACGCTGTTCCAGGAACTCCTGGTAGTATTAATGATATGATGAAAAAATTCAACGAACTCAAAGTCAATGGCAAAACTTCACCACCTAGCACTCCTACAGAAGATCAAGATTCATATTTTGGTAAAAGGAGTGGTAGAAATTCAGTTACCAGTTTGCATTCATTAAACACATTAAATAGAATTAGAAGTCATAATACCCCTAGAAATTCCATAAGTTGATAGAATTTTAATAGATTATCACCTTCTCCTACCTTTTTTTTGTACTAGCTCAAAACCATCATCATCTACTATGGGTCCTTTTGGCTCTTCCTTATCTATCACCATATCATCACCGTTACTCATCTCAATGTCTTCAGTTTCTTCTTCATCATCTTCTTCATCATCACTCGAATCAGGATTATTTGGATCTTCTTCAATGTGAACTTTTGAGTTTGCAACCCGTAAACTCTTCTTGTCATTCCATTTTTTATATAATTCCTCAATGCTATCATATTTCTCTAGTTGAACATCTTTGTAGAACCTCATTATTAATGCTCCAATTTCCAAAGCGGAATCATTATCTACTTCAGTATCAAACTCATCCACCATAGCATATAATAAGGTTTCTTCTATTAGTTGTATATCAACAGCTTTATTTTCCAGAAACAAATCTATTATAACTCCACTGATCCAATCTCTTTTTTCACTCGAGTTGGCTCCTCCCCATGAATTTTCAACAGCTGTTGCTAACTCTTCCCATTTATATATTGCCATGCATACTCCTAATTCAAATTTTGCTTGTTGATGTGTATTGGGAAATTGCAAAGTACCTTGTTCAACTTCGACATATTCTGTTGGATCTATAGAAATTGTTGCCATTATGATTTTTAGTGGTTGCAAAATGATTCGAATTATCACGAAGTGACATCTCAGATTTTAATTAAATCATCGCGAGATGCTACCAACGAACATTTCGAATTTGAAACAAGTGGTTTTGTGAAGAAGAATTAGACCCATGGACCGAAATATGACAGGATTCAGACGCGATGTATTTAATTTTCGTATGAGAATAGAGAACTTACGAGTCGGACTTATACAGTAAGATTTTGCCATTAAATCTCTGGAATAATGTAGCTTTATAATTAAAAAACTAAAGACAAAATATGATCCAGTAGAAATCAACGAGCAATTCAAGTCGATGACGACTTTGATCTTTCTACGATGTTAATAAGCCTTAACTCTGTCTCGATCGCTATGTGATTACTCTTCTCATTCCTTGAATGAATAGAAGTTAAAAGTTACAAAATCGAGAAATCGTTTTTCAAAAATAATTTTTCAGGACTTACAGATCATTTTTAAAAAGAAACCACATCATAATACTAATCAAACATACATTTCATTGTTATTCACTATTAAGTTATCACTATCATATTCACAAATTTAAAATTACATCCACCGACACTGAGAGCAAAATCACTATCAAACAAACTATCAAAAGACTTAAACACACAATCATAACACATTACTATGGGTAAAGATGTTGTAGTAGATATCGCCCCTAAATGTATTAGTGGGCTAGAGTTTAGTGCATTATCAGCAAAGGATATAGTTGCACAATCAGAAGTTGAAATTCAAACTAGGGATTTATATGATTTAGAAAAAGGAAGGACACCTAAAGAAGGTGGTGCATTAGACACAAGAATGGGTATATCATCGAACGCATCGGAATGTAGAACTTGTCATGGAAATTTAGCATCATGTCATGGTCATTTTGGGCATATTAGACTAGCATTGCCAGTATTTCATGTTGGATATTTCAAAGCTATAATATCAGTGCTTCAATGTATTTGTAAAAATTGTGCATCCGTATTACTAGATCCTCAAAGTAAAAGACAATTTTTGACTGAGTTAAGACGTCCAAATATTGATAACTTGAAAAGAATGAAAATATTAAAGAAAATTAGTGATCAATGTAAGAAACAAAGACGTTGTCTAAAATGTAATCATGTTAATGGAGTAGTAAAGAAAGCAGCTAGTGGTGCTGGTCCAGCAGCATTAAAAATCGTTCATGATACTTTCAGATGGATTGGTAAAAAAGATACTCCAGAAAAGGACAAATGGGATAAAGAGTTAGAAAAAGTATTCAACAGAAATCCTGAGTTAGAGAAATACGCCAAAAGAGTACAAGAAGATTTCAACCCATTAAAAACCTTAAATTTATTCAAACAAATTACTCCTTCAGATTGTGAATTATTTGGAATGAACTCATCAAAAGGTGGTAGACCTGAAATGTATATTTGGAGATATCTACCGGCGCCACCAGTCTGTATCAGACCGTCAGTCATGATGGATGCTCAATCAAATGAAGATGATTTAACAGTGAAATTAACAGAGATTGTTTGGACTTCATCAATGATCAAAGCAGGGATTATAAAAGGTATTTCCATAAATAATTTAATGGAACAGTGGGATTATTTACAGTTATCAGTTGCAATGTATATAAATTCAGATTCAGCAAATCCTGCATTAATGGCTGGTGCAGGTGGAGGATCAAAATCAGCAAAACCTATTAGAGGATTCTGTCAAAGATTGAAAGGTAAACAAGGTCGATTTAGAGGTAACCTATCAGGTAAAAGAGTTGATTTTTCTGGTAGAACTGTTATTTCACCTGACCCGAATTTAAAGATTGATGAGGTTGCTGTACCAGATAGAGTGGCAAAAGTTTTAACATATCCAGAAAAATGTACTAGATACAACAGAAAGAAACTTCAAGAACTAATTGTAAGAGGGCCGGATGTTCATCCAGGAGCTAATTATGTGATGAAACAAAATGAAGCAAGTAAAAGAAATTTAAGATTTGGTGATCGTGTCAAACTATCTAGATCATTACAGATTGGGGATGTTGTCGAACGTCACATAGAAGATGGAGATGTTGTTCTTTTTAATCGTCAACCGTCATTGCATAGATTATCAATTTTATCGCATTATGCAAAAATCAGACCATGGAGAACTTTTAGATTGAATGAGTGTGTCTGTACGCCGTATAATGCAGATTTCGATGGAGATGAAATGAATTTACATGTTCCACAAACAGAAGAAGCAAGAGCAGAAGCCATCAATTTAATGGGAGTGAAGAACAATTTATTAACACCAAAATCTGGTGAGCCAATTATTGCAGCAACACAAGATTTTATTACTGGTTCATATTTAATATCTCATAAAGATTCATTTTTTGATCGAGCACAACTAGTACAATTATTGAGTATGATGTCCGACGCAGATGTTCAATTTGACATTCCACCACCTTCAATATTCAAACCAGTAATGTTATGGACTGGTAAACAAGTTTTCTCATTACTTATAAAACCAAATAAACAAAGTAAAGTAGTCATAAATTTGAATGCTAAAAATAAAACTTTCCATCCACCTCCGAAGGGATTACCTAATGAAATGTCGCCAAATGATGGGTTTGTGATAATAAGAGGTTCTCAAATTTTATCAGGATTAATGGATAAATCAACATTAGGTGATGGTAAAAAACACTCAGTATTTTATACAATTTTAAGAGATTATGGTCCTCAAGAAGCAGCAATAGCAATGAATAGAATGGCTAAATTATGTGCAAGATTTTTAGGAAATCGTGGGTTTTCAATTGGTATTAATGATGTTACACCGGCTTATGAATTAAGACAAAAGAAAGAATTGATGGTAGAACAAGCGTATTTAAAATGTGATCAATTAATTGATTTATATAATAGAGGTAAATTAGAAACTCAACCAGGTTGTAACGAAGAACAAACTTTGGAGGCAAAAATTGGTGGTCTTTTATCAAAAGTTAGAGAAGAAGTTGGTGAAGTTTGTATTAGAGAGTTAGACTCTTCGAATGCACCATTGATTATGGCTACTTGTGGTTCAAAAGGTTCCACATTAAATGTTTCTCAAATGGTGGCGGTTGTTGGTCAACAAATTATATCAGGTCATCGTGTTCCTGATGGTTTTCAAGACAGATCATTACCACATTTCACAAAAAATTCCAAAACTCCACAATCTAAAGGTTTTGTTAGAAATTCATTTTACAGTGGTTTAACTCCTCCAGAATTCTTGTTCCATGCTATTTCTGGTAGAGAAGGTTTGGTTGATACTGCCGTTAAAACTGCGGAAACTGGTTATATGTCTAGACGTTTAATGAAATCCTTAGAAGATTTATCATCACAATATGACAATACTGTAAGAAACTCGTCAAATGGTATTGTTCAATTCACTTATGGTGGTGATGGTTTAGATCCATATGATATGGAAGGTGATGCAAAACCAGTTAATTTTGTTAGACAATGGGATCATGCATATAATATAACTTACAATGTAAAAGATAAGCCATTATTGCCATATGAGATTATGGAAGTAGTGGACATAACATTAAAACCGTTGTTACTGAAAATTAAAGTTTCAATCCCTGATGATATGGATGAGGATTCAATGGTTGATCAAAACGATGCAGAAATTGAATTTTATGAATCTGTTAAATCATTCATGGAGATAAAAGCAATAGCGTTAGCTCGATTACGAGAAGAAAGAGGTCTCAAAGCAAATTTTACAAGATCTAAAGATGATATGATCATAGATGAAGATGAATCCACTATAAATGCTATTAATCAAATAATGAAAATTTCTCATAGCTCAGTCAAAGAATTCATGAAGCAATGTTTATATAAATACAAAAGGGCAAAAGTAGAACCTGGTACAGCTGTTGGTGCGATTGGAGCTCAATCTATTGGTGAACCAGGTACACAAATGACATTGAAAACTTTCCATTTTGCTGGTGTTGCCTCTATGAATGTTACATTAGGTGTTCCACGTATAAAGGAAATTATTAATGCATCTAAAACAATTTCAACACCTATTATTAATGCAGTTTTAGTAAATGATGATGATGAAATTGCAGCTCGTGTTGCTAAAGGTAGAATTGAAAAAACTTTATTAAAAGATATTGCTTTTTACATTGAAGATGTTTACAAGGATAATTTGGCATATTTATCAATCAAGATAGACACTGAAACCATTGACAAATTACAATTAGAGTTAAACATCCATAACATTGCTAAAGCTATTTGGCTGGCTCCCAAATTGAAGATTTCACAAGCCGATGTAATGGTGATTGGTAAAAACAGAATCAATGTCTTGTGTAGTGTAAATGATGGTAAATTTGACAGTGTAAAACGTGAAAATGCCAATGCATTATTTTTCAGAATGCAATCGTTAAAAAGACTGTTACCTGATATTTGTATAGAAGGTTTACCAAATATTTTCAGAGCTGTTATCAATATTAAAGATGATGGTAAAAAGGAATTACTTGTTGAAGGTTATGGATTGAAAGAAGTCATGAATACAGAAGGTATTGTTGGTACAAAAACCACTACCAATCATGTTCTTGAAGTTAATCAAATTTTAGGTATTGAAGCAGCTAGAGGGTCCATAGTAAGAGAAATTGATTATACTATGAGTAATCATGGTATGAGTGTTGATCCTCGTCATATTCAATTATTAGGTGATGTTATGACTTATAAAGGAGAAGTATTAGGTATTACAAGATTTGGATTAAGTAAAATGAGAGATTCGGTTTTACAACTAGCTTCTTTTGAGAAAACAACTGATCATTTATTTGATGCTGCATTTTATATGAAAAAAGATGCTATAGAAGGTGTTTCTGAATGTATTATATTGGGACAAACTATGAGTATTGGTACTGGTGCTTTTAAACTAGTTAAATCTTCAAATTATGATAAAAAGGTTTTGAGAAAAAAGCCAACTTTATTTGAATCTTGTTGTGAAGTAGCTAGTGTAGCTTAAATAAATTAATGCATATTATAAAAATTGAGAAATTTCTTTATCTCTTTTCAATACTGAAACAACTTCGTCTTCACTAACATTTAGTGTGATTATTCTTCTTCTTTCAGTTGAAAAATTCAGTAAGCTTATCACATCAGCTTCGACCAATGATTTTAATATAAATTCAAAGTTAAGAATCCTAATATAAACCTTGCCTTCACCATTTGTATATAATAAATCATACATTGTATGATCAGTTAGGAAAGGGTTTGAAGTTGTTGACATTAAGATGCTATTTTTCATTTCATCTATTACTTCACCCACTGCATTTTCAGCCAATCCTGTTCTTCGAATTCTTTTTAATAAAGCAGCCAATAGTAGTTTACCAGCATATGGTAATCCAGCCAAATATTCGGCTAAAGAAGAATTAATACTTTCATTTACAGCTTGTGAAATATGAGATATGGTTACTTGATATACTTGATTCTCTCCATTAGTAGCGTGTTCCAAAAATTGTTTTTCAGCAATTTCAACTGCTCTTCTACATATTGTTAATGCTCTTCTTGCATCTCCTGAAACACTTGCTACTTTTCTAGATGCAAATCCTATAGCATCATTGCTTATTTCAACCTTATGTTTACTGTTTTTAGTCAACATATCTAATCTATGTTGAATGATAATTCCTAATTGTTGAAAAGTATAACCTTTAAATTGAATTCTTCTTAATCCCATTCTTGATGAAATTTTATTCGATAATAATCGTTCAGGTAAATCCATGGTATTGCCAACTGCAATAACAATTAATTTTGATGTTGAATATGTTGGCCAATTAAAAAAATTATACATTACATTTTGCTTTTTTGAAGCAATTTGATCTATTTCATCCATTAATACAACTAATGGTTTCCGATTTTCATCTTCAATTTTATAATATTCTTCTAAAAGCACTGCTGCATTTGAATCAGATACTTTATCACCACTTATATATTCCCAAAGTTTACTATATGCTACTGTCGGTGATAATAATTTCAATCCATTAATTTCAATAAAATTAAACTCATTTAATTGTTTTTCTTTAACTAATTCATTCATTTGAAATATAACATCTTTAACAGTAGCTGTTTTACCCATTCCAGGAACTCCACTTATATATATACAACAACCAGTTCCTTCATTAACTGCACTTTCCAAACTTGCATATATCATTGAAAATTCATCTTCTCTACCCGGTAATGCAGTAAGTTTTTGAGATGTATGTAATTTTGCTTTAATTTCTTTGATTGCTTCTGAAGTCGGGTCTAAAATTTCAGGTATATTTTTGGGTTTTGTAGGTGATGTGAATAATGGTATTGAATTGTTGGATTGTGAGATTTGAATTTTTCTATTGGGACTCAATAAGGAATACATGTTTTGTATTTGTGAATTATGTGGTGAAATTTTACTTCTCTTTGAAGGTAAAAATTTAGCCGGTGACAATTTAGCTGGTGATGATTTCGTTGGTGATTTTCGTTTTCTTGGTGTTGAGATTGCTGGTTCCTCATTTTCACTCATACTGTCATCATCTGAACTTTCTGGTTTTGCCAGATCTTCTGATTCTTCGTTAGGATCTTCAGGTGAATCTTTATGATTTTCAATCGGTTCCACATTCTTTTGCTTTGTTTCTTGCTTTAGGGAACTCGGATTAAATAGCAATTTTTTAACGTGATCAGTGAATATTATACTACTGAGTTTGAGCTTATCTAACAATTCATTATAATCAAATGTATCAGACAACTTGTCCAGTTCATTTGTAGCTCTTTGACAGATAAATCCTTCCCCTGCTTCATCGTTCGACAGTTTAATTTTGACGTGATCTTGTATTTCATTTAGATTAATTTCATCAGAATATGGAGTTATAAAAATTTCATTCTCAAGTGCATCAATAGGTTGATTTCTTATTTCGTTCTTTGTGCAAAACCAAGCTACTGTTACCTCAAGTTCATCAATATCATACTTGATTTGTTTTACTAGTCCGTAATTAACCACCCCTTTTGATTGAATTGAGATAGCATCTCCAACTTGAATTTCAAGTTTATCATCTTTTCGTCGTAATTTGATAGAGTCTGTTGATTTCGTTTTTGTTCTTTGAGTTCTTCTACCTGATCTTCTAGGCGATTGTTGATTACTTGAATCTGGTGTTTCTTGGACTGAATCTATGATTTCCCATTGATCCTTAATTGAGGTTTTCATGCTGGATTATCGCATATCAATTGATGAAGCTTCGGTATTATATTCATGTTATGTGTTTGTGCAATAATTTGTTTTTGTTTCACGCGTTCAAGTTGGTTGCAAAAATTGTACGAAATTAAGAAGTGAGTTTTAGAGGTTGTTACATATAAGTACCTTGGTATTTATTATCTTGAACTGTTTGTCAGATCACCCCTTGAAGATACATAAAATCAATACTCATGCAAATTTTCGTTAAATCATTTTTCATTAAGTTCTATTTAAATACTAAAATAGGTTCACCCACATTAACAATTTCATCTAAGTTTAATTTCAAATCAAAAGCTTTTGATAAAATAATTTTAAAAATCTTTTGAACATTTATGGAATGACTAGTTGAACAAAATATTACTGGAGCTTTCATTGCAACTCCGAATTTCTTAGCTTGTTGAGTAATTTCCAATTGATCTTGAAATGATAAATCAATAAATTGATCATATTTTGTACCCACTAAAAAAGGAATTGCTGTTTTATTAAAACCTCTGACTTGTCTATACCATTCTTTAATTGAATTTAAAGTTGATTTTCTAGTAAGATCAAACATAAATAATATTGCAACTGCATCATTACTTACTAATGGTAACATATTAATGAATTCCTTTTGTCCACCTAAATCCCATATTGAAAACATTATAGTAGTATTCCGTATATTTATTCTTTTATCCATGAAATTTACTCCCAATGTTTGTATATAATCTTCATCAAATGATCCTTCCACATATTTGACCATTAATGAAGTTTTACCAATTTGAGAATCTCCTATTAGTCCAATTTTTAATGCGACTCTATCTTTAGTTAGTATAGGAGTAGATTGATTAGCAAGAACAGATCAAATTACATACTGGTTATTTTGGTCTTGTTGTTGTTCATGTTGTTGGTGACTTTGACTTTGGTTGTCCATTATAGATATGTGATTCTATTAGTCGAGACTATATTTGAGTAATCATGAAGATTGGACAGTTTGGTTTGATGATTTTAAGAATTGATGAATTTGAACTGCACTATATGTGAAATCTGTCGTAGTTGATACACGGTTTGTTTATCAATTACATCAATCTCCCAAATCAATCAATTATACGATTTGTTTACATTTGTTTACATTTTGGTGTATGCACTATAAAAGGGCAAATACCCTTATTATAATCTAATCATGTGACACGCACGAGTTCTGAGGAATGAGTTGGTAGCTGGATTAAGATTTGAAAAGTCGTGGAAAATTTATTGTATTACATAACACTAGGTCGAACAATTACGTAATACACGGACCTAGTGCGAGAATAATTGAACCTTGCCTGAAGAGATTACACACAAAATAAAATTTTTAATACTATTAAATTTTTCAATAGAAAATTTCTTTAATAGATTTATCCATTTCAATTTTTTTTTTTTCAAATAGTTTAATCAATCAACTAAACCTATAATAATCAATCATGGCAGTAGGTAAAAATAAGAGATTATCCAAAGGAAAAAAAGGATTAAAAAAGAAAGTTGTTGACCCATTCACTAGAAAAGATTGGTTTGATATTAAAGCTCCAACTACTTTTGAAAATAGAAATGTTGGTAAAACTTTAATTAATAGATCAACTGGTTTAAAAAATGCAGCAGATGGATTAAAAGGAAGAGTCTTTGAAGTTTGTTTAGCTGATTTACAAGGATCAGAAGATCATGCTTATAGAAAAATCAAATTAAGAGTTGATGAAGTACAAGGTAAAAATTTATTAACTAATTTCCATGGATTAGATTTCACATCAGATAAATTAAGATCATTAGTAAGAAAATGGCAATCTTTAGTTGAAGCTAACGTTACTGTTAAAACTGCTGATGATTACGTTTTAAGAGTATTTGCTATTGCCTTCACTAAAAGACAACCAAATCAAATTAAAAAAACTACATATGCTCAATCTTCAAAATTAAGAGAAGTTAGAAAAAAAATGATTGAAATTATGCAAAGAGAAGTTTCAAATTGTACTTTAGCTCAATTAACATCAAAATTAATTCCAGAAGTTATTGGACGTGAAATTGAAAAATCAACTCAAACCATTTTCCCATTACAAAATGTTCATATTAGAAAAGTTAAATTATTAAAACAACCAAAATTTGATTTAGGTTCATTATTAGCTTTACATGGTGAAGGTTCATCTGAAGAAAAAGGTAAAAAAGTTTCAAGTGGATTCAAAGATGTTGTTTTAGAATCTGTTTAAATAACTTAAAATGAATCGAGACGTAATTCACATCACTTGCCAACTTCTTATTCAATCATTCTTTTCCTTCATAGTTCATCTGTAAAATACTTTTATAACAAAAATCAATACATAATAACAGTTACGAAAATGAGTTTGTTAATTTTTACCTGTACTCTTTTGTCGCGTATGAATTTGGACCAGAATTCTATCTCACGACACTAATTTTAATGATGAATATCGAGTAAAACACAAAACTACAAGGATCTATAGAAGCAAAATTAAACATAAAATATTATTTTGACATTATTATAAGTACTATTTATGAGTATGCCATTAGAAAGTAATTTGTATTTCAAAACTTCAACTTCAACAATACTAATTCAGATCACTTTCGTATTGAAATTTCATGTGCAGCTTTTTCAAATAGGTCGAGATCCATTGTCTTTTCACATTATCTCAGCTTAAGTTACTACGTCATTATCATGGTGTATTTTTCGTATTGCTGTTGTCTCGAGAGAAATTAATTTAGAAAACAGGTACAAAGACCAAATGGAACAGAAAATTTATTAGTGAAACGTTAATTTCTACTTTCAAAGTATATTGATACTGGTCCACCAATTTATCTGATATTCTGAGAATTTTGATGAAATGTTATTCAATTTAAATCGTATCTTTGTCAGGTTAAATGAAGGTTGTTTTATAGTTGTATTAATCTCTTCTATTGCTTTATCTTTACTATCTATCTTATATTCGTATATTTATTTAATAATAATATGAGATAAGTAGTACAAAAAATAGCAATAAAAATTCCAAATGAAATTCTGAAAACTATATTTTATATTTGGAATCAGACCGGTTTAATAACTTTTATAATTCAAAAGATAAAAAGTTAAGGTACAATCATTCGAACAATCAACTACACCCTACTCAATTGACTTAATCTAATTGACTTTATATCAAACAACTTCATAAAAATATGGTTAGTCAGGTATGTGCTACTACACTAAGATTTAATCGAATCTGATTATACAATTTCAAGATCTCATTAACTGGATACTAACATTCAATTAAGTCTGATTTTCAAAAAAAGAATGAACCTGAAGAGCATGGACCTTCAGGTTATATAAATAACAAAGATGATGTGGATAGTTTTAATAAAAAAGTACATTCAGATTTAAATAATCAACAACCAACTTCAATTAATACAGCCACTCAACCAAAACCACCTTCAAAAGAGCCTCCAAAAATACCAAAACAAGATCAACCTAAAAAGAAAGTTCATATAAGAGATCAATTGACATTTTCTTGGGAAAATGTAGGTGGATGGGATATTGATAATACTGAAGATAAAAAGAAATTATTAAAAAATGCCAAATCAGTTGAGAATTATATAATTGATCATTTTTATGGTGATTGGTATTGGAATACTTCTTTAATGATAGGAACTTGTTTTTTTGCTTGGTTTTTAGCAAGATTAGGAGGAGGTATATTATCATTAGGATTAGTATTATTATTTACAAATTCAGTATATCGAGGAGAATTTAGAAGATTTAATAGGAATATAAGAGATGATATGGCAAGAGTTAAAGCAAATAATAGATTAGTTAATGAATTAGAAACTATGGAATGGATGAATTCATTTTTAGATAAATTTTGGGTCATTTATATGCCAGCATTATCTGAAACTGTTATGTTTCAAACTAATGAAATTTTAAAAGATCAAGCTCCTGGATTTGGAATAGATGCATTATCATTAGATGAATTTACTTTAGGTTCAAAAGCTCCTAGAGTTGATTCTATTAAATCATATACTCAAAAAGGACATGATGTAATTGAAATGGATTGGGCTTTTTCTTTTACTCCAAATGATACTGATGATATGACAAAAAATGAAATCAAAAAGAAAATTGATCCAAAAGTTGCTTTAGGTGTAACTGTTGGTAAAGCATTTATTAAAAAATCATTACCTATTTTAGTTGAAGATATGTCATTTACTGGTAGAATGAAAGTAAAACTTAGATTATCATTGAATTTTCCACATGTTAAAATGGTATCTATTCAATTTTTGGAACCACCTACTATTGATTATGCTTTGAAACCAGTTGGTGGTGATACTTTTGGTATTGATATAATGTCTTTTATTCCAGGTTTATCTAAATTCGTTAATGGTATCATTCATGCAACCTTAAGACCAATGTTATATGCACCAAATTCTTTGGATATTAATGTTGAAGAGTTATTAGAAGGTCAATCTAATGATTCAATTGGTGTGGTTGCAGTTACTATAAAATCATGTAAAAATTTGAAAACAGGTCAAACAACTAAACCAAATAGTATTAACCCATATGTTCAAATTAAAGTTTCAAATAATGGAGATGTTGATGAAAGAACTAAAACCAAAAAAGAAGTTAATGATCCAATATTCTTAGAAACAAAATATATCTTGATCAATCAATTAGATGGTAACTTTCTTAATTTCAATGTGTTTCATTTATTAGAGGATAAAATGGATGACCAATTAATTGGTGATTGTGAATTTCCATTAGGTGAATTATTACAAGAAGAAAATTTCCCAGGAATCACTAAGAATATAATGGAAGGTGGGAAAGTTGTTGGTAAACTTAATTTAGACATTAAATGGTTCCCTACTTTACAACCAATAACTTTAGAAGATGGATCAAAAGAAGTTATTACAGATTCTGAAGTTGGTATTATGAAATTAACATTACATGAAGCTAGAGATTTAGATATTTCACATTCTGTTATAGGTTTATTAAATCCTTATGCTGAAATTTATGTTAACAATGAAATGGTTAAGAAATGTCGTAAATTGAGACAAACAAATGAACCTTCATGGGAACAATCTTTTGAAAGTTTAATCACTCAACAAACTGCTACATCCATTCAAGTGTTAGTTAGAGATACAGTTGATAATAACATTGTAGCCAACCTCGAAGCTAATTTACAGGATATTGTTTTTGAAAGTGGTAGAGGTCAACAATGGCTTACTTGTCCAGCAATTTCTGCCAATGCTCCACCACCACAAATTCGTATTAGTGCTAGTTGGAAACCTTTAGCAGTTGATGAAGAGACTAGTGCTAAAATCATAAAACCAGCTCCAATTGGTGCTATTAGAATTCATTTGAGAGGAGCAAAAGGATTGAAGAATTTAGAATCAGTTGGTTATGTTGATCCTTATGTTAGAATAATATTGAATGGTAAATTAAGAGCCAAAACTGTAACATTTGCAGAAACAGTAAATCCACAATGGAATTCTGTCTATTTCTTACCAGTCACCAATCCTCATCAACATTATTTATTTCAAATTATGGATGCTGAAGCAGAAGGTAAAGACAGATCTTTAGGAACAGCTGCTGTTAATGCTGCCGATTTCTTAAGAAAAAACGATGAAGGTTACTTTTTAGGTTATGATGGTTCACAAGAAATTATTGAACAACCAGTATTATTTGAAGCTGATCCAGTTGGTACATTATTTTATTCAATTTCATTTTTCCCAACAATTCCAGCTTATTCATTATCCGAATTAAGAAACAAAGCTGAATATGAAGAAGAACAGAAAGCAAAAGAAGAACAAGAAAAGAAACAATATGAAAAAGAAGAAAAACTTTATAAAGAAAATCCAAATGAATATGAATGGGTTGAAACAGAAGAAGATGCTATGCCAGAACCACCAAAGATTGAAGTTAAATTAGCTGATGCTATTAAATATAGAGCTGGTGATATGGCCGTCCATTTATTAAGTGGACATTTTGATAAAAACGATGTATTTGTACAAACTCTTTTTGATGAACATGCTTATCCATCTGGAGTATCACCAATTGTTGAAAATAAAAAAATAGTTACTGCATCAGTTGGAGAAACATTTATTAGAGATTTACCAAATTCAAATTTAATTTTTAGAATTACTAAAAAAGCTGAAGTTGCAGATCAAAAAGATGTTATTATCGAAAAAACATATCAAACTATTGACATTTATAAACAATCTTATAAAAATCCTATAAAACTTCATCTTGGAGGTCGTAATACTATCGAAATTCAATTAGAATATTTCCCATCAATTGCTAAATTAGCTCCATTAGATACTATTTTAGATGTTGGTAAAGTTAAATTAGAACTTATTGGTGCTAAGAATTTGAAATCAGTTGATTCCAATGGTAAATCAGATCCATTATGTGTGGTTTCATTAGATGGTGTTGAAATTTATAGAACTGATAAGAAACGTAAAACATTAGATCCACTTTGGAATGAAGCTGTTGAATTCCCAATGATTTCAAGATCAAGACAAGTGTTATTATTGGAAGTTTATGATTGGGATTTAACACATGATGATGAATTATTAGGTATTGCAAATCTTGATCTTTCAACTATTCCAGCTTTAACTACTACACCATTCCATGTTGATCTTAATACTCAAGGACAATTAGATTTGAGAGCTACTTTCTTCCCAGAATATGTAAGACCACCATTGAATCCTAAAGCTATGATTCCAATTGATCTTAATATGGTTAGTGATGCACCAATGAAAGCAGTTGGAAATGTTACTGATTTTGCATCAAATGCAGTTGGAAGTGGTATTGGAGCAGCAGCAGATGGAATTACAAAAAGTCATGGATTATTTAAAAGTCTTAAAAGTAGAAGAAAAGATAAATCTTCGAAACATAGCCACAAAGGTAAAGAAACAGAAAATGGTGAACATGGTGAACATGGTGAAAATGAATATGATGAAAATTCTTCATTTGCACCAAGTCAAACTAATACAAGTGAAGGAAAAAGTTCAAAATCAGCACAACAAAAACAACAAGATGGTGATAATGAAGGAGAAGATGATATACCAGAAGAAGAAAAAGAATTTAGAAAAACTCAAGATAATGAAATTTCTTCAATTGTTGCTGCACCAAATATTCGTGAAGATCCTTTACCACCACCTCAAAAACCAATTTTTAATCAAGGTCATAATAGAAATGCAAGTAATGCTACTGAAGCAAGTAGTTTTGCTGCTAGTTTGAATGGACAAGATGCTATACCTGGTAGATTAACAATTGTTGAAGCAACAGGTTTTACATCTGGTGGAGCATTAGAAGTTAAAGCATCATTAAAAACTTCAACAAAAGATAAATCATTAATAAGAACAAGAACATCAAAATTAGATAAACATACAGAAACTTTTAAATGGAATGAAAGTGTACCTTTTAGATCTGCTTCAACTGGTAAAATTATATTTAATATAAGAGAACATCATACATTTGGTAAAAGTGTTACTGTTGGAGAATGTGAAATAAATTTGGGTCAATTTGTAAATGTTTCTGAAAATATTACTATACCTGCCGGTAAAGGTAATTTAATTATAAATTTGAAATATTTCACTTAATGAATCTTTATTTCAAAAATTAACATTTTTCAATTCAGCTTGGTTCAGCATGTTTAACTAATTAGTTTATGTATAGTATGTTAGTAATAATAATTTAAATTAATTTCGATGAAGACTACTCAATTATTATCTCAAGTATAGCTTATAGATTTAGTGCGAGTTTTATTGCAAATTAATTCAAATTGTTGCAAAATATATGTACAACAGCATTATTTTACTGCTGGATCGATTATTCGAAATTTAAACGAGTCAATTTCTGCAAAATTGGTTCTCATTTCTTCAAGATTAGAGGAGTATTGAATCTTTAAAGAGAACATAGATGTAGAAATGCGATACTGATGTTGTAAAGTCCTATTGTAAACTAAATTTGTACCTCTTTGTTTCGAATTACATGAATCGATCTGTAATCTAAACAGCTTGAAACAAATTTTTGAGCATAAGGATTTGAGATTCTTCAAATTGAACTATTCATGCTATGACCTCCTATGTAAGGATCTTGGTTCAAATTAGGTCGATATGATTATCCAATGTTAACGTCATCACGTGCTCACTAAAATATAGGGCTAGGAACCGCAAGTTTGTTAAACACAAAAACTTGTCGCACAAATAACACAAAATGGGACAGATTCCAAATCTGCAACGGAGAAAAAGATAAAGTAACTTCGACCTAAAAATATTAATTTTTCGACCTAAACTTGATTCGAATTACTCACCAGCTCGCAAAATAATTTTTCAAAAGTTAGAAAAAAAAAATTACTAAGAGTTATACCAACTAAAAAAAATTTTGGATTAATATTTGAATTTTAATAGTTTCATATATCATTCATACCTTAATTAATACACACACAACAATGAGTCAAGCAGTATGTTTAAACATAATCATTGGAAGGATCATAGAGAGATTTGGTATTTTTAATTTGGAATGAGAGAATCAGAAAGTTTGGAGAAAATAAGAATGAAAGACTTGAAAAGGAATAGGAAAAACGATACGAAAGTACATTTAGAAGATATAATTAGGGACTCGTTCATGATACATGTCTGTATTAGTCAAATTACAAATCAAATTATCATACATTTATCACAAGAGGCGGACGTCTCAATGCAATATAGAAGAATTGATACTATCGAAGATTTGAGAATAACAATTTAAATGAAAATATCATTAAACTCTATGTTTCCATTAATCAAGCGACTTAATACTAACCTCTCATATTTTAGGCTACTAAATGGTACCCAACTCAAGACGCTGCCGTCCCAAGACAAGCTAGAAAAACCTCACGTCCACAAAAATTACGTGCTTCATTAGTTCCAGGTACTGTTTTAATTTTATTAGCAGGTAGATTCAGAGGTAAAAGAGTTGTATATTTAAAAAATTTAGAAGATAATACATTATTAGTTTCAGGTCCTTTCAAAGTTAATGGTGTTCCATTAAGAAGAGTAAATGCAAGATATGTTATTGCTACTTCAACTAAAGTAAATATTGATAATGTTGATGTATCTAAATTTAATGTTGAATATTTTGCAAGAGAACAAAAACCAAAAAATAAAAAATCAGAAGCTGAATTCTTTAATGAAACTCCAGCTAAAAAAGAAATTAAAGGTGAAAGAATTTCAGATCAAAAATCAGTTGATGCTGCTTTATTATCAGAAATTAAAAAAACTCCATTATTAAAACAATATTTAGCTGCTTCATTTTCTTTAAAAAATGGTGATAAACCACATTTAATCAAATTTTAAATTAATTCCAACATTATCGAAATTTAAAAGTCGTCGTATATAGTAGTGTAAAATTATTATATAAATCTTAGTTAATTAACGAATCGAATCTTTCAAAACCTACATTGACAGAGACACTCTAAGCTGATGAAAGGAGGTCAAATTGATATTATCAACTAAGTGTTATAAGTTTGTATCACGTTTTCCCATATACATTTTTTCTGTTTCAGATTTTCTTCTATTGTTTTCTCACTCCATCAATTTAAATTAACCCATCGCAATAAATTTTCCAAATAACTTTATTAGTCTCAAGAACTCATTAAAGCATAACCAACAATGTCACATTTAACACCAATAAGTACATACAATTTAGCATTAAAACCATTTCAACCTGAACCAGCCATTGCTGAAGATTATCCAATTACAATTAGATTGACTTTAGCTTCATTAGATCCTGAAGCTGATGATGATAAAGCTGAGCCATCAACTTTAAGAATATTGAAAAAGACTCAATTTCATGATGAAGATGATGAAGATGATGTTGAGTATGATGAAGACGATGATGAAGATGACGATGATGAAGATGACGATGACGAAGAAGATGAATTAGATGAAACTGTAAAAACAAATGGTTCCAAAGAAGATATAGAAATTGATGAAGAGGAAGAAGATGAAGATGAAGATGATGACGAAGATGACGAAGATGACGTAGACATTGATGAAGATGAAGATGAAGAAGATATTTCAGAATATGTTGTTTGTACATTATCTCCGAAACATCAATTTCAACAAACTCTTGATTTAACTATTACACCAGAAGAAGAAGTTTATTTCGTTGTTACTGGTTCGTATCCAATTCATTTAACTGGTAATTATGTTATTCATCCAGGTGATGAAACTGATGAAGAAGATGAAGATTATGATGAAATAAATGAATATGATGATGAATATGATTTAACACCAGATGAAGATGAAATAATTCATGGAATTAATTTTAATGAAGAATATGATGATGAAGAAGATTCTGAAGATGACTTTGATAGAGAAGAATCAGCAGAACCAGGTAAAATTGAAGAAATAAAAGATGATGAAGAGGAAGAAACAAAACCAAAAAAGAGATCAATTGAAGAATCAAAAGAACCAAAAGAATCTAAAAAATCAAAAAAATCAAAAAATAATGATTCTTCATTTTCAAATGATGAAAAAAAATCAGTTCAATTTTCAAAAAATTTAGAACAAGGTCCAACTGGTTCAACATTAATTAATGATAAAAAGAAAGATAAAGATACTACACCAAAATCAACTCCAACTAAACAAATTCCAACAAAAGAATCAAAAGAATCAAAATCATCATCTAAAGATTCAACTCCAACAAAAGATAAAAAAAATGATAAAAAATTCCCAACTCATACTTTATTAGGAGGAGTTATTACAGAAGATAGAAAAATTGGTGAAGGACCAACAGCAAAATCAAATAATAAAGTTGGTATTAGATATATTGGTAAATTAAAAAATGGTAAAGTATTTGATAAAAATACAAATGGTAAACCTTTTTCTTTTAAATTAGGTAAAGGTGAATGTATTAAAGGTTTTGATTTAGGTGTTACAGGAATGAGTGTTGGAGGAGAAAGAAGAGTTATTATACCACCAAAAATGGGTTATGGTTCACAATCATTACCTGGAATTCCTGCAAATTCAGAATTAACTTTTGATATAAAATTAGTTTCATTAAAATAATTTAAAATTTTAAATTTTAAAATAAAATATTTAGAAAGAAAAGTATTAAAAGATTTTACAAAATACATATAGGTATAGAGAGATTTTAATATTATAATTTTTTTAAATTATTAAGATGTAGTTGTATTTTGGATGAGTTATGAGTGTATAACTTATTTGAGCCTTTATGTCTTAAATCATATAAAAGTGACAACAAACCAAACACGACATTGTAAATGTAATGCTCATCATTAATTGTATAGCCATACCTAATTAAACTTTCTCGTATAAATTTAACTTTAGGCCTAATACAATTAACAACATACATTAATGATGAATATGGTAGTAAACCTCAAACTAATTGTGTTGCTAATTTTTACTTCCAAAAACTTGCTAGTACCCTACAATTGAACTGCCTCGACGTAATCAGTCGGAGATAAATCGATACTCCACGAACTTGAGTATACATTTATAATAAAACACGTCTTAAAATTTGTAGTACATTTTTTTTAGCAGCCAAAAAAATTTCTTTCGTTTAGAATCAAATATTATTATGATATTTTATTTAATATTGCAGTCATTTAATTAATATACTTCATATACTTTCGACCAAACTTTATTCAAACACACATAGAAAAGGAAAAGTAGTATCTAATGCTCAGTTTTGTACCGAATACTACTGGTGCAATAGCAAAAACTGCAGCTCATAGACCTATTCAATTCATTGTTATACCTACTTTATTAGCTTCAATAGCTTATTTATTTATTGCAGAAGATTATTTACCAAAAAATTTATCATCTACTTTGAATGAGGAAAATTTAGGTGTTAAATTTTATCATTCTCCTAAAAAATCAGATAATTGGATTCCAATTGAAAATAATAACGAAGCTATATTAAAAAATTATTCAAATTCAAATCATATAACAATTATACCATTAAGATTTAGAAAATTTCATAATTCAATCCCAAAAATTCCCAATTCAATAACTTTAAATCCAAATGAACAAGTTTTAATAGTTGAATCAAATAAAGTAAATAGTATATTACAAGATTTAAATAAGATTGATGATCAAGATGGTATTCAATGGCAAATTAGAAATGATTATAAAATTGGAAAATATTATGATTATTTAAAATATTTAATTTTAAAAGTTCAAGAATCTATAAAAATTGCTGATAATTTTGATATTATATTAATTTTTATTGCTTATTTAGCAATGTGGTATACTTTAATAAAAGTATTTTTTGATATGAAAAAAATTGGTTCAAAATTTTGGTTAGCTTTTTCAACTTTAATTTCTTCAACTTTTGCATTTTTATTTGCTTTAGTTGTTTCTAACAAGATATTAGATTGTAAAGTTTCATTTTTAAGTTTATCTGAAGGTATTCCATTTTTAGTTGCAATTATTGGATTTAAACATAAAGTATCAATTGCAAATTCTGTATCTAAATCTTCAACTGCTTCACCTGATGATGTTCCTAATATTGTTGGTCAATCAATTTCTTCACATACTTTAAGTATGTTTAGAGATCATATTGTTGTTATTGGAGCTTTAATGTCATGTGCTTTATATGCTAATCATTTAACTGGTTTAAGAAATTTTTGTATTTTAAGTTCATTAATTTTAACATTTGATTTAATATTAGTTCATACTTTTTATGCAGCCATCTTAGGTTTAAAGATTGAAATTAATCGTGCTAGAAGAACAGAAGATTTAAGACAAGCATTAGAAGAAGATGGTATTTCATCATTAGTTGCTGCAAGAGTTGCAGAACAATCATCAACTATTGAACATCCAAATGATATAAATTTTTTTGAATCAAAAGATTATTCAATTTTATCCTTTAAAGTTATAATGAGTGTTGGTTTTATTGCATTTCATGTATTTTGGTTAGGAAGTTCTTGGTTATATAATACATCTGATGGAAATGTTAAAGTTTCATTATTTGGTGGAGCTCCTTTATTAACTGAAAATATATCAAAACAAATTCCAATTGGAAATAAAGGAACAATATTAACAATTTTACCAACAAGATTTTATATGCCTTCTGGTTTAATTGCTCAAATTGAAGATTCAATATTTTATATTTTAGCTAAAATAAGTAGTGCTATAAGAGATAGTTTATTATCAAAAGTTTTATTATTTGGTTTTGGAGTTTCAATTTTTACAAATATTTATTTTCTTAATGCTTCAAGATATCAAGTTTCAGCTACTCATAAATTATTAGAAAAAGAAATTTCACGTCCACAACTTAGAAAGAAAAGTATATCACAACCCGTGACAGTCAAAGATACTATTGATGATGAATCATCTTCTGATGATGAATTAGAAATCAAATTACCAACTAAACAATTACCTTTAGAAAAATGTATTGAAATATTAAAAAATGGCGAAGTTAAAACTTTAAATAATGATGAAGTTACTTCATTAGTTACTAATGGTAAATTACCATTATATGCATTAGAAAAACAATTAGCTGATAATAAAAGAGCTGTTGTTGTTCGTCGTAAAGCTATTGCTAAATTAGCTAAAGCACCTGTTTTAGAATCAAATCGTTTACCATATGCACACTATGATTATGATAGAGTTTTTGGAGCATGTTGTGAAAATGTTATTGGATATATGCCTATTCCTGTTGGTGTAGCAGGTCCATTAATAATTGATGGTAAACCATATCATATTCCAATGGCAACAACTGAAGGTTGTTTAGTTGCATCAACAATGCGTGGTTGTAAAGCTATAAATGCCGGTGGTGGTGTTGAAACTGTTTTAACAAGAGATGGAATGACTCGTGGACCTTGTGTTAGATTCCCCACACTTTCAAGAGCAGGTTCAGCTAAAATTTGGATAGATTCGGAAGAAGGTCAAAGAACTATAAAAAAGGCTTTCAATTCAACTTCAAGATTTGCTCGTTTACAACATATTCAAACTGCATTAGCTGGAACATTATTATTTATAAGGTTTAGAACTACTACTGGAGATGCAATGGGTATGAATATGATATCAAAAGGTGTTGAACATTCTTTAAAACATATGGTTGAAGAATGTGGTTATGCTGATATGGAAATTATATCAGTTTCAGGTAATTATTGTACTGATAAAAAACCTGCTGCAATTAATTGGATTGAAGGTAGAGGTAAATCTATAGTTGCTGAAGCAAGAATACCTGCAGATGTTGTAACAAAAGTATTAAAATCAGATGTTGATGCCTTGGTAGAACTAAATATAAGTAAAAATTTAGTTGGTTCTGCAATGGCAGGTTCAGTTGGTGGTTTTAATGCTCATGCTGCAAATTTAGTAACAGCTGTATTTTTAGCTTGTGGTCAAGATCCAGCACAAAATGTTGAAAGTTCAAATTGTATAACATTAATGAATAAAGATAAAATTAATGGTGATTTACAAATTTCAGTAAGTATGCCTTCAATTGAAGTAGGAACTATTGGTGGTGGAACAATATTAGAACCACAAGGTGCAATGCTAGATTTATTAGGAGTTCGTGGTCCTCATCCAAAAAATCCAGGTGATAATGCAAGACAATTAGCTAAAATAGTTGCATCAGCTGTATTAGCAGCTGAATTATCATTATGTTCAGCATTAGCTGCTGGCCATTTAGTTCAATCACATATGCAACATAATAGAGCTGCTCCAACACCATCATCTATAAAATCTTCAACTGCATCTGCAACATCTGCATCATCACCAAATGGAACAAATGGAACACAAAAAGTTAATGGTTCATCTGATTTAAAAAGATTGAAGGAAGGTTCAGTCAATTGTATAAAAAGTTAGAGAGTTTTGTATTTAGGTCGTGGTCATAAATAGTTTTGAATGTATCAATATGTATTGCATTGTAAGAAAATTGGGAGTGTAGATTTTTGTAGAGTGTAGATTTTTGTAGAGTGTAGAACTAGGTAGCGAGTTTATCTATCAAAAATTCAATATCAGATTTGATTTTTTTAATTCTAAGCTCCTTAGGCTAACCTCAAATCTATGGAATTCACTAACACTACACTCACTCACATGACATTTCAATGATCAAAAGGCTAACTCAAAAGTTAAACAAACCATTTCATAACTTATCAACACAAGAAAGAGCTCTTTTGATTTTAAGACTTGGAACTGCATTTTTATCAATAGCTTGTTTTCTTGTTCTACTTATCGGACCAATATTTTCAAATTCATTCAATATCAGTAGAATAAATTGTGCTCATTTAGACGTAGCATATGGACTTTATAAGTCGTTAAGAACTTCAGTTGTTCTGGCACCATCAATTTTAGGTGGTGGTGAAAATTATCTACTGGGAAATAGTTTAACTAATAGTGAAATCACTTTATTGACGGATTATGCAGAGAGTCAAGTTGCAGGAGCTCCTCAATATTGTCTTACAACATTATGGCGTTGGTGTTACGGAAATTATGATTCTCATGAAACTATAGGTAGACAAGGTCAAAGAATTACAGTAAAAGTTAATGAAATTGTAACTTGTGTTAAAAATAAAAAATATGTATTTGATTATAGAACTCAATTAGAAGAAATAGGATTACAAAGTATATTAGCATATGCTTATCAAGGACAAATTTCTAATGAAACTGATTATGATAAAAGTATTGCAAAAAGAAATCATACTTTTCAATTAGCTTTAAATGCAATTATATTTTCAGATTGTGTTCAATTTTTTTTAATTTGTGCAATATTTGTTGTTTATTCAAATAGAAAACAAGCAAAAGATTTAAGTAGAGTTCCAAGTTTTATACTTCATATATTATCAATATTTGCTGTAATGTCATTTTGTAGTTCAATAATTGGACTGGCTTTAATAACAAATTTATTAAAAATTACAAATGATGAAATAAGTAGTAAATTAGGAGATTTTGGTGTATATTTTGAAAGAGGTTCAAGTTGGTTTACTGCTTTATGGTTATCAACTGTTGGTTGTACTATTTCAATGTTAAGTTGGGCTTTTCCTATGTGGTGTGCAAATCCTCCAGAAGAGAAAAATAAATATAAAGGTAGATTAGGTATTTAAATTATAGAAGATTTTAGTAAGATTGTTTTGATTTCATTTTGTGATGATGGTTTTGATCTCTCACGATATTATGATAATTTTACTTACTTGTTGATGAGTTTACCTCTTAATCAGAATTCCTACCCCTTAACCAATTTGACTTTCAACCCCTTAAGTTTAAAAAAATAGCTTCGTAACGATTTTGGTAGCTTAAAATTTGGATCTATTTGACCTGGAAATTATCATTATACGAGGTTAAATCAACCAATGTCAAGATCCAATTTCAACTTAATTGATATAGTACGAATCTTTGGTGGAATACTACTATTTAATGCTATTTTATCTTATTGGTTTACTTCCGACACTACATGGGGTTATCACGGTAAATACATAAATTGGAGATTTTATAAACACAAATTACTACAACCTCAACTACATTTAACATTAGATGAACTTTCGGAATTTGATGGTATAAAGAAATATCAAATTTTATTAGCGATTAATGGGAGTGTTTTTGACGTGACATCAAATTGGCCTGTATATGGTCCAAAAGGAACTTATCATAAACTAGTTGCGAAAGATGCATCAAGAGTTTTCATCACTGGATGTTTTATGAAACCAGATGAGTACACTTATGATATGAGAGGATTGGATCCAGAAGAGTGTAGATCTGATATCAAGAAGTGGCAAGAATTTTTTAAAAATCACGGTAATTACTGGTATGTTGGAGAAGTTGAATTAAATTTCGATGTATTAAAGAATCGACCTCCACCAGAGCCTTGCGAACATATGAAATTTCCAGGAATGAGTCATTAATGGTGGCATTTATTTTTATCCTAATTTAATTAATCTAACGATTTTCTAATGACGTCCAATAATTCATCACTATCTTCTAATCCAATACTGATTCTAATCAAGTTTCGATCAACTTCCCATTTTTCAATTTCATCTAACTCTTGATAATGAGCCAATATAGCATACGGACAAGCTAATGTAAAATTCGTTCCTAATGAAGGACCTTTATGTAAATTAACTGCGTTGAAAAATTTTATAGCTGCTTCAGGTTTATGAAACAAAAATGAAATCAATCCTCCATATCCACCATCTTTATTCTTTATTTCATCATAATACTTTTTAGTTGGAGATATACTTGGATAATACACTTTTGAGATTTTAGGATGTGATAATAATAAGTCAACTACTTTTGCTGAAGTTTCGTCTATTCTATGTACACGTTGAACAAAGTCTCTTGAGTTACGTTCAAGCCATAATGCATCTTCAACCCAAAATAAATCTTCATATTCTTCATTGAAAAATTTTTTTAATTTTTGATAATAATTTGATGATTTATTTAGTATGAGTGATCCTGCTAGAACATTTGAATCACCTGAAAATACTTTGGTCAAAGATGATGCTATCATATCTGCGAATGGTAAAACATGAATGTTTAAAAAGTTCCCAACAGTTTCATCCACCACAATTGCAAAGTCATATTTATCACTTAATTCTTTTATTTTCTTCAAATTTGGAGTCTTTAGTAATGGGTTTGATGGACATTCACAAAACAAAGCCATAATCTTTAAACCTCCCTCTAGATCTTTCTCTAATTGTTGCAAGGATTCGTCATCACCTAGACCTAAAAATATTACTCCCGGTCCAAATTTTTTCAAAATATTTAAAGTATCAACATATGGAAACCCAAAACAAACTGACTTTCCTGGTTTGTCAGAAATATTTAGTAAAGCATGGTGTGCGTAGAAAACAGTAGCCATACCTGATGGGAACAAATAAACGTCCGATTCATCAACTAATCTCAGTCCCGAATGATTACAACCTTGTTCAATCTCACCACTTATACGTCTACGTAATGCTCTTTTAGCTTCTTTTGCAAATTTAAAGTCTAAAACTCTTCCATATTTTTGTTCGATAAAAGTGTTGAATTCCTTTTCAACGTCTTCATTAACTCCCGTTCCACTAGCTCTTGATGCTGTGATTGAAGGTGATTTTAATTGAATTTTTTGAGCTTGTAATTCTTGCTTCAAGTTACCTCTTAATCCAATTACATCTTTATCTTTTTCAAAAAGTTCTTTCAACACATATTCACCCATACGGGAACTTATACCTTCACCTGAATGTTGCCAATAATTTTTAGCCAAAGGAAATAAATTATGAGGGAAAAACACAACTCCGATAGTAGTACCTATTTTGGTTGATTTTTCTGTATCAGTAACAGGGTCATTTGTGCTTAACTGTAAAACTCTTAATTGTACTTTTTCCTTTGAATGATTCTTGATAAACTCTCGACATCTTTTGGCAACTTTATAACTTGGAAAAACCAAACATTTTTCGCCCTGTCTTCCATACTTATTTTCCAATTTTCTACATAATTTTTGAATTGATTGATGTATGAAAAATCTAGGATAACCTGAATTCATTTTTGAAGTGACCCATTCTTCACCTTCTTCATACGCAACTGTGGCTTCCCAAGTTGGTAATGTTACAGACACTGCATGCGGGACATTTGGAATTGGAGTTCCTACCTCTTGTGAAGGCATCTGAAATTGTGGAGTTTTTATCAAGTTGAAAATGTTACAATTTAAGTGAATCATATTGAAAGAGTCAGAAAACCCATAAAAGATATGCTACCACTTTAAATTTTAAACCCGCCAATATCCAAGGTGAGTTGCAAAACGTAGGTTAGGTATATAAAAAGCTATCTACAGTTAAATAATCACTATAATATTAGTGTCCCTTTATGTTATATATTTACAAGTTTTATAAGTTGAATAATCTATTTAAGGTGCTTATTCAATTATTCTGGTAATCATACCTGTACCTACAGTTTTACCACCTTCTCTAATATTGAAACGTTGGTTTAATTCCAATGGAGCTTTCTTGATTAAAGTTCCAACCATTTCAATATTGTCACCTGGCATAACCATTTGTGAATGGTCAACACCCTCACCTTCTGGGAAAGTGAAAGTTGTAGTAACATCACTGGTTCTGAAAAAACATTGTGGTTTGTAACCTTCACTGAATGGAGTAGATCTACCACCTTCTTCAGAAGTTAAAATATAGATAGAAGCTAAGAATTTTTGATGTGATTTAGTAGTTCCTGGTTTAGCTAAAACCATACCTCTTTTAACTTCATCTCTTTTAACACCTCTTAATAAAATACCACAATTGTCACCAGCCATAGCAGCATCTAATTCCTTTTTGAACATTTCAACACCAGTTGAAGTAGCTTTGAATGAATTTTCACCAACAATTTCAACTTCTTCACCTTTTTTCAAACTTCCTCTTTCAACTCTACCAGTAACAACAGTACCTCTACCTGAAATTGAAAAAACATCTTCAACAGGCATTAAAAATGGTTGATCAGAATCTCTTTCAGGTGTTGGAATATATTCGTCTACGGCATTTAATAATTTTTCAATTGCTTGAGTACCAATTTCCGGTTGTTTGTTCTCTAAGGCACATAAAGCAGATCCCATAATAACAGGTGTGTTTTCACCATCAAATCCATATGAACTTAATAATTCTCTCATTTCCATTTCAACTAATTCCAACATTTCTGGATCATCAATTGTATCAACTTTATTAACAAAAACAACTAAATTTTGTATACCAACTTGTCTAGCCAATAACATATGTTCTCTAGTTTGGGGCATTTGACCATCAGTAGCAGCAACAACGATAATTGCACCATCCATTTGTGATGCACCAGTAATCATATTTTTTATATAATCTGAATGTCCTGGTAAATCTGAATGAGCATAATGTCTTTTATCGGTTTCATATTCAACATGAGCAGCAGAGATAGTAATACCTCTTGCTCTTTCTTCTGGGGCTCTATCGATTGATCCATAATCTAAGAAACTAGCTTGACCTTTTTCAGATAAAACTTTTGTAATGGCTGCTGTTAAGGTAGTTTTTCCATGATCAACATGACCAATGGTACCAACATTTACATGTGGTTTTGCACGATTATAAGCAGCATATCCTCTGGATAATACTGGACGTGAAATTGCTAACCTAGCAAATCTTTTAAACATTTTAATGATGGTTGATAAGATTAGAATCTGAAAATTTTTCAATTAAAGAATCGGTTTAAAGAAAAGAGAGAATAACTTAAAGAATTCCCGAAACAAAATATTTCAAGACACGTGAGCTACCAAAGTACCAAATATTTTTGTTTTAGAAGTGCTGCAAAGACAATTCCGTTTGAGTTCAAGATTAATGCAACAAATGTCATCAGACTATGAACCTCCTAATGAAAATTCCCTACTAAATAATATACTTCCCAGCTATGGAATGTTTAAAAGCACCATATCACTTGAATTGGAGCCAAGCAATGAGAATTTTCTGGTGGATCCACCAACTTACGATAATCATGAGATGACTCCAATAACTTCAGTTTCATCATCTCAAATTCAATCACCACAGGAAGAGTCGACACCTTCAAACATATTTGTTGATGATTATTTTGATCCTAATCAAGAAAGTGACAATCTTTGGCAAAACACTATTTTAACAAACGTGGACAAACTTCCAAATCTAACATCAGAATCAAATTCAAAAAGTAATGCGTTACAAGTTAACATCAAATTCACTGAGAATGTTTGTCAAAAGGGAATCAAACCTGTGATAATAGATCCTTCGTTGAAAGAATTTACTCAAGGAGATTACATTCATGGGTATATAACGATGGAAAATACATCTGATGAACCTATTTCGTTCGATATGGTCTATGTTGTATTTGAGGGTACATTAACTGTGTTGGAATCAAACTTGACCTCATTAGTAAAATTCAAATTCTTGAATATGATGGATCTATTTGCTTCATGGTCCTATGCAAATATTGACAGATTAGTAACGGACAATGGATATCCACACGATTGGTGCGATGGTGAAATTGATCCTTACGATAATACTTTGTTGTCAATTGATGTTAAGAGAATTTTCGAACCCCATGTAACTTACAAACGATATTTCACATTTAAAATTCCAGAAAAATTACTAGATGATGAATGTGATCATAGCCTACCTATGCATACTCAAATTATACCAACTTTTGGAATCGATAGACAAAATATACCACCTTCCTTGTTACTAGCAAACAAATCTACTCAAATCAAAGACTTGGCGTTCATCGATAGCAATATTACGTATAGTGTGGATGCAAGAGTAATTGGAAGAGCATCAAAATACAATTGTCAAACAGAAAAAGATCATTTTATACTAGCGAAGCAAGCATCTTGTCCTATTAGGGTTATTCCTAACCATAACGAATTAGATTATGATGCAAATGTCGACTATCATGCATTCGTTCAATCAGTTAAAGAGAAAATCGACTTTGGTAATGAATTATTAAACAATCAACCACTATTAAGTCCTTCACTAAGTCATGACACAATGAAAGTCAAACAGCTTTACAATGAGACAAAATGTGATAAAAAAACTTCACAATATGAATCTGTTCAACCGTTTAAAAGAAAGATATTTGGAACAACTAAAAATCTAGGGATTGTTTCATTATCCACTGATAAAAGAGTTTATGTAATTCAATACACACCCCCTTCAAAATTTGGAACCAAAAACAAAGACACTGAAATCATCATTCCTTTAGAGTTAAGATATACCGGTAAAGAAGCTCCTGAAATCAAATCCGTTGAAGTAGAACTAGTCTCCCTAACTATTCAATCTAAAAAACATTCCATACCTATTGAATTTACATCAGAAATGTCGTTCAATGATCAAGAGATCAACTCAAAACCAGTTGCAGAAAACTTTGACCTGATAATAATACACAAGTTTCAAAAGTACCTCAATGACTTCAACAAACTTATCAAGGAATGCGGAAATGAAACATTGAAAATAGAAACAAAACAATACAGAGACGTCAAAGCTTTGGCTGCTTTGAAGACGAAATATATCAATCTTCCAATCTCAGATTTACAGTACTTGACACAATCAAAAGAAGGTTTTGGTTCTAACGTACTGATAAAAACAATTCCATGGGTGAAAGATGATGATTGGAGTAAAAAGAATTTTTCAATAAAAATGGATTTGAATAATTGTGGTTTGAAAGGAATTGATCATCCGGTGAAAGGTTTAAGTAAAATTACCTTAGTTCCTAATTTTCAAAGTTGTTATATAAGTAGGATGTACTATCTCAAATTAAACATGAAAACTAATGGTGCATTACTAGTCTTGCATGTTCCACTAGAAATTGTCAGATAAATAGAATGAAATACACAGATCTCGTATTTTAGGTTTCACGATAACGCAAGATAAGTAAGAAATCAAATCGCAATCTCCCTCTCGCTTTCTTTTTTTTTGCAAACAATCTCGTTAACTACTAATTTTGCAACCACTACCAATATTCTTATGTTGATCACATATAAGTTGGAAGTCCTATAAATGACCAATAAGTTCAATTTGAAACTACCGACCCCCGACACAAATAATAATGAAAATGAGGAACTCATCAATATTCTACCGTCTTATCAAATGTATAGAAATACAATCACCAAAAATTTGACACCAACAATTGAAGATCTCAGGCTAGCCCCACCTTGTTATACTCCAAATTCTGCCCCACTGGATGATTATTTTGCATCTCAACCCACATCACCTGAGCCTGAGCTTGAAGTAGAAGAAGATAAAGAAACAATACTTGAAAATGCTCACAAACTAAAGCGACTAAGCTCTACAAATAAAGATATCTCAAAGTCATTGGAAGTGAAAATTTATTTGACTAAATCAATTGGAAAAGCAGGTGAACCATATAAAATTATAGACCCATTGAGCTATGAGTTCAAACAAGGAGATTTTGTTTATGGATTTGTATTAGTAACGAATAAAACAAAAGTGGATGTACCATTTGACATGTTTTCAGTACAATTAGAGGGAACAGCAACTTTTGGCAAAACGAATAGCACATTAGTTGATCAACCAGCTCACATTTTAAGATTTTTGACCATGTTTGATTTTAATGCGTCATGGAATGATGCGTTTTTAGACAGATTTATTTCAGACAATAATGATCCTCATGCATTGGACCCTCATTCCACATTCGATTCTACCGATAATACATATTTCCATCTTAACCCAAAGAAGATATTTGAACCTGGAGTAACATATAAAAAGTTTTTCACATTCAAGATACCAGAAAGATTGCTAGAAAATAATTGTGAACAATCTTTAATAAAGCATTTACAATTACCGCCAACGTTAGGAATTAGCAAGAATGAAGTTATAAGCTCATTACGACATAAATGGAAAGACCAAGATATCCAGGTTGAGGATTTGATTAATAAAAAGTACAAGTATGCATCATTGACAAATGATTTTTCCTTCACCGACACTTCCATCAGTTACGCTATCAGTGCTAGAGTTATTGGTAGAATTAATTGTTATACAAGTTTGATAGGAACTGCAAATAATGTAATCAGTAATAAAGATGAGTACGTAGTTGCAAATGAAGATTACAAATATATTAGAGTGATACCAATCATGCCGGAGGTGTTTTCGTTGAACAGATCGATGATCCATCAAGAAGCTAGACTTCTTTATACAGCTATGGTTGATAATATTAAGGAAAAGATAAACCAGGGAAGAGACATGCTACAACATACGAACGCATTGAGTCCAATGACGAGTGCCGGATCTTTGACATCTTTAAGAGAAGAGCCAAATGCATCTATAGGTTCAGTCATGGAAGAATCAAACTCATTACATCCAAGCACGAGTACAACGGAACTATCTAAAATGCAACAGTCATACTATTCAAAAGTTAATATCAACTCAAGAAATGTCAAAAATCTGGAAGTTTACGAAGTGTTTTATCCAATAAAAAAGAAATCAATGTTTGGGGCATCAAAAGTTACTGGACTTATGGCTTTCTCAACTCCTAAAAAAGAATATAATGTGGAATATAACCCACTACCTTAATTTGGTTCAAGTCTGACAACTAATTTGGTTATTCCATTTGATATCGTATACATAAATGATAAACATAGCCCGCCAGAATTCAAATCCGTAACTGTGGAACTTGTTTCTCTCACCTTCAAATCCAAAAAACATCCTATACCTGTTGTTATTCACCCTGAAATGTTGTTCGAAAATAAGAATAAAGGTACAAGCTCATCACAAGATAATTTTGATATAATAACTGTGAAAAAATTTCAGAAATATGCTTATGAATTGTCCAAATTATTAAAAGAATTAGGTTCCGAACTAAACGTCGAGAGAGATATAGTTCAAGATATCAAATGTCTAGCAAATTTAACTACAAAGTACGTACATTTAAGGGTCAAGAATATTAAATTTGACAATTTTGCATCAATCAATCAAGTTGCTTGGGTTAAAACTGTCGAGCAAAGTACTAAAGGTAATGAAGCATTCGAGGATATAAAGTATGTCAAAAAATTCAATTTAGAAATTGATATGGGCTCGCTACAATTGCGTCCTTCTTTATCAGATTTTTGTTTGGTACCTGATTTTCAAAGTTGTTTAATCGGTAGAGTGTATTATTTAAAAATTGATTTTAGATTACATACGGCTGAAAAGGTGTCTTTAAGAATTCCCATAGTGCTACAAAAAACTTGAATCAATAAAATGATGATTAATGACGTAATAATTGAGTCTTGTAGTTTGATCTCTTCTCAGTAAATTAAAGTAAATCGCGCTACCGCCAATATCAGATCATTTTATTTAACACCAACTACTACATGTCTGATCCAAAGCTATCATGGGAAGGTAGCAAATATGACCCAAAACCAGGGCAGCCAGAATTACCGCCTCAGCTAGCTGAGTTCTCAAATAAGACCACTGATCAAGTTTTGGAGGAATTGAATAGATTACCCTTTTTCATGACAAAATTGGATGAAACAGATGGAGAAGGTGGAGAAAATGCGGAACTAGAAGCACTAAAATCATTGGCTTACGATGGAAAACCAGATGAAATAGCATTAAATTTCAAAAACCAAGGAAATGATTGTTACAAAGCTAAACAATATCAAAATGCAGTGATATATTATACAAAGGGACTTGAAGTTGATTGTGTTGATGATGAAATTAATAAAGCACTTTATTTGAATCGAGCCGCTTGTGATTTGGAATTAAAGAATTATCGAAAATGTATTGGAGATTGTAAACAAGTATTGCAATTGGATGAGAAAAGTGTGAAAGCATGTTATAGAGCTGGGAAAGCATTTTCTGCTATTAATCAATTTGAAGAAGCTAAACTAATAACTCAATACGGTCTTATGATTGAAGAAGACAATAAGGAATTGAAAAGTCTAAAGGAGCTGATTGAAAAGAAGGAGAAAGATTTAGCTGACTTGAAAAAGAAACGAGAGGAGGAACAACTACAAAGACAAATGAAACAAACAGTACTAGATAATTCTATAAAACTTCGTCATATCGAAGTAGTGCAAACTCGTGATACCCCAGAAATGTTAAGAGACGCCAAAATCAAACTTGAAGATCCAAAAGATTATCAATCACAATTAATTTTTCCTGCATTAATATTATATCCAACAATAGATGAATTTGACTTTATTGCAGAAGTAAGTGAATTAACCACACCTTTAGAAATATTAGAAATGATACTTAATAGACCAAAAGAATGGTTTCTTGATCCCAAGCATAAGGATTTTAATGTCAAGACTTTGAATTGTTATATGGAGACAACATCCGGAGGACTAGTAAAAATTGGTAAAAAGATACCGATAAATGAGGCATTAATGAAAGAATCTCCCAAAGTTCCTCTATTTGATAATTCATTGAAATTATTTGTTGTTCCAAAACTGAAAGAGAGTGAATGGATATCCCAATGGAATAAATCTACAGCTTTACAATCTCGTATACAACATTAATTTAATACATTTATTCGTAACCCATGATCTTTTGATATTCTAGTTTATCTTTGTCATTCTTATCTGGAGTCGGAGCAGGAGAAGTTAGCATTTGTGTGTTAAAAACTTCCATCAAATCAACCGATGTCTTCTTGCGGAAAATTTTTGAAGGATCTACATGCTTCTTCAATTTCGCAATTTTGAAAATTTCAGGCGTTTTACCCCATGATTTCAAAGTTTTATGATTATCATCTGATAAAATTTTTGGCAAATTATCTGGGGTATAAGTCTTTGCAGGTGTTTGAGGTGGTAATGTTGATTTACTAACTTCTGATTTTCTTAATTTCACCACAATTTTTTGACGAGGTTTTAATGCTGCTGCTTCACTTCTTTGTTCCATCATAGATTTTTTTGTAAGTTTTGGTAAGTTAGTGATTTCTGTATTTGGAAGTATATCATTTAATTTCAACGCTTTTCGAGCACTTCTTGGACGTAGTTGTTTATTTGGTATCTCGATCTTTTTGGGTTGAACCTTCTTAGCTGCGCTTGAAACCGTTTGTGCAAATAAACGTGATGTTGGAGACTTATGGGGAGTTGTATGCTTTTTCAATTGTGGATTTGTAGGAGAGCGTAGTATGTTTGGTTTTATAGGTGATTCTCGAGCTGCTTTAATAGTTGATTTTATTGGTGATCTATTGGACGCTTTTGTTGGTGACTTCAATGAAAAGTTTTTGACAGGTGACTTTTTGATACGAAACGTAGTATCTAATTTTATAGGACTAAGCAGATATTTTTTTGGAGAGAGTGCTCTATATTGACTTATTTTATCCCATAATGTTATAGTAGGTTGAACTTCCTCTGTTAAATTCTTTGTTGGTTCGTTGCTGGTAAATAAGTTTACTTTTTCTGGACTTGATTGTAGATCTTCTGTCTTTAATGATTCACCAGTTAGTTTGGAAACATCTGTTCTTGGTATTAACTTTACAGGTGATAATTTAAAACCAGATTCGATCTTATTTTTTGTGGTTGATTTTGGTTTACTTGTGGATTTTAATAGTAAAGGTTCTCGAGCTGGTAATGAAACAAATATCGAACTTCTTGTTCGAGGTGTTTTGGGAATTTGTCTATTGTTATTTTCATCTCTCTTTTTTCCGGCTATACTTTTTCTAATGGCGGTACTAATGGCTTGGAATGAATCTTCTGAGGCCAGCTCAAAAGTTGTATTTTGAATACCAGTGTTTTGAAAATCATCATTAGGTGAGCTATTGGCTCTAGCATCTTTCTCGACGTATTTGGAGTGAACCTGGTCATCGCTTTCTTGGTTGACTAACTCACGATTTGGCAAGTTATTGCTTTCCGAACTTATTCGAGTGGAATTTCTTGATGTTTTAGGATCCACGGTCTTGGACTGTGAGCTTTTAAATTGATCAGTCTTGTGATTCTCTCTAGAATTGGCATGATTTTCAATTTTGTCAAATGGTGATGTAGTGTTATTTAGATCAATGTCATCCTTCTGTGAAATAATTGGTTTAAGCTTGGGAATTTTTATCGGCGAGGTGTGATTATTCTTAGTGAGGTGATTGAGTTTTTCCAAAGTTTCAATTTGTTGTCCAGGAAATAGTTTTACTTCACCTTGTGATATTTTCTCTGACTCCTTAGAAATCGGGATCTCTAGATTTTCATTAGGTGTAATTATTGATGTTGGTTGAATAACTTTGACTGGTGAGTTATTTATAATTTCTTCATCTATAGCTCCCAAATGTTTAATCTCATCGTCATTATCATAAACTTTATTCATAAACTCTGATAGGCTATTAATTTGATCTTTGATCGTAGTGAAATGATTATCTAAATTAGATGATGCAATTGAAAATTGTAAACTTAATTCATTGGATATAAATTTTGATGATCCGGGTATGAACCCGTTTCCCTTCTTTCTTGAGGCATTCAAAGCCCAGTTAGACATATCATAAGTTGATCCCACTGGTTATTTGTTTGTGTATAATTTATTCCTAATAATGATAAGTATTATAAAAAATATTATTTTAATTAGTTTTGTTTAGACTATTATTTTTTTCTCATACTTTAAAGAATACCCGTATAACTAACGATAAAGATTACCACGTTCATTCGGTATTCAAGAATGTCAATACTGCGAGAAGAAGTACCGCTTAATTGTTCAGTGTATGAAGGAGCGTCTACCTTTAATTTCATATTACTGATTTTAATATCATTTGGCATAATTATAAGTTATCTACCACAATATAAACGTATATATGATAAGAAAACATCAGAAGGATTATCTACTAACTTCTTACTACTTGGATCATGTTCATCAATTTTCACAATAACAAATATTATTTTGATAAGTTCAAGAGCAAGACAATGTTGTTACATTGGTGCTTTAAACACATTTAATTGTATTAATTCTCAATTGAACTTATTTCAAATTAGTATTCAATGTGTTTGCGCTATACTTATTTTAGTATTTGTTCTAGTCATTACTAAACATTCAATCAAACAAGATAAAGAAGAGTATAAGAAAATCGTTATTGTTGGTAAAATTGTATTAGCTCATGGAATAATCTCATTTATTGAAGTGATTGTGGGTTATACTCATACTAATTATTTATATTCAATAGCAAATGTAAATGGTTTATTATCAGCAGCTTTAACCATAATAAAGTATGTTCCTCAAATACATACCACATATACTTTAAAACATCCAGGTACTTTATCAATTGGAATGATGAGTATACAAACTCCTGGTGGGTTTGTTTTCGCTTCGACTTTGATTTTCACAAAGGGATCTCATTGGAGTTCATGGGTAAGTTACCTAGTTGCGGCTTGTTTACAAGGGGTATTGTTATTGCTTTGTATTTATTATGAATACATAAAGCCAAAATATGATTATGAACCTTTACCTGATGAATTAGAAGGTCAACAAATTGCAAGAATTGAAGAAGAAAATTTGCAAAATAATTAAAGATTAGGAACTATATAAATTATATTTCTGTTATTAGAAAAAGTTACGAATGTATGATAAATCTATTTTACTTTGAAGTTGTAGTATATTAGTATGTTTTATTCATACCTCTCGTTATATGTTTGAAAGCGGAATTAACAACGGCATTAAGATATTAAATTTTTCCACACATTTAGCTCGATTCATACGCCACTTTTAGATAAAGATTACGACAGTTTCCTGATCGTATCTCTTGTTTCCTTTATCATCAAATATGCAAGAGAAGGAACTACTACTATCTGCTAAGAGTCAAAAGCTAAAAAGAATAAGTTATGTGTTCCTACCATTCACGATATTAATCATCTTAACAATTATAAAATTAAATTTTACAAACTTTACACCATTTACGATACCACATAATCTCACACGATCAGATCCATATCTCACTTATCAATTAGCAACAAATGATCCATTACTAGATAAAATAGGACAGCCAGATTTAAATCCATCGCACAAACATTTACATGAAGGTTCAAAAGCTATGGTTGCTAGTGATGTTCCATTATGTTCAACAATGGGTAAAAACATCTTATTAAAAGGTGGTAATGCTGCTGATGCTGCTGTTACTGTTGCTTTATGTATTGGATCTATAAATTCTCATAGTTCAGGTATTGGTGGTGGTGGATTTATTTTAAGTAAAAAAGGTGAAAAAGTTATTAGCATCGATGCAAGGGAGATGGCCCCTACGTTAGCATATAAAGAAATGTATGGAAGTTCTGAAATATTGAGTAAAATTGGTGGTTTGGCCATTGCTATTCCCGGTGAATTAAAAGGATTATATGATTTGTATAAACTTCATGGTAGTGGTAAATTAACTTGGAAACAATTATTTGCACCAATTATTGAATTGAATTATAAAGGTTGGAAATGTTCTAAAATATTTGAAGTTGTTGTTGCTAAAGAAAATGAATTAGTATTATCAAAAGTACCTAGTTTAAAACAAATGTGGGATTTTATATTTAATGAATCGGGAGATTTGATTAAAGAAGGAGACTTCATAAGAAGACCCAATTATGCAAAGACTTTGAGTATCATAGCTAATAATGGGAGCAGCGATGTATTTTATGATCCAACTGGACCTATTGTTCCATCATTGGTCAACACAATCACAAAATGGGGTGGAATCATAAGTCCTGAAGATTTTGCAAAGTATCACACAATCATTGAAGAACCATTGACTACTACAATAGATAAATTTAAAGTCTATACGAGTAATGGAATATCATCCGGGTTATCTTTAATTGCAGGGTTGAATTTTTTCCATTCCATTTATAATCCAAGTGACTCTGATATCTTATATAATCATAAACTTATAGAAAGTTTCAAATGGTCAAGTTCAGTAAGAACAAGATTAGGTGATAAGTCAAATCAAAAACAAGAAGTCATTAAAAAATTTACTGGACTAGATTGGATTTCTGAAACAAACTATTCAGATAATCAAACTTTTACATGGGAAAATTATGATCCAAAATATGATCTTGTTGAACCACAAGGTACATCACATTTTGCTATAGTTGATGAAAATGGTGATTCAGTAGCAATGACAACTACAGTGAATCTTTTATTTGGATCAATGATTTATGACAAAAATACAGGAATTATACTTAATGATGAAATGGATGATTTTTCACAACCAAATGTAAGTAATGCATTTAATTTAACTCCATCAATTTACAATTTTGTACATCCTGGAAAAAGACCATTGAGTTCAACTGCTCCAACCATTATAACGTATAATGATAAAGTAGATTTTGTCATTGGAGCAGCAGGTGGTAGTAGAATAACAAATGCTGTATTACAAGCTATAATTCGAGTTTATTATAAAAATTTATCATTATTAAAAACAATTTCATATCCTAGATTGCATCATCAATTGATTCCTCAAAGTTTAATGTGTGAGAATATAACAACTTATGAAGAAGAATATCCTGGAGAGGAAATCTTGAAACATTTAAAGGAAAAAAATCATACATTTTTGGAAACCGGTTCATTGACCGCTATGAATGGTATTAAAAGACTCACTAATGGTAAATTACAAGGTGTTAGTGATTATTGGAGGAAAAGAGGTGAAGCGGATGGATATTAGACATTAATTAGATAAGTTAAATTATAGAATGTAGTATTTATTGTATTATATATGGAGCGTAACTATACACAGTTAAACTGATACAAAATTTATACTTACACTAAATAGTGTAAGCAACTATGAGATGTATAAAATTTTCTTATTTTTGGTCAAATTCTGAGTCAAAAAATGTTCAATTTGTGTTGATGATGAAAAATTTTCAGAAGATCTTACAATGTTCCTTATTATTTGATTAATATTATTTTTTGAAAATAAGAAAAACATTATTGGATCATATCTAATTGTTATATAATTTTATAATGCCGATGGTATTGACTTTTATAATATTCGGTAATTGGTAGCTTTCTTACACTTAGTTACCCCAGAAAATCACAATATCTCATTTGATGACACAAAAACTAAAAAAGTCCGAACTTTTCATTTTTCTTAATATGAGAAATTTGAAAAAGATTTATTTTATAAAGTAACAACCCACAAAATTTTAAACAATATATATATTAAATAACCCTGGAAATACAAATTCTTAGAGACATTCAAATATTTGGGTAATTCGTTTGGCTATATTCAACTAAAAACTTTGCATTTAATTCACATAAAAAGGACTGGAGCCTTATCTATATATCTCATTATCTAAAAAATGTCGACTTTTCAATATCAAAATACTTTAAAGAAATTACCAATACCTGATTTAAAACAAACTTGTGAGAATTATTTAAAAGTATTAAAACCATTACAAACTGAATTAGAATTCTCAAATACTGAAAAAGCAGTTAATCAATTTTTAAATGAAATTAATGATGGTGATTCAAAAAGTATAGGATATTATTTAGATGAAAAATTAAGAAATTATGCTAATGATAAAGCAAGTTATATTGAACAATTTTGGTATGATGCTTATTTAAATTATGATTCTCCTGTTGTATTAAATTTAAATCCATTTTTTTTATTAGAAGATGATCCTTTTACTTCAACTGAAGCAAGTTCAGTTGATCCTCAAATTAAAAGAGCAACTACTTTAACACTATCTTCATTAAAATTTATACAAGCTTTAAAAAATGAAACATTATCAATTGATACTTTAAAAAATGGGAAACCATTATGTATGTATCAATTTACTAAATTATTTGGTGCTTCAAGAATTCCAACTGATGATGGTTGTATGATGCAAAGTGATTCAAAATCAAATCATATAGTTGTTATGTCAAAATCTCAATTTTATTGGTTTGATGTATTAGATTCAAAAAATAATATATTGTTAAATGAATCAGAATTAAATATAAATTTTAATTCAATAGTTTATGATTCTTTAAAAACTTCTAATAATGATATTGCTAAATCTTCATTTGGTGTTTTAACAACTGAAAATAGAAGAATTTGGGCAAATGCAAGAAAAGAAATTAATGATAATAAAATAAATAAAGAAGTTTTATCTATAATTGATTCTGCTTTATTTATATTATGTCTTGATGACATCGTAATTGATGATTTATCTCAATTATCTAAAAATATGTTATGTGGTTTATCAATTTTAGATAAAGGTATACAAGTTGGTACTTGTACAAATAGATGGTATGATAAATTACAAATCATTATAACAAAAAATGGTAAAGCAGGTATAAATTTTGAACATACGGGTATTGATGGTCATACTGTTTTAAGATTTGTTTCTGATATATATACAGATTCCATATTATCATTTGCTCAATCTATAAATAGAAATGCACCATCATTATGGAAAGAAACAAGATCACCATCAATTGATGATGAAATTGAAGAATTTATAACTGTACCAAGAAAATTAGAATGGGATCTTACCCCAGATCTTTCCTTAGCTTTAAGATTTGGTGAAACAAGATTATCAGATCTTATAAATCAAAATGAATTTCGTCATTTGGAATTTAAATCTTATGGATCTGATTTAATTAAAAAAATGAAATTTAGTCCTGATGCTTTTGTTCAAATGGCTTTTCAAGCTACTTATTATGCATTATATGGAAAAGTTGAATGTACTTATGAACCAGCAATGACAAAACATTTTTTTCATGGTAGAACTGAAGCAATTAGAACAGTTTCAAATGAATCTAATTTATTTGTAAGAAAATTTTTTGATTCTCAAATTTCAAATAAAGATAAATTAGAATATTTAAATCAAGCATGTAAAGCTCATTCTGCTCAAACTAGATTATGTTCAAATGGTGAAGGTGTTGATCGTCATTTATATGCAATATTTTGTTTATGGAAAAGACTATTAATTGATGAAAATGATAACAATGATATACCTAAATCAATTCAACAAATTCCATCAATTTTTCAAGATTCAGGTTGGGATAAATTAAATAATACAATTATATCAACTTCAAATTGTGGTAATCCTGCATTAAGATTATTTGGATTTGGACCAACAACAGCAAATGGATTTGGCATAGGTTATATAATAAAAGATGATTCAATATCATTTTGTGTTGGGTCCAAATATAGACAAACTCAAAGATTTTTAGTTACTTTAAATTCTTATTTTCAAGAAATTCAAAAAATTTGGCAAAATGTTGAAACTTCAAAAAAATTAAATATTGATGAATTACCTAAGATAAATAATAAAAATTTAACAAGTTTATTAGGTGGTTATGGTTATTTTGATATGGGTGATGAAGATATTAAAAGTAGAGGTCAAACTCCTGAACCTCCATTTTTAAGTAGAGGTAATTCTTCTTATACTTTAAGAGATATTGGTAAAAAATTAAGATTAAGTGAATATTAGCGTTTAGCTGTATATTATTATTACAAATAACAAGCATTTTTATTTATTTCTTAGGTATTGATCATTAAGTTCGTGAAATTTTATCCTCTCCGTTTATATTCCATAATCTCCTTGTACAAAAGCATGTCGTAAATTAACTTTATTAGTTGCTTTATTCTTGTTGTGTTTTGCTCCAACTGGTACCATTCCCATCATTGCAGTGTCTGATAAATTGTTAGTTTTAGGTTTTGCTTGCGGTTGATATTGATTTGGGGGTTGTTGATGTGGTGGTTGATGTTGATGTGGCATCATCGGGGGTGGTTGTTGATACGGTTGTTGTGGATACATTTGAGGTTGGTAAATCTGAGAATGAGGTGGAGGTTGCTGATACATTTGAGATGGTTGTTGATACATTTGTGGAGGTGGAGGTTGTTGAAGCATTTGAGAATATTGTATATGAGGATGGAGTAGTTGTTGATTATACATTGGTTGTTGCATTGGTTGTTGCATTGGTTGTTGTAATGGTTGTTGATACATTTGTGGTGGATACATTTGAGGATGCATTTGTTGTGGTTGCATATTAGGTATGGGTGAATGAAAGTTTTGTTGAGGCATAGGTGACTGCATGTTTTGTTGAGATGTAGATGGCTGTATATTTTGTTGAGATACTGCAGTATTCATTTGAGGTCTCATTACTTCTTGTTGTTGTTGTTGTTGTTGCTGTGGTGGTGGAAGTTGTGGTTGCTGCTGTGGTGGTGGTACTAAGTGAACCTGTGAATTATGCTGAGGACAATGCTGAGGACTTAATGTATTTGGATTTGGTGGTGATCTATGACCTTGTTGAACCTCGAATGATTGATTCGGTGAAGTACCATTTGAATGTGAATGGGATATTTGTTTATTATCAAATGATTGATTTGGTGAAAGTCTTTGTGGTGATGTAGTTTGTTGAGTAGTTAAGGTTTGGTCGGGGGAAAGTCTTGGTGGTTGTGAATTTATTGTAATTTGACTATCTAATGTTCGATTCGGTGATTTTCTTTGTGTTTGCACTGTTGAATTTGTTGCAGATTGTTGATGATTTTGCATTGGTTGAGTTGATTGGAGATATTGGTTTTGTACTGAAGAATTTCCAGCTAATGATAATGAAGAAGTACTAGACTTTGGGTCTGATCCAGAAGATAACGGTACAGTTGAAGAAGATTCAGGAGCAAATGGTAAAACATGATTTTTCACTGGACTTGTTGAATTAGATGGAACAAATTCATTTGATACGAATGCATTATAATTAGTTGGTGGATATTGTGATGTTAATTGTGGTGATGGTTGTATGTAACTTTGTGGATTTGGTGAACTTATAAATCCTATTGAAGGTGAATTAGTCATTGTTGGAGCTTTTAATGGGGGTTTCAATTCAAGTTCTGGTTTTGATTCAATTGGATTTGGTAATGGTTTAGATTCATCAATTGGTGTTCTCCTATATTTTTGAGGTGATGTTTTTCTTGAAGAAGTTTGAGAACTAGAATTTGAAGTTTGTGGTTTTTCTTCTGATATTAACATTGATTTAACAACTTGTTGAGTTTGTGGGAGATTCATATCAAAATTTAATGGTGGTAAATTTGTTGTTGATGTAGGAATAAAAGAAAATCCTGCTGCTTGAGCTGCTGCCATTTGAACTGCTTCAGCTTGCTTTTTTAGTTTAAGTTCTTTCTTTTTACGTTTTTTCTCTAGATATGCATCTTCCTCTGATAGTTTTTCTTGCCTATTAGTGTTGTTGTTTGGAAGTGGTGAATCAAAATTTGGATCAAATACTTCAGAATATGGTTGATCTTGTTGAGGTGTGATTTGTTCTTGTTGTTGAGTTGTTTGAATTTCTGGAGGCGCTTTCCTGATAGGTAATTTATTATTTGGTGGATACATATCACCAACCGTTACTTTGGTAAATCTTGATGTCATTTCGGTAGTTGGGTCTTCTTTCAACTCATTTGAGTTTATAGAAGTTGGATAAATATAACTTGATTCATCACCAAACAGTCTTTCGAAATTTTCATATACTTGAACCAAGTCAGCTGGTAAAACTTCAGGATCATCATTAGTTATTGGAATTGGTGGTAGAGATTCCAGTAAATGTCTTTTATCAACAGGTAATGGAGGTAATGGAGCACTCTTTTTGGATATATTTAAAGCCTTTTTCAATGATTTTGGATCCATTAATTTTTCAGTGATGACAATCCATTTTTGAAAACCTAATACATCAGCTTCTACTACAACTGATCTTCCAAATGCTCTTTTAATACGTGATGGTTGATCACTGGCCAATGATGACAACCAAGTCCATATAAAATAATCTTGTATTGAAATGTCTTTAACAACGATATCAGAAACTAAAGGAACATCATCATAATTATCAATAGTTGCCCATCCAGGTTTCAAATTAAATTTATTATCTTCAGGTTCCATTGTTAACCTATCAACAACTCTTTTTGATTCTTCAGTAAAAGTTTCAACTATTTCACTTGTACTTTTTTTAGCAAATACATTTTTTAAAATTGTATAATTTTCTTTTGAAAATTTATCTTTTTGATCAAATGATAAACTATGTCGTACTTTACTTATTAAATCAAAAACATTATTTGAAGGACGTGAAGAATTTACATATACACAAGGTATAGTAATCAGTGATCTTATATTTTCTTTTTCAGATTCTGGAGGATATTGAGTAGTTATTAATAATGATTGTAAAGTTTTTGGTAATTTTAAAGTTTCTGAATCTGATTCAGGTAACATTGATCTTAAAAATGATAAAACTAAATGAAATAATGCATTTGAAATTTTATTCCAATTTTCAATACCTTCAATAAAATCAATATCCCTTTTTGAATTGGAAGTTTGATTTCTAAAAGCCCAAAGACTTGCCATTTTACTTATTTTTCTACCACTTAAATAATTATATTGAGAATTTGATATAACATTTAATATTAAATCTAAAAAATCATATACAATTGATGCATGAGCTGGTGATGATAAACATTTAGGCATTATTGTTAAAAATGCATTTTTGGGATAATTTTCAATTTTTTCTTTTCTTTTAAATTCTAAATAAATGTTATAACCTATTATTTCATTGTTGGGAAGTCTTGACCAAAAATATTTTAAACAACATATTAATGTAAATTCATCAGTTTCTGAACAAATTGTTTTAATTAATTTTAAATCCTTGATGATTTCTCCATTAGGTGCAATAAGTGATAAAAATTCATTTAAATTTGAATCTTTAATTTTAGATCTGAACGGTAATAAAATATGAGGAGTTTTAGTTCCTTTTTTTTTCAATTCTTGAGTTATTATATGTAGAATATTTTGTAAAGTTTTTCTACCAAATTGATCTGGTTGTAAAATTCCTGAATCATTTATATTATTTTGAGGATTATGTTGAGGTAGTTTTGGTAATTGTATATCAGATTGATCTGATAGTGTTATCATTGTTTAATATGTATCTTTAGTCATTTAATCTTTACTTGGATTTGTAGTTCGATTTGTTTATGATTTGATCCTATCTTTAGTTGTGTTTTAATTGTAAATCAATTTTCGAAATGTATTGTTCCTAAAAAAAGTTTAATTTTTTTATTAAGAGAGAGATTAACGTGACGTATTTAACCGTTTTATTTTTAGACTCATTTACGAACAATAAGAACAAAGCAAAGTATGAGTATTGTAATATATATTACTATATCTGATTCAAAGTAGTTGGTATAGTAGATGGAATTGAACTAATATTTTGTTGAGCACTTTCAGTTGCTTCAGTTGCAAAATTAGCTTCTTGTATAATATTTGTTAAATTGTCAAATCCTCCACAATATTGAGCTAGTGATGGACAACTTTTATGAGCTACTAAAATATTTTTTATATTAATTAATTGAGATCTTAATTGAGCAACTTGAGCACTTGATTCTCTATAACCATTTGAATAAAAAGATAATTCATCTTCCATTTTTTGAATTAATTGTTTTTTCCTTTGTCTACATTTTGAAGCTGCAACTCTATTTCTTTCTAAAAAGTTTTTTCTTTTTTCTTCATCATTTGATGATTTTCTTTTATTTAATTTTGGTTTTTCATCTTTTGAATTTGAATCACCATTTTTATCATTATTTTCGTTATCTTTTGAGTTTTCTTTTTCAGTTTCGTTTTGAGGTGGTTCATTAGCTGTAGTTTCTGTACTTGATTTTGATTTTTTCACCTTTGGTGCTCTCGGTTTTTTAGTGGTAGTTGATTGTTTAGTTCCTGTGTTTTTACGTTTTCTTGTTGGTTTTTCACTAGTTCCATTTTCTTCAGATTTTGTTTTATTAGTTATGTCTTCATGATTTGGGGATTGTGTTTTAGAATTTGGAATTGCAGGTTTTGGTTGATTCTCCGAAGGTTGCGATTGTTGTGGAATAGTTGGTGACTCATGGGTCGAATACATTGAATGATTAGAAGATGATTGAACATGTGGTTGAGCAGGTGGATGTTGATATGGTATTTGAGGTTGTGAGTCAGGTATACTTTGAGCAGGTTGTGGTTGTGGTTGTTGTTGTAATTGAGGTTGTGGTTGCATTTGAGGTTGAGATTGTGGTTGACTTAAAGGAAGTGCTTGATTATGAATGCCATTATTATTTAAATTCATCATTAAAGAATTACTTCCAGATGATAATCCTAATAAACTTGATAAACCTGGAGTTATAGGACCATTTAATAAAGCTCCAGGAGTTGATAAACCTGGTACAACCCCAAAATTAAACCCACCTGGAGTTAAACCAGATCTTAAATTTGATTCGTTTGGAGTTAAACCTGTTTTTCTCATTGATGATATAAATTGATTATAATTTTGTTGTTGTTGTTGATTTTGTTGATGAGGTAAATGATTTGATGATGGAGGAGGTGGTACATGACTTGGTTGTTGTTGATTATTTGATACATTTATTAAACTGTTCCATAAATTTGTAGTTGGAGTTCCAGGATTTGAAGTTTGATCTAATGGTGGTAGCCTTCTTCCACCTGGTGTAAATAATGGAGGTGTTATACCTGGTAATTTCTGTTGTTGTCCATTACTATTATTAGTTGATGTTGGTACCTGTATTATTTGTTGTTGTGATGGTGGTATTATAGGTTGTTGTTGTTGATTTTGAGAAGCTTGTTGTAAATTTACAAAAGATGATGGATTACTATGTTTACTTATGGAATCAACATGATTATTATTTATTATTTGATTTGAATGATGTGAACTATTACCTGTTGTTTCTATTTCTGAACTTGATTCATTTCTTGATTGTTGACCAGTTGTTGTACTTATTGATAATGATGATTCTTTAGTTGCAAATGATCTTTCAAAAGGATTTGGTTCTAATTCAAATTTAGATCTCAGCTATATCATAGATATTGTTAGTATTATAAATGTTGCTTTTGTTTTAATTTATGATGATTGATATAGAATATATAAGGTTTTATAAATTCTTTTATTATACATACGTCACTGGACATGACAAATAATTATTTTTAGATTTTATGAATAAACAATACTATGATAAAAGGTGTGAATTGATCTTTGAATTATTTGCGTGTTCTCTTTAATTGATGAATGGTGTTTCAGTTGTCTTGTTGATTAGGTTGTTCTACCACTGTATATGGTTTGATTACTTATGTTATGTGTATATGTTTTGTTATAATAAAAAAGTGTATAGTAAATGTTAGTGTATAAAAAAAAGATCATGAAAAAAAGTATGATGTAAGAATTATCAAATTTACACTACCACAACAACTCTCCTCCTCGAAAAAAAATAAAGATACGAGTTTAGCTACCAGCTGCTTATTTATTTCAAGACGCGAATTTGTGTCAATGACATGAGAATATATTTTTTACCATTCAATAGAGTAATATGATTTATATCAAAACCTCAATCATTAAACATTCGTACGAAAACCAGATACATATACAAAATACATTACAACTTAAAAAACTTCATTATTTTATCTCCTTAACTAAATCATCTAATTTTTTATCTACTGGTTGAGCTTCAGGTATAATTTTTTGATTTTTTAATTTTTCTTCTTCATCATTTAAATCTCTCATTTTGGGTTTTATATTTTCTAAAATTTTTCTTCTCCAATTTGTTTTTAATAAATTATTTGTATTAAATTTTGGGAATGGATGAGCTTCAGTATTGAAAATATATTTATCAATTGGTAATTTGTTGTCATCATCAAATAATAAATATAAATATTTTAAAGTTTCTGCAAACCAAAATGATTCTGTATTATCTATAAATTTTGATGTACCATCTTTATTTAATGATGTAACATCTGATAATGAACTAAATAAAATTTCTCCTTGTTTATTTATAATTTTAGTATATTTTAAAAAATTTTGGAAAATTTCATATCCATATTTCCTATATTTTTCATCTCCTGTTATTCTATAAAGATAAAATAATGATTCAACAGTTTCTGGTCTTTGTAGATTATGTCTATCATTTGGTTTTATTTTAAAATCTTTTTCAATTGATGAATCAGTATTAAATACAACAATTTCTGGTGATAATTTTGTTGGTAATACATCATCATACATTTTATAACAAGTATAAGTTAATTCTTCTCCAAATTTAAAATCTGATTCTCTTATTGAATTCCACCAAGGTTGTTGTTTAGCTTCTTTCAAAGTTAATCCATTAGTTGCTCCTAATGCTAATAATCCACCATAAAAACATACTAAATGATCCATTTTTGTTGATAATGGACCCTTTAAACCTCTTTCCAATTCTCCAATAAATGTTAATTCATTTGGATATGATTTTTTCATTAAATGTTTTTTAACTCCTTCAACTGATTCTTGATACAAATCATAATATATCTGCTCTTCTTCATTTGTTTGTAAATATTGTTTTAATAAATATTCATAATATGAATCACCTCTACTACCTAATCTAATTAAATTTCCTTGAAATTTACCAGAATCTGGATCAATATATATTGGAACTAATCCATCTTTTGGTTTATTTGATTCTAAAACTTCCATTATTTTTTCAGACATTTCCCACCATTCAATTTCTCCTGTTAATTTTGCTAAATATCTTAATTCTAATTGTACAGTTGCTGCTTCTGCTGTTGATGATGCTCCATTATCTACATGATTTTTAATTCCCACTCCAGTTTTTAAATTAACTGATGAATAAGGTATACCTGAACCAGATTTATAAGCACCATGTAATTGATTAGCTAATCCAACAGCTTTATCTAAATATAAATCATCACCATCACTTAAATGATAAGCACTTAATAAACCCCCCAACATTCTAATAGTAGTTTCAAAATTATTTACATTATAATCAAATTTATAATCTAAATCTTCTTTTATCCATTTTCTTGCTCTTTCAACTTCTTTTGGACAATCCATAATCATTAATGTATCAATTGAATCAACAATCATCCAACCTAATGGTTGAGGACCCATATTTTCACCTTCTTGTTTTATTGGATGATATATATCATAACCCCAACCATATTTTTCATAAGTATTCCAAGAATCAATCATTGCTTGTCTTACTTCATTTTGTACTTTCGACCAATTTTTTGAACTATTTGTTGAAAATATATTAAATATAAGATTATCATTTATTATTGAAAAATTATTACTTGCAAAATAATATATAATATATAATCCAATCAGATATAGAAAACCTTTAAATAACATTAATAATTTTTGATTTCTTTTATAATTTGAATATTTTGGATGAAATGGGGATTTATCTTTATAATATAATGGTAATGTTTGTGAAGAAGATGATGATGATGGAAATGTTTTATCTTTATAGGTTGGTCTTTTACCTTGAGTTAATTTTGAAATACCAAAATTAAAAGACATAAAATTTATTTAAATGATTGAAAATTGTGATTGAACTATAAATAAATTATGGTGATATATATAAATTAAGGAAAGTAATATCTTGGATCTTTGTAAAATATGGTAATTGATGACGTATAATTTAAATCTTATTCATGAAGAATTCTTAGATAAGTAAAACATAAAATTGATCTGACGTTACTCGTATTGTTTTTTTGTTTGTATTGATTTTATTTTTTCAGTCGAGTTTTGATATTTTCAGACTAAAGATCAAAATTACGTCAGCCGCTTGATGAAGAGAACATAACTAAATAAAATTGGAGAATCTCGAGTATTACTAGTTACACCTCTGAACTGAACAAAAGCAGTAAAGTTGCTAGAACTGTTTTGCAGCATTTATTGAAACAAAATCGAAACTATAATGCTTTCAAGAATTCATAATACTAGAGATAATAAGTACAGAAAATATAAATGGTATGATAACAGAGAACGGATTCGAGGTAAAATTTATCTTTTTTTTGGTCTAAACTCGCTTAAGATTGTATTAAAATAAGGCACCAAAGTTTATCAATTATACGAGAAAGGGGCCACAGAAAAGAAGTGCAAAAAAATTATTGATTCTAATTTTCAACATGAAGTATACATGTATATTTGGTCATATAATTCAAAAAGAAAAGAAAAAGGGTAACTGGTTATGTAATTGATAACAATGTTGAGGATAAAGAGGATGCACAATATGAAGTTAGAACAATATACCGAAGATAGGAGAGTCATTACCATTATCTGAAGCTGAACTAGAGTGGATAGAATCAATTGATGGCGTCAGCACTTCTGTATCATCTTCTCCTTATTCATTTTGCTTCAGTTGATCCAAATTGATTTTTAATGGCACCATCCACTTCACTTAAATCTAATTGTTCCTCAATCATAGACATATACCACCAATATTTCCATAATATAAGCCAATTATTTGATACTAGAACTACTTTTGTATCAGCTGGAATCGGGACGCGTGTATGAAATACTTGAAAATTTTCGATCTCCTTCCGTTAGAATGGATACAAATGCAGTTCTAGTATCAATGGAATTGGATAATATATTTGAAATTTTAACAATTATATCAACAAAATAATGGCGACTAAAGTTAGCAAAGGACTGGAATATTATCCTATTCAGTATGATAGGAATGCTCACTCAAATGATAATTCAACTGGATGTGTTGGGTTATCATTTGAGTGAGCATGAAAGATGCATTCAAGCAAAATATTAGATTGAAACTCAAAAGCGAAAATTTGAAAAGTCCTTTTGGATAATATTCCAACCCTTTACTGAGTCCAGTAGCTACCTTTACAATTTGTTGAGGCAACAAAAGATTAAAATATTGAACTCATAATCAGATTTATGTGGTTTAAGTAGAAGTAACAGTTATGAAAGATTTCACATAAAATTTTCACATTTCCAATTAAAGTATTTTCTAATTGTATAGTTTCACAAAATATAGATATTGACTAGTATAGTTTCATATTTAAGGGGTGTACAATATTAAATATCGTAAGGCGGGTTTTTGATTCTTAATGAAAATTAAAATATGTTTAATACACCCATCAAAAGTAAGATAAAATATATTTTAAGTAGACCACCTTAAATCAATTCTAACCAATCAAATCAAATTATTAAAGATTTTAGTGAAAATACGACAATATTATAATAAGAAATATATTACACAAAATCTATACTTTTGTATACGGATTTATACACCTAACATAATAATAATAATAAGAAAAGTATGTGTATGAGTAGTAATGTTTTTGGCAGTTTTGTATGTGTAATGAAATTAATAATATTAATAAATTCACTCCGTTTGAACCATCTGCTTGATCTAATTTGTATATATGGCACATAATACATATATTACCTTATCTATCTTAATATACACCTAGTTTAGAATACTATTGATCAGTTAAATCTTATTGAAATCAGAAGTTTATAAAATAATAAATGATAGTCTATACAAAATATTCTATTTCTATTTAAACTTTAAATTACAGGTAACTAAGTCACTAACTAGAAGTCCAATTATTAAAGAATTGTAACCAAAAGTGAAAATCAAAATCATAAGAAGAGAAAACTAAACTAACTAAGTTATACTTACATAGTTAAAAAAAATTTCAATCATTCTTTTAAAAATTAAAAAAAAAAAACATCATAACCATAAAATTCAATACTGTAGTAATTTCATAAGAATATTAACTTATACGTACTATACGTACTTATATGGAATTAGAAAACAATACAAATATTGATCATACATTCTTTATTTAATCGTATAGATATCAAATATAAACATATATACTCAAACTCATACAATCACTAATATCTTCATTCACATTATTCACATATCCGTATAGAAACCATAACATCAGATAACAAAGAACAACAACTACTACAACTACTACAACTACTACTTATAAATTTACATTGACTCCACCTTTTACCTTTTTACAAAGAAATTTCATTTGAGAAAATAAAATAAAATAAAAACAGTTACTAGATCTATAGTAATCATTCATATTATTCATACTCCAATTTCATATCTATTCATGATAACATACAATTAATTAAGAATATAGTTTAAAATGTCAGTAATAAAAGCTGAAAATAATCATAATAATGATTTAAATGACTATACAACAACAATGTCAAATACAACTTTAAATACTACTACAAATACCACTACAAATACAGAAAACTCCACTCCAAATTTATTTACAAATAATAGTAATAATAAACAAAGTAAAAAACGTATTCATGAAAAAATTAATAATAATGAATCAGATGATGATAATGATAATGATCAAGATAATTATGAAGATAATGATAAATCAATTCATAGACAAAATAGTAATAGTAATAATACTACTACCAATAATAATAATAAACCTAAGAACTCAAGAAGATCAGTTGCATGTAAAGCTTGTCATGCTTTAAAAGTTAAATGTACTCCTTCAAATCCAAATGAACCTGGTGCACCATGTATAAGATGTCTTAATGCAAATAGAAAATGTGATATTGATTTAAATCAAACAAGAAAAAGAAGAAAAAAAGCAGAAATATTAGAGGCTAAAAGGAAAGCAAATGAAAAAATTAATAATAACAACAGTAGTAATAGTAATAGTGAGTTGGAACAATCATTGAATAATAATAGTCATAAAGCTAATAAGATTAAAAAATCAAATCAGATTCCAAATCAAAATCAAAATCATAATCAAATTCAGAATCAAATTCATAAACATGATTTAAAATCAGATGATCAACAACCATCTTCATCTCCTATCCAACCACTACAACCACAACCACAACCACAACCACAATCTCAACCTATAAAACATCATCAACAACTTCCGCAACAGCCACCTCAACAAAATCAACAACAACCTCTCCAGCAAAATCAACAGAACCTACAACAACATCAGAATCCTCAACAACAGCAGCAACAACAACAACAACCACATAATATCACAAACAACGATCCCTCTTCAATTTCATCTGTTTCATCACCATTATCAATTCAATTACGTACTCAACAATCAAATATACCTCCAATATCTTCTAATTTAAATCCATTAGGTAATAGTCCACCGTCATTATATACAAATTATTTATCACCAACGAAATTAGAACAAACAATGACTGGATCAACATTATCAAATAAAGATCAAGAAATTTTTAATTTAAAACAAAAAGTAAAATTTTTGGAAAATCAATTAAATCAGAAAAATCATTTGTCAAGACTGTCAACTTCTGAAAATCATTATAAACATGAAGTTATTGATATAAATTCTCCACCTTTTATTTCAAAAACTGATTTAGAACAAGAAATAACAATATTAGTTGAAACTTCTTCAAAATTAAGTGAATTAACAAATGAATTAAATTCTTTAGCTGATAAAAGAACTAAATTATTAAGAAAATCAATGGCTCCTGATGTTGTAACAAAGGGTTTATTAACAATAGAAGAAGCAGAAATTAGATTAGATTTATATAAGACAAGAATTTTATCATTTTTACCATTTATTGATGTACCAGAAAATTTAAATGCTGAAGAATTAAGAATTCAACAACCTTTTTTATTTAATGCTGTTATGGCTGCAAGTAATGTTGTTTATACTTCAAATACTCCAGTTGATTTAGAAAAATATTTATCTATTGATAATGAAGCTATTAGATCTGTTTGTGATGAAGTTATGGTTGTTGGAAAAAAATCAGTTGAATTAGTTAAATCTTTATTAATTTTAAGTTTATATTATAATTCTCCAGAATTATTTAGACAAAGAAGATATCATTTATTAAATACTATATGTGTATCATTATTACATGATTTAGGTATTGTTGCAAGACCATTATATTCTTTTGATAATAAAGATGGAGCAGTTAAAAAAAAATCAGAACCTAAAACTGGTGAAGAATATAGAGCATTAGCTTTAATAATTTATTTTAATACTATTAGTATATGTCTTATATTAAGAAGATCTATATATATTAAATGGACTCCATATGTTGAAGAATGTTGTTCAATGTTGGAAAATTCAAGTGAAAAAAAATATCAAAAATTAGCATTATTTGCAAGAATAAATGCAGCATTAGAAAAAATTCATTATATAATTCATTCACCAGAAAATGGTGATAGAACTGTTTCAACTTCACAATTTATTATACAAGAATTACAAAAACAATTAACTGCTTTAAAAAAGAAAATTAGTAATGATGATCATGTATTTTTATCATATTTATATTCAGTTGAAGCTTATTTACATGAACCAAATTTAAGTAGTATATTTGAAAGAGATGAAGAAAGTGGTTTAAGTGCAAATGATGCAAAAGCTATATCAAATTGTACAAAATCTTGTCTTGCAGCATTAAATGAATATTCAAAATTATCATCTGATCAAGTTGCTCAAATGCCTTTAACTTTTGGTTCAAGAGTTATGTATACTGGTGGTATGTTATTAAGATTAAGATATCTTATATTATCATTACCTTCACATATTGAAAAAGATTTGGTTCCAAAAACTGCTGTAACAAGTATTCAAAGAGTAAGTAATTTAGTTGAAAAAGCTCATATTCAACATCCATCAAATTATTTATTAAAAAAGACAAAATTAGTATTACAATTATTTATACAAACTTATGCAACTCAAATTCATGATTTATTAAGAAAAAATGGTGAAACTCCTCAAAATTTTAAACCAACAAATACAACAAATGCTCAAATTGTTCAAAAATTTGATGAAACTATATCAAATCAAAATGAAAATGGAAATGGAACTCCTCAACCTGTTCCTTTGGATATTTTAAGTTATGCTGCTTCATATAGAAGAGAAGGACCTATGGATGAACAATTACAAAATCAACAACAACAATCGCAACAACAAAATCAAAAAATTCAAAAACAAAATCAACAACAAAGAACTTCATCAGAAACAAATGATAAACAATCTAAATTTACTCCACAATATTTACCATTTACATCAGCAGGAAATACACCAATTAATCAAATAAATTCTCCACCACAACCTCAACTTTCACAAGTTCAATCTAATCCTATACAATTTGCAGTTCAACCTCCACCTCAATTTCAAGGACAACAATTTCAACCAGAACAACAACCTCAACCACAGCAACAGCAACAACAACAACAGCAACATTTACAACCAACTCATCCAATTAATCAAACCACATCATATCAACCTCAACAAAATTTTCAAAGAAATGGAAATTATGGATCACCATCTAAAAATTTATTAAATACTTATGATGTATCAACTGGTTTAACACCTTTACAATATAGAGAATTTAGATTGCCACTGATAACAAGTGTAACAAATCAAAATAATCCAACAAACACTAACACTACCACTAATGTAAATACAAATAATAATAATAATGATAATAATAATTTAAGATTTGATTCAAATTTAGCAAATCAAGATCAATTAGAAAATTCTTATATGGTTTTAAATGATGAATTTTGGTCAAATTTATTAAGTACTGATTCAAGTGATAAAATTAATTTTACAAGTAGTAATAATATTAATGGTAATCAATTTAATGATGAAGTATTTTTTATGAATTAATAAAAACATTAAAAAAAAAAAGATTATAAAGGTTAGAAATTAGATGAGATTAGAGATTAGAGAATATAATTATATAAGAGATAGCGATAAAACAATGTTCAATGAATGAATCAACCTTAACGTAGAAATTCATGCAATTTATTCCAAATGTAAATCTCTATGTCTATTCATCTTATAATTAGTAAAAATTATCCGTATATTATTCGCTTTCGTAAATTTTTATCTCTTGGCTTGGTCCTAGATTATGATAAACTTCCTATAAATTTGTTTTTGTGTGTTTATTCGTATTTTGAAATTAATTTTTGTGTGCCGTATATTAAGTTTTGCAAAATGTATTGTATAATTTGTTAATCATTTCACCAATTGATGAGTCAGATGTTTACTACAATCTTATATCTAAAAGATCATCATCTTTAAATGTATTCTTTTAGATATTGTCTTCTTTATTTGAAAAACAATGTTTTAATTAACTCATGACTATTTAAAAACGACTAACGAAATAGAACTTGAAAAATAATAATTTGGATATGACAGGAGATTGGAGAATATTTTAAACTTATATGTATTCAATAGAATTGCTTAGTAAACTTAATTCTCTTTGCGACTGAATATAAGTAATTATTTCCTCATCAGTAACAGAAACATAGTTTTCATCTAATTTTGGATTTGGAAATGAGTTAAGTCCTATACCATCAGAAAATGCTGAATTTAATTTCATAGTCTCAATATAATCTGGATTAAATTCCAAATAATTACCAGTTTGAGAGTGAAAATTATAAAAAGCTCCATTAACTTTAATAAATCTACTTTCATCTTCTTGACGATATAATTCACCATAATTTTTTGCACAATTTTCTGACCCTGATATATATTTTACTAGTTTGTTTTTATATGGACCATTTGTTACAAAATGAGGGAAATTAATTTGATGTGATAAATGGATTATTATTGGATCATCAATATTTAAATTACAATTCGAAGAAACTTCTGACCAATTTGTTCTTTTGATTGACATATTTCGAATAATTATTATGAATTTTTAATTGTACTGGATTCATAGTATTATTTATCTCTGTCAAAAAATCTTCGAATTCACCTAATTTATTCTTGATAAGGATTTAAAAAACATTGATCAAGTAGATTTACCGAAAAACAAATTATTTCAAAGCACATAAAGTTTAACACAAGCTAGTTTGAGGTAAGTAATACCACAATTGGAGAGAAATAGCAATTTAGATATATTAGTCTACACATAGAGTAGATAATTCCTATTGGGATTGGAACGGAGAAAGAGGCAAGCATTATTATAACAAAATAGCATCTAAGAATCTGACTAATTCGCAGAACTCAATCCTGTTTAAAATATACTTAACTTTACACAAGTCCCACACCGCAATGAGGATATTTTGAGAAAACGTCTTGAGAGGTTATTTACACAGTTTGTATCTGTTGGATTTGTACTTTTTTATCTATAAGAGAGACACTGGACAAATTCATCTCACCTCAACAGTAATTTTCAGTATTAACTAAAATGCGTAGAAAATATTTTTCACTTATCGCTTAAATAATAATGAAGGTTATTTGCTTTTTTCAACTTGTGAGGTGTGATTCTGAATTGACTCTCAAAATCAAGCTCCTATATCTAATAGCGGGTACTCTCAAAAATTCGCTTTTTTAACTAACACAAAAATAAAAATGTCGACCTAGCAGACATCCCCATCCAGGCCATCCTCATCCCATCCGGTCGAGAATTTTTGTAGAACGAGTTAAATTGATATACAATTCAGAATATACGCTAATAGCTTGGTAAACAATTTATCACACAATATTAAACAAGGTGTTTTTGTCTACTCGTGTGTGCGGCGGGTATGCAACTACAATATGTTCGACATTTTCAGCTTTCAGAAATGTAGTATTAAATTTTTTAAAAAGCTTGGAAGTATTTCGAAAATAAGTTTTGTTGATTGATTACTTGAATCTGAATTGTATTTATATGACAATCAATGAGCTTACTCAAATATTTATGTCTGTCCTTGAATTAAAAGGCGTTCGATAAAACTGCTAAATCACGTGAAGTGTATCTCCTTTGAGGTTTTTAAAAACCTATTAAATTATTGCATGAAAGAAAAAAAAAAAGAAAAAATATATAAATGTTGTCGAAAAACCAAAAAAAAAAGAATATATTTCCCCAAATTTCCATAATGATTAACTTCAACGATAACTTCAACTAATACTCCTGCCATAATTGAAAATTAACAGACTCGATGTTCAAAAAGTAGAGGTGATTCCACTTTATAAAAATAAATCTTGCTCAAGATACATCTCGTGAATAAAAAACAAAATTACATTTTCTAGTGTTAAATGTATTTAAAACATGGGAAAAGGATAGAGTGAAATTTGAAGTAACAGATTTTACTTCAATACTGATGAATGATTATTGAAAGAACTTATGATACATTAATTGTTGACACTAGAAAAATTTTAAATATTAATGTATTCAATCTAATTGTTGATACTAGAAAAATATCAAATTTTGTGAGCAAATACTATGAAGAAACTCATAAAGGTTTAAAATTGATTATTAAAAATAAATTAAGTGGTACATTATCTAATTTAGATTCAATTTCATATTCATGGACGTAATGAATAATTTAGATTGACTTTTGTATTCTCGCCATTTCAGATTCATGGATATAATTATGAAATGATTAATTCTGTCCATGAATAAGAAATGGAGAGAATACAAAGGGAAATCAGAACTTTTGTCATATGATCCAAAAAATATTGAATGGAATCCAAATATTATGGAAAATAATGAAGAACAAGTTTTAGTAGATCTATTTGAAAATATTTCAGAACAAACAAACTGATTGAAGCATTAAAAAGAAGAGGTGTTACTAGAGTTAAAAAAGTTATACCTAATAAATTTTATCAACAATTTTATGGGAGAGATTAAGATAGAGAAAATTAATCTCAGCCAATGAAAGAAGAACAAAATGTTTCAAATGATATAACGTTAATTGGAATTAAGCAGCAGTTGAGGTGTTATGCGATTAGGTCTAGTAGGTCGAGTTAAATCGGCTTCACGTGTATCCAAATCGTATTCTTCGTTTGTACATTCTGGCGGTATAGTATCTGAATTCTGCTCTTCTTTTACCAGGTCACCACTCGTTGGCGATTTTTCTCAGAGTTATCAAAGCAGGCCTGAAGCAGGACTGAAGCAGAAACTACGTTGTTGTTATCGTAAACAAATGATTTATCGCATGATCAGTTCCTTCGGTTGAGAACTTCAGATTGTGTTGATTGTTGAACTCCAATTTCACGAGTTGTTTCATAAATTTTTCATTCATTTGATAGGCCCACCTCCTATCCTAATCATATCTGATCTTCTCATAGCTATTGAAGTAGTATGCTTTTAACAGTTCCTTGTTCAGTATTTAAAAAACTCATTCCGTCAATCAATGGAACGTGATAATGAAATATTTCTCAATCTTGAGCTGCGTTTCTTATTTGATCGTAGTTATGATTGATTGAACTTCATACTGGTTTTTTTTTTTAAGTATCGTTATCAGACTTTACAACCAAACACATATCAAGTACAGCAACAATGGAAGATTTTACATTTCCCGATACTCGAGATTGATTATACTTGCATATAGAGTATCAATTATATATGGTAATAATATGATGAGGAGGATATGAATTAGTACCGCGGTCTCTAGACTTACCAGGGATCATATATCAAAATATTGTTAATTAACTGATCAAAATTTTTAACTAATAGCTTCATTTCATCTTCTGATAATTCAATAATTCAAGTCGTTATAATTTGTCATTGCTTCTAGCTGCTTTTAAAATTTCTATAGGGATGATTACAGAAGTTTGGGCTTTTAGAAAAGCAGTACAATATTTGTTTTGCAAAAAACAGACAGTATACAACAGGTTTGCGTCGCAGGTTTCAGATTTAGGATTTTGCAGCCGTTTTTATATGCAGTGCGAATTCCTTTTAAATAATGAATTCCTCAGACTTAGAAAATTTAGCTGAAGCATAGAGATCAGAAACCTTTTTATCTTATTTCACACAATGGTTTGTCAATTCAGTAGGCTCATGGTAAGCATTCATTGAATAATTTAATAGTTCCATTGGTAAAGTTTGAAACACACCAACTTCATTTTCTATTTTCCTTTCAAAATTTATTACATCAACGGTTAAGCTGATGAGTTTGACTTATAATGAAAAGATCTTTTGACTGATCATCTGTATGAATTCTACTTTTTGATTGAAAATTTTCATCAAAGCATCTGAAAACCCTTTTTTTCAAAATTGGTAGATAGTAGTGTTAGAATATCAACTTCACGAACAATTGATCAACTTAATATTTTTTACCCTATTTTTAACTCCATTCTTGAGTTCATTTTTCTAAAAAATTTCATGTTGCTTCATTAGTTTTTAATATAGATGTCGTTTAAACTACATGATATATAATATTTTAACCTATTTATTGCGCATTAAAAGATCATAAATCTTAATATTTGTTCTGACGTGAAAATTGTAACTCTTCGTGTTCATTGATAATATCCAAAATTAGATCGCAAACATAACCATCATCAATGAGATCCATTTCAAAAAGTTCTTCAATTGAATACTCGTTTTTCAAAATTATATCTAATGTTTTGGGAGCTTTACTCTGGTTAATAAGTGACTCCTCTTTTTTATTTGAAATTTTAGTGCTCTTGAATAAGTATGATGGCCATTGACAAGATATCATTTGAAAATAATCTGGTGTATACATCTGTATATTTTTAATGAAACCAAACAGGTAATAGTCATATGGTCTTGTAAATCGTGGCCACCAAGATAATTTTAAATTTGGATTATCGAAATATAGCTTGGCAATTTCAAGTGCAAAATGATCATTAGCAATATCAGTACGTATAGTCAACTTATGTAGTTTTGAAATATCAATCAATTTCAAGTCCAAATAATGTGAAGATAAACTTAAATTCCTCAATTTTGATAAGTTGGCATTTGCGAGCATTTCCCAAAATTCAAATTTTTCAAAAACGAGATCACTTTCATATTCCACTTCGCTATAATGGTCTAACGATAATGAAGTGATCTCTTCTGTATGAAAAAAATTGTCTAATGTGAACAACCACTTTCGTGGTTCCTCTCGTGGTTCTTTTATAATTATTTCGTCCTTACTTTCGGTTGAAAATTTGTGTTTACCCCAAAATATTAATGAAGTTTCTTTAATTTGCAATCAACTTTATTTAATTTTTTAAGCAATAGTTGATCCGTCAAATCAACAACATCTCTAAAGTCAACGTGCAATTCTTCAAGATTTTTGAATAAGTTTAAACTGTTAAAAACTTCAATGGTTTCTTGTAGCTCATACTCATTATGATTGTATCTTCTCACCGTATTACAACGCATTCCAAATTCAAACTTTAATATTTTGAGGTTATTATACAAAAAATCAGGTGGCAGTGGATTATTATTAATATCGAAAAACAATATCCTATCAAATAATTCATCATAATTTTCAAGTCTTTGATAAGTTATAGCCTCCAATGCTTCTTTAGAACTTCGGTATTTATTTGGCTCTAGTTGGTCGTTAGCTGAAGCAAAAGTAATGTAATCTATATTCTTGAAATACATAACATTTTTTTTCAATAAAAATTGTGCATCTGATCCATTTGTAAATGATATTTTACCTATGTGTTCCAAAAAGTCCTCATTTTCAATACTAAGATTTTCAATTTTTTGAAATCTATCAATTTTATGATCAATCACGCTTGAGTAAAAATTATAAGATTCAATGATGGTAAACTTTTTAGTAAAGTCATTTAAAATGTCTTTATGCATTTTCCATTCAGTGGAAGTTGAACATTGTGATCCATCTTCATCAGAAGTGCAATAGTCAATCTTCCTTTCGTTAAAATATATATGTATAAATTTATATAATTTCGTTTGACCAATTTCACGAAATTTAGAATGTAATGGTATCAAATTTAATACCATGTGATGATTCATCTGTTGAAATATTATTTCCAACACTTCAATTGGGAAATCGACTAATTTCTCCATGTTTTAAAAATTATTGAACGGTTTGTTTATGATTGAGTACTTTCGATTATATTTTTGATATGTTTTCAAATTGAAAATTATATACAGTATAAAGAAATTTTAGGAAACCTCAACACTCAGGATTTTTTCCTTTTGAAAACAGGATTCGATAATGAATTTGGTTGCAAAAAATTGCAAAAAAGAATTGAGAAAAATGCTACCAGCTATTATTAAACCCAAAGGCTGAAGATAAGAAAATGAGAGTAAATATAGTTAAGCCTCTAGATTGAAGATCTTACAGCACATTAATTCCACATCCTTCATGTTTTGAAATTTTGATGTATTTAGAAACACTAAAATGAAAAAATAATCAAAAAATTGATATATTTATTTGAGTGCAATATGAGAAGACTAATATCAATTATAGTTAGAAGTGTATATGTTTACATGTCTCAAAAATTCAATTTCTATCTTATAATTGAAAGAAATTGAAATCACAATTAAATTATAAAATAAACTAATCTTTAATAGATTATGCCGCCGATTTTTTCACTCCTATTTTTAATCACGATAGTAGTTGATGATAACTTTGCTAATTCCATTGATTTTTTTTGACAAATCAATCAGACTCGATCAAACAACTGTTTCCATTCACATTATTTGATCTAAATTTAACTGAAAAAATAATAAGCAATGAAAACTTAAATTGTTTTACAAAGCTATTTGGTCTGACTTCTTATGATGAAGAATGTAATATGCAAGGGAGTAAACCAGTAGAAATAGAGCCAGTTAGTTTTAACAAAAGGAGTAACGTTGAAGTCGAAAAAACAAAATTTTTAATTTGAAGAATTTTATAATCATGGACGGTATCTTGTTTTACAAAACTCATGATTTTCGTTAAGTTTTAATTAACTTTACAATAGAATGAAAATGAACGAGAAAGGTAATAAGATGCTTCTATTCAGGCCATATATGAAGAACAGTATTAAGAATCATGAAATTAAGACATTCGTCAGTACAGATTATGGATTTATAATGGAAGAGATACATTGTAATGACTCAAGAAAACCAATCTCATTTAATCAATCCATCTTTCTTTGATTTATTTAGCGGAACCTGATAATAATGCCTTGATATATAAACACTAACAAACATATTGACTAGCGTGAATCGATGCATTGCGCTTCCTATCGAGAATTAAACTACATAAGTGGTTATTGGAGCACTTAATTCTATCTTATCGTAATATGATGGTAAAGCTCTACTTTATAAATTCAATCTTTTCGTAATTTTCTTCGCTTTTCATAATGCTCTAGAAGTTCTTTGACTGAGGTATAAATTGACTGATTATGAAATAGTCCCATGTCATGAATATCCTGTAATGAATAATCTTCTTTCAACAATATCGTGAGTAACTTTGGATATCTAAATTGAATCAATCTTCCACGTTTGGATACATATTCGATTTTCTTTTTAATGAATATTTTAGTATCTTTGAAAAAAAACGATGGCCATTGACACGAAATTATTTGAAAATAATCAGGTGTAAATAATTGTAGATCAAAAAGAGTAGTCAAAAACGTTGATTCCCTTTTCATCCAACGAGGCCACCATGATAAGTTTATGGTTGGATTTTTCAAATATAACTTAGCAATTTCAATAGCATCTTGATCATTAGCTATATCAGTACATATAATTAATTTTTGTAAATTTGAAACATCGATTGAATCTAAATCTAAACGATGTGAGCTGAGAATTAAAGTTGCCAAATTTAGTAAATTTGCATTTTTTAACATTTCCTTAAACGTGAAATTCTCCCAATGATATAAAAATGAAAATCTTGGAGTACTAAAACAATTTATCGATAAACGAATGATATATTCTGTATTGAAATATCGAACCAAGGTGAATGACCAATTTTTTAGTTCCGGCTCCCTAAGCACAACTATGTCTTCATCCTGAAACTCGATATATTTGAACTTACCATGAAATGAAATATTGAGACTTTTTAATTTACAATTAATTTTATCCAACTTTTCAAGTAGTGATAAATCCATTAAATTGATGAGGATATCAAATTCAAGGTGCAACTCCTCAAGATTTTCAAAAAAGTTAATTTTATTATACATCTGTATAATTTCGAATAAGTCAGATTCACAATTTTGAATCTTGATTCTGAATGCTGGCAGTGTAAACTTATATTTCAAAGTTTTAAGATTGGCATATAAATAATCAAGTGACAAGGGATATAGATTATTTGGAGGCGGTATGCTTTTGAAAATAACATCAAGTTCATTAGAAACCAAAAAAGTTACATCCCTCATTGTATGGTGAATCTCAACTTTGTTCCCTGTAGCAAGTTGATTATGTGGTGAATTAATACTCAAAGATTCAATATTATTAAAATATGACAATACATTCTTTATAAATGTCGATGCAGCTTTCTTGGAATTTAGCACAGACTCAAATTTTAAATACGATAAAAATGAATCATCCTCAATACAAAGATGTTTAATTTGTTCAAATTTGTTCATTTTCTTTTGACGAATACTTTTATCAAAATTGTAGGATGAGATTATAGTATACTTTGTTGTAAAATTATTCAGCACTTCTTTAGGAAATCTCCAGTTCCAGTACTTATTAGTGTAGTTTCTGGAAGAGTCGCCCGTAGAAAATCTGTATTTTCTAGTTTTGGGTCGAAAATAAATATGAATGTATTTATATATTTTTCTTTGACCAACTTTATAAAATTTTGAATTCAAAGGCATCAAGGTTATGATCATATGATGATTCAATTGTTGAAATATCATTTCCAATACTTCTATTGGGAGATTAGTTAGCTGTTCCATGTTTTTTAATCTTTATTGATTATCGAAACGTGTTGAAGAAGTAATTTGATCATTTAGTTTTGAGTTTTATCGTCAAATTTGTTGGGCAAACAGTAATGGAATTTTAGGAAATTTTAACAGCCTTATTTTGTTTTCATACTAATGAGTTTCAATATCTTTGTGATTGACTTGTCAAGGTGGACCATTGATTATTGCAAACTGGGACTTTAAATTCTAGTTACCATTTAGCTAAATCATGGAAGACTAACTTGTTTGTTTTGTAGTTTGAAAATTAATTGTAAATTTTATAAGTAACTTTTCGTTAATTTATAAGTAACTCGCGTTTTATGTATTGTAGTCAGGTAGTTAAATTTAGTGAGAAAGAAATAAGATTCTTCTTACTGACACGTGATTTTATTTGAAAAATGCAACAAAACTCCTGTATATTAACTGTTCGAGTCTAAGACCTGGAAACTGAAGATGATACAGTTTAAGGTATTTAGGTGGAAGGAAATACAGTTTTATCTATGCGTTTTATTTACTTGGTGTGTAAAAGGTTGTTATAATAACTTTAGTTTGTGAAAGTACTCTTATGTATTTGAAACTTTACTTTATTCGTTAATATTTTGTCCTAGAGTTTGACGTAAAAAAAATTAATGAGTAAGTCTTATCTCTCGAAAATAGTTCAGATAAAAGAGGTAGTATTTGATAGTGAAAAGTATACTAGAGATAGAGGTTTTTGAGAGAGTGTGAAAACTAGGTTGATAATGAGTTAGTTACTTGAGAATTATAATAATGTTAGGTTTTATAGGGAAAATTGTTTAAATAGTAGTTGATTATAGTAATTCTCTTAGTTATTAATTGGAATAAATTGAAGAATACTTTGTAGTAAAAAAAGTACGTTTAAATAATTTTGAGGAAGTATAGGATACTTGATTTATGAAATTTACGACACTATTTGATCGGAAATTAATATGTAAATAACTGTTGAAAAAAGAAAGTTGATGAAACTTATTTCCTCGATAGTTATTAGCTAATGAGTGAGGTAGAATTGAATGTGAGTGTCCTTAAAGAGAATATACTCGATTTATGAAAGTATTGAACTTTAGTATATTTAGATAAATTTTGACTTAAGTGAGTTTAATAACTGAGGTACTTAAGTATTAGCGTTGAGGTACGTAATTGTCTTGGTGTATCTTAGAATTAAATGGTCTTTACGGGGTTGAACTGTTGAAGTCTAGTAACTTAGTGTTGGACGTTGTAATCGTTTAAAATTTTTGAAAGTGTAACTTTCAAAGGAACTTAGGTGAAGTTAATTTGAAATGAGGTTAAAGGTGAAAAACAGGAAATAAAAGTTGATGATAGTAGTTATCTTGGTAATTGGTTGATATAAAAAACTACTTACTAGTAAGAAAAATGGGATTGAATGTCGAACGCCGAGTAAGAATAGGATACTTGTTATGTAAGGATAAGGGCTTGGAAATTTTTGATTGAGTAGTTATTACTTAAAAACTTTTGAGAAAATAAAAGTTGATGAAAGTTATTTTTTTTGATAATTGTTAAAATGAATGAAGGTGTACTTTTTAATGTAATATAGGTTAGAGTTAGATGTTTTTAAAAGAAAGTGAGGACTAGGTTAAAGGTTAAGTTACCTGAAAAGTCTTTTATCTTACTGCTTAGTTGAGTAAGTAAAAGACTGTTGAAAAGGTAAAAGTTTATGGAAGTTACTCTCTTAATGATTATTAAGTAATAAGAAAAGTAGAATTGAATGTGGAAATTTTGAGAGGAATGAGATGCTTAATTAGGAAAGTAATGGATTTAAAAATACTTGTTTGGGGTTGATTTAGAGATTTTTGGTGTAGATATACCTTCTCTGAGACTACTTATTGTGTTATTATATTGTAAATCTTTTAGTAAGGGACTAACTTTCTGTTGCGATGAGTAAGACTATTGACTATGATAGTTGACTTTAGTAGTTGATTGTGTTAGTTGACTTTGAGAACTTACTTTGTTTGATACTTTACTCTGTTAAATGACTTTGATGGTTGACTTAAGTTAAACTTGTTAGTTGTTAATAGTTACTTTCCTAGTTGATAGATAACTTAGTTAGTTTGATCCGAAAGTTGATTTTGATAGTTTTCTTTAATAGCTTACTTTGACAGTTGCTCTTAATAGTTGACTTCTGTCGATAGTTGACTCTGTTAACTGACTTTATTAGTTTACGTTAATAATTTACTTTTGTTGAACTTGGTAGTTGAGTTAAATAGGTGAAAATTCCTTTGATAGTTGATTTGGTTGATTGACTATAATAGTTGACTTTAAGTGCCGATTCTAAGAGCTGATTTTGATAGGTAGCTTAATTAGTTGGTTTGAGAGTTGACTTTGATAGTTGACTTTGATAGTTTAAATTCTAAGTTTAATTTGTTATTATACTTTGTCAGTATGATTTGTTAGATAACTTTGATAGTTTACTTTCTTAGTAGACTCGAATTTGTTGGTTGAACTTGATACTTTACTTTGGTGGTTTACTTTGATAGTTCTTTGGTGGGTAACTCTAGTTGACCTTGCTAGACTTTATTAGTTGAGTCTGATAGTTGTCTTTAGTTGACTTTAAATAGTTTAATTTCTTAGTCGATTTTGATAATTTACTTTGATTGGTAACTTTAATAGTTGACTTT